GCGATCGGGTGCCATAGGCCGTTGGGGAGCTTCTGGAGCAGAACACCACCCGTTGCGAATCCAGAAGCGTCCACCTCGAGTCTGGTGGGTCGATCTGGTGCCCATGTAGCGAGAACCGGTTCGCTGATGAAGGCGTCCTTGAGCGCGCGGAATGCCTGACGCTGCGTGAACTCCCATGTCCACGCGACGTCCTTCTTCGTCAAGTCGTTCAAGGGACGAGCCAGCCTAGCAAAGTCCTTGATGAAGCGACGATAGAAGTTGGCAAATCCAAGGAAACCGCACAGATCTCGCAGGTTACGAGGATCTGGCCAGTCGCGCACGGCTTTGACCTTCACCAGGTCCATGCTGACCGAGCCCTGACGGATCACCAGCCCCAGGTACTCCACCTCCTCCCGCTCGAACTCGCACTTCTCAGGGCGCAGGTAGAGGTCGTGCTCCTCTAACCGCTGAAGTACTTCGTGAACTAGTCGACGGTGCTCCTCTAGGGTGTCCGTGAAGATGAGGATGTCGTCCAGGTACACCGCTACCTTTCCCTGCGCAATGAGATCCGCGAAGATCGAATTCATCAGCGCTTGGAAGGTAGCTGGCAAATTGGTGAGCCCGAAGAACATAACCTTGGGTTCAAACAACCCTCGGTTAGTGATGAAGGCAGCTTTCCATTCGTCACCCTCCTTGATCCGGACGTTGTGGTACCCCCAACGCACGTCGAACTTGGTGAAGTACTTCGCTTCTCGCAGCCGGTTAACAATGTCCGAGGCAAGAGGAAGTGGGTAGTGGTTCTTGACAGTGACATCGTTCAGCTTCCGGTAGTCCTGTACTAACCGGAGCTTCCCGTCCTTCTTCTTGACAAAGAAGACTGGAGATGCCATGGGGGACTTAGAAGGTGTGATGTATCCCTTGCGCATGTTGTCCTCCAGGAACCGATCAAGCTCCTCATGCTCGTTCAGAGGCATGGGGAAAACCTTGGAGTGGATCGACTCAGGCGCATCAGGCTTGAGGTCGATCGCATGGTCGTAAGGTTTCGAGTCAGGGAGACGCTCTGATTCGACCTCGGAGAACACCTTGGTGTGGCGTCGATACTCCTCCGGGACCATCTCCTCGAACGTCTTCTGAGGTTTCCCCTTGTTGGCAGCCTCTGCCAGCTGCGTCGAATAGGTGTAACCCGCCGCACACATCAGTACTTCCCAAAATCTCTCAAAATCTCTCAAAATCTCTCAAAACCTCTCAAAACCTCTGTGGAGAGGTGTGAGATGTTGTGAGATGTTTTGAGACATTCAGAATTTCTCTCACTTTCAATTTTCAGTGAGATGTTGTGTGAGAGATCTCAGACGGACCAGAAAAACCAGAAGTTCAAGATAGAGACTATTTACATTGGGTTCAGGACTCACGCACACACCAAAGACGGAGGTAAATAGCTGGATTTCTATTTGTCTACCAGTACACATGTACACTAAATACGCTATCGTAGAGTCCTCGTGCGGCTCAGAGATGTGCCGTGTGGTCGCGCGCGCAGCCTACTGCCGTAGCGCAGCGTGCTCGGACAGCTGGAGTCGCACGAGTGTGTTCTGGAGCTGCTACAGGACTCGCCCGATGGGCGTGTTGCCCACAGCAGGGTTCGAGAGCACACACGCGCAACATCTCCATTTGCGGCGGAATCATGTAGCCGTCGCCCTCGCGCGCGCCACGAATGGCAGCAGCAGTGCATAGCACAACTCGCCCAGTGGTGAGTACGCGCCCCCAGACAGGAGGCGTCATCGGTGACCTGTGCACGTCATGTGGGGGCGACGGCGAGAAAGACCGTCGAGTGCTGCGCCGTGTCTGCGCCCTGCTCTGTCGCGAATCCCCGAACCTCGTGATGCGTAGGCTCGCTGGGGGCACGCTGCCGCAGTCCCGGGCTTTCGTGGGAGCGGACCAGCCCAGCACCGGGTTCACACCTCCATCAGCGCTCCTCGCCACCATAACAGCCCGATGTCACCTCCGCGACGACGTCAACGCGTTCGCGTTCGCGCAGGCGCAGGCGTCGCCCCCGCCGGACGCAGTGGCTCCCGGCTTCCCACGCGGCGAGTACGTATGGCGGGCGGGTGCACGCGCACTCGTTGTACCTCGGGGACCAACCTGTACAGTGCGCCATCATCACTACCGAATGAGTACCGCGCGTACGGTAGATTGGACACGAAATGTACTCACGCGGGCGCACGGCGTACCTTCCAGATGTTTGGGCCAACCAGGGGGAGCATCACCTGTGCTGTTCCGCAGCCGGAGATGCCACGGAAACATCCAGCTGGACGTGCTCGGCCGGGGGAAGGTGTTGGCAGGAGCGCAGAGAGCTAGAGAGGGAGCGAGAGAACTTACCAGGACAGAGTAAAGCCCCAGGAGCTCCCTCAGGGAGGCGACGGTGTGCAAGGTGCTGGAGGATCGCCCCGCCCGTCCCCGGCCTTCTGAGCTTAACACCCTGAACCGCGTGGTCTGGACGGGCGAGCTGAGCAGGAGCGGTGCGGAGCTGGTGCAGGGGACTTCATACGCCCCTTGTCAGTATCCTGTGGGACAAAAAAGAACAGCTACTACGCACCTCTCGATGTGGCGAGCAGACTGCTGAGAGTGCTCTGGCCCTTCGCGCGGAGCGTGGCCAAGGCGGGGTGGAAGTGGCAGATGAGAGGCTGCGCTGGCAGAGTCCGCCTGAGCAGAGGCTGAGATTCCCACGCCAGGCGCTGCCAGCACATACGACGCCGCCGCGTCGCAGACTGCAGCTCGTCCTCCTCGTCCTCCTCGATCTCCTCGACCTCCTCGATCTCCTCGATCTCCTCAACCTCCCTGTCCTCCCTGATACTGTCTCTAGCCTTTATTCACACCTGCTCTCTTGCTTGTCTATTCCACCTCGCCCTCAGCGCCCGGAATACCACCTCGCCCGTGTTACCACCGCCCACCTCACCCGTGTCGCCACCTCACCAGCGTCACCCCGAGCAGGTTGTCACGACCCTCCCAGCCGCTGATCCGCATCTGCGAGCTCGAGCAGGGGAACAAGCACCCCGGCGTGTTGAGGAGCTCCGCCGCCAGCTCGCGGCGCGCTCTGCAACGGCGCCTCCAACCAGGACGCGTTCCGTTGCGACTCCTACACCCCCTCGCTCTCCAACGACCGCCATTTTGACGGTCGGGACCAAGCGCTGTCGCACTACGGGCACGGTATCCGTGAGTGCACTCGTTCTATCTCGGCTTTTTTTCTCCCCTCTTCCCCACCCCCCACTCCACTCCCGCTACTCCGTCGCCGCCACACTGCCGTCGGACTGCGCGTCGAGCCAGACCCTCCACCCACACGCGCACCACCAGCGGGCGCTCGCGACCTCGTACGGGCACAACGTGCTCCCCCGGCTCTCGCACCACCGGTTGCAGTACAAGCCCTCCAAGCTCAACACTAGTACACGGTGAGCACCCTCCACTCTGCATTACACCGAGGGCGAGACTGATGACTGGCACCCGCATTATCCACCTCGCGCCCCCACATTGCCATATTGCCCGCACGCCTCCCCTCGCGTCATGTCTCCCGCGTCGTGCCGGCATCACCCGCCTCTCTCTCATTGGCCTCGCCGATCTCCGCACGGACGCGCCGCGGCGTTCCCTCGAACAGGCCCGTCTTCCTGCCCACTCTCAAGCTGCACCACAGCCTGCGCGTGCGGGCGAAGGACGACTCGACGCGCGCGGGCGTGGGCGCGAAGGACGGGCCCGGTGTGGCCTCCGATAGAGTGCAGCGTCGACGAGGGGCGGTGGGTGTCTAATGGGCACGACGACGGCGCGAAGGATGCGAAAGAGAAGTAGAGCAAGGTACGGGGGCGTGGATGCAGTGTGCAGTGTTCGCGTGCACACTTGCACTTGACCGCCCGCCGTTGTTCGTGCTGCACAACATGGAGTGTGCGGTGCGTTCACCTCCCGGTTGTGCGTGGTAGAATACTATCGATATTACTGTAGTTGGTCACTATCTCATTCTCGCCTTCAAAGCCTCTAGTTCCCGTGTGCTGGCGTCGATTCCAGTTGTCTGCATTCTCTGAGATTGGTCTGAGACGTCTGCCCGCCTCTCACCTATCTGAAACCTCTCACACGAGATGAGCCAGAGATCTGAGAGATTCAGAGATCTTGGGAAGTACTGATGCACCACACTTCCTCCCTTGCATCCTCCAACACTCTGATGAACTCTGAGTAAGGCAAGGACCGACTGTAAGCACACGAAGAGGAGCGATCCTCAGTCAGTGATAGAGCAACTCATATTGAGGGCATAAGTAGTACCTGTAAGCACACAAAGAGGAGCGACTACAGATACAGTAAGCATATGTATAAAGGAGCGCATAGAGTGGGGTACTTACTCCTCAGTCAGTGATAGAACGACTGAAGAGCAGTGCGAGCCAGAGTCCTCCTTATATCTATCTTACACCGGGGGCATTGACCCATTTAACGGTGCGAGATATGGGAGAAATACTGATGTAATGGTCCAAAGTTGTCGCGGCTGAAACGGGCGGTTATTGGTTGATACTTTTCAAATTGTATCCAAACTTTCACTCCACCGAATCAGTGCGTGCCATTCAAAGTATAACAGGCCGTTGCAGATTCAATGTAGCTGCTTGTTAAAAGGGGTATACATTCTAACAAGGTTTCCGATATGTCCAGACTAGATCCCGGAGTAACTCACAAGAAATGGCAGAAACAAAAGCGGTGTTAGAATTTAAATGTAGCTCGCCTGTATTCAGGACACCTACACAAAGAAAAAAACCAGTGACATTTTGAATATCTTCACAATGTGATTGCAGTAGAACCTTGTGAAACATGCGGAAGACACAGACGAGAAATTTTGAATGTGTTGACAATGTTAACAATTTTTAATGAGTCACAACATCGGGGAAACAAGGTAAACAAAATCAAAATGTTTCTTCAATTTGTCCCCTGTGAAACCTCAACCATAGGACCACCTCACCACCACCAACCATTATCAACCACCACCAGCCTTCACCCACCACTCACCATCCCACCTCGCCACCTACCACCAACTCACCATCACCACTGCAAGCGACGATAACATTGTTGCAAATGATAACAAAATGCCTTTGATAGTAACATCAACACAACAATGTCGCAAAAGTCAACGGCACAACAGACGTGTGCACGTACGAGCGTGGCATCCCCAGCCCCGACCCGAGCCCCGTGGGCGCAGGCCACAGCACGTACCAGTCGCGCGTGAACGCGGCGAGCACGCGCGCGATCTGCGCGTCCGACAGGCTCCCAGGTAAGAAGAACGCGCGGAAGGGCACGGCGAGCGCGCAGCGCGTGCCCGCGTGCCCGGGGACGGTGGGCAGCGTGCCGCTTTGTGGTGTGCCGTCCTCTGACGACGACGAGGGCCCGAGTCAGTGCGGGAGCGAGGGAGGATGAGGAGGCGTTGGAACGCACTGTCGAGGCTAGCGCGAAACACCTTCCATGCGATGACGCGCACCGTAAGCATGTTGAAGACGAGGTGCGCGACAATGAGCGTGGCGAGCACCGCGTAGTACGTACATCGCGCGCGCACTGTGCACGTAGTGCACTAGCACCACCGTCCTGCAATGTCCTCACTGTCAGCCCAATGCAAGACAAGGGAAAGGGGAGGCACGAAAGCGTGCACGCACCAGCATGCTCAGGAGCGCAAGCACGGTCTCCTTGCTGCCGTCCCTGACGTTCAGCTCGCCGACGTCGCCTGGGCGTGGGCCTGCGCTCGCGAAGTGCACCGTGAACCCAGCCTTGGAGTCCCTCTTTATCCGTCTCCTAGTCCTCTCGCAGACCTCATCGAGCACGCCACCCTTGATGAACAGCGTCTCTCCCGCGCCTCACCCTTCTCCATGCTCTCTCCAGCCTGCTTCCGCCGCCGCACTACTCACGCCCCTGGCCCGTCGACCGTCTGTGGGTGGTCGACCTTGGGGACAACGAACGTGTCCTCCACCGGGACCGTGTGCGGTCGCGTGCCACGTGCAGCCAACGACGTACCGGGTGGGGACTCGGGAGGGCGCCGCCACCCGCGCCGCCGCCGTCATCCACTGACGGGATCTGGACGCGGAGTGACGAGGACGATGAGGCCGTCCCAGGGGCGGACGTGGCTGTAGAGCGCGTGCACGCGCCAGGCGCGTCGCGCCGGGGTCTTGTCAGGCCGACGCCCACCGCCTCAATCCCAGATACGCTCCCTGCGCCTTAACCTCCGCGCAGATCGCAGCCCGAGCTTGCGCGCCCTTCCCGCCCCTCCTCGACCCCTGCCAACTCTCCAACCTGTGCGTCCTCACCATCACGCGCGCCGCCGTCTGGCTCCCGCGCCGTTTCGCCCGCCGCCTGCCCCCTCCCGTTCAACACCTGACGGTCGACGACATGGCGAGCGATCGCACGGGCACAGGCTGGTCCGTGTTCTTGTCCGGCGCGAGGCCGTCTGCGGACAGGCGCGCTCAGCTCCGCACGTGGATGAGCACTGCGCTGCGCGTCAGGGTGCCGCGCCCGCTCCCAGAGAAGGAGCATGTATAGGGGGTCGGAGCGGGTGTACACGCCCCTGCTCGGGTCTCCTTCCCGCGGAGGGAGAGGAAAGCAGGCTGGTGATGCGGGACCGGTCCGCGGACATGCAGTGGCTGGATGGGGTGTGGACAGTGAGCGCGCGGACGCTCTCGTCGCTCGAGAGGCTATCCTTGTGGGACGCTATCAGTCCCGACGCCTCCGAGGAGGGCGAGTGCCGCTGCTCACATTCGTTTGGCCTAATGATGACCGCTGTGCCGAAGCGCACGCGATGTTCCGCGTACTCCGCATGTGCAGGACCATTTTGTTTGTTATATCGTTCCGTTACAGCCCCCCTCCCGTTGACAGATCATGTAATCGTTAATTAAGATGTTCAAATCAATGAAACATCTGCTGCCAACAACAACATGCTCACCATGAGCATGGCGACTCTGCGCAATCGTGAGCGGAAGAGACGTACCGGCATCATCGATGGCGTCCACGACGCTGTCACGAATCCCCGTGTCCGCCGTCTTCACAACCAATGGAGGTATCGACTCGAGTGTTTTCTGGACAACTCGAGCGTAATATGTTAACCATCATTGGGAGGGATACAAGGTCAGCCTAGTCAATCGCATCAATCATGTCAACTATGCTCACTAGTACCGGCGGCGGGCAGCGCCGCGTCTCGGGTTTTTTGCGAACGGCTGAGCCAGTCAGTTGCGACACATGCGAGGAGGGCGACAAACGCGAGGAGGGCGACAAACGCGAGGAGGGCGACAAATGCGACAAAGTTAGCGGCATTGAACCTGTCGACAACGTAGACCGTACGCACCTTTGTTGGAGAGCCGGTCGGCGGTGCTTGAGGCACGGGAGGCCATAGTTTGGTGGTGGGGTCGCCGAGCGACCGCCGCGCTGCTGCTTAGTGGAAAACGAGTATCGGCATTAATTCGTGAAAACGTTCAGCGGGAAACTCACCTGCAATACGGCGACGGGCCAGCTTCTCCTTGGGGAGGTCTTCCATTTGAAACGAGCACGTCGATAAGTCGCTGCCGATGCAGTGTAGACACCATACGGAGGACGTCCGCAGACAGGCGCACTCTGCTCCGCACGTGGATGAGGGCAGCGTTGCGTGTATGAGTACCGCGCGCGCTCCCAGGGAAGGAGCACAGGTGGGCAGGGAAGCCGGCAGAGCGGATGTACACGTCCCTGCTCGGGTCTTCGTCCCGCGGTGGGAGAGGAAGGCGGGCTTGCGCCCTTGTCGCCGCACAACACCTCGAGCCTCTGCGTTTACCTGTGGATGGGCTGTTCGGTGATCCTGAAAGCGTCGTGGTCAGGCTTCTTGATTGTGCCAATGATGTCGTACTCGTGGCCGCCGATCTTCTTGATTCCACCGGAGAACCCACGCAACCAAAGAAGCATCGGTACTTGCTCTGCGCCCTTCATGAGGCGAAGGATGTTGTTTGATGTCCTCAGGGCCAAACGAAGTGCTTGAAGTACTCCAACGGCTAACCGAACGTGAGCGGATCTGCCAACATGATATCGCTGGTTACTCACCAGTGACAATACCCTCGGCGCCGTCCACCAAAACCAACGGAAAGATCACACCTCCTGGCGCAGCAACTCGGAGCGGGGTGTCCAACCCATGGCGAACTTGAATGGGGCGGCGCCAGACGTTATGGAGGTGCTAGCCTCCCGGCTCAGCGCCCGGCTTGTGAGGAACGAAGTCGAGATCTGTGACACGGCCGTGCGGACGCTATGTGGGTGGACGTTGGAGACGAGGCGGCAAGGCGTAGAGCGGAAGAAGTGTACCAGGTAGAAGGAAGAGTCGAGAGGGTATGTGGCGAGCGCGGAGCGAGTCGTCAACTGCGGCACAGACGGGCACATCGTGAGAGGTGCGTTCGCCTGTGGCCAGGATTCGGCGATGCCAGGATCCTTCCACCGGCTAGCCTTGTCGTAGGAGAGCGTGAGTGAGCGAGCACACCGCACGAGCAAGCCTTCGGTGCCCCTAACCCTAGTTCATATCACTCGACAAAGCGTGTTCGGTGATACATAAGCCCAGCAACCCTTTTAACAGAGACCTTATTTACGGTGATGCGACTCGTGGAGCAATACGTCATGGTGATCTGGACAGCTCGTACTAGCGACAAAATGCACCAATTTAGATTAACTATAGGAACAGCGGCTACGACACATCCTATGCGATGCTCCCCAAACTGCTCAATTTCACCGCTGAAGCGACCTAGAACACACAAGAACATCAGCGACAGTCGCGGGGCTTCGGTAAATACCACGTAGTGCGAGCACTCTAATGCGGCAAACGCATCCTCGGCGATGCCTGTCGTGAACAGCTATCAACGTGGCATACTCAGTGATGACGGACACAAATCACAGAGGGAGCCTGCTCACCGACGCCAGCTGCTCACCGACGCCAGCTGCTCACAGAGACAGAGGACTCTCTTCTAGCATCACCGCCGCCCATGCACCGCTAGATGACCGGCGACGACGAAGGAGAGGAGTGCGGCCTCGGGACGTGCGCCCATGCACCCGGTGCTGCGTTGTATGGAAATACAACGGAATGTCAAGACTCGATGTGTCGGCGGCGACACGGGCGGCGAAATGTTGGAAGGGTTGTTGTCTCGGCGAGTAGCGCACGGCGTGGATACGTAGAGTCGAGCGGGTTGGAGATGTCCGTCCACCGAGGCGACAGTCCGAGCTCGTCCTCTTCCTGCATGGGGGCGGTGGTTGGTACCGTGCAGGGGTGCGCGTCCCAAGGCATCCGTTTCAGGCGCGAGTACATTACTGCGTTAGAAAAACGCTCGCGGGTGTGTCCTGGGGTGCCGGGATGGGATCTGAGGTGGCACCTGCATTGGCGGAGCCTGGTTCGACGGCGAACGCGGTGAGGGTGTCCGTGTCCTTGGAGCGGCGGAGGTGTTGGATGAGGGTGGCGTCGAGGCAGAACATCGCGTCGCGGACACAGTGACAGGAACGGGACGGGTAGCGGGGTCCGAGACGAACCATTCTGCGGTGGGTCGCACCAAGAGACAAACGGCCCTCTGGTGTTCTCCCTTTTTCACGCGCTCGTCAATGAAAGTATGGCATTGAGCGCAGCAACGCACAGCGGAACGGTGGCCATACCGCGGGCGTCTGGGAGTATGAGATAGCAGGGAGACCTGAGTCTTGGTGGACGAGGCAGAGCACGAGAGGGATGTGGGGTGAGTCACGAGAGGAGAACGAGCTTTGGAGGCGGTCAGCTTCTTGAACAGACGACAGCGAATTCGAACAAGGGATGAGACTGACCTTGACACTGAAACATGAAAGTCGTCTTCTGAGTCTGAAGACGGGTCGCGATTCCTCTTGCATAGTGGAAAGCTGTAGGACTTGATGACGAAACGCGGGGGCTTGGAGACAGGGCTGGAGTCGGGGATGAAAACACATGCTTGGTAGAAGCGGGCTTTGGGAGAGGCTAGTTCTTCGTCGGCTTGGGGCGACGCGCAGGCAGGACGGTGCGGCCCAACGTCCCACAAAGCAAGGTTCATTGATACCAGTATGAGTCACCGGGGAAGCGTGACAGCTGGGAGCGCCGACGCACTCACCTCGTATATCCTCAGCCATTGGCTGTGTCCGATTCAGACCGAGAAGTTGAAGCGGAGTGGTCGCGCTTCCGAGCCTGCCGGCTCGCCCGGCTAGACTGTCTGTGGACACGAAAAGGGTCAATCCGATACCTCCTAAAGATCGGACGCGCGACGGACTCGACCAGTACAACATGATTAGCACGGTTAACCGTGTCAACTTTGTCAACAGTACGAACCTTAGAGCAAGCGCAGCCCCGCCGGCCTATCCCACGTCTCCGTCCATGTGGCCCTCGAGTCTTGGGCCCAAGATGTTCCGATGGGTCATGCGAAGCGCATAGAGTGCAGCGCAAGGTCGGACAACAGTAGTATACTTCCACCGGCTCTTGTCGACGCTTCATACGCACGTAGTCGGTCTCGAGAGTCGTGTGCAAAGTGGAGATTGTGCGCGCAGCTCCCACAGATGAACGGGCACTGCAGCCACCGAACCCTCCGCCACTGATAGTATACTTGTCATGAGCACGGTGAACCTGCACAAATTCGAGCGGAAGAGACGCACCGGTAGTAATGGCGTCCGCAACCTCCCGACGGAGCCGGGTTTAAAGGAGACGTGCTTGATGCCCGACTCGCGCAGCGTGGTGATGATCTCCGCCGCCTTCTCGGTGCTGGGGATGCCCGCGGCAACGTAGAAGCCCTCGGTAGGCAAGCCCTCGCGGCGCATCTCTTGCCAAAGCGGGAACTGGAACTGTAGAGCGGGCTGAGAGTGATGCCGACACCTGCAGGAATCTTGCTATGGAGTTCGGCGACCTTGCTGCGAAGAGCGGCCGCATTGTAGTGTCCACCACCGGCAGACTCAATGTGGTCGAGCACTGCACCGACGAAGCCTGCCTTCACAGTTGTAGGAGTCATACCGGCGACATGATCAGCGGCTTCCCGAGGAGACGGGAGAAGGGGGTGTCGAGGTGGATGGTTCCATCGCTGCGAGAATTGTCAACGCCAATCGATCAAGGCCATCGTGCATTACACACCTGGTCTTGACAAGAGCAGGCGAGAACTTCTTCGACCACCAATGCTCCGTCTTGACGGATCAAGAGTCGTAGAGCTCCGCGGGGGCCCTTGGCCTTGTCTCCGGCGACGATCACCCATACTCCACGACCCTCAAGGTTACGGGCGGTCAGAGGACCGATGCCGGAAATGCAGCCAAGGCCGAAGTCGACAGTGTGCGTAGCCGTGTCCGGGAAGTTGGTCGCGGCAGACCAGTGGATGGGCAAGGTGAAGATCTGGTCGCACAAAGCCCCAGTCAGGGAGCCTTCCGTGGTGCGAAGGTCGGTACCTTGAAAGAGCACATCAGAATCTGCACATTGTAGCGGATGCAAGACCGTACCGTTCTCGGTGTGGAAAACAGGGATCCCCAGGTCCTCGTTCTTCCACAACTCAATGTCATCCAAATCATCCATGACTTCATCGACGACACTTGAGAGATACTTGCTGTGATACGGGACCCCGACGACGAGGAAGCAGACGCAGGAGACCGGCTTGCGCTGAGAGGAGGGAGTCTTGCTTTGGTCGAGGCTGCTAGGGGCGTGCACCTTACTCATCGGAACGCGCTCGTGTGGAAAGCCGCTTTCGAGCGGCGGCAGTGCGCGTATGGGGACGCGCTTGATGTCTGGGACAGTGGGAAGAGCGGAGTTAGAACGCGACAGCGGGAGAGCAGGAGAGCATAGCTCAAGAGCCGCTAAAGCTCGCCGATAGTAGGGAATGCGACGGGTGTCGGAAACTTGATCCCAATGAGGCCTGGTCGTGCGCGGAGACTGGGGTCTGGATTGGGGATGGAGAAGAACGTATGGAGCCGTTCGAGGGGACGTCGTCGAGTCTGAGCGCACCAGGACCTTCACCACTGAGGTTCAAGGAGTGTCTCACGGCCCTCCTCGCTATGCATAAGCTTCGAAGATTTTCTAGGGGAAACCGTAAACTCACCTCCATCTGGGGAAAGTCGAGCTGGGACCAACCGCAGGACTTGTCCGACCTCAGTTCCCGAGAAACTCAAGGAGCGGCGGACGGTCTTCGGGCTGAGCGCACTGGGGAGCTATTCGAGCACTCAAAACACGAGTCTGCGACCAAAACCGTGCTACGAACCTTGCTATGCGGCTCTGCCAACATCGGCACCATCCACTGCGGACCCACCGCCGACTTCAACTATTTCGGAGTCTTCAACGACTGGAGCGTCAGACTCGAACACCGTGGCAGAGCGCGACCCTTGAACCCAGCGTGGTGACGTGCATGAAAACGCGAAAAGAGAGCTATGAAAGGGAAGAGGTAGCATGATGGCTTCATCGAACATGACGGCGACGCTCACCTTCTCGCTGTCAGCACTCTCGCTCGTGATAGTGTACTGGCGGGTCCGTAAGGAGTTGCGGACTCTTGAGTGCGCGCTGATGAGGAAGCTGGTTCACGAACTCACCAATAGCGAACCTCGCAGAGATCGGGCTCGCAAGTGATACCCCTGCCGGCGATGCATCCAATGTGAAGGATCGGTGCGGGGGTACCGTAGGAAAAGCCAGGGACGACAGAGCGAATTCGAGTGCCGTGCCTGGGGCAGCAAACACCGGACGTAAACAAATAGGACACGGAAACTGCGAGGAACACGCACCTATCGTGGGACAACAAGGCAGTCGACGAGAACCCCGTCTCGGCGAAGTCCTCCGTTTTAACCTTGGTCCCCAGTGTGCACGAAACCGCACTGTGGCTTTTCTTCCTCGCCCTGTTGTCCTTGTCGGCCTTAATCCTCTCCATCGCCCGTTCATCGTCCAGGTCGCGTTCACAAGGCCACACGTCGCCGAACCTGGAGGAGATCGCCGAGTATCCCCCGACCAGAGGTAAAAGTTATGGGCAGTTATGCCACCGTATCAGCCTGTTGGTGCATGCCGAGTGTCAGAAAGAGGACAAGTCCAGAAACCCGTGGCCATAACAGTCTTGTCAATACGAGGAAAAGCACATGCTATCGGGGGCATACATACCGTCGCATAGTATCCGGCTCAAGCGGGAGCGTGAGGAGAAGGTGGCTTCATGGCTGTCCTTAGCCACTGGAGACGACGTTGCGCGGGAGATCGAGGGTGCGCCCAGAGGTTCGATGTTGGAAGGGTTGCACGAGATGAGAGAAGGGAGCGATCGCGAGCGTGTCTCAGCCTTCTGCGAGGGGCAAGCGCGCCTCAGACCCATCACCGTTCACGCTAACTCGGCGTTGAGAACGGATCCGGTCCGAGGCCGGTCCGGAACCGGCAGGGAATTCTGGTAAGGTCTATGTAGATTCGCATTCCTACTGAACCACTATGTACATGCCAAGCGCGCGAGTAAAGTTCTAGGAATTAAGAGGCCCCGGTTCACTCGGAGAACGATGAGCACCATACGTAGATCCAGCGCGCAGTTCGGCTGGCGCATTGAAGTCCCATATATGTCGGGAGAGTAACTGACTACCGAGAGCGAGGGCCTGGCGCAGGGAGAAGACTTGCGGATGCGAGCGTGTCTGTGGACACGAAAAGGGTCAATCCGATACCTCCTAAAGATCGGACGCGCGACGGACTCGACCAGTACAACATGATTAGCACGGTTAACCGTGTCAACTTTGTCAACGGTACGAACCTTAGAGCAAGCGCAGCCCCGCCGGCCCATCCCACGTCTCCGTCCATGTGGCCCTCGAGTCTTGGGCCCAAGATGTTCCGATGGGTCATGCGAAGCGCATAGAGTGCAGCGCAAGGTCGGACAACAGCCTGAGTAGTATACTTCCACCGGCTCTTGTCGACACTTCATACGCACGTAGTCGGTCTCGAGAGTCGTGTGCAAAGTGGTCGCCTTGACCAACGAGACACGCCAAGTATTGGTCGACATGTAGAGGTGGGAAGCGGGTGCGTCGGAGTTGAGGCGGATGACGAACGACGGGGTCCTCCACGACGGACACGTCTGTCCGTCCTCGAACTCTGAAGGAAGGCCGAAATCAGCAGCCTGCGAGCCATTAAACCCGGAGAAAACGGATAGCTGCGCGGCGTCGAGATTGTGCGATCACCTGGGCGCGCGAGGGTAGCATACTTAGACCATGATGGCAAGGATAACGAGAGGAATGTCACTGACGGAGGCGTCGCAACCATTGGGTCTGATAGACTTTCCAGACTTCTCCATCCACCACCGAGATTGTACGCGCAGCTCCCACAGATGAACGAGCACTGCAGCCACCGAACCCTCCGCCACTGATAGTATACTTGTCATGAGCACGGTGAACCTGCACAAATTCGAGCGGAAGAGACGCACCGGTAGTAATGGCGTCCGCAACCTCCCGACGACTCGAGTCCCGTATCCACCGTCTTCGCAAGCAATGGAGATGTAGTCGAGCGTGTGCTCTGTGGACACTGAGCCCGCAGATCGCGACGAAGACAATGGAGTTAACGGACCTGAACTGATCAATGACGCAGACCGTACTACGCACCTTTGTCGGAGAGTGTAAAGCTCGGGTTGTTCTTTCCCTTCATCGATAAGTATTCTCGCCCACCGAATGCAGAGTCGTGTACGGTAACGGTATAATAATTTAGGCGAATGAGGAAGCTCACATGTGCATGTGAGACTTATCTGAACCTGGTGGCAGCGTGTCGAATATCATAGGAGCCCTTGTATTCAGAGCCTTTGGGAGAGGGAACATCTTCAATGTCGTCGTCGTGCGGGCTGAGCGCTCAGGTTTCGGAAGCCTCTGCCTCTAGACTCTCCACCTGTTTAGGTTCAGATCAGGCTTCGCCGGCGAACGCTCGGCGCCCCACGCCGCCGCTGCAGCCCCCAGCACTCGCCGTTCGGCGTTGGAACTCATCCAAACTTCCCCATCCCAACCCCATCCCGCCCACGGACGTTGGAAGCACATTTGAGATAAATACTCCGTGGGCTGTACAAAAAGTCTCCGCCTGTTGTCCAACTGTCCTGGCATTCTTAGCCCTTTCCCCGGTTCCACCAGTCACTACGCATCATACTTGGGTATCGGCGACGTGCTTCGCATTAGGCCTAATCCTGCCAACAACATTTTTACCAAGGTGTCACCGCGAGATGTCTGAACATCGTCGCTCACCTCAATCCTCACTTTAGGTTGCGACGGCGGCTTCTAGAAACGGTCCAGGATTTATTCAGGATCCAACTTGGAGTGCCGTTCTTGTGAACGTTCAGGCGTCTGGTCGGGTCCGAGGGTTTTTTGTCGCCTGCTCGGACGGGCCCCATCCACATCCCGTCCGTACCCATCACCCAATACCTCCGACGTGACGTCTCGCTGTTGCAATGAACGTAAAGTTCGTCGACCATCGCAGGGATGCCTTGTGGGGGATACTGAACGTCAGTCGGCGCATAGGTGGTGTACCAGACGGTTTGCCCTCCCGCCATTATGTCTTTTGCCTGTCGCTGTTCTTCCCAGTCGATAGTCGCTTCCACGCCTTCTTGCATTTTGCCGGGTGGGGGAGGCTCGGCGGGAGTGGTATCTGTGGGAGGTGACGGGGCGAATGTAACCCTTTGGCCTGCGCGTATCTGCTCAGCCTTGGTAGAAGTAGACGCGGCTTGAGTAGGCGAGTCAGAAATCTTCTTGTCAGCCTCTTCCTCCTTTTTTGCACTCGAGGGGTCGGTTGCAACTGGCTTAACGTCGTGTCGCCGCAGTCCACTTCGAAGGTCTATGAATGGGGTTCGCCGGCTGATATCAACGATAACCCCTCCCTTTTCACCGTAACGTGGCTCGAAGGCTACCGAGGCATCCGAATCAAAACCTGGCTCTGGTATTGGTGGCGATTTCGATCGAAATAAACGTGACTCACCAGGTTTCGCCGTTCTCCCGCCGGTCAGTCTCTCAATTTCAGGAATAGCGCTTTCATATACTTGACATGTGCAAGCAGACAGTTGTGTGAGTGGCGAAGAGCTGGGAGAGGGAGATACAGGGCCGGTCTGGAGGCAACCTTGCTGCATACTTTCGATGTTCTAGTCTGGATATCAACCAACGACGGAATGATGCATTGCAACTTTCTTACAGAATTTTCTTCTACCCCTGCTTCAGGAATGGCAAACACCACCACCTCGTCTTCGGGGCTGTTCAAATGCTATCATAAGCAAAAGAAGCGACAAAGTGGACAAAGTGATGACACCCGCCGAGGAGCTTCAAAATCTAGTCGGACAGAAAATCTTCTACGATTCAATGAGACCTGTGGAGACAGCACATGAAACGGTGTGGGGCGAGATTGGCCGAAAGGGTATATGGAGGAGAGGTCCTCGAAGGTGAGTACGAGTCGACGCGCAAAGTCAGACCGGTCCATACCTCTCGAGTGCCTGCATTCACAGGTCCGTCATCTAGCATCAACGTTCTTTGGCGCCGCGGAAGAACAGCCGACATTGTAGATGGAACGAAAGCGACACCTGCATATCCGTCATGCGCATTCATGAAGCTCTGGCATTTGTGGCTCGCGCAATGCGCGTGTACACCAACGTGCCAACACGGGAATCCGGGCCGGGTCCTAGAACCAACGTGCAGAAGCTGCGGCTCATTGTGCGTCGCGTGCTCTCTCCTTTCCTCTCGCCGCATTCAATACATAGCACGTTCCAAACTCTCTGCCTGAAGCACTTCGCGCAGGACAATAATTAGGATGGTAGATAGTTTATTCACAAGTAAGCTGCTTTGTTACAGCACCCAGATCCTTCGGCGCCCACCTGCTGCCCGCCCGTGTATCGCGGCGTCGATGCGCGCGATCTCGTCCACGAGCCCCTCCTGCAGCACCAGTCCTGCGCGCGGCGCATCTGCACCCCACGACGCGCCCTGCCGCGCGATGCTCGCAACCCCAACGGGGTCGAAGTGCTCCTCCTAGCGTGGGGCTCGGCGTGGGGGACATAGTCGCCGTCCGTCTCGTCGTCCTCGCCTTCCTCGTCTGGGGCTCGACAACCTCGTGGTTGCGCTTGGTGGGGCTTTCAGACGCCGTGCGGGATGAGGGGGACGAAGGGCGCACCGGACGTCGACGTGGATGGGGGCGCGGCGCTGGGACACGACGGGGCGGAGGGAGGCGGCGGCACGTAGTCGTAGTCGCCGTTGCTGAATGAAACCTGGGGCGTCCACCCAGTGCTGCTTCCTCAGATCTCCGCTGACGCGTCCTCTCCGCGTCGCGCGCCCACGCAGGAGCCGCTCCTCGCCGCGCTGCAATCCTCGTCGCTCGGCCACCTCATCCTGGACTTCCTGCCCGCGTTCCCGGGCCCATAGCAGCGAGCATGGCCGGGGTCGACGCCCTGCGCGAGGCCGAGGTCTGCCGCGTCGACGCGCTGCTCGCGCTCCCCCAGCGCTCGCACGCGCGGTCCCGTTGCTCCGCCTCCTCGCGCTCCGCTCCTGCCGCCCGGGGTTGATCGGGTTCGACAACGCGCGCGAACGCGGGGAGAGGCTGAGCATGCCAACCCCACCCCCATAGCTCGCAGCGGAGCTCGCATGGGAGGACGACGTCGAGCGGCTGTGGGGGCCGACGAGCGTGTGCATCCGCCCGGCGCTGCGGCGGCTCAACGAGCTCCGGAAGGAGATCCCGTGTGACAAGCGGTGGTGGTGGGTCGAAGCGAGGGCGCGGCGTGGACGTCCTCGAGGCCATCAGGCACGGGGGCCTGGCATGAGGAGGGCTCGTAGTTTCGTCCGGGGCGGCTCGAGCGAGTCGCGCGCGGACGACGAGGACAGGCGCGGGCAGCGGCAGCGGCAGATGTAACCTTGGTGGAGCGAGGACGGTCGGCGGCGGACCAGGAAGCGGTGGTCGACGTGGAGGTGGGCGTAGAGGCGGACTCGGTGGCGGATGCCAGCTCCGCGTTCTCGTGCGTCATCTCCACCGTCTGGTCCACGGGCCAGATATACCCGCCCACGGTCCAGCGCAGCTCCGGTACGAGCTTGCAAATCTTCAGAGCTGGTAACAGCATCGAGTCGCCGCCCTTGAGCTACACGTTTTCCGTCAGTACCCGTTACTTCTTGGCACGCTCAGGCTAGAGAGTACTCACGCTAGGCACCAACGACTCCGCGACGACCTCTCCCGGGTTAACGCCGTAGTCGGCAGTGTCGTAAAATGCGATCTTGCGTCTGCGCTACGTGTTGAGCACCGAGGAGAGCGCATATCCAAGAACTGGTCGCTCGGTGTGATGAGCAGGTCGGGCTGGAACCCTGCGGTGGCGAAGCCCTTAATGTGGACGACGTAGACGAGCGTCATGCGCGTGACCGTACGAACTGGCTGCACCTCGTACTCGCAACCAGCGATGAGCGCGGTCCACTCGAGATCCGCGCCCGTAAAGCCTCTCCTTGCGCCCCTCCATGCCGCGCACGAGCGGTGACCTGTCGCGGAACTTGATGGGGAGCGTGACGAGGATCGTCGTGACGCGGCTGTCGGGCGGGCGCGCCCGGAAGACGAGCCCGTTTCCCTTCAGCCACATCTCGAGCTTGTCACACGCGGCGGTGAGGTAGTGGCCGAGGGGAGCGAGTGGAAGAGCGAGTTGCGTCGAGGATAGGGCGGTTCGCAAGCGTCGCGGTGAGCGGGAAGGTGGGCGGGAAGTAGACCGGCTGGTTCTCAGCGTATCCGTCTACCGTCGTGCGGGGGACATGTGCACGTCAATGTCAATCGGGAAGTCGAGCGAATAGTTGATCCCAGCCTGCACGCGAGCTATACGGGGTCCATAGGCACGCGCCCCGAGACTGCGAAAGGCCTTGATTTTGAGCTCATGGTCCCTGCTGATGCTGCGTGGTAGTCCGTATGCCCGGGGTTGGAGCTTCGTCTCCTCAGTTTTGTGGAAGGGTGGGGCAGCTCGAGAGACTCTGCGTGCGGGGGACAGGGGGGTCGGGATAGCGACTTGGGGCGGGTGGGGAGGAAAGGTAGGGGAAAGTAGATAGTGCTGCGAGCGGGGGGACCTGTAGTTGGCCCGTGAGAGCTGCTTTGTGTGATCCAGGGTTGTGTTCATTCGCGGGGGAGAGCGTGAGGAAGCGCGATTTGGATGCCAGACAACGTAAGCAAGTGGCGGGAGAGGCGCAAGGCGTCCAACGGCGCAACGACAATAAATGAAGGAGGGAACGAGCGACGGACCCTAGGCGGCTGGGGCGTATATCAGAGCGAGGGAGCTCAGACGCGATCGCGAATCCCAGTGTGCGCCGTGGTGCGCGGATTGCACACGATAGCCCGTCGATAGCGCCGCCGGCGGGGCTCGCTCTCGGGGTCGTCGCACTTGCTGCCGCCGATACGGGGCCCGTTCAGCTCGTCGGCGTCGGAACCCGGGGAAGGCGTCGAGTCACATTTCACGACTCCTGCTCGCGCTTTGGAGGAACCGCGCACGCGCAGACAGCAGACCCCCCCGCCCGCGCTCCGGCTCGGGGCTCCGTTGTGAGTGTAGCTGCTGCTGGGCAGGTGGGGCGGGGCTTCAGTCCAGTGGGGCGGGGTTTCAGTCGAGCATGGTCTGGAGCTTTTTGCAGCCGTGTTCGCGTAGTGCGGAAGGGGGGTAGAGGGAGGAGTTGGACGTGGCAGCATCGGAGAAGTGTACGCACGACGGCCGTGAGGCTCGCGGGGCGATCGCGGTGGTCGTAGAGGAGGATGGGGAGACGTGTGCCGTACGGGGTGCCTAAGATGGCCTTCATCGGCGCAAGCATGAGCCCGACCGTTGGGCCCCACTCGTGCCAGAGGACGACTTGCGGGATCCGCCCCCGGCGAATACGAGGCACAGGCGGTGTGGGTGGAGTCGATCCGGGCGCGGAAGGTCGCCCTGGGGACGAGGAGGACTGGGTTCAGGAGCTCGGCGGGCTTGTAGAGCGCGAAGCTGACGGCGATGAGCGCGAGCGCGGGGTTCGACCGGAAGGGCGCATGTGGGGAGGGTGGCGGGCCCGGAGGTGAGAACGTGGAAACGGGGTCTTCATTTACTGAGGGGACGGGATTGAAGCAGCGACAGCGTGGACTTGGCCCATTCCTTGTGCACGGCGGAGAGCGGCGAACCCATCGTCACCACCCGGCCATCTAGGAGGCCGTCAACCATACCGGCGGCGAACCCAATCCTGTACCGGTAGTGGACGTCTACCTCCACGAGGACCAACGGTACGCGGCACAGCTGAGTGGTGTCGAACTATCTTGAGCACCAAACAGTGACCAAGTTCGACAGACTCACCTGCAAGTTGCACACAAAGAGGTCTTCTGGGGCCAACAGAGCGAAGACGATATGGGGTGCGTTTCCTGGCAGCACAGACACGATGGTATCCTCGGGTTGCTCTGGACGAACGAATCCTGGCCGTGGCTAGCAACTTGCTTGGATGACTTGACTTAACTCCGAGGATGGACGGCTTGGAGCAGCATTGACGTTGGATAGGCAGGCGTTCGCATGAAATCCATCCAGTCTTGGTAAGGAGGGCAGAGGACAAAGGGCATAGGAGGGGAGCGCCTGGGGGAGCGAGACGAGAGGAGGAGGACTCGGGAGATATGTTCGGGCCTCGGCAAAGGGGGCCTGGCGACGCGCGTCACGTGATGGGCCTGCCAGCGCCCCGCGTGAGATTCAGAATCTGGTCATGGGCCTTGCCTGCTCACGCTGGCAAGTACTGCCTCCTCCTCACCATTCTGATATCGCTTCAACGAACAGGATGTAAATTTCAAGCTATTCACAAATGTCATGAAGTGCCGCAAGCTGAAGCAGTCTACCTGAGACCACAAGTACGTACACATATACACCCCTCGTCGCTCGAGCTCCATCCTCCACCCCTGCGCCGTGCGCGGCTGTGCTGAACGCGCATTTCTTGCCCACGCGCGCCCAGGAACCACACCAATCTTCCCACTCCCGAGGCCGAGCTCGACCCTCCAATGCGCACGCGCTCGGAGTGTCTTCGAACAGTGCAGCTCAGACGACTTCCGGCACCCATCCCGCACTACTCTTCCCAACCATTTCGCTCTCACCGACGGCATCACACAGATCAGGCGCGCGCACGACACGACCGCGGGTCAAGTCGCGCTTGTGTGGCTACTCCTGCAAGGTCCCGACGTCATCCCCATTCCCGGGTCGATCAAGGCTGCAATATGTCTCGCAGGGCATCGGACGGACACGCACCAACCTCGAGCGAGGCGCCGCGACGGCGGCATATTGTTCAACGCCCTCATCACGCTCAGGACATTAGGGGTACATCCATCGCAGTTGTCGCCCCCCATCCGCGCCGACAGCTCGCGGTGGACCCACCGCGACGAAGGACCACCGGCTCTTCAGACTCCGACGCCTCCAGCTCCGCCCGCTGGACCCAGCGCTGCCGATCCCGTCCTGCTGGAACCGTCGCGGCTCTTTCCTCCACACAAGCAAGTCTCTCCCTCGCCTCCTTTCTCAATCTCCTTATAGGCACCGACGCTGACCCAGTCGCGCCTGCCCGCTTCTTTTCATCAGATATATGACTGCCCAGCCGTGGCTGTCTGTCTATTATGGCATCGTCTCCCGCCTCCCCGTGGTTGTGTGCGTCTGCCAGCTCGCTCTGGCTCTCGGTTGGCACGGTCTGTTTCGTCCAGCCTACAGGTCACCCTCGCTCGTTCTGACCACCTCTCCCGCCCTCCCAGTCAACCTGTAGCAGACTATCACATGGCAAAACCCGGGCTCCGGCGAGAACACCTCGAGAACGGTACGTCCCCATCCTCAGCGGCTAACCGCAGCAGGCAGAAACCCGTGCTGACCGCATGTTTCGTCCGACCAGCGTGCCGATCCTGGACGTCCAGCACCAAGTCACGACACTCCTGAGGACAGGATTCCGTCGGCTACGCGCTCTTGGGGCTCCTCGCCGTGCGTCCTCTTTTAACGACCTTTGCGATGCTCACACGGTCGGCCTCGTATGTTGGCATGTGCGTCTCGCACTCCGCTATTCATTGCCATTTCATCGTGCCCGAGCACCAACAGTACCTGACCCGTTTCCGCCTCTGCGGCCGCAGGTCCATGGGGCTCATGTTTGCAGCCGGCGACGCTATACAGCACATTCACAATGCAGAGCGTGCACAGGTTTCCGCAATCCATGTTCTCGCCGTTCGCTGCGGCTACGCGCACCTCGCTCAATGTGGGAGTTGCGCGAGGCCAGATTTCCCAGCGTGGAGTCGCAGACAACCAGAGTACTGAGCGTACATCGTTCTCGCGGCAGAGGACAACCACACAATGTTTATGTACATACTGCTCGGCGCCCGCCTTTAATGAGGACGAATGGATACTGCGTTTCTGTCAAAACTATGCATGCGTGGACCGCTATCAATCTTCAGCATCCGACTCGTGGCCAGCGTTACGGATCTCGTCGGCCAACTCTTGAGCGGCCTCGTCGGAATAGTTGGCAGCGACGTATTTCTCCCATGCACTGGGAAGGCGGGGAGAAGTCGCAAATGTGAGGCCCAGTTCGTATATGTTGTCCAGCTGCTCCTGTGTGCCAAAGGAACGAAGGCTTGTACAGTGTAACAGCTTTGGCTTCCAAAACACGAGCGAGTTGCTCGCCGACTTGATCATGATACCGAACGCTGGTATGAAGAAATTGCCTCCCAGATCCGCGACAGGGCGATTGATGGTCCACGACGCCACGTATTGGTGCGGACTGCCTTCGCGATGTACACGCCTGGTAATTATGTCTACCTGAGAGGGGAAAGAGTGGACGAGAGTGATCAGGCACACCTGGAGTAGTTCATCGAAAACACAGCTGAAGGTGGTGCTAGCTCAACAGCGTCAAACTTGTAGACATTGCGATAATTGACGTTTCCCCCTGGGCCTCGTATGTCTTCAACCGAATACATACCCATTTTACTGAAGAAGTCGCTGGAAGAATTCATGCGTGGAATGAACGTTCCATGAAGGAAGCTATCGTAGCTTTCAATAACTTCATTCGGTAGCATCCCGCGAGCCATGTTCCAGGCAAACGCGCAGATTGAGGCTTCGCGGAAGCGCAGATCGTTCTTGAAAGCGGAATCCTCTCTCGGTTTCAAGAGATTCTTTGCCCAGTCAAACCGGCAGGCCGAGCGAGAGCCAGCTGTGAAGCCAACGAGCGCGAGTACTCCGGGATCGTCCTTCTATAGATGCAGCGTGAAAGGAGATTAGCACCCAGGTTCTGCCTGTACTGCGTCAAAACCTACCCGAACGCTTTTGCGATGTTTACAAGCATCAGCCGCTACCTGAGAGGCGCCATGAACGAGCCCCGGAAATGAACAACATTCTCGTATGACGCCGCCGATAAGTTCCTTGGTTTTCGCATCGCGAAAGAGGATGCTTTCGTCCGCCTCAGCAATGATGAGCTTCGCCTGGTCCACTGTGAAGATTGGGAAGCGACCTTCGCGCTTGTCGTGGAGTTTGCTGTTGCGACAGTGGTCTCGCCAAAGCTTCGCGATTTCTGGAGTGTCTGCCACCCAGTGGTCTTCAGGGGGATAGCATTCGGCCAAACGGTCCACATAGACAGTACGACAGCGTGTTTCGATGAAATCGGCGCGAGAAGTCGGATCGTCAAAGTTCAAGCGACATTGGTGGATGATATCACCGCGAATTTTGTTGTAAGTTTCGACGGCTGAGCGACGGGATTGGAGAGCTTCCAACAGCGGCTTCGGTAAGTCCTTGTGGTGGATGAATGATTGGAGGTTTTGCAGTGCATTGTCGCCGGGGTCTCGCTTGAACAACTGGCGTTTCTTGAAGATTTTCCGCAAAGCCTGTGTGGCAGAGGATGCCTCTTCCGGCCTGGATGATCGGGCAATGAGTTGCAGGAGGCCAGGAGTCTCGACGATGTCCTTGAACGAAAGAGACATTCGCCGACTAAGCTGCTCTGATGAGCGTGGCGCCATGACTACTTAAGGGGTTGAAGAATAATCAGTTCCAATTGAGGAATAAGCACTGAGGAACACAGCTGACATGGCGGATCGTGAACATGAGTACTTACTTAGGGATATGAAGACAGGAGAGAGTTTCACTGGTTGCTAAATACGATCATTACTGTGCAATGTCTAGCACGGGGCTGATGATCTCAGCCAGGGTCGGATGGTTTCACTCAGCGGCAGGCCTCGATCTCACCAGATGGCAGCTGCACAAAGCCGGATTGAGTTTGGTACAGCAGGTGTGGAGTGCGCCGTGTTCGGTGAGCCTTAAAGCTTTGACTCAGTCTCGTGGGTTTCTCTCGGGCTCAAGCGCTCACACGGACTTGGACTGGCAACGCTGGCGTCCCTCAGACCTCTGGAGATCCCTTTCACTGGCCGGAGGATCGGACGACACACGTGACGCAGATCTTCAAAGGCGCGGCCGTCAGCCCAGTGCTGCACCGATTCCCCGCCCGCCGACGACCCACCATGACGACCGCCTTCAAACTCTCGAGATGCACCCGCATGATAATGACGGGCTCCTCCAGACGTGTCTGCGTCATCGCACAAAGCCATCGGACGGAAGGTCGCTGGTTGGACGACAATTCCGGTGAGGGTCTCATCAAGTCTCCGTTGAGTATCGTCGCTCATATCACGTTTGCATCCAGATTACCCCTCTTTGCGAAACCTCGCGTAGAGCCAACGTTTGCGGAGCTCTGGCTCTTGCTCACGGTTCTTGCCTTTCTCGGCCATCCTCGACCGCTCCCCTTCGACTGCCCTTAACGCCATTATGATCCGGATGGATGGTTCCGGGCCCGTGGAGGTGCCTCCGTCGACTACGCGCATACCGCCTCGGCGCCCACCACCACAAAACCGACAACGACGGCGAGGTGACGGTGATGGGGAGGTCTACGAGGCACGGTACTTGGTGAGCCGATTGCCATTGTCCACTGCGTTCCCCCCTTGTGTCTCGCTTGGTTGCTCGTGTGGACTCGTCGCATGCGATAGTTTTGTCAGCCCCGACACTTTGTTGTGTGTACATCTTGTCGCGCATGCAGGGTTTATCGCCCGTCCGCTCTGCTTATTTCACGCTTGCCTTGCTGTCCCCGTCTCCATCCTCTCACTCCCCATGTCGGCCCGAAGCTGACGTTGATTGTCCCTGTAGCACGCCTTCGCGTCCTTGCATTGACGCGACCACCTGTTTCTTTCTGTCTGCAGGTAGACTCTCTGCGTGTCCCGGTTCCTCTTAACCCCTTGGCGGCTGCGGTGCTCCCCATTCATACGAAGCTCTAGAAAGTGAGTTCGTGCGATAGTCTTGGCTCCATGCCGTCCTTATGGGTTTGCAAGGGCACAAGGACGTTACGGCCCCGATCTGCCGCTTAGCTTTTTGCATCGCTATACCGTTACGACGAGGTGAGCGTTTCCCTTGATCTCATGGAGGTGTTTCTAATGCGGGGCTTTACCTTCGCAGATACTTCACGTCGACGTCATCGAGTATCAGCACCGACTGTTCAGGGAGCGTTCGCAGCCCATCGACCACGGATATCAGTTCTCCCAAGTGCCTGACGTGCGCACGACGGGAAGGGTACAATCGAGTCTTGGGTAGCCTTGTGTTTCCGTCTCTGCGCACTGTGCTTCAAACCTGACCGGGCGTTACCAACAGGCTGGCCCCTGTATGTCCATCTGCATTCTCGCTAGCGCCGCCGACATCAACCATGCCAAGCAGATCGAGCTCGAATGCGTGTCCGTCGACGAGGTGAAAGAGAATCAGACGTTCGACGAGGACGAGAACAAGCTCGTCGAGAAGCTGGTTTTCAAACCCACGAAGAGGCTCACGACCACGAAACTCGCGACGAAGCTCATGGAGAGGCTCACGGAGAGGTTCACAAGAGTTCCGACGCTTTTCCGACCTCTAAAGCTCAATTACAACCCGCTCCCCGTCTCGTTGGTCCCGGTCTCTCCAAGGGTGCGTTTCGTCCGCTGGTTCGTTCCGCTACTGCATAGCTAGAGAAGCTCATGTATGGTGCATGTAGTAGACAGGTTCCCTACCGTCATCTCGCACGCCGAGGACCATTCGAACAATTCTCTGAAGTCTGCTCGACGATCAAGTCCCAACTCATGGAGGTTCTCTGCCTGGACGTCGCTGTCGGTGACGTTCGGATGTCGGAAGATTGGGTCTTCGCGAACCCCATGGGTGGTAAGTTCTCGGCTCGTCCTGAGCATGTACGTCTGATTGTCGAGTTACTTAGGTGTCAGCGTCCTCGTTTCGCTGCTGAAATGTGAAGTATTTTGGCATGCTCCACACCGCACGTGGCGTGCTATTGTGTCTGGTCGCCATTTCTGCGCGCGCGGTTACTGAACGGTCGTTTTCCTAGCTCCTCACATTCACCGTCAACAGGCTCCAATATCCATTCACGGGGGTTGCAGGCGAGTACGGAAGCGTGGATTAACGCCTTCCGGACGCCGAGGGTTCTGACTACGAACTCCGTGCCCGGTGTGTTTCCGCTTCAGGCTCCGCCCAGCCACGGTACGTTTGTCTTCGTGTTCATGTTTGCGCAAAACCCCTTCTTATCCCTCGTCGCTAGCTGCATACGATACTGGTCGTGACGATTCCCGCCGCACTGTTCTCAACGCAATGCGTCCGACCAGCCAGGACGACTCCCATCAGACTCCCGCAGACTTCGCCAGCGTTTACTGTTGCAGGCCTAAGTCACGAACATGCGCTGCGTTCGTGTAGCTCGCTTGTTGAAGCCATGTGAAACATAGGTGGCTTCCACGTGCGCAATGCAGCAGAAACTATATCAACGTCCGCGCTCGCTCTCCCGGACTCAGCACTTTGTTCTTTCTGCCCATCCCCGTGACCGCCACCCCGCCTCGCCACTCAGGGCTTCCAGAACATGCAACAGCAACCTGTTCGCACTCCGCTTAAGACGAAGGGGGTAAGTCGGTCGACTCGTGCTTTGTCTTTGTTCTGGACGTCGGGCGCTAATCTGCACATAGACGGTGTCGAAGTCCATCCTCGGCCGCATGTACAAGTGCGCCGATACCTCCAGCAGCCCGGCCCATGTTTCCACCACCATCGACCGCAAGCGGGACTCTCTATCCGTACCGCGGTACCCCGGACTAGAAGCGTATCTCGGACAACGGAATCTGCTAGAAGCTTGGGTGCTCTTCACGGACGAGACGGGCCAGGAGCAACGATGCCTCGTTGGCGCCGTATACCACCGGTCGGTTCAAGCACGAATTCGCAACCGCGCCGTGGAAGCAATCCTACCTGACGTGCCTTGGTACGGCGACATCATCGTGATGCTCGGAGGACGGCACTACTCCATTATTAATATGCGAAGGCCGCATCACCGTGAGCTGGGGAGGAGAGCCGTCGAAATTTGAGTCTCCCTAGCCTCGGTAGAAGCATGCGCTGAGAAGACCGGTAGCTTCGTCACCAAGTGCGCGCCCATCGTCAACCATGCGGTCACCCATAACATGCCTCCCATCGCCATCCCTTCTGTTCTTCAGGGATAAAGGTCGGTGTCGCGTTCATATTCCCGATACGTTTCCCTGGCACTTATGAATCCGCTAGGCTCGGGTGAGAACGAAGGGTATGGGTGGAAGGATATGCGTTTCTTCGCGAACTGCGGGGATATTTTGCACGATGTAATGGGACTTTGTACCGCACGCCCTTAAATAATTTATGGGTTTGCACTAAACGAAGTGGAAGTGTGAGCCCGCTTGCAGACCGTAAACCCGAGACTGGTCAATGCCTCACGCAACGTCGAAATGGACAAGACGCCGGAGGATGCGGGCGCTGCTTTGGCAGGAGCGACTGCTCCTCTTCCTCCTCTGCGCTCAGCCTTCACCGCTGCGCCGTCGCCGCCGCCGCCGCCGCCGCCTACGACAATGACGACAACCTCATCCCCGGCGCTCCCTCTTCACCGGCTTGCGCGTATCGCGGACCCACTCCCGCCCGCCCCGCCACCCGGTCTACGCCAGTCCCTTCCTGCCCATTCTCACTCGTCCAGATTTCTGCACCACGACCGCGGCTCCCTCTCCCTGCCAACTGCTACGATGGCATCTAGTGCACTCGTAGTGTTATCCACCTCTCCACAACTGCGTGCGTGGCGGTATGGGCGAGCCCGGCGGGCTTCCTCCCAATGCGTCTGCATCGCTCTATCCTCCCCTTACCCCATCTTCGTACGCTTGGCGACGGTCAATAAGCCGCGCCCTCGCACGCGCGTCGAGCCGACACCACCGCCAAAGACGGCCTCCATATGGTGTCCATACTGCATCCACAGCGACTTATCGACGTGCTCGTTTCAAATGGAAGACCTCCCCAAGGAGAAGCTGGCCCGTCGCCGTACTGCAGGTGAGTTTCCCGCTGAACGTTTTCACGAATTAATGCCGATACTCGTTTTCCACTAAGCAGCAGCGCGGCGGTCGCTCGGCGACCCCACCACCAAACTATGGCCTCCCGTGCCTCAAGCACCGCCGACCGGCTCTCCAACAAAGGTGCGTACGGTCTACGTTGTCGACAGGTTCAATGCCGCTAACTTTGTCGCATTTGTCGCCCTCCTCGCGTTTGTCGCCCTCCTCGCATGTGTCGCAACTGACTGGCTCAGCCGTTCGCAAAAAACCCGAGACAACATCTCCATTGGTTGTGAAGACGGTGGATGCGGGGACTCGTCGAGTCGTTGCGGACGCCATTACACCGGTGCGTCTCTTCCGCTCAAATTTGTGCTGGTCCACCGTGCTCACGGTGTGCATGGCAGCAGCGGAGGCTTTGTTGGCCACACGCACGATTCCGGTGTCAGACGAAAACCTGTCGAATACAACGACCCGACTCGTTCGTCGATGGCATTTCCCTCGCCGCCAACGTCATCTCCCTGCCACCACCTCGAGCGTCGACGCCTCGCAAGTCCGCGCAGTCCGAAGACGAGCTGGCACCCTTCCTCGAGAAAGGGCGCGCGCACCTCCTCACGGTCGCAATTGGGCGTTCGATATCCTGTCGGGCTCTGCGAACGAGAGTACAATCGATCTTGACCCAGCTGTGAGTGCTTCCCCTCCTTCCTGTGTGCGCGGTGCACCCGATATGTATGGGCCTGGACCCGGGCGATGCGAAGGGAAAGCCAGGCGGCAGGCACCGAGCCACTCGTCGGGGGTTCGTGTAGCTAATTGTTCCTCCTTTCTACAGCAACTCGAATACCGGGACTCACCAGAACCCATGGGGGACCGGGGGGACGGGGACACGGGGATTGGACGCGCATGACTGGAGAAGATGACGAAGACGAGGAAGAGGACGAAGACGAAGAGGCGGACTTGGGGCTGCCAGGACGCGTTGCCGGTGAACGGGATCGCGGCTGCCGCTGGGGAACCGGGTCCCTCGTCGTCCGAGGAGGAGCTGGTCGATGAAGCAGATCGACGCGCAGCTCGTCGCGGCGTTGCAGGCGCGTGCGGGTGAGAAGTTGGGCAACAAAGGTACACATTCCCCCCACCGCTTCCCCCATCCGGCGCACGATTCTCACCTCTGGCTCGCACAGACGTCGACACGCAGCGCGAGGGGACGCACTTGAAGACGCGTGTGATCGACCTCTCCCCTTCGCGCGAAAGCACGCTGGCCGTCTGACTCGTTCTCCCGCACATTGCCCTCGTCTCCTGTACCAGCCCCCCGACGAGCGGCAGATCGCAGACAAGGCCGTCGACATCCTCTACAGCTGCCTCACCGAAGCGAAGCACGCCCCCCGTCCGCCGATCGTTGTGCGCTCAAATCCCACCGGATCTCGACGACCTCGGGGTTGATACAACCGTCGACGCACTCTCCTTCCGACGACACCGCATTCGCCACATTTCGACCGGGTTTCTTCCACAATGGTGGGCGGGGTGAGAGACGGATGATGAGCTTCGTTTTCGACGACCAAGGTGCGTGCCCCCTTCGTTTTTGCGTCGTTCGAAAGCCTTTGTCTAAGTCTTTCGGACGAATACAGTTGCGGCCTGCTGCGTCCAGATCTCTCCCCGCAGCGTCCAGAAAATTCTACCCCAACATCCTTTGCGCAGACCCCCGCTTGTTTCCCCCATATCTGTACGAATTCCGCTGTGATTCCGACGCGCCTACCACCGCTCGAACCGCCTTTTCAACAGTTTCCGAATGTCCCCGATCTCATCGCCAACGGGCCACTCGTCGTCACACAGGTCCGTGGACTCCCACCCCGATCCTCCTCATCAGCGTCATCGTCGCGCTCAAGACCCATGTGCATCTAGTCCACAGGCGATGGCAATACCCTCGATCATCGACTTGGCCGCCAGCGAGCGCGCTGCGCGCGGCCTCAACGACGAACATGGGCAAGCAGATGTTTGAGAACACGAGTACATCTACGGGCTCTACCAGAGCGGCAAGAGAACCCACCGCGTGCCGTACCGGAACAGCAAGAGAACCCACCTGATCAAGTTCTCGCCCGAGGGTCACTCCAACACGGCGATGATCGTCTTCGTCGCGCTGACAAGTATCCACCTTGACGACACGCACAACGCCCCCATCTGCGCCGAGCACGCGGCGAAGATCAAGACCAAGGTCGTCGCCCACAAGGTCTTTAGCGTCGACCGCCGCGTCAGGCAGTACGTCGAAGCGGTCAGCCGCCTCAACCTCTATGTCGCTGAGCTCAGGAGGAAGGCCGCCGGCCGCGGCGACGCTGAGCGCGACGTCGAGAAGTGCAGGTGTCGCGAAGCCGTTCTCGAGGTCGAGCGATGTGCGGCGGCAAGTTCGCCGAGGGGAAGCTCAAGGCCTTCCGTGCCCGGTTCATCAAGCTCGACACCCAATCCCGTCACCCGCCGGACCTCACCACCAAGCCACGGGTGCTCTCATTACGCTTCAAACGCGATGCGAAGCGTGAAGGCTTGCTGCGGGCGTCTCCTCTCCCACCAGTGCGGCTGCGACAGGTATCGCCTCCGAGACCGACTCGTCCTCGTTCCCACTCGCGCACGGGCCTGACGCACCGCCAAACATCCCTCAGCCCTCCACGCAGACTCAAGCGTACACGCCCAGCACGGGGCCGTTCCTACCTTCGAGCTAGTCCGACCCGGACGCCAATGTAGTCCCATTCGCGCGATGCCGTTCCACGCGCACGTGCTGCACCCGCAACTGGCGGGTAGCCAGGATGGGTGGCATGGGCCTGCGCCTCGTCGGGATGGACACGGCGAACGCGTTGTGGGCGCACGCTGCCGCGAACCGGGTGTTCGCGTCGCTCGGTGCGATTTCGCACAGGTGAGAAAAGCCCTCGCCATCCTCCTGAAGCCGCAGCCGCAGCCACAGCTGCAAACGCACACCCGCATGCCACCGCCGCCGATGCTGGCCCCCAGTGCGTGCCGGTGCCGCGTGGCTCGAGCGGGCTGGAGGTCGTCGCGCTCGCGATGCGGATGGTCATCATCCAGCACGCGCAGGAGCAGCCCGCAAGAGACGTGCAGGCTCGTGCAGACTCAGATGGTGCGCATGCTCGCCGCGGTGCGGGAGGTCTGGGCGACGGTGGTCGGCGGCAAAGGCAACGGAAGCGTGGTGCCGAAGCGACAGACCGTAGTCACAGCAGTGAGGTCGCTACTCCATTATTCTGCTGTATAATAGTCAATATATCAATCCACACACTACCCTTCCAATGCGAGCCCTGTGTTCCACATAGAGACCAAGTATAAAGTACACCGCCAGCAAGATAATAGGCCTGAGGATCACGAAGATGGGTTGGAACGGATTGTTAATGAGCTGATAGGACGACGGCGATAGTGCGGATGGCCGGCGGGTGTCCGGGCAATAATGGCACATGCATGTAACAACCGTCGAAGTGTAGCAGCAGAAGTGCATGGATTCACATGAACGCGACATGGAACGTTTGAACTTTCCCCCGAAGGCGCGTGACGTCATAGGCATGCCGCGCTCTTCACTTCATGTAATGCGTCGCACCAGGCGAAGAGCATGTTTGCCGCTAGAAATGCTCTGTTCAAAAGCCCTCACCCCGATCCCATGCCAGTGAACACCCCCCATGCGGTGTGTGGCGCGCGCCTCGCGTGTGACGCTCCGTGCAAGCACGCGAGAACCGGCGTCGCGCGCGGTCGCGTTCTGCGCGCGTGAGGACCTGCCCACCAATCCACCCTCACCCCAGGATGCCACACGCTCTCCCCTCGAGCTGGAGGGTGTGCAATCTCACCTGCGTACACAGTAAGCTGGCGTCTCCGTGAATGCGAGCTACCCAGTCAACCAGCAGCGGTGAGTCCAATTCCCAACTCCATGAATCAATTTGACCCTTGGTCATAGGTTAGCAAACTAGACGTCCAAAGAGCACTCGGAATCGCGAACACGGAGGTCCGATGGACGTCCGATAGAAGCATGTGCAGGGTGGAGCAATTTTGGGGATGTATTGTGGCGGCATGGGTGAGTCCATTCATTCACCTTCTGAGCGTGGGTACGGGGCCCGCGGGGATCCGCGCCCATTAACTTGCATGGGGTATCCGCCCAAGTAATCTTCGCTGGTGGGGGTGCGGAAAGCTGCCGGTACCGTGCCCTGGGGCAGATCGTCCTTGGATACTTAAACTGAGTTGCACGAATCCCAGACCTCGACGAGCCCTCCCGATGCCTGCGTCCTACCGCAATGAACCGCCTTAGGTAATGTGGTCTCCGCCCCTCCTGCGTCCCACCCTTGCCCAATGCGCTTGTCGCATTATCGTGTCTTGCTGATGTCATATGACGCAGACGCGAAGCCGTACACGACGCGTGCTACCGGCGGCCAAGCTCATTGAGACGGCCTTTGAGCTGCGCTCTCAGCTGAAGACGGCGTGGAGCATCATGCATAGGCTTCTGAAGCAGAACAAGCGCAGGGGCACAGATACCTCGGATATCGAGGACCTGGACCCCGGCATTTCTGACGATGAAGACGGTCAGTGTAGTGCTGCGAACTACTAGCGCAATCTGACGGTTAACATATCTCACAGACGACGGCCCGACTATAGCGTGCATTACGGAGCAGCCCAAGCCGGCCATCCATCCACCAACGCTGTGCGACGGTGACGTCTGCACTACAGACAGCGAGGAGGGCGAAATCTCGGACGACAACGAGCTGCCCGACCACGACGGCACGGACCATGGGGACGAAGGGCTCGAAGACGGCGAGCTCGCATCACCGGACGGTCGTCGAACACCTCCATCGCCTCCGAAGGAGCCGCCGTCAAAGTGGGCTCGGAAATGCGGGATTCCCTGGGGTAAGTGCTCACAGCATGATGCGCACGACACCCTCCCTGATCACATCTGCAGCACCCAATCCCGATCACCCCATCTCCACGACATTTCCTGATAGCCCACATTTGCCGGTGCCTCCCCAGCAGCCAGCGACGTCAAGCAGCAAGACAAGGAAGAACAAGAACGCCTTCAAACGAAAGAAGTGTCGCAATGCGGAGAAGGGGCAGGCCGAGAACACCCCAATTCCCCACAACGCCCTACCCCGCTTTCCAAAGAGCTCCGGCTTTACGACGCGGTATAGCAATACGGCCGAGACAACGCTCGACGACATCACCGTGAAGGAATACCGAGTCGATAGCTATGCGTACACGGCTATATGCGACCCGGTCAAGACGAGGAAGCCTCCCACTCTTGACGACCTCGACAAACGCGGATACACTTTCGTAGACTAGAACGGCACGTAAGTTCACAACTCGGTCATCCGCTACAGAATTCTGATGCGCTAGTTAGGGAAGCCATGCGTGGCCTGGACGCCAACAGACTGCCAATCCTCACCGTCGTCGATGAGGTTGGGCCACGGCCGCGCACACGTTTTTTCGGGGGATACGGCAGGGGACGATGGGGACGACACCCACGATGGGTCGGAAGACAGCTCGTATGCGACGCCGAGCCGTCTGTCTTCGTTCTTACAGGCACAGCTCTAATGTGAACGTACGTATGCACTATGTTGACATCGGCTTTAGACCGTATTCTGATTCAGCCTGTGGACTCCAGCGTTCTTTGACGACGCCCCGCCTCTTCGCCCGCCCGGCCACTCCTACGCCGCCTTACGCCAAAGGCATAAATGCCAATCTTCTCCACATGACGGACGGCCTGGCCAGCAACCCCAACCGTCGAAGCGTCTGCTTTGCTAAGCGCGACTTCGAGATTGACAAAACTTGGGTTGTGCACCTCCGAGGGATCGGCGAGGGATCCTGATGACACTCAAAGTGAGTTGCGTTGACCGAGGTCAAGTTTATTTGCTCTCTAACGCTGGTGTAGAAAGTGCGGTCCTACACCCCTTGGTCAAGATCCGGGATCTCCACGACTTCGTCAAGCCGGTTTACGCTCTGCTTCCCCGCGCAGCCAAGGTGCAGAACAGTCCGTCTTTTTAATATCCTGGCTTATTCAGCACCCTCTCTAAGCCCCGCGCGCGATCCACGAGTCCTCCATAGAAGCGGTTTCCGCGATTCCGAGTATGTATCTCTTCATCGGCAGTGTAACATGGGTCTCATGCTACTAGGCGTCGGGGAAGGGCAATGGCGCGGCGCCCATCCACCTCGACGAGATCGGTGCGGGACTAGGGTACGCGAGCATGGACCAGAATGTGTGGGAGGTGGTCGTGGCAACGGATGAGGCGATATATCTCTGTGGGGCGAAGAGCCGAGGGGCGTGGTTCATGTACGAGGGTGAGCTCATTGTTCCACCTTTGTGCAACTCGCCCTGAATAGCTGTTCCCGGTAGGCTTGGAGTCGCGGGATACACATGCGATCATGTGCTGCATCTACGCTTTCCTCCTCGTTGCGCGCCGACAGCCATTGCCGGGTCCGTGCATTTTGTCACAAGGGACGGTGCGCACAGCCATCTGAGGTAACAAAAGTCATATGCACACAGGTACGTTCACGTAAGGCGTGCAGCATGCGGGAGATCCTTTCGTATGGTGGAAATTGTATGTACTCTCCGACTATGGGAGGTTCCTCATGTCGCTGTTTGTTTCTGCTGCTTTGTCAGACTTGGCATGCAGTTGTTGTGGTGGAGGTATGCCTAGGATGCAATGTAGTTGGGCTGTCTTTTGTGACCTATGTTCGAGTCCAATCTCACCGAAATTGTTCTGAAATGAATGTAGGCTCACGGACCGATCTCTGCAACTTGTGTCCACGCAACTGGTGAACGGACGCGCAATGCCTTGGTGGCGCGTGGCGCTTGCGGCGTAATAGTACTTATGAGCGTCTTTCTCTGGCCTGTCTCCGAACAGCACCCTCACGACCAAACGTTCGAGATACCCCAGTCACGTTCCCATACTCTGCTTTTCCATGCCTCTGAATCGCTTGGCTTCTACCAAACAGCGTGGCCTTCTCCGTTGGCGCCTTCATGTTCTGAGAAACCGCGGTATTCGGCAGAGGGTGATGCGCGGTGCTTACCTGCTATCCTATTTTTTGCTCTGCCTTTCAATCGGTGCCATACCACTATTATACCGGCTTGAGTCACCATCTCGTCTCAGTCGCCTAACTGTTCTGAGCCCGATCGCCTTTTCCATTGAAAACTTTATCCTCGTTTCCCTCCGAGCAGGTGCGGATGCATCTGGTGCCGGCCGGCCCGGTCGCGCTCAACACCGCCTTCCCCAAGCGCGCTCGCGCACCCACGCTGTCCCGAGATGTCCGGACACCAGCGTCTCAGGCGCTGCCACCTGAGCTCGCTGTCTCCGACAGTGAGCTCGCCTCCCTCTTTTTTTCACACCACATCTTGTATATGATTAGTGATAAAATATATTTGTTAGTAAGCTACTACATAGGTGCACTAGTATGTAATACCACGCCCCGCGACAACGCGGAGGCAGAGGCAGGGATGAGGGTTGGGACAAGGCGGAGGAGGAGGAAGGCGACGTGGACGACGTGAATGCGGGAGACGCGGAGGCGGGCAACACAAAGGCAAGTGAGGCGGAGGTGAGGGACGTGAAGGCGGATGAGAGCGACGGGGAGGGCTCGCGGGGGGACGCGGAGGGCCCGGACGAGGCGGAGCAGGTGGTGGGCGATGCGGGCGGGGGTGCGAGATGCGAAGAGGGAGGAGGCGCAGAGCAGCGAGGGCGGGCGATGCGAGCGGAGAAGGGCCGCGCGGGCGGAGGAGGTGCGTGGAGGAGGGTGACGCGGAGGACTCGCGGGAGGAGGCGGAGGCAGAGGAGGGCAGCGCGCGCGGAGGAGTGCGAGGAGGAGGTGAGCGAGGCGGGCAGAGGCGGGCGATGAGGTGGGCAGCACACGCGGAAGCGGACGATGCGGAGGCAGACGAGGCGGAGCAGGTGGGCAACGCGGAGGGGGGGACGTGGAGGAAGACGAGGACGAGGACGAGGGCGGAGACGGAGGCGGGGGGCCAGGACGAAGCGGAGGAGGGGGAGCCTAGCGACGTGTGTAGATGCGGGCGGCGGGAGGCGGCACGGACGCGGACGCGGGCGACATGGAGGAGGCTGATGATGCGCAGGTGGGCGACGCGCGTGGAGGAGGTGGGCCGCGTGGAGGCGAGCGAGACGCAGCAGGGCGAGGAGGAGGAGGGCGACATGGAGGTGAGGGAGGCGGAGGAGGGTGTGCGGGCGCAGGCAGGTGTGCAGGTGCAGGCGGGCAGCGCGAAGGCGGGCGGAAAGCAGCGCGGGGGTGGGCAACGGGGAGGAAGGCAGCGGTGAGGTGGACGCGGGGGTCAAGGCCGGCGGCAGGCCGGATGGGCGAAGCTGGAGAGGAGGGGTGGGCATTGGGAGTGCAGGAGAACGGAGCGGGGGACTCACCAAAATGAGGGCCGCGGTACGTCGCCGCGCCCCCCTAATTCTAATTTCCATGCTGAGGACGTCCGGATGGACATCCTCGTGCGGTGTGGATGCGGCCGGCAAGGTGGGCGAAGGACGGCATGGAGGTCGAGGTTGAGGTCGAGGGAGGAGGAGGGGGGCGGGGTTGAACGGTGTCACCAGGTGACACCGGAGTCCAATAGCAGACGAAGGACGACTGTACAGTCGCTATCGTCTGCCTGGACGGTGGTGGGGGCGGAGCAGGAGGTGGGGGAGGGGAGGAGGAGAGCAAGGACGGAGGGAGGGACGCGTGGTGTGCATCATAGCCACGCGTCGATGCGCGCCACGCGTCCTTGCCGCCCAACGAGGCGCGCCTCCACGGGCGCGCATCACGGATCGCCAGATCCGTCCAGATGCATCCGTAGCTGCCGATAGGCTATCGCAACGGATGCACCAGGGAAATCACCTGTGCTCATACGGTAGAGTGATCCTCTTGCTCGAGGACCTTCAAGAATCTGTCGTCGACCTCCGGGACCGCGCCGCCTATGTGTACACTCAGATTGATGGGTTCAAGGACGAATATGAGCTGGCCTCTCGTGGTGGGTTCCACCTTACTATTGGTCCTGCGGATTTCATCCCCGTCGCTGATACCTTTGCATACAGCCCTTCGACAAACCGAGGGCCTTATCCAGACATTGGCTTCGCACGCTCAGCCACCCGTCCCCCCCGTGTCCCCCGCCACGACAAACTCATCTGGATGCACCCACTGGTCCACTGGATTCCCGAAGACTCACGCGTCAGCACCCACCCCTTCTGCTGCCATCCCAGAAAGCTCTTCCACGGAGGTCCCGTCGACCGGAGATGCGGCTGCTGGGCGCGCTTGTGGGGTCCCGGTTCCGCCAGCCTCAGAGACGTTCGGCACGTCTGTCTCGGATCCCGCTCAGGCCTCCCACGTGGCCTCTTCCTCAACTTCAACGCACTCGGCGTCTCTGGCGTTGCCCATCTCTGACACCTCGGGGTCAGCGAACTTGACGGCGGCGCAGACGGTTGCGTCGGCGTTGGAGCCGGGCGTCGGCCAGGGGTCTGGTTCACGGCTCTCGCCGTCCTCCTTTCCACGTCTCCCCAGCATCTCGCGCTACTCGCGTGCATCGGCGGAGTCATTCAGGGGCCACGGCGTCGTAGGTATGGTCCCAGGAGGGCCTCGCTACCCACAGCGCGGCGCGTCTGAAGAGTGGGTAATCACGAGGGAGAGTGGCGAATTGTATCTCGGCACTGGTGAGTGCAGACTTTATATGTTATTTCGCAGCATCCTCACATGTATCCGGCACCGCTGGTGGGAAAGCAGACCACTAGGTTGGCCGCAGCGTGCAACCCCGAGCGTACAGCGTCATCGCTCAGCTCTTGTACGTGCTGGACGCGGTGTGTTAAAAACCGGACTCATCAGCTGTTTTTACGAGATGAGTTGCTTGGACAATGTTTCGTTGGAGTTTCAATCGCGCTGAGTTTACCCCCTGTCAATCCACTGCCACGTCAGATACTTGCGAGTTTCCCTATGCCACTCCTCTTCCAACACTCCCTTTTGTCGCCACCTCTCCCTTGTACTCGATGCCTGTTATTTCTTGATGAGCGATACCGACCGTTCCTACATGGACGGCAGTAATATATGTGATCTTTGAATTCTTGCACTCTTTCAACCCATTTCTGCATTGAATTGAACACCGCCCCTACTAGAGGACTGATCAAGGGAGTGCAGGGGTAGGAGGTAATTTTGAATAAATCCCCCCAATGCGCGGAGGACTGGTGTTTCTCAACGGCGTTGGTGTAACGCCGTTCGGCTAATGGGCGCCTACAACCGCCGATGGAGTCAGGGGCGGTCGGCGTAGGCTTTGATCGCCGATAGACTTTCTGGCTTACATCGCCAAGTCTTTCCAGTTGGCTCTGGGAAGGTACCACTGCACTACTATTGTTACCATTGGCCGCCTTTCGGAGTTTATGATGGGCTTCTTGCAAAACATCTATCACGCGATGGCGAACGGTGTCATTCTCGGTCAAGAGCAGGATGCGCAGTGTGAGGGGGTTTGTAAAATACATGAAACGTGGAACAAGTAATCTTCATCGGGATTCTTTTGTACGGCTTAAGCTCGCGGTCGTACCGCCTACATCTGTGCTGACTCCAAGTGAGCTGACGCGCGTCGCAACCTGGGCATAAAAGAGCCCTATGAAAACTGCCGCGTCTTGATGGCCGGCTCTCTAAACGGCGCAGGTGGTGCTTCGATGTTCAGCAGTGCGTCCTGCATACTGCTCGTTGAGAAGCGCTCTAGAGTAGACCACGCCAACGACCGCAAGGCAGTCGGTGGGGCTCTCCCAAAGGGTGCGGGCGGAGGGTCGAGTTCTGCAGGTGCGGACGCACCCAACGGCGGTGGCGGTCGCTCGCGCCTCATCGGTATGGGGCTCCCAAGTGAGGCAGGTGGGCGCTGGAGCGTCGCCAGCGAGGGGTTGCTGGGCGGAAGCGGCTTGATCTTCGCCGGTGGGCCCCTTCCGAACGGCGTGGGTGGGCGGTCGAGTGATGCAGGCGCATATGCATCCAACGGCGGTGGCGGTCGCTGGAGCCGCACCGGCGCGGCCCTCCCGAACGGCGTGGATAGGCGGTCGAGCGTCGCCCGGGAGGTGCCGCTGAGCGGCGGCGGGTTGGTCTTCACCGACGCAGCCCTCCCGAACGGCGTGGGTGGGCGGTCGAGTGATGCAGGCGCATATGCATCCAACGGCGGTGGCGGTCGCTGGAGCCGCACCGGCGCGGCCCTCCCGAACGGCGTGGATAGGCGGTCGAGCGTCGCCCGGGAGGTGCCGCTGAGCGGCGGCGGGTTGGTCTTCACCGACGCAGCCCTCCCGAACGGCGTGGGTGGGCGGTCGAGTGGTGCAGGCGCATATGCATCCAACGGCGGTGGCGGTCGCTGGAGCCGCACCGGCGCGGCCCTCCCGAACGGCGTGGATAGGCGCTCGAGCGTCGCCGAGGAGGTGCTGCTGAGCGGCGGCGGGTTGGTCTTCACCGACGCAGCCCTCCCGAACGGCGTCGGCGGACGGTCGAGTTCCACAGGTGTGGACGCACCCAACGGCGGTGGCAGCCGCTGGAGCCTCATCGGCGCGGCTCTCCCGAACGGCGTGGGCGTGCGGTCGAGTGCTACAGCCGCCGCTGCACCAAACGGCGGTGGCGGTCTTTCAAGTTTCACTGGCGTAAGCCTTTCCAGCGAGGCCGTTGGGCGGTCGGGCGTTGCCGATGAGAGGCTGCTGAATGGTGGCGGTGGCCGTTCGAGCTTCGCCGGGACAGACCTGCTGAATGGCGTGAAGGGATGATCTAGGCTCGCAGGCGTGGGCCTCCCGAGCTTTGCAGACGGCGGGCGGTCGAGCGTCGCTGTTGAGGGTCCGCTGAATGGCACGGGCGGGCATTCGAGCGTCGCTAGAGTCGGGGCGCCCCGCGCGGATGAGGAGAAGGGAGCACTTGTGGAATGTTTCGGTGGTGGGGCTGCCCCATGGTTCGTTGGCTGGTTCTCTGTGCCCTTCGAGGCGAGCTCCCTGGACAGCAGTGGTGGGGGGCTGAGGTCTGTGTGCGTGGGCAGATTTTGGGAAAGCGCTGGTGGAGGCGGTGAGGAGAGTCCAAGACGCGAGTTCGACGCGGCTGATGCAGGGTAGTGAGTTGGCGCATTGGTGGAAGGCGGTAAGTCGGAGCATTCCCAGATGCTCTCGTAATTAGAATGCACTTCGTTCGTCTGTATTTGGGGCAGCCGTGAGTATCATGAACTTGATGGGTTGGTAGAAAGTGAACGCACCTGAGGCGCACGGCGCAAGAGCTGCAAAAGGAGGCTGAGCCGCAGCTGATCCGGGAAGCCTGGCTGCCACGGACTGCGGTCTGGGAATATCTGATGCGCAATGGTAAAAGCCGCAGCGACGCCGCAAGAATGGTCGTCTTTCTGCTCTTCGCAGGCGATTGACTTGCTGTCGAACTTCCACATGCGGACCGGCCTGCCAGTCGCCCTGTCGATGGCTGCCGAAACCTTCCCCATCTTGCGCTTTGCGCTTGGAAGCAAGGTGGTGCTATACGACGGCTTTGAGTCGGCATACCTGATGATGCCAAGAGCGATGTCGAAGACGACGGTGATCCAATGGGAGTCTAAGTGCCAAGGTATGTACAGCGTCGCATCCTTTTGGAAGACGCGGCGAACAATCCAACGCGAGAACCTCTCCGCGAGCTTCTTCGCCGAGTAGCCCGAAACGCCGGGGGAAAGGACGAACGCGACACCTCGAAGAGGCGTTTCACGAATCTCGGAGTTGAGCATAATTGCGACGAGGTCGAGGACATCTGAGTTGATCCATTGATTGGACGAGGCGAGACGGGTTGCGGCGTGTCGCCACACGTGGTCTGTGGCCGGTAGGAAAGATAAGTGGCGAAGGACGTCCTCGCACTCCGCAACAGGCCACGCGCCGGTGTCGCGCATGTGGAGCACCCACGTTCTTGAGCGTAGATATCCCCGACGCATGCTGTAAACGTCAGATAGCGAAACCCAGAGTTCTACAAACCATATAGGCAGCCGAGAGGATGGCGCCCCTGGATGGATCACGGAAAGAGTTTCTGGGCCAAAGGTGGTGATGTGAGGCAGGGTGACGGCCGTGGTTGCCGAATAGTGGTCCACGAGAGCAACCCAACGGGGGATATCAGCAGGTGCATCCGGCTTGTGCGGGGAATAGTCCAAATTTGCGCCGGGTTGCCACGGAAGTGGGTTGGGAGCCGAGTGGAAGTCGCGGCTAAGGAGTTGTTCGACGGTGCAAGTCGGCGAAGGGATAAAAAGTTTGGCGGCGGTTGACGGCATTGTCTTCGAGTCCCAAACCGAGAGTGGGCCGAGAACCTGGTTGCTCGGAATCCGCAACGGATCTATGCTCGATGAGCAACGTTACGGCGCTTCCCAACGACGCGTGCGATGCCACCGACCTAATGCAGATGTTGGACCTGCTGAAACGTTCTTTAGGCGAACAAATGCGTAAAAGTTTGGCCAAAGCTTACCTATAAATGCGAGACCTTGAGGTTCCATTTGGGCAGAACAGAGACGTTGAATGACGGTAATACGGCTCTGAGCACGACGCCATCAAAGCGCCCGAGTGCCAGTTGATGCCCATGGCGCGATCGATTCCCACGAAGATCATCGGCGATGAGACGGCGGGTGGGATGACGATTGACGCCGACAGTTTCTCCACCCTCTCTCCTGCCATGTCTCTAACACAACGACCCCCCGTCACACAACATGAACTCGCTCAAGCGGCGTCTCAAGTACACTATGCGTTGTTGAAGAACCCGTCACCCCACTGCCCCAACATCGCAACATGGGCACCATGGTTGGAGTTCGCCATTGGTGAGGTCCGCAGGGCGTTCTACGAAGGACGCTTACGCTTCAAGAGCGTTCCGAGCAGAGCCCTCTACGCCTGCTACGAGATGGAGAGGGGTTTCCACGACTCCTCGTACGTCCCCTGTCTCTGGGACATCCGACAATTCAGCAGCAACGCAGAGGCGGCGGAAGCATACGGCTTCGACTTTGGTTTGGAGGCAAACGATCAAGGCGATGTCCCCGTCCTGGAGTGGAAGGACATCGAGAAAAAGAGCTGGATTGAATGCAGTGAGTTTTTTCCAGTCTCCGCATTGCTTGGCGTTCAACAGTCGCCAGTTACACCGCGAACTACCGTCGCGTCCTCATCGAAGGCTGCCGTGGCGTCCTCGTCCAAGGCTGCCGTGGCGTCCTCGTCCAAGGCTGCCGTGGCGTCCTCGTCCAAGGCTGCCGTGGCGTCCTCGTCCAAGGCTGCCGTGGCGTCCTCGTCCAAGGCTGCCGTGGCGTCCTCGTCCAAGGCTGCCGTCACCTCCTCGTCCACAGTGATTCCTCCAGCCGACCGCCTTTCGAAACCACCAGCCGACCGCCTTTCGAAACCGCCAGCCGAATCGCGATCGGCGATCTCCGGTGCGAATCTCGTTTCCCATGTCCTGCATACCGCCGACCTTTGCCACTGCAGCTCGAAAGGCATTGACTGGCGACGAATCCATGGACGCGGAAGATATTATAGTTGATCCTGAACCCCCGTGTGGTGAGCAGTTCAATAGAGGCAGTCTTTCATCGCGCATTGTGCTTACATTTTCATACAGAAAAACAAGCACGTCCCACGAGCGATCGTAGCAGCGAGCCTACGCCCCAAAAGCGACGAAGGAGAAAGACGAAAAAGCGGAAGCATCGGGAGGCGCCTGCGAACACCTCAGAGGAATGTGGGTGCTTCTGAGCTGCGCAACGTATGCTGCGATATTCTGCTGATGCTTTAACTCAGCTACGAACGGCGCCTCTTCCCCGGAGATGTCAGATGTTGACCAGCGGCAGACGCGGTCGAAGGCGTCCGCCACTGGTAAGGGAAGTCTGGGCACCGCTGGCGAGGCGTCCGACGATCCTGCAAAACGTTCGAACACCTCAGAGCCATACGTTCCACCTGAAGATTTCTTTCCTCCATTCAACCCCCCACCAGGATTCTATCCGTGCGCACGGGCACCACGGCCGGTCAGTCGGATGCGCTGCTGCTTGAGACTGGTCTAACCACGTTACCGCACAGACGGACAAGGACCCCTATGACTGGCGATGCAGGAACTGCCGAGAGGCCGACGTCGACTGCATCTTCTTCCCCGTGAGTGGGGGGAATTGCCATCGATGCAAAGGGGGCTCGGTCGGGTGCGATCTCTCCAAGTTCTCGCCTAGTAAGAAGGGTTTCGCTCCAGGCTACGGCGCCTATAAGGCCGCCGTGCAATGGGCGAATCCGCACATTTACCCTAACCCCATTCCCGTATCGACGGTGTGGGCTATGATAGGGAACACAACATTAGTTCCGACTTGGTTCAAGGAGTGGTGGCGCGAACATCACAAGCATTCCGAGGAAGCTCTGGCGATAAAGAGACAGAAGGTCGCGGCGAACCCGGACGCGTACTCACTCCACAGAGACGATATGGAACCTGTCCAAAACCTTCCCGATGAGGTTTACATAAGGGTGAGCACTTCGATTTCATTCCCAACTCCAGATTCTAACGTTGCGTGACGTGCCAGAAAAACTATCCATACAATTCGCGGGCGCCCCCACCTCCCATCAGCGCAGAAAACCCTGGTAAGTTTGGCGCGTTGAGTCTCCGGGGTTGATGCTGTTCGCAGGCTAACTGCGCGTCAGATCCACAAGAGGATGCGGATGGCGAAGGCCTTGTGGCCGCCAAGCCACCGGCGAAGAAGCGTCGGCATGCTGCAGGTGTTGCAGCGCGCCCTCAACCGACACCCGAGTCACTGGCTCCGCATAATCAGGCACCGCCGCCTCCTGGTAAGTTTTCCCTATCGCAGTCGATCTACGTTCATTCTTGTGAACAGGTCGAGATTTTCGCAACGTTCCGCCAACGCATGTTGCTCCCACAGATCCGGTGGAGGAGCTCCGCAGCCTTGCCGGGATTGCGCCATCCAACCACGCGGATTTTGTTTCCCGTGGGGATTACAACATCCTCCTCAACCGCCTCGAGGACCAGGCTGCGAGGACGCGAGAGCTCGAGCTCAAAGTCGCTGAGATGCGTGGCCAGCTGGACGGGATCCTCTTCTCGCACGGCGGTGGATTTCAGGCGGCTGGATCTATGTTTTCACGCTCGCCGTTCGCACCATCAGGTATGAATTTCAAAACATCACCGAGTTCATGCTGACCTGCCGTCGCAGTACGCATGGGCATGCAGGGGCAGCTCGCCCGTTCAGTGGGATCCAGCAGACACTCCTCAATCTCGGCCGCGCCATCACCTTCGGGCTCTGCGCTGCCACTGCCGCCGTCCAGGTCGAGCGCGGCATCGCGATCGACATCCGTAGCGTCTTCATTCGGATTCCAAAGCGAGGAGGGCGCCTCGAGATCTTCGACCGGTAATGCGTAGCTGCGATGTGGACGAGCACGTCGCCGCCGTTGCCACCGCTAAGGTCGACCGCAACCTCGCGCGGAAGCGGCGCGGGACGGGTGCTCTGCCAGTGCCGGCCGGTGGTGGTGCAGGCCCAAGACAGAGATGGGACGTGACAATGTTTATACTATAAGAGCACGCATTGCAGACTACCTGCCATACTTTTATACGTACGCGAATTCGGAGAATCCCTCATGCGATCCATCATTGGCTGCGAATGCGGGCTGCAATGCAAAGTTACGGTGCTGCGGTTGCAGCGCGTGACCGGAAGCACGGATCTCGTGAATCTTGCTATCAAAGCGAGATCAACTCGTCGCATCCAACCACGGCTGCACTCGCATTCGTTCACTTCACCGTCACACTGTACCGACATGGACGACACTGAGGCTTTGAAACTTCGAGAAACAGTTTATACCACCATGAAGTCTGCCCTTGGACGACGCATCCGTCGCAGGCTGCAAGGACGGCCCACAAAGGGGGCTGAGATTGATTGTCCCGAAGCGCTCGACGTGAAGATATTCGAAGACTGCATCCACGCGGTTGACTCTATAGAAGAGGCGATCCACAACAAATGTGCGCATGTGCGGTATTGACAAGGCAGATGAATGTTGACTGGGAAATAGATTCGATGGAATGGACGATAGCAGAACACATCAACGTCCTGCCCAAGGGCCATGGAGTAGTGAGAGACTCGGAGCAAGCGCGTCTGCAGCGCGAGTTTCCAGTCCCTGCGGTGACGGATTGCGGGATTCCCCATGCAATCCACAGCGGCGCCGTGATTGTCGACGCCGATCAGGTTCCACTTGTCTGGGCACTCCCCGATCTGTTGTCAGCAGCCCGTCATGTGTGTACGTTTTCGACTCGAATGGGTGATGTCCCTGATAAAACCCACAGGATGACCTGTTTGATGCCACCAAAAAGCTTAAAACGTTTCTTGACAAGCCCACAATGCAGACGTCTTCCTGGCGTAAATTCAAGGGGTTCTTCAATTCGAACGCAGACGGAGGTTGCGGCATCTTTGGGATAGTTCCGCAGATGAAGGACGTGTTCGTACGTGTGAGCGTTTTTCGACACTACGTGAAACCTCATATGCCACACTTGCAGACCGGTGAAGTTCGCGAGTCGCGAGACTTCTATGAGGCCGAAGTCCAAGGCTGGTTGCAAACGATCACTCGAATTGGCGCAATATTGGATGCCGTCTTACGTATTCTCGTCCCCAGCCAGCATAAGCAAGTGGGCGAGTATCTCCAGGCGAACTTACCAGAGGGAATTCCTTGGCCAGTCACAGGGATCGCCCTGCAGATGATCTTCAACCGAAAAACTCCCTACCATCGCGATGTGAATAGCTTCCGCCATTGGTACGATCTCCTCGTCACCCTTGGAAATTACGGACACGGCGCATATATCGGACTTCGAAGTCTCGGGTACTCCGTTCCGTACAGGCCGGGCACTGGGGTGCTGGTCTTGGCCAACGTTGTGGAACATGGCGTTCCCGAGGTCGAGGGTACGAGAATCGCTATCTCTTGGTACAACCGTCGAGACATGGTTGGTATTTGGGGTGATGAGGACGATGTTGTGGCGCCATCGGAGACAGTCCAAAACTTAGTTATGCGGATTCTTCGCGAAACCGCAGTGCATTCGTTGTAATTCACAAAGATGGGGAACAACGTATCATGGTCTATAGAATAATTTGCGCATGCTCGATAGCAGTAGTCCGAATGGAAGTCGCAAAACGGGAACTAAGTACTCCAAACGACGTGGATAGAATTCTGGGGAGGGCGTGCAAAAGCGTAGCGCAAGGAGAAGATAAGATTTCAGGAAAATAACAAGATTCATGGAAGAAATGGCGCGCGACGAAGCGCAGTTCGGTAAATTTCAAAGATGGCATGAAAGTACGGGAGAGGCAGCGCGGTGGCCTGGCCACGTCAGGGCCTCTTCTGCATTGGTGTCGATAATTCGTCTCAAGTGTCGTGATCGGCGCTTGCAAGACGAAGATTCGCGGCAACGGCTGCCTCGGTGAGATGGATGGGACGCCCACTTCGGCGAAGCGGCGCATGCTGCAAAGCGAAATGTGAGCTTGTGTTTATGGGGAAATATTGTAGGTAAAACCTTTGTGCTGAGCTTTGACTTCGACGTTGCACTCTTGCGAACTGGCGGAAGAGGAAGGGGCAGCCGGTCTGGTATCGATTTGGCTGCTCCTCCGCGTTTGTCGCCAGTGGCGCTGTCAGGCGCCAATCCATCGCCGGTAGCGGGCGCCTTCCCATCGCCGGTCGCAGGCGCTAGTCCATCGCCGGTCGTGTCGCGCTTGCTGGCCGGTGTGCCGGTCTCCACGCGCTGGCTGCTCGAGCCTTTCACTCGCTCCAGCGGGTTGACGGGCTCAACCCTCCACCCGTCCAGCATGAAGGCCTGAGCTGCATCCATAAGCTCTTCGATGCGACGGGCGAACTGTCCGTCAGGTACCAGGATCTCGGCGCCAAAGCCGAGGAATGCGTGAACCTGTGTGAGGAAGTCATCGTCCGGAGAAGGTGGCTCCGTCTCGGGCCCAAAGTCGAACGCAGTGGCTATGTCGCGGTGCAGTAGGCCGACTGCGAGGCAGAAGCGTTGAACGGACTGTTGGTCGTGGTCGCGGATGGCGGCCTGTGCTCTGATCCACTTCAGAGCCTTGCCGTACGCGGTCAGATTCCGGTACATCCGGCCAGTGACATAACCCGTGCGGTTGCGCCAGTATGCCCACTCCACGGGGCGTCTCGGGTGAACAATCGCTCTGGAGGAGAACTGAAATCCGATGTCAGCTGCGGCGTAGAACGTTCATAGAAACAATGTAGTGCTTACCGCCGAACTGACTTTATTGAGCATGTCACGCCACTGCGGTTCCGAGCAGAGCTGGGTCAGGTAGCGAAACTCATCTCCGACACGGACGTCCATCGGAGCCTCCCTGTTGCTAGGTGCGCGTTCAAGAGAATCCAGGGTAGGGGTGAGGGGGCAGTTTGTGATCGTCGCCGAAGGAGCTTCCACGAAATCGTCAATTTCAATGTACTCATCACCCTCGTAGTCCTGCTCAGCCTATACGACACCCTCAGTAAGGTCACACCTGCTATATTTATGCCATAGGTCTAATACGAAACAGGCAAAAAGTCCATGTGGTTCCGCGGCTACCACCGCAGGGCGCGGTGGAGCGAAGAACTGAAGGCTCTGGACTTGGAGATGCACTGCACTGTGCTCTCATTTTCGGGCCACCAAAGGGACTGGAAGGAGCGGGCTAAGGCGACCAAGCATCTTCCAGGGCACACGTGCTACGCCAACGGGCAGGCGGCGATGTGGCAGCAATTGGTGGATGAGAGCGCGGCAATTTTCCACCAGGCGAGGGATAAATATCGAGACCCATCCATAATGTAAAGAATGGCCAAGTTGTCACTTGAATGCAGCGTCTTGCACTGCATCTTTTGGCTTGGTGCGCTAACACTGGCAACCCGCTCGAATTGGCGGTGTAAGCTGTACAAACAATCCACTCAACCACATACGCAACCATTGCAAGTTCGGTAACAAATGCTGGCGGAATGGCATAAGTGCGAAAAAGTTGAAACCTGAGAGCAAGTGTGTTTATGGTATGATTCATAATGATACCGACATTCGAAACACCCTGGAAGGTCCTGTTAGAACATGGTGGTACCACCCCAATTGTAAGATATATGGCGTCTATACACGGAGAAGCGTCTAGCAGACAATACAGTCAGCTTCCTCGCGCACACGGGTAGTGACAAGTTGCGTGAGTATTCACCTAGCAGACAATACAGTCTGCCGCAATACATGTAAGTACATAGTTGTATGGATGTGCATGGGGCGGACGTACCAGCTTCCTCGCGCACACGGGTAGTGACAAGTTGCGTGAGGAAGCCGGACGAGCCCCGCCCAGTATATCTGGAAGCGGGGACGTCTCAATCAAGAACGATCGACGCTCGCGCGTCCAGACCGCGCGAGCACTCATTAGTCCGGAATAGGTCGCCAAAGTCCATGGCCGGTCCTCCTCGACCCGGCCCGCCCAGTCGCCCCGAGGACGCGCTGACCCGCTCCCGATGCGCGCGTGCTCCGCTCGCGCGCCGACCACAACACGCCCCCTCAGCGCGGCAGAGGGACCAAACCGTAGAGCTCGGCGAGATGGTCCATGCGCGTGCGCCCCAGCCCCTTCGTGAACACATCCGCCGGCATGTCCTCCGTGCGTCGATACCCGAGTACAACGTCCTTCGCCTCGACCAGCTCGCGGATGTAGTGGTACCGTAGGTCGATGTGCTTTGTGCGCGAGTGGTACGCATTGTTCTTGGCGAGGTCGAGCGCCGCAATGTTGTCGCTGTACAGCCGCATAGCGTAGTCCGCAAAAGCGGGGTCGTAGGCCTCCACGAGGAGTCCGCGCAACCAAACGGCCTCTTTCCCCGCATGAGTGAGGCCGATGTACTCCGCCTCGGTGGTGGACAGCGCGACGACGGCTTGACGCTTCGCGGACCATGAGACGGCACCGCCGTCCAAGGTGAAGACGTACCCGCACACGGAGTGCCGGGTATCATCGCCGGTGCCCCAGTTAGCGTCTGTGAACCCGGCGAGTCCCTCGCGGTTGCGCCCATACACCAGCGCGAGTTCACGCGTGCCGATGAGGTACCGTCCGAGGCGCTTCAGCGCCTCCCAGTGCTCGCGGCCGGGGTTGGCCATGAACCGGGAGAGCTGTTGTACAGTGAAGGCGATGTCGGGGCGAGTAGTGACTGCGATGTGCATCGCTGCGCCGACGCCTTCACGATACGGGTACTTCCTCATCTCCGCGATGCCAGCGTCGGTCGTGGGGCATTGGTCCTTGGACAGAGTGGTACCCGCGAGCCAGGGCGTGGAGAGGCTCTTGGCGCCGACGAGACCGAGAGTGCGTATAAGTGAATCGATTGCCGCGCGCTGCGAGAGGTAGATGCGATCTGGTTCCGGCTCGCGCGTCCTGTGGACCTCGATGCCGACGACAAACTCCGGCTCACCCATGTCCTTGACGTCGTAGAGTTCCTTGATCGCAGCGCGGAAGGGCTCGAGCAACTCTGGTGGCCCAGTCGCGAACATGTCGTCCACGATGGTCGCGAGCATGACGCGCACTTGTGCCTCGCCCTTGGTGAACAGGGAGTGGTCGCGCTCGCTGCGGGTGAAGCCAAGCTTCCGGAGATCGCCACTGAACTTGGTGTACCACGCGAGGCCGGACTGTGGGAGGCCGTAGAGCGCACGGTCGAGAACCCATACTTTCCCTTCGTCGCCCGGTGCAAGCATGCCTGGTGGTGGCTTGACATAGACGGGGGTCTCGAGCGGCGCAAGAAGGTACGCGCTCCGGACATCGAGCTGGAGGAGTGGCCAACCGTTGCGCGCGGCGAGTGCACACATGAGGCGGATGGTGGCCGGCTTAGCTGTAGGCGAGAAGGTTTCGACATAGTCCGGCTGTTGGAACCCGCGCGCGACGACTCGGACCTTGAATTCCTTGATCATCCCCTCCGCGTCGAGCTTCTGGTGGAACACCTGGGTGGTGTCAATCACCGTAACGCCTGCTGGGCGGTCAACGACGCGAAAGACTTTGTGGCGGCGCAGGTTGTCCATCTCGCGTTGGATTGCTTCTTCCCACTGGCCCCAGTACGGCGACGCTTGTGCCTCGCGCAGGTTCTTCGGGTCATCGCCGAGCTGTACCAGTCCGAGCGCATAGTGCGCGGCCCAGCGGTAAGCTGTGTCGAGGGAGGTGACCTCGGGTGGGGGTGTGTCGGCGACGTCCGGGATGATGCTGGAGAGAGCCATGAGCTCCCCCATGATGTCCCGCGCGTGTGTCGTGTTTGCGCGCGCGCGTCCGTCAGTCGTCCCGACGCCGTCCTGAATATCGCGGAGCCAGCGCGAGGGCTGGCGGACGCGGTGTCCGCGTCCCAGTGCCTCCTCGGCCGGCGCTTCTTCCACCACCTCGAGTCCCTCCTGTTCCTCCTGTCCCTCCACGTCTCCTCTGTCCTCCTCGTGCTCGCGCGCCCCCTGCTCGTGCGCCCCCTGCTCGTGCGCCCCCTGCTCGGCTGCCGCCTCATCAGGTGCGTCTACGGTGGGAGCGACAATGTCGTCCATGTTTTCCTCAACCCGCGCCCCCTCGCTCCCATCGTGGACATGCCCGGTGATCTCCGCGTCGTCGAACCGCGGCTCAGGTGGCCCCGGCTTGTCGCCGTTGTCCCAAACGTAGGAGCGCGCGAGCACAACCTTGTGCGCGCGAGGGGTGTACGCCAACGCGGAGTCCTTGTGGTGCGTGCTCATCCCCACGAACCGTGCGTCTTCGGTGTTGGGCGCTAGCTTGCGCGTGTGCTCGACATAGATGCACATGTGTTCCCCGAACGGACGGAGACCACCTAGGAACGGGGGAACACCAAAGCGTTGTTCGTATGGTGAGGGCCCACCGCGCGCCGTCCGGTTGTGGAGGAACACTGCGTATCGGAACGCGAACGCCCACAGCGCGAGCGGCAGGCCGGAGTCCGTGAGCATTGCCGCGACGCGCTCGCGGAGTGTCCGTAGGCTGCGCTCGGCCCTGCCGTTCTGCGCGGGGGTGTGTGGTTGTGAGGCCGACCAGTGGGTTCCCTTCTCCGCGAGGTGGGGACGAAGCCCGACAAACTCAGGCCCGTTATCGGAGTGTAGCCATTTAGGCGTAAGCCCGCGTTGCGTCTTGAGCTCCATCTCGAGATCGAGATACGCTTGGTGAGTGCCAGAGGTTGACTTCAGCGTGGCGCCGTGTATCCACCCTGTGTGATCGTCGATGAATACAACTGCCTTGCGATCGCCCCCCAGAGAAGTCTCGCCGGAGTCCCACACGTCGGAGTGGAACTTGTCGCCATACGCGGTTACAGGGATGTCGTGAGGGGCACCGTGTGCGGCGTCTGGGATCGCCTTGTGCGTGAGCTTGGCTTGCACACATGTCTTGCACTGAGTGGTGACGTCCGTGTCCGAGAGCTTGATCCCATCGGTGTGCCCCTGAGTGACCATGTCGCGGGCGGTGCGGAGTGAGATGTGTCCCATCGTGCGGTGGAGGTCCATGACGCTTATGGTGAGCGGCCCGCGTTTGGCCGGACGCGTGCTCAGTGCCGTGGTGTCGTCGGTGCCTTGTGCAGGGGAGGGGGTGTGATCATCGGCAAAGCAGGAGATGATCTGGTAGAGACCGTGATAAGATGGAATGCGCGCGACGATGTCACCGGTCTCGCGCGACTGCAGACGACACTCTCCATGGGCGAAGATCGCAGAGTATCCCGCCTCGTCTGCCTTGCGGATGGACACGAGGGAGAAGCCGATCCCAGGTGCATATAGTACATCGCGCAGTGTGATGGTGGTCGGCGAGTCGTTGGTGGCATCAAGGACGCATACCTCCATGTCGCCCTCCCCGATGGCGTCGAAGGTATCGCCATTGGCAGCGGTGATGGGGCGTGGTGGTGTGAGATCGCGGTAGTTGAAGAAACGGTGTCGGTACGGCGAGATGTGTGCTGAGGCTCCACTGTCGTAGACCTCGATGTACTCGCCCGGGCGAGCGGCAAGCGCCGTGCCCGCGATGTTCTGCAGCGCAACAAACGCGACCGTACTCTTCTTGTTGGTGTTGCCCGCGCCCACCCCGCCTCCTGCGTTGTTGGTTATTGCGCCAGCGCCTGTGCTCGCGCCACCTCCATTACCACCGCTGCCGGTGCCGCCACCGTTGCCATTGCCGCCGTTGCCGCCCTTCGACTTCGGCCAGGGTTGTCCCTCCATTGCACCGCCTGGAGCGCGGCAGTGTTTCTGGACGTGCCCGGGGCGGCCGCAGTTGAAGCACTTGTAAATGGGCTTGCCGGTTGCGAGGGCCGTCTCGCCTGAGGTGCGAGCCTCGGCGCGTCGGTCGTACTCCTCCTCGAGAGTGTGGATGAGTATGTCGTAGCCGAGAGTGTTGCCGGTGACGCGTGCGGCGTCGACAAGAGAGTTGACCCGGCCATGGTAGATCTCCGGGAGACTAGCGATGATCATCGCGCTGTATTCCTCGTCCGAGATCGTCCCGCCGTAGCTGCTGAGCGTCTCGCGAGCCTGCGCGAGCTTGGCGAGGTGCTCGCGAAGGTTGCCGTCCGCCGCGCATCTCATGTTCTGCATCTGGGTGCGGAGGCTGTTCTGGTACATGATGGATTTGCCCTCGAACGAGCGGACGATAGCAGCCCAGGCGTCGGCCGTGGATGGTTGGGCGCGTATATTGATGTACACATCGTCGGGGATGCTCTCGTAGAGAAGCGCGCGCGCGTCCGCTTCCTTCTGGACCCAGATGTCGTAGTCTTTGTCCACCACTTCGGCCAGCTTATGGTAGGTGTCGTCGTCAAGGTGCGAGTACATGTCCTTGACGGGCGCGGGGGAGGGGGATGTTCCAGGGGTTGTGGGTGCGGGGATGTGCGGGTTGACACGGGAAAAGGGAATAGGCCGAGGGGGTATGCGGACGGTACCGTCGATGTATCTCGTCAATCCCTTCGCTCCGGACACCGCCAGGAACTTGTCTTTGTATACGACCCAATTGGAGCCATTGGCGATCAGTTTCGGGATGGAGTAGCGAGTCTTTGTGTCGGACATGGTTCGATGTAGCGTAGGTTTCGATTTGGCTGGTGTTCGGTTCAATGCTTGGAAGCAGGGCTCATAACCTGTAAGATATATGGCGTCTATACACGGAGAAGCGTCTAGCAGACAATACAGTCAGCTTCCTCGCGCACACGGGTAGTGACAAGTTGCGTGAGTATTCACCTAGCAGACAATACAGTCTGCCGCAATACATGTAAGTACATAGTTGTATGGATGTGCATGGGGCGGACGTACCAGCTTCCTCGCGCACACGGGTAGTGACAAGTTGCGTGAGGAAGCCGGACGAGCCCCGCCCAGTATATCTGGAAGCGGGGACGTCTCAATCAAGAACGATCGACGCTCGCGCGTCCAGACCGCGCGAGCACTCATTAGTCCGGAATAGGTCGCCAAAGTCCATGGCCGGTCCTCCTCGACCCGGCCCGCCCAGTCGCCCCGAGGACGCGCTGACCCGCTCCCGATGCGCGCGTGCTCCGCTCGCGCGCCGACCACAACACCAATACCTGTGGAGTATGAACACCGCCAATCGGGTGGCCTCGTACGAGTGTTGCCGACGGCGACAGAGCGCCGACTCGTACGAGACCCACGGCGACTCGCCAATATCTTCGCGAAAAATGGTGCGTGAGTCTTCAAACATGCGTATCACGGAGCACTCAACTGCGTACTGCTGCTCCTGTACTTTCTTAGAATATCCTACCGTTAGGGCCGCCAGGCAGTGGTATGTGGCACGCCGACTGCGATGGCAGCCGCCAATCATTATACGAGGCATTGACACATGGCACTGTCGTACGAATGTTAGCAAAGTGTTACATTTATTTTCTCGTACGAGTGTTGTTAATGACTACAAAGAACAAACTCGTACGAGCTCGTATGGCCATTGGAGAAAGGGTACACGCCACACTCGCACAGCTTTGCCAAAGGGCTACACTTGGGCCACGGGGTCCTCCGCGCACGCCAGCATGTTGCGCGCTGCTTGCGCGACAGTGCGCGCGCGCCCCTCGCGCGCCCTCGCGCACCGTCGCGCGGTCAAGCGCTCAGCGCCACCGCGACCATCGGCAAGGTTGTGCCGTGCTGACTAAGCTTAGTGTTGCGGCGACTCGACTCGACTCGACTCTGACTCGACTCGGCCCGACTTGGCCCGAGTCAACTTTAGAGTCCTGACTCCCATAATTGACTCATCATTAAGAGTCATGCCGGGAGTCGCCGAGAGTCGATGGGAGTCTCCTTGCCAATTAGGACGATGGGCCAACGAAAAGATTTGAGCTGTATGGCGAGGGATTGCAGCAGGATGTGATTCAACGACCATTATACACCTCCTATAACCATGTAGATAGCTTCTGCATCCGTATTACATGGGCAGGAGGAGTTCAAAAAAAATCCTAAAACCCATCAAATCTGCATGGCACTGAGCAGGGTGGCCGCTGAGGACCATGCTGGCGCCTATCAGGGGTGCTCGCGGTTCCCCGAGCGAGCATTTCAAGGCTGTTAATGAAGAAGATTTCAAAGGAAAGCTAGTCAATGAATAGGGATTATTAGCTCGGTTATTAGGCTCGCTCCCAGTCCCCCTCATTGACCGGCACGTCCTCGGCAGCTGCTCCCCGACGAAGTGCCCCATTGCCTCCACCGTCTCTGCCTCGCTGCTCCTCTCCACATCACACATCAAGAACCGCACCGTCTCGAGCGCGGGCAGCGCGCCAAGCGCCGCATCGAGTGTGTTCTACAGCACGCATCGCGCACCCGCGTCCGCATCCGCACCGATTTGCCGTCGCGCGGGCGGGGCTCCCCCAGGAACGGTGCGCTTGTGGAGCACGCGAACGCCGCGGGGGCCGCTGTCGCGCAGAACACCTGGAGCGCGATCTCGCGCAGCGCGGGGAACGCCTGCACCTGCGGCACGAGCACGCGTATGTAGAGCGCGAGCGTGGCGCGGACGACGCGCAGGAGGTCCCACATCCCCGCAGCAGCGTCCGCGACGGGCGCGAAGTCGAAGGAGAGTGTGAGGTTCTCGAGGCGCAGGCAGGCGCTGAGGTCCACCCCGAGCGCGGCGTGCGGCGCAGGCTCGAGGTCGTTCACGGGCGCGTGGGCCGGGATGATCGATTTTGCTATTTCCCCGGAGGCGCCCAAAGTTGACTCTACCGGCGGCTCCGGTTTGACTTGAACCCGACTCTGGTGCTTAGTCGTGTACTAATGGGTGACTAAATTGGAGTCAGATTTTGGAGTCGGACTCTTAGTCATGGCACTTGACTCTGACTCCCGAGTCGACTCGAGTCGAGTCCCTGCAACACTAACTAAGCTGACCACGGGCTTCGCTGGCGTTGCCCGTCCCCACACGACAGGCAGCCCAGGGGCGTGTGAGGTAGGGAAATGTTATCAAATATGTTATTGTATCGACCCCTGGGCGAGACTCCGTCAGCAACTCGGAAATGTTGAGGGATACATAAACTCTTTGTCAACATGCGCCGAACATTTCCCCGTCTTTGTCAGGTAATCCGGCTCACAACATGCGCGAGTCTCGGAAATGTTGAAGTTCAGATCACATGACTACCGTCCCTTTAAGGCCTGGGGCCCACCATGAGACATGAATCGATTCTGGCAGCCTCTGAGTTGTCTGCAACGAAAAGGCCAGTGCTCACTGATGCGGGAACCCGGACATCGACGACACACACGTGATCAACATTTCCAAGACTTGCGCCTGTTGTCAGTCGGATTACCCGACAAAGACGGGGAAATGTTCGGCCCATGTTAAAAAACGGCTTGAGTATCTATCAGAATTTCCAAGTCTCGCCCATGGGTCGATACAATAACATATCTGGGAACATTTCCCGATCTCACACGCCCCTGGGCTGCCCGTCGTGCCAATGCCTCTCGCGACGTCGAATTGATGGACCAGAGGATGCGGGCGCTATTGCAGCGCTCAGCACTCGGCCTTCTCCGACACCGCTGCCGCCACCACCGCCGCCGACAACCTCCCTCCTCCTCCTCCTCCTCCTCCTCCTCCTCCTCCCATTGCTCTCCACCAGCTTGCGCATATCACGAACCCACACGCCCCGACGCGACCGCCGCACGCCCTACACCAGGCCTCTTCCGGATTCCTGCACCACGACTGCGACCCCCGCTCTCTACCGACTACGATGGCCTCTGGTGTTTCCCGCCTCTCCAAAATCGCGTTCATGACGGTATGGGCGAGCCCGCCGGACTCCTCCCGATGCGTCTGCGCCCTACCATCCCCCTGCCCCATCTTCATATGCTTGGCGACGGCCAATACGCCGCGTCCTCGTGCGCGCGCGTCGAGCCGACACCGCCGCCGAAGACGGCGTCCATACAACTTCCATACTGCGTCCACAGCGACTCATCGTCGTGCTCGTTTCGAATGGAAGACCGCTGCAGGGAGCAGCCAATCCGTCATTTTACGACAGGTGAGTTTCCCGCCGAACGTTTTCATGAATTTATACCGATGCTCGTTTTCCACAGGCCCACAGCGCAGTCGTCGCTCGGCGACCCCGCTACCAACCTTCGGAGCTCCCGCGTGGTCATGTCTCGAGCACCGCAAGCACCGAAGCTGCGGCTCTCTGACGAAGGTGAGCGTGGTATACATCATCTACCGCCTCAATCTTTCTAACTTTGTCGTCTTCGTCGCGCTCCTCGCACTCGTCGCGATCGACTGGCGCAGCTGTCCGCAAGACACCGGAGACGACGTCTCCTTTGGTTGCGAAGACGGTGGACACGGGGAATCGTGTGGGAGTGTCGTGGACGCCATTGTTGCCGTTGCGTCTCTCGTGCTCACGTGAACCGAGGACGACGTCAGGGCTGGGTTCTCGTCAGGTGAGTAGTCTTCGCGGTGTCCGTATCCCATTTGTTTATATCCGGTGCTTGCTCCCTCCAGGCACGGCCCTCGAATTCGCTCTCTCGCCCCGGCCCCTCGAATCGACTCTTCATCTTGGATACATCGCCGGCAGGGATGTCAATCCATGTTTCCTCACTTGTGGGCCCGATCCCCGCGAGACTCGCTATCGGTAAGTTCCTGGGCTGCGTCGTGAAGTTGTTGACGTGCACTTATAGTCTGCAGCAGACTTTCCGGTACAGCATCACGAGCGGGAGTACTGGAGTAGACGTCGGAAGGAGCACGTGAAGGTGAGCATTGCCGTCATGATCGACAGAGTCATCTTGCTAACCTTGTCGTCTTCTTAGCTTTCGTGCTGCTCATCAAATGCACGCGCCGCCTTCCTTGAGCGCCGCCTCCGACCCTCGGTCTTTCCGGTAAGGTCGCCACGTTCACCACGGCGAACCTTACCACACGCCTCAAGCACCGCCAGCGTTCACGACGAAAGGGCGGACGAGAGACGGGCTGAATCCTTTCACAAGCATGTTTCGTTCTTGCGGCGGCGCCGGCTGAAGTGCTCCTCCGAGCGAGCCTTGATGTGCCGCCCCTCCACGTCCAGTGAGTGAAGGCAACAGTTCACTGCGAGGCACCTATCCGAGGCTATGGTCCTCCCAGTGCGCCGGGAAAGGCGCAGGTGCGTACGATTGACGTTATGGGCCGGTTCTTGCTCTCTAATACTGTCGTCTTCGTCGCCATAGACCAGTCGGCTGTAGACAGCACTTCGACGACGGCGATAACCGCGGGGATGTACGGGGAGCACGGTAGAAACCCGCCCCAGGTGAGCATGTACGGCCATCCCTGCCCGCTCTCAGCGTATTTACTCATGACCATCGTCCTCGTTATTTGATAGGGGATTCCTTCAGAGACGTTCTATCCAAGATTTCCGGTGCCCTCGAGGAGCTCGATCGGCTCTGGGTCAAGGTCTGTCCGTGCATTATCACCCGTCCCGGCTTTGCGCCTGATCTCGTTTCACGCGGTGCTGTAGGTTGAGAGCTGGCCCGTCACTACTTCCTGATGCAGTGCGGGTCGACCACGGTCCGTATAGTCGCCCCACCCCGTTGTATGACACAGAGAATGTGCATATAAAGGAGTCCAAGATCGACGAGGGGACGCGGAACAGGAGGACGAGACGACGCAGAGGAGAGGTCGCGGAGGTCGCGGAAGCAGCACCAATGGCTCCACGCACGCTCGCAAAGAGCACTTCTGTCGGGCCGTAGCACTCGGCGAGTGCTCGCTGTTCTACGGCAGGTGAGTGTTTCGCACACCGTCCGGGTCTCATTTGTTTATGCCTTCGCTCGATGCTTGCTGCACCCAGGCACGGACATCAGTCCACCCCCATCCGCCCTCTTGCCGTCCACAAAAAACCTGCGCCGACTCTTGGATTTTCCAGCTGCAAGACGTATCCGTCGGCGCTGCTATCCGTTCACTCGATTGCACAGCTGCGTCGGCCATTATGACCTACGGCATGATTTCCCTCCACACCGATCACCGAAGGCGGTCGACGTCGGCATGGGTCTGCAAACTGGACCGTGCGGTGGCGTCCCGTTCACCTCGGTCGGACATGCCTGACGAGGACGATCCTGCGTTCTTCCTCGGGCCATGATCCTGCCTCCGACGATCAACGCCTCGGGTAGTCTCGCCAGCGGCGACTCCCACTACTCGTTGTACGCTCCAGCTTCGGTGCGCCGGTGCTCCGCGGCGTCGACTGGGCCATTGGACCATATTGAAGATCACAATGGGCGACTCCGTCCGTCCCCGAAGGGCTGAAGTGCGCCTCGTTTACAACGCGATGACCGCTTGCGATGGTCGAGGTCGACTTGATGGCAAAGGTAAGCCTGTTTGTATGCTCGGAGTCAACCTTGCTAACCCCGTTATGCTCGTCGTGTCCGTCGTTTTTGGTCCACTCAGACTGCTGCCAGAGGGCGCACCCAGTACCTCCCGCCACCTCCTCCCTGTCTGGCGCACGCGATCCGAGAAGGCCTGCTAACCCGACCCTGCCCACACACGGTGTGCAGCGGAAGGCGACGAAATGCGGCCAACTGCGCTTCGACTTCGCAATGTACGTCGGGCTGTTCGCTCGTACGCCTGTTAAGGTTCCTCTGGAGGAAAAGATGTACTAGGCGAGTGCGTCCGTCTACGCGACGGTCTTCATGATCTGACTTGGTTTCCACAGACAAGAATGGCATTGCGCCCAATGTGAGTGGACGCTCTCAATGTTGGCGCTATCCGTCTCCAGCGACCCAGCCGGAGCCTCGGCGGAAGTGAACTTGGAACTGGCTCGAGCTGCAGCCGAAGCCAACCTCGCTCGGGATGGACCTCGCTCCCTTTCTTCTAGGTGTGCCCCCTCCCTCTCGGCATGTGTTCTGACGGTGATTTCGCCCATCAGGTTGCAGACCGCTTCATATTTGCAGGCACGCGCCGAACCCTCTGGCGGCTCAGCAGACCAAGATTCGCGCGGTTGCGACTGTCGCTCCCCTCCGTCAGTCCACAGACGCTCGCACGGACCGTTGTCCGGAAGCCGCGAGGCTGTGATGGCGTAGATAGTGCGTGAGTGTCTTCCTGTCTGCACGCTTATCTCGCTCATGATCATCTTGCACGCATGTGCATGACCGGCTCCTCGGACGAAGGGCGAAAGGGCGCCTATGGAAACGGCGCGCGTTGTTGACATGGTCATCGCGGTTGAATCTGCAGACGTTTCGTTTGACCAATCTGGCACAGACGGATCAGTGGGTTCGTGCGCCCTGCGCGTGCACATGATCACCAGTTTTCCCGAGGGGCCTCTGTCAGCCTCTGTCGCGGTCGCCACGCCCAATGCCGCGCCTCAAGCCAATCGCGTCCACAATCGGTCGCCCTGCGCAAGGCACCCGTCCAGCACGAGGGTTCTCTCGCCCCGTTCGCCGCTACGATAGGATACCTCCTGACCAGGTGCGCGCTGGACGCGCTGGATCCGCGGGGACCGGTATCTGTAGGTTAGACGCCTTAGTCGCCATCTCTGCTGTAGTAGATAGCATTTTTTTGCAATTGAACCAGCCGAGGACCGAGGTCAACCGGCGTATCAGTGCTCAGAACTTGCCACCGTGCTCGACGCCCGGGCCGCACTGAGGCACCTGGCGCTCCGGGCCTCACGTCGTCTATGATCCGGCTCCGACTCATGCGCGCGTCGGCCGCCTCCCGTCTTCCTCCACCGCGACCACGCCCCCAGCTCAGCGCTCAGCCCCGCACACCCTCGCAGGCTCCTCGACACTCTCCCGGCGCGCGTTCCGCGTCCCGTCCAACCTCGCCTCCACCGGCTTCTGTCCGCACCCATCGCCAGCGGCGGTCGGCACACCGCCTGCTCCGCGCCCCCGCTCGTACCATGGCCAGGTACGTTACTCTGCTCGGCGGTGCTGCATCCGCCATGCTGACGCGCGCCGGGGTAGATGGAACTCGTTGTAGAGAGTGGACGCGGCGCTGAAGTGGAGGCCTCTGCGGCAGGTGCGTGTGTTAACGTCATTGACCGGGTTGACGACGGCTACTCATCGTCTTCCCCTCGTCCTTGGTCTAATACCCAGCGTCTGCGCACCGTCCTGATTTCGACTCTCCTCAGCCACATCGCCACCGCGGACTGCGCGTCCCTGGCGGACGTGGCGGACGTAGGCTCCGACGTCGGGCGACCGGGACGGCCGCGCGCGGGTGATCAGGAGGGCGGAAGCGGAGACTGGAGCGGCCGCGACGACGACGAAAGCGACGAGGATGGGGTGCGCCAACCCTCTTCTCCTTCTCTCTTTTCTACCCCGGTATGTACCCTCAACAAAGTCTGTGTCGTTTATTCACCCCAATCCTAGAGCCGTGCTGCCCCCAGACGCGGACGCCAGTTGGCCCTCTAGGGTCTCGTCGTCACTTCTCTCGACCGTCTCCGTTCTCAACCGTGACGCTCGGACCAGCCGCCTCCCATCGAGGCCGCGGATTTCGCAGTGCACCGATAAAGGCAAGTGCTGTTCACATCCTCGACAAGCACATCTTGCTGATTTTCTTGTGTCTGTCCCCTTTCTATCATCTGCTCTATGTATATCGGCCGAAGTCGATGCGGAGGGGCAAATACAAGATGCACCGTGACTCATCGCAATATCCCTGCAGGAACTCAGGTGTTTTCCTTAACCGCCTCTGCTCCCCTCACAGTTCCTTTCGCCGGTACTGCGGGCACACTTGCGCCCTTCTTCTACATTACGAGTATCAGAAACCCCCGCTTGTATCTCTATCTCTTGTCACGCCATTCGCCGCTGATCAAACTGCCTTATTCCATATGACGACGGCCTCGTGTGAGTCCGTCGCCCTCGCCTCGCTTTTGTGCGAAGTCCTCTCTCGTCTGCTATATGAATTTATTGGCGTCACTGTTAAGAACGTCCATCCCTGCCACGTTGGTTGTTCGCTGTGTTGTATGATTGGGCTGGCAATGATTTCTGTCAAATGAATCCGTGTGAACGCCAGCTTATGTAGCGCCTCGGCCCTCACAGCAAACACGTTTCTTAGTGTCCTCTATTGTCGACGTACCCGTCCTCGTCTCTTATCCACGATGTCCCTCATCAACATCCTCTCAGGTCATAGGGAATCATCTGGCGTTCAACGTGGAAAACATCGTCCTATAGTATGCACCGACGCCTGTGTCGAGATCTGGACATATGGAGGAGGTGACGTCCGTCAAGTTTCACGTCTGGTCATGCGTCCGTCGCTCACTGTTGTGCTCCCATTTACCTCAGCATTTTTCACGCGTCATACACTTTCTCAGCCGGACAACTCACAGATGATTGCTGGGTCCCGCTTACGACCACGATCCGTCCACTTGTCCACCTGACAGACAACGGACAAGCACTCCTTGTTGCATATTTGGAGCACGGTGTCCAGTGAGTCGTTAATCTATGCTGGCATCCGTAACGCTTACCTCTCTGTTGTCAGTCGCTGGGAATTCTTGCGAACGTGGACTCTGCCTCTGCATCTCCACCTGTTCCCGTTGCAGCACCCACACCAACGCATGCGGCGCAAATCGAGGCCACACGAGCTGTGTGGCAAACAGGTGCAGGAGCAACAGCACGCGATATGGTGGCTGGAGGCGGTGAGGGTGGTTGCGGGTGTCCGGCTTGTACAGGTAGTTGAACGTGAGTGGTCATCTCCCCGTCCGTATGTCCGTTATTTTCCGAAGAGAGTCTAAAGAGGCTTGTAGGCGAAGGCAAAACAGGTCGCCGTGCTCCGTGCCCACCTCGCGGAGCAGCCCGACTCGCAGGCGGAAGCGAGTTCCTCGCCCGTGCGCAGGCCGACGCGCGGACGTGACGCAGATGGACGCAGAGCACAAGTACTGGCTCAACGCCACCGTCTTCTCTCCAACTGCCAGGCCTGGTGCGGGTCCACCGCTCGACGCCCCTCCATCCCCTCGCCCGTCCCGCGCGAGATACGGCAGCGACTTCGATGCCCCACACGGCAGCAACGTGCACCATGGCTTCGTCCACAATGACTCCCGGAACGCTCCCCTTTCATCCCTCGACGCCTCGCATGCACATCCCGCCCTTCCCCTGCTTCCCACTCCCCCAACGCGTCTGCTGTGACGGTGGATATCAGCTGAGTGCGGCATTGCGGTCACGAAGTTCTACTTGACGCCTGCACTTCTGCGCGGTGTGGCGTACGATGCAGTCAACGTTCGTCATACCTAGATCTGCCTATGACATTTTCCAGAGCGCTACCGAGTCCCCGATCTTTGACTGATTCCTTGCTTCACAGTACATCACCCATCCATTAATAGTCTGGTACCTTCACTCATTCAGCACTTTTCCGCACTACTGTCTCGTGCTCGAGTGTGTGCGGCGGGGAGCTCCTGGACTTAGTCGACAACCCTGTTGTCCAGGCGTGGATCACAGTCGCTCGTCAGGCGGACATGGGGAGGCCTGTGCAGAGCAGTGGCCTGGATGCACAGTGTGGGTCTCGTGCACCGTGACATCAAGTCGGAAAGTGTGTATCTCCGGCCGCGAAGATCTCACGACACAGTTTGCTCACCATTACTCCAGACATCCTCCCGACGACGAGCCCGTTCGCCGACCTGCTGGCCTCCCAGTCGCTCATCAAACCCAACGACTTCGGCCTCTCACGCTGCTCTGCGGCTCCGACTCGTATGCCGCCCCCGAGCTCGTGACGGGTCGCGCCTACGACGGACGCCAGACGGACGCTTGGGCGTGCAACGTCGTCCTCTATGCTCTCGCCACGCGCCGCCTCATGTTCGACTCCCCCGTCGCGTCCGAGTGCACCGCGGAAGGCCGTGAAGCGGACCGGGTCGTTCATGCCAGTGGCCCGAAGAGTACCCGCGGCGGACCCCGCGCGCTTGGGCGGGACGGAGCTCGCGCAGAGCGACGGCATCCGCCAGCAGTGGGCCGCCTGCTCGTGCGCGACCCGCGCGGGCGCGCGCACGTCGCCGACCCGTGCACGGACACGGATACACGGAGAGCCCCCCCCGTATTGGAGACTGCGGAAGGTAGCTCGCGCGGTCGCCGTCGTCACACGGGTCGAGCGAGGACGGGCCGTTGCCGATCACCGTCGACGGGGTGGACGGCCGCAAGGTGACGGTCGAGCCCGGCGTCGATCCGTAGGACGCGGACGCGGACGCGGGCATGGACGACAGCGAAGGCATTCTCGCCGACGGGGAAGACATCGGGCCAGGGTCCGTTGCACGACAGGAGCACTAGCACCGGCACCGTTGGGCTCGCTCTTCCCGTCGTGGCCGTCGTGCTCGCTACATAAGAAGCCCTGCTATTCACCTCAGGGTGAACAGCCGCCCCGCATTTCTTTTCCTTCCACCCATATCCTTTTGTCTGCCCCTTTTGTCCTTGTGTCCGTTGGCTTTCTGCAGCCGAGTCCGTACTTCAGTACACACATTTCATCCTCACATCTCAGCCAAAATGTTATTTGCAGTGAAATCCTCATTCAAAATATGAGACCGACCTCGTACTAAGAGTACATGGATGGAGACCGTCGCCTCCAGCAAGAGCGGCTCCAGCTAGCTGATAGCAGATGGAGAAAGTGGATGGCTGGGAGACAGTGTCTCCAGGTGGAAACAGCTGTCTCCATCAGCATCGGGCCGGAGACGGCCGGTCTCTCTGAGTGGAGACGCTGTCTCTGGGCCTGGCTGTGAGGCCGGGCCCGTCTCCGGCCCAGCACAGATGGCGATCTTGTCTCCGGAGCCCGTCTAGGGGCTCCCGCGTTTCGTTGCCGAGACGCTGGATTCACATCGCGGAAAGCGCCGCAGCATTGCATAGTACTGACATTGATTAGAACTGAGCAGGTTGCAATTATCTCGTACGATACAAGCAGTCCCGTACTATGCCTGGGATCGTAATTATGCCAACAAGAAATTGTAATTAAAGAAGAATCCCCCAAAGGGACCTGTGCCAACGACTTGCTCTGCGTCTGGACCGGCTTGACCGTCCACACCGGCAGCAGCCTGAACCACTTTCTTCAGCACAAAGTTTTCCGTCGGGGCAGAGCCGACGAGCATGCGGCACGTGGGGCAGGTGTAGTTCGGACGCGCAACATGGCGGAGGATCTTGAATACACTGAGCTCCACCTCGATCCGAGCCTGCGGTGGGAGATCATGCCGAGAAAGCGCGAGGCGGTACTTGTCAGGAACGAGAGAATGAATGTCGTAGGCTGGGTGAGAGGCGCAGTGGATGGCCAATGCCTTCGAGAACCAATTCTGCAAACATTCTTGGCAGAACGTATGTCCACACAGTAGGCTTGTATGGACAACAGGCAGGGGGGAAGAGGCGTGAGGAAACCTGCGTGTAAGCCTGGAAGTTACGACGAGTGAGGTGGAAAGCTCACACGTAAGGACGCCCCATCCGGCATGTGCATATGTCACAATTCAGATGCTCTTCAAGGGCAGGGGGTACAGACTTCTCGAGATCATCCTATGCAAATAAACGAGGTGAGTCCCTGACATTACATAGACAAATCAAAGCTCTTACAATACGGGCTTGCAGAGCCAGCTTTTCCTCGTGCTGTACACCCAGGCGGTGTTTCAACCTTTGGATTTCCTAAACGTGCGCAAGCCTCTCAAGCACAAAACCTGGACATTCGACATGAAGATACATACCTCTTGTAAGTCCTGCTCCGACTTTGACGGCACGCGTTCTGCCGTCCTTCCACGTTTCCGAGGCGGCGGGGGCCCAGTGTCTTCGTCTGAGGAGATATCGATGACCTCATACACGGAGCTTGACCCTGTCTCTACGCTGAGTTGCGCGTGTGGTTGAGGAACGGCATGGCCCACGGCCTGCTTCTTGCGTGCTGGACGTTCCAGTGCTTCGTCGGGGAAAGTGTCATGAATGGGCACAAAGCGCTGACGTCTGGGCAGTGGTAAACGGGTAGAGATTGGAGGTTGCATAAAGGCGAGTGCAAAAAAGCCTGTTGAGAAGTGGTGTGTGTGGGGATTGAATAAAACGATCGAAGCTGAAAGGTTGGAGAAAACATACCTCCTCTTTCCCCTAGCGCCGCCAGGGGACCGTCTGCCTGCCTCCCCCGAAACAGCACAGCGCAAACACCTCTAGGCTGATATAAAGGTCTGTGGGAGGCAGCACTAGTTAGTGAGGATCCCCAGAAGATTGCAATGGCAAGTTGGTCGGGACACACACAGCGAGGGGACGGAGGAGACAAGCGTTCATTACATAATTTAGCGCACACGCACCGGTCGACGCGGGAGAGCCTGGGAGAGCTGCACGATCAACAAGCCAGTTCACAACCTCGATCATGCTACACGCCGCCTCCTCTCCCCCGTGCCCGCCGTGGCTACGACAGCCTCCGCTCTTTCCCGTCCCTGTCCGAGTACTCTTTCACGGGTGCACGCTGATCGTGTTTCGCTATCCCCATTCACTCGAACGCAAACCAACCGGCTCCAGCTCAAAGCATGCCCGCCTCGCGACCTCCCCGCTCCAACATCCTCGCGCCGCCATAATTCCCCACCGCGCCCCTCGTGCTCCTCTGTGTCTGACCCTCCGTCGTTTATGCGATATGTGCTGACCATAATCGAAGCAGGTCGTCCAACCCGATTTTCTCCGCCACGGCTCATCTGTCTTCTCTGATACCAAGATCGGCGGCGGACCCTCCGGCCTCATCCTTGTCAAGAGCGGCGTCCCATTTTACGATCCATCGCTAGGCCCTGCCGTCCTCCCTCGCCCCGAAAACGGCACCTAGTCCACTGTCCCGGACCCCGGCTGTGACGACCGCCCCCTTCCCTACACGTACCTGCTCACCGTTCCGCGCCTCGTCTGCCTCGCGCGGGTCCCCCTTCGGCGTGGACTGGCATAGGCAGGTTCGCGTGCACTCACACATCCATGCCGTCTTTCACAAGCTGCCTCCTCCGCGCGTCGCTCTCTACGAACGTCGCCGCGCTGGCGAAGACCCTCCGGACGCTCTGCTTCGCATCCCAAAATCGCGTCAACTTCCCGCAAGGGCAAGGAGAGGGCGCCCGCTCAGATAAATGTTGCAAACAAGCTCATCGCGCTCAAGCGCAAGCAAGCGTACGCAGTCCTTTTTATCACACCCTCCTACCTTCTCATCTTCTTCTCCGCCACTCAGTGCCGCCACCACTCGCGAACGTCCAGAACGGCCAGAACGTCCGTCCTTCTCGACAACAAGAGCCTCATCAGCCCACCCTACCTCACCGCGGCGACCACAATGCGTCCCCCATGCCCAACTCGAGTATCGCTGTCTGGAAGGCTCCCCACAGTACGAGGCCGATCCAGATGACTTCTTGCGGCGGTCCAAGATCTCATCCTACCCACATGGCTCACACTCGTGCCCTGCCGCCCACGGCAGTCCCGGTAAGCTCTACGATCCCAACACGGACTCGGTCCGCAAGACTTCCCCCATGTCACCGCCGAGCCCGACGCAATGTCCGATGCCGCCTCGAGTCCTTATTCGCCGCGAGTCTCCCGTATGCACAAGACGCCCGCACCCTCGTGGAACACCGACAGCTCTTTGATCCTCTCAAGCACAGCGGCCGCGACGGCGACGAAAGCGACGAGGATGGGGTGCGCCAATCCTCTTCTCCTTCTCTCTTTTCTACCCCAGTAAGTGTCCTCAACAAAGTCGTGTGCCGTTCGTTCATCCCAATCCTAGCGCCGCGTTGCCCCCAGACGTGGACGCGGACGCCAGTTGGCCTTCCAGGCTCTCGCCGTCACTTCTCTCGACTGTCTCCCTCTTGCCCACATTCTCAACGGTGACGCTCCGGGCGAGCCGCCTCCCATCGGGGCCACGGATCTTGTAGTACACCGATAAAGGCAAGTGCCGTTCACATCGTTGACAAGCATGTCTTGCTGATTTTCTTGTGTCTGTCCCCTTTTTATCATCTGCTCTATGTATATGGGCCAAAGTCGATGCGGAGTGGCAAATACAATACACCGTGACTCGCAGCACTATTTTTGCAGGAGCATAGGTGTTTTCCTCGTACCCTCTTGTCAGTGGCATCTTCTCTTATCGTGTACTCCACTGTGCTCGCTTTCCCTATGACGTTTCGTCCTGTGTCCACTCATCGTCTTGGTGGACATTTATGTTTTCTCCTTGCGGGTTTTGTGAATGGGGTCAACTTTATGGCTCTCCGTATGCGGCGTAATCTTTCCACCTTCTGTGTACACGCAAATATTCTTGGTAACCATTGATCCGACTTTATCCTTTGCGCCTCCGAAACGTCCAACAATGGCAGGAGGCGCTCTGGGGGGATTATTCGGCGGGTGTCTCCTCCTCCCAGGTAGCGCCTTTGATAGGCCCCTCGACGTCAAGTGCGCGCCGATCTCGTCGACACCCGCAACCGATGGGAAGCCTTCAAAGCGTAAGCAGCCGACGAAGGTCGCACGCGAGGCCAACCGCCTTGCCGCTCAGCAGGCGATCCGGCAAGTCTTCGCCCGCGCCGACTTCCGTAACTTCGCCCCAGACGCGGCTCATTCATACGGCGCCCGCGTTGTTACTCTCGACGACGTGGCGCGTGACCAAGATCTCATCCGCTCGCTCGTCTGGGAGGCGCACGAGATGAACTGGCGGTGCGAGGTCCTCGCTCTGGATGCCGAACTAGCTGGGTCGCGCAGGTGGTCCGACTTGGACCAATGGGCGCGCGAGTCCCTCGTTTCCGAATTCTGGGGGAGTGCGTCCTCCGGGATGGACATATGCCCTTTGGGTGACGTTGATCGCTCGTCATCCTGCTGGGTCCGGCCTCCGGACGCGAGGTGGGAGAGTGGGAGACCTCGTCTGCGCGCGTTGCTCGAGCTGCAACGTCGATGGCCTGGTCGTCCTGCCAGTCTCTTTGGAGCCGCGAGTGAGGTCGATGAATGCGATGTGTTCTGATTTGCCAATATTCAGGCTGCCGTGATCGAGTTTTACGTTGACAGTTTCGTGCGCACCTACCAACGCCTTCCGATCCCGCCTGTTCGAATCCCTCATGTTGTCACCACGGTAGTTACCGGTTCCTGGTCTCTCGCTGTCCATGTATATCCTGATGCGCCTTGGTAATACGACTTGTCTCCTTCGCTGCTCCTGCTCGATTTCCCCGCACCGAACGCTTCCCCATCGGACTCCTCGCCTGCTTGTTACGTGAGTACATTACCCCCGTTTTGCGCCGCGTTCTGATGCCGTGTTTTGGCAGTAACGTCATGGGGGAAACTAAACTGCGATTTGAAGAGATCATCCTCATCAAAGCCTGGTTGTCAAAGCCACAGATACAGGTGCTCTTGCGTGGCAACGACGTGAAAAGGCAGATGAAGGCTACGGAGCTGATATTGACAGCTTACACCAGAGGGTTATCCAAACCATTGGAGGGCGAAACAACCAAGCAATTCGAGGCACGTCGCAAGCACCAGAGGGGGCGCGGCAAGCAGGACAAGCCCATTCCTCCGGAGACCGCTGCGGATGTTGAGGAGCGCAAGGCGATGGCCAAGAGCGTACGCAGCCTCTTTCTCGCCTGCTGAAGTAGGCTAACCGCTCCCCTAGCGTATCTTGGGCCGCATCAAGGATTGGTCCAGGGTCAACGTACGTCGTGTCAACCGCCAACTTCATGGTTCCCCTCCATTTTCTCATCCGTCTGTTGCAACTTAAAGCCCTCTTCTCTTCAGAATTAGACGAGTATCAAGCATCCTGACGATATCCACTCCGTCTACGCATGGCCATCGCTAGAGAACACAACCTCAGCCTCTGATCTCCCGCGACGGGGCATTGCCTTTCTATAGAGGTTCCCCACTTGACCCCGCATACCCCACTTTAGTCGCCGCCCCAGGTTCAACGTTCAGCCTGTGGTCCACGAAAGCGGCTTCAAGGCCGCAAGGGATTGCTGTGGGCCGCGTCTTCGCAAGCACAGAGGAAGCTTCGGGGGACAAAACTAAACAGCCCGTGTTATGGAAGCCAACTGGAATGTCGTCGTGAAGACCTTAGCCTAGCAGCGGATGGCTTCCGACGTCACGTCGGTCACCTGCGAGTGCGTACGGATGGATGAGAAAATGGTTAGTTTAGCCCGATTATGGCAATCGTCCCCATAGTCGTGTCCCGCTATCCGACTCGCGCGAGCTACTCGGACATTCTCTTCGCATCCCATCTCAGGGCTGAGAACGGTGACTGATTCTCATATATATACTGCCAGTCCGGGGCCCCAAAGAACGCAATTCCTCCCTTTCCCTCGAGCTCGCCTGTATCCAACCGCCCGTACGATCAGCCGACATCTGTCTCGTCTCTCCTCTTCTCTCTCTCTAGGTGTTCTATTATCAATCGCCGACACCCGTCACTTGGGACGACAACAGGCTCCAAGACCGAGACAGAGGGCGAGCTCGTCGCCATGCCCAACGACAGTCCACCCACCCAACCGCGCTTCCGCCTGGCCATCGCGTGCGTCTCCCTCGTTTCTGTCTCATTTCTCGCCTGATGTGTCCTGCTTCTCAGCGGTTCCGGAATAGCAGGCCTCACACTCGCGATCGCGCTCGGACAATTTGACGATCCGGTGTCGCCCGTTGAGATCGACATATACGAGTCCGGGCCCGAAATCACTACCGTTGGCGCGGGCATATCCGTCTGGCCGCGGACGTGGGCAATCATGCGCAGGCTCGGACTACACGACGAGCTCATGCAGGAAGCAGTGAAAGGCAAGTGGGAGACGAAGAAGAACCAAGACGAAGGGAGCACTCTACATCAAGCGGGCGGGGATGACGGAGACTGCGAGGAGACATGGAGTGAGTCCACAGTGTACTATACACTGCAGAAGGTGCTGAGATCCGGTCCAGGGCCGGCCTTTGTGTGCCGCAAGTCGGACTGGCCGCGCGAGGGCTTCGAGTTCGGGCGCATCATGGTCCCAGGTCGGCCTCCCTCCTCTCCCGCTTGCTCTCTTCCACGCTTACCCTCGCGCGCACACATGGCGCGACCACGATGCACCGCGCCTGCATGGTCCGCGTCCTCACCTCCCCGCGCACTGCACCATCCACACCACCAAGCGCCTTGTCTCCTACAACCCTCCCTCGCGATCCTCCACGGCCATTAACGGCGCATACACCCCGCACTTCGTCGACGGCACCCACGCGTCGGATGACGTCCTCGTCGGCGCGGACGGGATCAAGTCTGAGGTGCGCAGCGCTATGTACACGCACACGCACGCACGCGATTATGACAGCACGCCCGTTGCGGCATGCGCGCGCTGTGCGCGCTCCCGCCCGAAGTGGACGGGCACGGTCGTGTATCGGTACTTGATCCCGACGGAGCGACTGCGTGAGGTTAACCCCGCGCACCACACGCTGCATGTGATGGCACCGATGAGCGTGAGTGCTGGTCCGGCTTCCATTGTCTTGTTTGAGGCTGACGCGCTGTCTGCAGTAGGGAAGGTAAGCGCTCAAAGATCTATAGGGAAGACTCGCGCAGGTTGACTGATTTCGCGCGAAAGCATATCATCACGTACCCGATCTCGCACGGGAAGTATCTCAACTGGATCGGCTTCGTGACGCGGCCCGGGAAAGAGGGCACCGAGTACCCGCACAAGTGGGTGCTCGACGCGGACCAGGACGACGTCGTGCGCGAGTTCACGGGCTGGGAGCCCGAGGTCGACCAGATGATCGCCGTGCCACGTCTCCTTCTCCTCGCGCGCATAGCTGATTCACTCGCGCAGTGCGTGGAAGACCCGAAGTTGTGGGCGATCCACGACATCGAAGACCTCCCGTTCTCCGTTTCCGGTGGAGTCGCCCTGATCGGAGGCGCGGTGCGTGCAGTCTCATCGCGACTCTGGACGCGCACGACCACTCACCCAGCCGCGCTCTCGCAGGTGCGCGCCATGACGACCCACTTGGGCGCAGGCGGAGGCCAAGCGATCGGGGTCAGTGCGTTCCCTCCCTCCCCTCTGCGGTGTGCTGAGCACCACGCCCATGCAGGACGCGTACCTCCTCGGCACCCTCCTCACCGACCCGCGCACCTCTCCGTCGCGCCTCCCGCGCGTGCTGGAGATCTACCAGGCCGTCCGGCTCCCCTTCGCGCGCGCTGTCGTCCGGAACGCGCGCACGGTCGGGCTCATGTACGAGTTCAACTCGCCTGGGCTGTACGCCGCGGACCCCGCGCACGGCGAGCCTACCGCGGTGGGCGTGCGCTCGGGGGAGGAGGACCGTGGACGCGAGACGGCTGCGGACGTCGACGTCGACGAACTGAAGCGGCGCTTGGGCGGGCTCGAGCGCGCGATCCACGGGAATGTGGCAGTGGCAGTGGAAGGAGAAGGTGGAGAAGCAGTGGGCGGAGGCGGAGCGGATGATGGACGAGCTGGAGGGCCGTGCGGCTCCTCCTCATCGGCGATTGGAGAGGTAGTGTGTCGTCGCATGAGTTGTGGCACGTTGTACGTGGTTCAGAGATCCCATCGATTCGAGACTGGCATGCTTCTCCACTTGTGCCTCCGTGTGCCTCCCTCTCAGCGACGGCGACACCTCGTCTTCGACTGAAATACCCTTTGCTATCTTTCCGTTTAGCAGCCAATCTCGCTCAAGTTCTTCGGGATATGGTGGCTCCTTTGGACCGCTCGCGCACGGAGCCGGGAGTGCCCGATCCTGGATATGGAAGCGGGCCGAGAGGACACGAAATTCCGAGATATTCAGAGTACCGAGAAATACCGCACGCCGGAGACCCGGAAAGCCAAGACGACTCTTACCATCACTTCTCGTACGTAGTGTCATGGTTCGACACAAAACGAGTACTCTCAACAAATCACCGCTTTATCATTAGGACCGACCCCGCCAACTCTCAATCTCCCGCCGGCTCCCCACCGTGAACACCATCCCACGACGCCTCCTCCTCTTACTCGGCGCACCGCGCCCGGATGTCAACGTAGCACGCCTTAGCATGCGCCTCCGTCGCGGGCTCCTTGTGGCCGTAGCTGGTATCGAGGACGAGAGGGCAGCGCGCCGGGTCAAATTCGCGAGCACGACCGTGGCGTTGACGCGCCAGGAGCATTTGATATCGACAACGTTCGTCCCATCTTGCGGAGGACCTCGGGCGGTGCGGCGTAGTCGAGGAAGTCGCCCAGGACCTGGGGGTACTCGCCCGGAGGACGAGGACGGACTCGGCGCGCGGAGAAGGGCGACCAGAGAAGCCAACTGGGGGATGCCGCGGAGGCGCATGACGAGAGCGACGGGGAGGTAGAAGGAGTAGCAGGCGGTCTTGAAGATGTCTTCTGCCGCGTTGGAGGAGGAGGTCGATGGGCCGGCCGATCTCGGGCTGGAATGTTGTCTGTCTGCTCGACGCGCATTAGTCTTCCCCCGCGCGCGCAATGAAGAGACAGGGACGCACGTCGTGGAAGAGCTCGGGGACGTCGCACTGGTCCTGAGCATGGAGGTGCTTTGTGGGGAGGAAGTATATGACGCCCACGAAGATGAAGGAGGCGATGTAAGAGACAGCCTCGACGCGGTACCAGCACGGCTGGTCGCGGGGGGTGACAGACTGGTCCAATCCGAGGGAAAAGGTTTGGAGCTGCGCATGAGCGAGGATCGGGGTGATCGCAGAAGACGAAGAAAGTTCAACGCACCAGCCGACTCGAAGGACAGCCTCGAAGTAGTACTTGTCGTCGGTGAGCGCGCATCGGGTTCAAGAACCTCCGTAGATCGACGATGGAGACATCCCGGTCCTGCATTGTAGTACAGGTTCGGGGGCGGGGGAGAACAGGGAGCAGGCGGGCGCGTTTGGGCGCATTTGGGGGCCCACCGGGGAGCTCGTCGCGGGGGGGCCGCGGAAGAGGCGATGAGAGCGGCTGCCGGCAGTCGTAAAACGAGAGGCGGCGTGGTCGTGCAGTGGCGTGTGCAGCGGCGTCCCTCGCTCCGCGCGGTGTCTTCATCTGTCCTCGACATCCAACAGTCCATCGCCCTCCGCCCAGTGGGGAACTTCACGCCGATAGAGCCGTCGGGAAGTACAGATGGTCCCGATCGGTTTCGTTGCGGAAAGTGCGGACCTGGCGGGGCTTTTGGAGTCGGACGGTAGTTTGTGGCGCTGCCAGTGCTCCATCTCGTGCTCGACGCGAGGATCCCGTGCAAGATCGCGGCTCCGAAACAAACCATCAAGTGCGGTAGAATGCAACGGAAACCTTGAGGAGAGAGTCGGGTATTGATGACGCGGCTCGCGGCCTGCGGCCTGCTCCCACCTGCGAAAGTCTGGGCCCGCGGCTAGGTTGGACGAATGCAGATGACAGACTGGCGTCGGGATGCGCTGGGGAGAAGGTTGCGGAGATAACGGTATGAGTGGACGTGCGGCGGGACGAGGAAGGCGACCGACCTGTAGCAAGATACGAAGCTAACGGAGAGCCTGGTGCGGGGCGCTACGTTTGACGCCCGGCGAGCCGGTTCGATCGTCCGTGTGACGAGCCAGCCAACGTGGCAAAGCGAAAGACGACTAGGGGGAGGGGTGAGTGTCGGGAAGCTTTCCGGAGTTAGAGTCGCATTGGAAATTGGGTAGCATTCTTGGGGAAATCAACGAACATTGAGAGGAGAGAGACGTACCGATGCGAGACACCAACAGGTCAGCAGGTAGACCGCGCAGCGTGAAGGAACTCTGGCCTGCGGGCGCGGAGAGCGTTAGACGAGCGAATGGCAGGTAGAGGATGTTAACTCACGTACTCTGCTGCCCATGATATAACGCAGCTCCAGCAAGCGTTGGCTCGGAGAGATGCGCACGGCACATACACGCACGTGCTCCTGAGGTTGCCCTGCGAACGATCGGCATGCGCGACTGAGAGGGCGGTGGAGCAGAAGGTGGAATAGCGTTCGCTGGATGCGACTTTGATCGTGCCGACGATGTGTGGGAACGCCTTGTTCTCTAAGGTCGAGGACATTCCTGCGGTGCCTCTCAGCTGAGCATCTTGTGATTGGCGCCTCGTACTGTTCTTCCAGGTCGATGACGATGTCGTTGCGCGTAGGTCGGGGAAGATAGCGATGGCGTCTGGTACGGATTGTTGCCGGGGAGGTCGGGCGTTCTCAGCACATGATACGCACCATGCTCTGGACGCGAAGGGACGCGCTCCGTGACGCTATCTTCACCTGCACGCGCGATGAGAGTGGGTTCAAAGACCCCAGGGTGAAACAACGCACCGTATGCCCGGCGATTCAGCTCCTGCCCTTTTGCGGTGCGGCTCGAGTCTTCTTCCCGCTCGCTCAGAGGTGCAGCGAGATGCCGCCAGTGAAATCTCAGACGCAGGGTGCCCAATACAGGATCTCCCAAGCCGTACCTCTCTGGCGCACCCAGAGGCCATGCAGGTCTTCCGGGCCAAGGGATCACGCGCACGACGCGTCTGGGTGTCGAGGTCCGTGCGCTCTGGTAGCTCTGACCTGTACGGGAAGAATGAGCGACACGGATCGCAGCGGCTGAGAGACATTGGCGAGCCTTGCGTTGCTGGACATATTGGTGGGGATGGAGGAAGGAAGAACTCACCAAGTGGAAGTGATGAGTGAGCCCGTACACCACTTGGCGTACTCTTCGCGGAAGAGAGGCGACTATGAACACGTCAGAGTTGCACCTTGCACTGCGCAAAGTCGTGCGGGATAGAGGCACTGAGGTCGAGATGGTATAGACGGCGAGGTTGTCGAAGCAAGAGGCGAGCGCAGCTGGTCGATCTGTGAGACGAGGGAAACCTGGCATGGGCAGTACCCTTGAAGGCATTTGACCGTTGTGAGGGTCGTAGCAGTCAAGAAGTAGTCATAGAGCATAGATCGGCGAGATGGGTGTTTGGAAGTGAGTCGCGGTGAGAGGCTGCTGGGGAGCAAGTGATGCAAGACCTAACCCTGGGACGAGATTCCTCACAAGTGGGTTTATTGCACGAAGCGCTGTGCTTTCACTGAGGACCCTCGTTGAATCTCTCACTCTCATGACTGACTACTGAAAAGTCGTAGACATCACCCATATTCAGCGTCGAAGAAGCTGGAGTTGCCAATCTGAATTCTGTTCGCCACCTCGTATTCTCATCATATACCCGCACACGAGTCATTCCCAGAGATTGTCGACCTTGTCAGTGTCATTGACTGCTACACGCTCTTCACCCTGCACGCCTACCGCCCCCAGCCTCACGCCCGTCATTCGAGGTAACAGCGGAAATCTTGTCCCAGTACCGCAATCTAGGACGAGGTCGCGTTTCTGGAATAGAAGCATTGTGCGGGGTACCTCATGTGCCACCACTCTCGTCGCGCGCAACTGCGCTCCCATGTCCCGAGGATCTCCCGCCTGGCGCCCTAAATGCCCGGAAACGGCCTGGGCGCAAGGACGCCCAGGGCGAAATTCCTGAGCTCCTGGGATCCCTGGTCACCGGTCACCGGTCAGGCCTTCAGGCCCCCCAGGCGCCCTCCGGAGCCCACAGGGATTTGGGGAATTACTGACAGTGAGCACGATGTCATCAGCATGCGCGAGGCATTTCACTCTGATCGTGCCGAGGAAGACATCGCCGTCATCGTCATCAGGTAGGGCCAGATCGGACATGAAGAAATTCCATGGCATAGGGGACGCGGGGTCGCCGATGAGAATCTCAGAGGCCCCGGCGTCAGGATCCCGGCTGCGGCATGCCGCGATGCTGCGCTACGTTCTTTGCCACTCGTTTGCTATGGTCCGGCATTCTCCATGCGATATGCTTACGGACTCCTGACATTGTGCATGTAAATATAATACGCTACGGCGCGACATTGGTCAGCGATCAACGCAGTTCTTGTATGCCCTTCTCATATCCCATCCGCTAACGGCGTCGCCGGCCGTGGCCCTTCGCCACAGGCGCTTGGCGTCCCCATCGCCGATCACGCCTCGCGCGTCGCCGCGACTCGCCCACCTCCTCGTTCTGCACACTCCCTCTTCGTCTTCGTGAGCCGTCATAAGGCGTCTCGCCTTACATTCGACATATCCCCCTGGAAGCGCACGTTGTATTGCATTCCTGCGTAGACTGTCCGAACCCAATCCACTAGAGGGCCCGCCGCCCCCCACCCTGCCACCAGGTTTTCCCAGAGTTTGGCGTGTGGAACAGAGGGGAAGGCGTTGGTGATATCGACGTAGGAAAAAGAGGGCGGCTGGCCACGCGCACTCTGCGCCTCGGTCAGCACTTTAAATATCCTGAGCGGAGGCCGTTTGGTTCCGTGGGACGTGAAGCTTCAGGAGACAACCCTCAAGGCCAATGTTGCGGTGGTTGGCAGCACCAACGTGGGCTTCCTCTTTCTTTGGGGCCGCAACCAGAATTTTTTCGAGCCAGCTAGCGGGAGCACAACCGCCTGCGATGCAAACGTTGAAGAGCTCACAAAGGTTAGAGTCACCATACGGACGACATCCGAGTACGAGAGCTTGTCCGCGCCTGTCGCCATAGGCGCCGATAAGGCGCCCAGCGTGCGCGCCTGTACCGCTGCGCCTCCTCCGGTCCCCTCCCCAACGCCACTGGCGCATCCTCCTCTCCCATCCTTTCCTCCACCTCTCGCCCCATCGCATTTCGGTCTCTTGAACCCCCATGCCCTCTTTTCTCCACATTTGATCGCAACCGGCATGCACGCGCGACGGGACCTCGTGCGGTTGCCAACTCATCAACTGCAGCCGTGCCATGGTTCGCAAAGGCACGTTGTTTCTCTCTACGGCGCTTTCATTGCCCCACTGTGCCCCACACCCCTGTTACTCCGCCGGATCGTACAATCCCATGCAAAAAGTTGGGCTCACACTCGCCAAGTGTTTGCAGCACTCGGCAGACCAGCTCTCATATGAGAAGGGCATGATTGGGGACCTCCAATCTCTCTGCCACAAGAGAAGTCCATCCAAGCGTGGCGCACGCGGCTCGGCCGGTTAGGTCTCCAACGCGTGTATCAGACGTCATCCATCAAGCAGCACTCAGACGTTCTCCGGAATCGGTAAGTTTATTGCCCGCTGTTGCAGAGCTGGAGGGAGTCTGACGAGCGACTGCAGTGCCATGTTCACACAGTTGACGATAGAGCACCGCACATCCTCCTGCTTAACAAGTCTAAAAACCGTTTGGATATGATGGCGAACGGAGATAGATCGCACAGCTGTTCATGGGGTGCGAGCACGGCGTCGTCATCGTCTCGCCCGACTGCCGTAAGTTCGCTCTCCTCCTCCTCTGGATCGCACGGCGACGGTGCCCCTCAAGGCTGGTCTCGCAAGTGGCCAAGGAGTTCCAGGAACACGACAAGCACTGCCGCCCGCGGACATCTGAGCCTACTGGCATGGGCATGACCGAGGACGATGAAGAGCAGGAGCTCAACTCGTTCTGGCCATCCACCATCACCCTCCGCCCGACCTCCCCCTCTCCTCTCGTGTCCGCCCCTGCTATCCCGGAGGAGCTCACCGAGCGCCCCAACGCACTCCGATCACCAAACAGCTCGAGATGGCGCTCGAGCTCTCGAGCTCCCTTGAAGCCCAGCATGCCACCGCTCAGTCCACAATCTCCGTCCTTGAGTCCAAGGTCACCTCACTCGAAAACCTCGTCCAAGACACGCAAACACAAGTTCAATCTCAGGTCGAGGTCACCAAACAGCGCGTTCAAGCATCTGCTGAGTGCGCCCGTGCTGCGCCGCAAGAACTTACCATCCCCGCTGCCGCAGGCGAGGAGGCGAGGAAGGAGGAACGTGAGTAGCTCTCCTCGATGTTCGCCGAGTGGAAGACTAAAGCCAAGGGCAAGTGGAGCAGCGTGCACGAGGACTGGACTGACGTCACCAGCGAGCCAGGGACGAATGGGAGAGCCGGATGCACGCCACAGAGGAGACGGTCTCCACTGCCGCGATGAAGGTCGAGAACGGACTCGCGTCCCTGGATTTCCCAGCCGCACCAGCAGCAAAGGTTTATGAACGTAAACGCGAAGCCCCATCCCAGCGGCGGCCTCGTCACCCCTCTCAGCCCCTGCTCCCTCTCCTCGGCACCGCGCCGCGTCGTGAGGACGCACCCGGCGGTCTCAGTCCATCTCCTTCTCTCCCACCGACGACGGTGCCGACAACTTGGTCTCTCTATGCCACAAGCAGCCAATTACCATTCCCCAGTCCACGGCGGCGACGATCGCCATGGTCTGTCAACAACTCGAGCGATTCGGAGGGCACGCACCAGAGCCAAGCTGGAGACGCCCGGGGAAGCTCCAAACGCCATCCAGCTGATACAGCTGCGATCCCCAGCACCCCGCCGCCCTTTGCTCTGCTTCCACCACTGTTCAGGCAAACGATGGCCACTACATAGTTGTCTGCCGTCTGCTATTGGACCCCGTGACACTGTTCGCTTCTCCGTGCGCGTTGCCCTTCGCCTCCGCCTTGTCCCGGCCCTCTGCGTCGCTCTCTTCAACCTCCGCGTCCTCCGTCTCCGCGTCACCCACCTCCGCCCACGCCGCCATGCTCTTCCTCCGCGTCCTTCGCTTCCGCATTGCCCTCCTCTTGCCGGCGCCTGCGTCACCCTCCTCCGCCCTCAAGCCCTCTACGTCGCTCACGTCCGCGTCGCCCACCACTGCCAGCGTCACGCCCCTCCGCGTCCCGACCGCATCGCCTTCGTTCGCCTCCACATCACCCACGTCGACGTCGCTTGCCTCCGCGCCGCCCTCCTACGCGCCACCCACCTCCACACGCGTTGTTCTCCGCCCTCCGCCTCCTTCGCTGTGTCGCCCTACCACCATGTAGTAGCAGCATACGGCAAATTTCATCCCTCATAACAAACTAGCGAACCTTCATAAGGGTGATGAGAAATAATAAGGTGAGGACGACGAGCATTGTGGTAGGGCGCCCATAACGGGCACTTGATGCACATGCCCGAATCCGTCGGTCCCGCCGCGTGTAAATGCGCGTTGTCCATCTCGCACTCTTCGTCATCCTCGCTCGAGACTGTATCGATAAGCTCTTCAACATCCGTGTCGAGCCCGTCCTGGGCCTGCTGGCATACACGGTCGATGCGAGCCGCTCTGAGTGTCTCTTCACCCATCTTGGCAGCGGCGGTAGTCGCTGTTGGCGGCTGGCAAAGGCAGGTCCTCTAGCCCACATCCAACATGTACGACTGTGCTGCGAGAGCATGCCCATCTACATCCGGGTCCTACACCATCTGAGCGTAAGTGCCGAAAGAGGCTATGGAATGCGAGAAACCCACAAACAAAGAACCGGCATGAACTTGGGGCCGCCAAGGGGGTTGAAGCACACCCCCAGACGTTCTCCTGCCGCGCGTAAGGCTTGTAGCCGGTCACTCCACGCCCGCCCGCCCTCATCCCGCCCCTGCGTGCGGTCCCAGAGGGCCTCGCGCCATGCACGGGCGGGCGGGCGGGCAGGTGGCACGCACGGCATGGTACTCATCAAAGTTTGCCGTCGGCCGTGGAACAGGATCTCCTCCACCTCAGTGGGGTCAACGGGCAAGGTGCCCAGGGGCGGGAGCTCGAAGCTCTGGTTCTCGACGAAGGTGATGAGGAGCTTTGTGGCGAGGTGACGGGTGGCTCAGTGATGCAGATGCGGTCGCCAAAGTGGGTGCTCTTGTGGGTGATGTGCGCGGGCTCGCGGTAGAGGGAGTATAAGCCGCGCGGGGTCTCGATCAAGTGGCGCCGGCGCGTGGTTGGGTCGTCGGGGAGAGGCAGCGGAGGCCATGATGGCGTACAGCCGGGCGTGCTTCTTGAGCCTAGCGCGGAGGGTGCGTGGGCGCGTGGCGAGTTTTTCTGCACGGGGGATGAAGATTGCGGGGGAGAGCTTGAAGGGGAGGGGGGACGTACCTTGTGGTGAGGGCAAACCAGCAGCGGCCACGCCCTTGTGGCTCTCCAGAGGCCAGCTAGAAATTGACTCGTGGTGGGCCCAAAGGCGGTTGAGGACATCCATCGCGCATTGAACGAGTGCATGCAGGCGCACCTTTTCATCGCACTCCCGCTGAGCAGATGATTGCCACACAGCATCCAGAATGCGCGCTCCAACAACAGTGGGATGCCGAGGAGCGGAGGGCGGTCATGGGGAGCGCTGTCGCCGTCGCTGGCCACCAGGCTGCGCGCTGACGAGAGCGTGCCCATCGCCGACGTAACCATGTAAACGGTGGAGAGGGCGCCACAGTCACCCGCCAGTGGTGCCTTGACATGGGCAACTGGATGAGGCCATCCGAGGTTGATCCGAGGGACAGACGCGGCCGCAGAGGGCGTACGCGCACGGCGCCAGGCTTGCGCATATCACGTGGGGGTCTTCTGTGCATACACATGAGCGGGGATGGTGGAGGTGCAAAGCGGAGAGGGGAAGAGAGGCGAGACAACGAAGGAGGGAATTGCCAGGGTAGGCAGGGGAGAGTAAATGGGAGGTCGACATGCCCCGCGTGTGGTTGCGGCACCCACTCGTAGACACCCAGCTGGCGGTGCTGGAGCTCGTGGTGCGCAGGGAGTGGTGCGCAATGAGGGCGGCTCTCCAAGAGGCATGTGCAGAGGAGGAGCGTTCAAAGGAGTTTTCCGTATGTGCAGAATGCGCAGCCCACCGTGCGCGCGCCCAGTCCGGCGTACGCCGTACGGAGGGGCTGGGGGCAGGACCGTTCAGCACGCTCTCGTCCATCGCGTCGCTCGGATCCCAGTGCGGGGTGCTCATTGAGAACTTGACGAAGAGGGCTTGGGCCCCGTCAGAGAACGGCGGTTCCCCAGCCACGGATGGAACATGTACGAGTGCACAAAGGCAAAAGGTGCGTGTTATTTCGCCCCGGGCCGATCTGCATTTGATAGCAATATTCGCGCGTTACGCCATCACGCACAGTGGCCCAAAATGGCCACTCTGCTGAACTGCTACTGCTCTGCATCGAGTAATATTGCGTGTACAGGAAGTGGGGTTCAGATTGCTTTGTGAGGTAAATACAACAGCCATCATCGTGCAAGCCCTTGTGCGTTCCGTGTGAGGACCGCCATTTAATCTATGGCATCCGCTGCAATTCCAATGCGCCTATGTGCCACCGCTAGTCGAGGCTGGCGATGGGCGATAGGAGCTGGTGTGCCCACGCGCGGACAACGCCGAGGCCGATCGCGAAACAGTAGGCGCTGATGTTGGAGCCAAGGAATGCTGTGACTGTGCCGGCGATGGCGAGGCTGAGGCATCTCCTATTGCCGCCGCTGTGGAGCTTCGCCCCGACACCTCTGCTCTAAAGAGCCGGCTTTGCAAGGACGGCGCACGCAAGCTGCGCAGCGGCGGGGCCTCGTAGCTTGGCGCCTCCCATCGCCCCTGCCGCTGCCACGGTGCCTGCATGGCCTCCGGGCTGCCTGCCGAGTAGGAACCGCCCTGCTCCCAAAGCGGGGCACCAGCGTCGCTTTCCCCTTGTGACCCCACAAAGTGCGCTGTGGCAAGTCGTTAGCATTGCCCCATTGGTGTGTGAAGCGGCGTACCATGCAGGGGATTGGGGCCATATATAGAGGCACCGGCTCGATGAAGCGCTGCTTGGACCAAGCCGTCAAGCTGCAGCCGCGACCTCGCGACCTCAATCTCCAGCCCTTGCATTGCTGAGAGCTGCTGCTCGAGGCGATCAGTGCGGCGACGAAGTGCCTCAAACTCTTCACGAGGCACCCATGCACCAGTCGGGGCGCGCGCGCTGTCGAACAGAGGACGGACCGCTTCTAGCGCATCTTCAGGGAGGATGTAGGCTAACGGCACGTCACGGAAGTCGCGTCCTACCTCGAATAAGCGAGAATAAAGCCCGAGGGAGGCAAACGTACCAGGTGGCGGCGGTGGCTGGTTGTGCAATGCCACTGTGTGAGGCGGCGGCCCACCCTGAGCTGGCAGCGGGGCCCCACGGTGCCTCTTCGGCGGTGGCGGCAACCCTGCGCCTGATGGAAGGGGTCCTCCACCAAGAACACCCTCCCACTCGCCTTTGCTGCCACTGCCGCTATCGTCAGCGTCGGTGTCATTATCGGCGTCGGCATCAGCGCCCCCATCATCCCCGGTGTCGCGATCTGGCACCCAATCAGACCTGGCAGGGAATCAACGTGACCAGCCAACGCACCCTTGGAGCCGCCGTCGCCATCCACAAATTCCTCCTCAGGGCCAAGGCGTGGGTCAAACGGATAACCTGGCTGTTGTGCTACAGGTGTTAGGAGGACTTTGATGAAGGCACACTATGGGACGCACCTGCTTGTACGCAGCCTCGCCCAAGTCCTCCACCGGCCCCATGTCATCTCGGCGGAGTGAGGCAGCCGCCAGGTTCGCTAAGGCCGCGTTGTGCTCAGCCAAAACGTCCTTGGCATCGCGGCCTGTGACACGCGCGCGGCACCATTTCACAAACCATGTTGGAACGTCTCCGATCCCCCCAATTTGTGCCCAGAGTTCGGAGACCGGAGTGGGGTTGGGGTAGATGTGGGGATTTGCCCACTGCACCCCTGCCCGGTAGGCACAATACGCAGCGACAAACCCTCGGGAGATGCCGGGCGAAAGCCTGAGGCCACATCCCGTCGCACCTGCTCTGCAGTTCTCACAGGTGTCGTTCTGCAAAGGCGCAAACAAGCACCGGATGTTGGCTTTTCGGCAGCCTCTGCATCGCCAGTCGACGGGGTCGTCTTTGGTCTGAACAAATTGTGTTATTGAGCTGGAATGTGGAGAAAACCCATCAGACTCACTGGACCAGGCGCTTCTGCGATCGGGAAGAAGTCGGGGGCGCCAGGGAAGGGCGGGAAATGTGGCTCGGGTGGCACATCGGCCCCCGCCTTGCCACGTGATTTGTATTTTCCGGCAGCCGTGTTCTTCGAGGCTTTGCTGGTGCTTGGCTTAGAGGCGGCGTTCGCCTTCGAAGCGGCATTCGCCTTCGAGCGTGTTTGCCGCTGGTTGGTCGCAGACGCTGCCTCGCCACGAGGTTCTGCCAAGGGGGCACGCAGTGAATACTAGGAAACATCCCAAGGGAGATCTGAGAGGCGCACCTTCCTGAAGAGGGCCTTTCACGTTAGGCACACCTTCAGGGGGAAGCCCTTCAGCCTTGCGCTTCTTCGCCTTTTGAGGTTTCTTGGGGGTTGGGTCGCTAGGATCGATGCCTGCGGGCGGTGGTTCATCTGCTGTGCGCAGGCATGAGCATGGAATTCGGGGGTCTAGCATGATCGTGCTGCTGGGGAATGGTTTGTGGGCACCTCCGCACCAGCTGCCAGTCGCTGCCGCATCGATTGCCGCTGATGTGGCATGGCCAGCGCGAAAACTGGACGGGGCGTGGGGAAAAAATGTAGCTGCGTGCGTACCTCTTCCAGCATCAGCCGTCGACCCCCCAATGCCTGTGAAGTCAATGGAGATGAGGGCAATGCGCGCGAGCATGGTCTGGCATGGGGAGCTCACCGGGCGCCAGGTTGTGCATTGGCATGGGTGTAGAGGGGCCCAGCGGCGTTACTGGAACTTCTGAATATGCGATGCACGCAGATGGCAAAGAACTTACTAATGTCGACCCACACAGTGTCCTTCAGTTCGCTCCATAGGAGCAGGGGGACGTCGCCGCTGTCGTTTACCTCCAGCCCCACATTAAACCCGTGATATGCCGCCGCCTGCCTGTTGCTATCGTGGGGTTTGATACGCCAGACCGATGGCTGGTACGTTTCGTCGAGGTTGACTTTGTCGTATTCGTAATATGCGGCGAGGGTGAGCTTCGGCAGGGTTTTGAAGGGCAGCCCCTGGCACCGCGCTCGGCGTATTTCGCCAATCGTGAAGTGAAACCAGGGCAGCCATGCACCTTGATTGGGGCACCGAGGGTCAGGGTTCTTCAGCAGTGCGTAGTGCACAAGGGAGGCAAAGCGGGAGACGTCCTCTAGAGAGTATGTGGCGGCCATGGTGGGGAGCGGGGCATGTGCAGGCGGTGGCAAACCTGCCGCCGACGACGCTGCTGGCGGCGATCGGCGTGGGAAATCGATGGCGCCCCCGCCGGAGGCAGCCTATCGCCTGTGGGCGCCATTGCCCCGCTACCAGCCTGCACCACGACCATCCCACGCATCCTCTGCCCTCGAGATGTCTACTATGGCAGGGCTGGTGTTTGAAGGTATGTGCTGTGTCGAAACACCCACATGCAGGGGCTCAATGCACCCTTGCGCAGGCCCCACAGACGTGCTTGGTGCGTCCTGCTTCACCCGCACCCCGTGCTGCGATTGCACCTGAGCGGGACGCGCATAGATCCGTCATGGGCGCCGCTACTCGATTGTGGGGATCGGTACGACTTCTCACCTTGGGGTGGCAGGGTTTTACCGGCAGCCGCTCTGCAGCTCTTCATCCCCTCGCCCAGCTGCACTGTTGGGGAGCTCCTCCACCGCAACTTCCATCCTGCCCCTCGGCCACTACCATGGACGCTGGGCGCATTCCTCAGATACTCAACTCGTGAGCCAGACGCAGCAGCAAATATACCACCGTGGGTGCTTCTTGTCGACCACTACTCGGATGATTCTGCCATTACGCTCACCTCGCCTGAGAACATGGCAGCGATCCCCGCCGCATCGAAATCGATCATCCATCCAGGAGCACCAGACGCCCGGCTTCCCATCTGGTTTTTGGGCCTTTGGCAGAAACTCTCTGACGTTCAGACCTTGCGGCGGGACTATCTGGATGCGCGGACGTGGGTGCTCAGCATGCGCAGCACACACGCATGGCCTGCCGGCAGCGGCGAGGAGGCCCTCCATTTCTTGGACCATCTGCCGGCTATGGATAGCCAATGGCGACGTGCCATACCCTGCCTTGCATCGTCAAACAAATGGCTGAACACCGACTCCCTCGACCTCATCGTGCGAGCACTCACAGCCGAAATTTTTGGGGCCAGCCGAGGGGGCGAAGTTCATATTATGTCGCCTGGCGTATCGGGTCTCAGCCGCCAGACGCTCCGTTCCCGAATCCCCCGATGGGTAGAGCGTGGACGCTTCCATGAACGCTCCACAGTCTACATGCCATGGCATCTGGAGCAGCATTGGATAACCGTGGCGTTCGACATCCCGACGTCGACCATCAAACGAGCTGATTCGCTGCCATCGTACAGCGCTGGCCCCATGGTTGCCGTGGTGAAGAAGATGCAAGTCATCGCCTGTTGCATTGACAAGGCGTTTGGCAGACGCCCTACCAAATGGGCTTTCGACGACGCCTCCATCCCTTGTGAACCTCAACGGGACGGCTTCTCATGCGGTGTCGCCACCGCCATGACAATCGCGCACGCAATCTTTCCTGATCGCCGCCCATGGCAGCCGGAATGCCCACAGCAGCAGCGTCTAAGCCTGCTTTTGCAGATTCTACGTGCTTTAGCACCCCAGGTGCGCCCCCTTCCATGTACATCACGCTGCACTGCACTGACGGCTCACGCCAACACTAGATGCATGGGGATTCAGATCAGGAGCCCAGCATTTGGGGACGACCCGACCTCACCGCCCCTACCAAAACGCCATCGCCTCCGTTTTCATCAGGTGCGGCAGCCCAGCCTCCTGATCAAGCAGCCCCATACAATGGCCCGACGCCCGCTGGCACGTCCACTGCGCCACGGGGGCCGCAGGGCCGTGCGTTGATCCGAGCACCCCTGTCGTTGTCCCTAGCTGACAAGCCACCGCCGACGTCCACTGCCCTCAACATTCCCCCAGTGTGCAAAAAGGCGTCTCTCCCTGCAAATTTGCAAGCATCACTGTCAGCGTCCACGAGCGATGGGACCACCGCCTTCCCCATGCCGCCCACGCCGCCCACGACGGGCAGATCTGCGCCACTCCCCCTGCCCCCTCCATTGTTCAGGAAGCCTTCATCGGCGACGGCCAACCAACCACCGCCGGACCTTACGACGGGCGCGGCCATGGCGCTCCCCGCTCCCCCCGGCCCCTTCACGAGATCAGCGGCGGTCGGCCAGCCCCCACGGCCGCCCACGACGGGCACATTGGCGACACCCACAGCGCCACCGGCTCCCTTCACATGGCACGGGTTGGCGCCGCTCCCCCCGCCCCCTCCGCTGTTCAGGAAGCCTTCATCGGCGACGGCCAACCAGCCACCGCCGCCCCTTACGACGGGCGCGGCCATGGCGCTCCCCGCTCCCCCCGGCCCCTTCACGAGATCAGCGGCGGTCGGCCAGCCCCCACGGCCGCCCACGACGGGCACATTGGCGACACCCACAGCGCCACCGGCTCCCTTCACATGGCACGGGTTGGCGCCGCTCCCCCCGCCCCCTCCGCTGTTCAGGAAGCCTTCATCGGCGACGGCCAACCAGCCACCGCCGCCCCTTACGACGGGCGCGGCCATGGCGCTCCCCGCTCCCCCCGCCCCCTTCACGAGATCAGCGGCGGTTGACCAGCCCCTGCAGCCGCCCACGGCGGGCACGGCGGCCGCGCTCCCAGCGCCACCGGCGCCATTCACGCGGCATGGATCCGCCCTGCACGCCCCACCCAATTTGCCATTCAGTAAGCCTGCGCCGGCGAATGTTGACCCCCCTTCCCTGTCGCTCACAACGGGTGCAGCCGTGGTGCTCCCTGCGCCTCCATCCCCCTTCATGAGGTACGAATCGGCGGCGGTCGACCAGCCCCCACGGCCGCCCACGACGGGCGCAATGGCGACACCTCCAGCGCCGCCGGCTCCCTTCACATGGCGCGGATTGGCGCCGCTCCCCCCGCCCCCTCCACTGTTCAGGAAGCCTTCATCGGCGACGGCCAACCAGCCACCGCCGCCCCTTACGACGGGCGCGGCCATGGCGCTCCCCGCTCCCCCCGCCCCCTTCACGAGATCAGCGGCGGTTGACCAGCCCCTGCAGCCGCCCACGGCGGGCACGGCGGCCGCGCTCCCAGCGCCACCGGCGCCATTCACGCGGCGTGGATCCGCGCTGCACGCCCCACCCCATGCACTACTCGGTAAGCCTGCGTCAGCCAAGACCAGCTTAACACCCAAGGATTGAGCTTGGCTCAGATGTAGTATGAATTGATCTAGTTTTGATTGCGACTGTTAGCTGAATACATGTGGGCAATGTCCGCGCATACGCCCACATCAGCCCGGGCGTCCAGCCTCCCCCGGCCACGTTGCTGCCGAGGGCGTGCACTTTCATCTGTGATCGCCGAACGCACAACGCCCCTTGGCCGCGCACGGGCAGTCTTCCGTCGTGGGTCGCCGGCTCGACAGCGGCTTGTTTTCCTTGAACTTGGAGCTGAGCCCATTGTGAGTCGCCATCTTGGGAGCGCAGCAGCGCGAGAAGGGCGAATCCGTTCACCAGGCTTTGAAGGCGGGGTAGCCGATGATCAAGCCCGTGTCCGAGCCTACAATGGCACGGCCTTCGCGTACTCGGGTCAAGGTTGTTGACCACCGAGCGTCCTTCTTCGGAGATGGAGGCACACTGAGAGCCTTGAGCTGGGCGCGAAAGCCCCCGAGAGAGGAGCTCGGGCCGGCGAGGGGGCGTAGGCGGGAGGAGCCGTACAGCGAGCCGGCTTCGGAACTGGCTGCAGGGTGTGGCGGCAATGGAGGAGCACGAACCGGTGGCTAGAAATATCACGCTCACTGACAGTTCTGATGTCGAGCCTCGCTGAAAATAGGGCGGCGATTGTGGGGGGGGTGAGGATGGGGCACGATGGCTCTGCGGGCGTGGGCTGAGCACGGGACATGGCAAGGGAGGCTTTGACAGCGGATGAGGACTGGAGGAGGAGCTTGGGGCGGAGGGTGGCGGTGGGGACGCCGTCGTGATCGCTTGGTGCGCCGCTGGGGATGCAGGAGGCCCACTGGTGGACACCAGCTTCGCCGCTGTGCGGCTGCCCGACCCACGGGTTTCATGGAGAGAAGGATGGGGAGGAGGAGGAGGCGGGTGATTATGGCACTTAGCCACCCCCAAACTAGCATAGTTTACGTGTCACGCGGCAAGCAACTACACTAGTACAGGTGCTAACTAAAGATGACCCGAGCCCTACTTAAACCAGCTGCGAGTTGTGCAATGAACAATGCTCGAGGCGTGGCGGGGTCTCACGTGAACGCCCTCAGAATTCTCGTGGCCAGAATGGCTGGACCGGGAGGAGAGAGAGACGGCAGCAACAACCTATAAAAAACCCTGTGGGAAAAAATCTCGCGCTGCCATCCCTCGGCCCGGACCCCTCCCGGGATCCGCGCACAACTCCATCTCGTTCCCGAAATAATGCCCCCGCTGTATTCTTGCGACGCGCACGCAATAGCGGCTACGGGAATCAAGGCCGCTCATGTGCTATCGCACCCGATCCCGTAGGTGCCCGCCTTCGCTTAGCGCAGACCAGACAAGGGAAGTGAAGGATAAGAACAAACAAATGAGCATCAACGCTGACCCGTCCCTACACGCTGTGGGATAGCGTCGCAGAGATCGAAGATCCAGCGGATCCAGTGCCCGAGCACTGGAATAGCAGCCTCGCTGCGAAGCCATGCCGCTAGGAAACCCTGGGCACCTTGGCGTTCCCATACCGTACGCGCGCGCGCGCCGGTCAGTAATTTCGCAAGTCTCTGAATCTGCCTGGATCTGCCTGGTTGGGTGATTCAGACAAACCCAGACAAGTGAAAAAAATCCAGACAGCATTTCGTAGGACCCTGAACCAGACACAACCAGACATATGGACCAGACAGCCAGGCATCCAGACTTGCGGGTCGGGGTAGCATTCCAGCTTGGTTTTGACGCGCATCACGCGCGGACGGAGCCATATCGAGGGGATTGATGCAATTGCTATTACGATAGTACAGGAGCTATACACACAATTCACGCCGTGCACACGGCGCCGACACGCCCCTGCCTCTCGCTGTCGTCGCCTCGCCGTGCCGTGCCAGTGCGGCCGCGTAGGCTGGCCCAACAGCCACGGCGCCCGCAGCGTGCCCTCGGTCCTCCTCGATCTCGGCGTGCATGTGCTGCGCGTCCGCCGCGAGCGCGTGGTATCGCCTGCGGTGCCGTTGCGCCACTCGTCGTCCCCGCGGGCCGCCGGCCCAACAGTGCCGCGGAGACTCCGGCCGCGGGATTGCTGCTCATCATGCGCATCCTCGTCCACAACCCCCGGCACCCACTCCTCCGCACTGTACGTCAGGTCCGACGCGTTGATCGGGACTAGGCCGTTGTGAGTCCGCACCTGTGGTGCGGCGGATGGTGCAGGCGAGAGGCTCGCCGCAGAAGGACAGCATCCGGCACAAAACCTCGCACGAGATCGGATTGTGTGCGACGTGAGGTCTGCGGGGGGTGCTGGTGCCGTTGTCGTTGGTCAGCGTGGGTGCTCGAGCACACATTAGAAATCTTAGGGACGCACTCATCAGGGAAGCCACCATAGAAGTCGAGCGGAGTGCTGGGGTCGGACGCGGAGGTGATGTGCAGGCGGCCGAGGGAGCCGGGGTGCTGGAGACACCAAAGCTGATGCCAGCGCGACGTGACGCGCTCCATGCGGCGTTCCCAGCGACAATGTTCGTGGTGCAGGGTATCCCGCTACGTGAGATGGTGTCGTGAAGGGAAAACCCGCCGGGCTTGGCGCATATATGCACCGAATCGGTGGGCCCCGACCACACACGATGCGTGCATAACCATCTGCGCGTTAGTGATCACCACAGCAGAGCGCATGGTATGCGTGGGTGCGCTCGACGCGCTCGACACGGCGGCGATGTTCTCCCCGCTGGACGACCTGCTGCTATGCACGACAATGGATCACAGGGGAAACCCACCGGTTTTGGCGCATATATGCGTTAAAATCGGTGGCCCCAGAGCACCATAATAGAAAAAGGTGTTTTTGGAACGCCACGCACGGCTTGGGATGGGGTAGGAGCGTCCACGGGGGGCCAAGCGTGCGGGAGGATGTTGGGGGGAGGAGGAAAGCAGCGTACCTCTCTAGTTGTGCAAAACTCGGCCAGCTCCGGTTCGTCTTGCTGCGCAAGCTTTCACTGGGGCTGAAATGGCATCGACATCAGCCACCAGAGGATCCGAATGGGCCGTGGACATACCTGGAGTTGTAGGAGGGGCTATTCCAGGCTGGAGAGTGTGTAGGGAGTAAGTCGGTGGAAGAGAGAGAGAGAGAGAGATGCGGCACTGTTTGGCGTCCGCTGCCTCCGCGACTCGACGCGTGCGCGTACGCGCGTCTGTCGCTTGCTCTTTGCTTCATTCCTCCGCGCTGCAGCTTCGCCTTTCACCTTCGCCCTCTCTCGTACAGCGACCATCTGTCCCACATTCCCGTATCAAGCGCTCTTCGCTTCCAGTGGACCCAACAATGCGGGTTCTTGGAATACCTGGTGAGCTCACAGGCATCCCTCTGTCGTCTTCGAGGCCTGCGACGAGCTCAGATTCCGGCTGATGAGCTTGCGTTTCTGCACACTTGGGCGGGAGCGCACGGTCAGTGAGGCGGGCGCAAACCAGATGCCAGTGAAGAGGGGCCGACCGACACCCTCGCCCCGTCCTCGTTCTTGTCTGGCCGGATCTCCATGATCCCCGGCGCCCGCACCAACCTCAGTCCCCGTCCCGCCCTCGAGGTACCACACCCATGCGCTGCGGTTCTCCTGGAGGCTCACGCACCTGTTACCGGCGAGCGCGAGCGCGGTGCACATACGGGCTCGGTATGCCCATGCAGTGTGCGTGCGATCGTGGTCTTGGACACTGCGGACGTCGAGCTTGGGGCGGTACGGCTGCAGGCCTGCAAGGTCACCGTGGAGGTCGACCCCGATCTTGTCCACCACCACCGGGATCGTCGATACCAGCACCACGCTCACGCTCATCTCCGGTGTGCCTCCTATTGAGTCTCCAGTTTTTGTGCACTCGCGCACACAGTCGTGGCCACGCACACAGACACGCTCACGCAGTACATGGCCGCGATGGGCACCGTGGACGACGTTGATCAGGAGTCATGATGGGGCTGCTTCGCCTCACCAACTCGCAGCTCGCGAACCTGCAGTCCCTCTTCTTCAACATCCACGGTGTCCGTCTCCCCTCCCTTCCTGCACACCGCTGCCTGTGCTGATCTTTGTGTTCTCGCATCGCAGGTCAACTTCAAGCTCACACCCAACGCGCAGATCTGGCCTGTAAGTCTCCCTTGGAGTTCCCCTCCCGTCCCGTCCACTGACGGCCTTCATTTCAGCGTGCACTCGACGCCGCGATCGGCGGGGACAAGAAGAGTGTGTACCTGACCGTGAACTCGATCGGGACGCCTACGGGCAAGGGCCTCGACTTCATCAACGTGATGGCGTTGTGCCCTGTTGCGCCATTGAACAGCACGGGAGGCGCGGCTTCCACCGCAGGGAGACGCTGCCCCTGGGTGAGAACAGCCATCGGTTTTCGGGTCGTGGTCCCACTACTCACGCATTATGCGCAGGCGGTGCTTGTCGATCCAGCCATGTGGGACGTCCACAGCGCGATTCGTGCGCGTGCTCGTGACGCACATCCCGTCTAGAGGCAGGGATAACCTCGTGCTCGCAGATGGGATGACGTTGCAGGTTGAGCACGTCAATATGTATATAGATCGTTATTCGCACGAGACAGCGTCGTAAATATTGAGCCCTGGGTGCCTGAATGCCTGACGGATGTCTGAAATGCCTGGAGTTTTTCGTCCAGGCAATTCAGGCAACCAGACATTTGCGCAATTACTGATCGGCGGGCCGTTTTACTCACACTGCTGCCTTGTGATTTCGCTGCGGCAGGATGGGGAGCGCTCCACTGCGAGAGGCATAAGGGCGGCAATATATGCAAGGCCGAGAATCATGGGGTATAAAGATGGGTGAGGCCCGCGACGTCATGGCCGGGGTCACCGAAAAGAGGGGGGTATTCAGGAACAGGGGCACTAGCCCTCGATGTGCGAGCTGGGACAGGGGACCTCAGCGGCCGCAATGCGAGGGAGGAGGAATCGAGCTCGCCTGCGCTCTTAGGCAGCAAGGCGGCACAGGCATCACCGCGAAGGAGCGGGTACGCCATGAGTAGGAGACAGGGTCCCAACAAGAGACGAGACCTGAACAAAACGCAGCGCGACTAGTCGCCGTCTGCCAGCACTGTCTGCGCGCGATGCCAGGGAGGAGGGATTGCGCTCGCCTGCGCTATTTGGCCGCAAGGCGGCGGGGGCTCGCCTGCGCCCTTTGGCAGCACGGCGGCGGGGAGGTGGGGACGCACCGTGAACCACCAGGGGGAGGCGGCTGGCGGCGAGGAGGCGGGTCTTGACTCTTCCGCCGCACAGCCTTGGACTCCATGGCCCACTCGTCGAGGCTGGGGCGGCCCTCAGACATTGGCGGAGAGTGGATGCTGTCAGGCGTGGCCCTACCACGGATGATCGGCACCTGCTGGCTCTGGCTCGTGGCTCGGGGTGGGGCTCTGGCTGAGTGCCTGGCTGTGTGTCTTCCAGCTTCTATTCCCGCTCCCGCTCCCGCTCCCGCTCCCGCTTCCTGGCGACGTGGCCCGCGTGAGTTTCGTGAGCGCAGTCGAGCGCGAGGACGTCGATGGCGACCGCGCGATGAGGTCGTTGAGCGCAGCCTGATCGAGCCCAAGGTTCGAAGCAGCGTCGAAGAGCTGCTTCAGCGCATGTTCGTCCGACGGCGTCCTAGAGTTCATAACCGGCGTGAGCGGTTGTGACCCTGACCGTGGCGTGGGCGACTGCGAGGGTGGCAACGGCCCGTTCGGACTGGTGCTCCTGAACAGGGTTTGCAGCGCAGGCGCCGAAGACGGCATGGGCGGATACAGCTCTGGTGAGGTTCCCCCGAACCGCTGTTCTGACTGCAGGGCGGTCGTGGACGCAGGTTGCGGCGGGATCTCGTGTCGCTGCAGCACAACAAGGTGCGGCGGGCCTAACGACTCGGTGGTAGTTGGGCGCTGCTTCCGGAAGCATGCCATGAAACCCTTCAGCCCGGGTCCTGCAGAAGCAGGGGGGCTTGAGGTGCGGGAGCCTTGAATCTCGGCTCCGCTGCCCCCGCGGACGACGCAATGGGAATCGGCTCGCTGCGGAGTGGAAGATGAGTCGCGCTACGCGTGTGAGGAGAGGGAAGGGGATCGGCGGTTGGGCTTCAGAGCTCGAGAGGGAAAGGCGTGACCTCTTCTCCGGTGAGCTGCGGCTTTGTGCGGATAGTCGAGCGCAGCCTCTTGAAGCGCGAGCCTATCCCACCCGACTGGTGCCCAGGTCTGGTCGCCGGCGCGGACGTCGGTGAGCGGATCGGGATCGCGTCGACGCTCGAGGACGCAGAGACGTGCATGGGAGCAGAGATCTCGCGTGGGGTGATGCGCTTGCGCACCGTGCCGCTGCCCTCATGCAAGTTCGGGATGGAAGGGGACTTGCGCAGGGCCAAGGTCGCCGCCTCCGCCCTCCACTGCACCTCAAGAGCGAGCTCCGCCTGGCTCATGCCCGTGCTGGGTGATAGGGGCGACAGAAGGGCGCTTGGGCTTGTGGGCATCGTGCCGATCGGGGGCGACATTGGCATATTCGGTGCGGGCTTCTTCCTGAGCGACTCGGACCGCTTGGGCACATCAGTAACTTCCAAAATCCCTGAATCCCTGAATACCTGGATCTCAGGGATTTCAGGGATCCCGGGGAACCAGGACGTACAGGGCGCGCTCAGGGATTCAGGCCTCAGGGCTCCCGGCGCGCGCAGGGATCAGGCCTCAGACTGCTAATCAGCCTAATACAGTCGTTCGTGTAGGTTGTGATCTATTTACATGTTCAGATAGTACCTATTGAACGTGGACGTGTTGAGCGAGGCGGGATGAACACGTTGGGTGCGGTGGGATGAACACGCGGGAAACTTGAGAGCCGTCACCATGGGCGGAGTGGGCGAGCTCAGACCGACGAATTACACCACCTCCGTCTCAGTACCATCGCGCGAGCTCACATTCGACCCCACCGCGCACGATGCAGCAGCATGGTGTGTGCCCGATCCGGCAGCATTGCAGAGCGATGGCGAGCATCGCGCGCGACGGCGAGAGCATCCTGTGGCCGTACTCTGTGTCCACCAAGCATGCGCGGCGGTGATCGCGGGAGAGAACGTGCAGACCCGTGCTGTGTAACCCCCCAAGCACGAGAGACAAATTTCGCGAACTTTCTGCAACTGTAGAGGCGGAAAAGGTCAGGTTCCAGTGTTTGGGCTTGAGAGCGATGTAAGGAAACGCACATTATCATGGCAGGAATTTTTGAAGTCCCCATGGGCCGCAGACAGTGCTGTATATGGTAGAGGTGCGGGCTGAGCACTGGGGTCGTAATCGAAGCGAGGTCATCCGCTGGGACGCGATTCACGGGATGGCCAGCGCACCTTCTTCTATAATATTCACCCCTTCGCCCACGATCTTCGGCTCGGCTTCCAGAAAGGGCGGTTGACTACTGCGAATGTTCGGGTCGTGCACACAGAGTGGGTGGGGATAAAACCCTCGAGTGAAATATACATCCTCACCATGTCTAAAAAACGGTCTTGATGCACAGGGAACCGGTACAGAAACAACTAAGCTGATCGGAGCAGTTAAGAGCAAGATCGGAAGGAATTTATGGAGGAGAACATACACTTGAACAAAATCTGTTGGGTTGCTGAGCCCGGTAAACGAGACCGGCGGTTGTAGATCCATAGCCATGACCATCTCCCTCAAGAGAGATGGGAGAGAGGAGACGAGGGGTACCTGGAGTGGTGGTGAGAGAGGAGGAGGGGAGGAGATGCGAGACGTCCGCGTCAGCGCCCACCGGTCTTCCAGAGGCGGATGACGCGGGCGCCAAACGGCAACGCGTGTCTCCTTCCTTCCCCCATCTCCCCTCCTCATATTCCACATTGTTCTCTAGCCACGCTCGCTACAAGACATGACTCTCTCGCTCTCCCACTCTCCCACCCACGTGGGATCACCTCCAAGACCGACTGGTCCTCGTTCACACTCGCGCACGGACCCGAAGCGCCCCCAGGCCCTCCAGCCAGACTCACGAGTACACGCCCGGCACGCTACGCTCCCCTAGGTCGTTCTCGCCCTCGAGCTCATCCTACCTGAACGCCCGAACGCCTGGTGCACACGTAGCCCCGATGCAGTTGCTGGAGCCGTTCGCGTACGCCGCTGCGATGCGGTTCCACGTGTACGTGCTGCACCCGCAGCTGGCGGGTACGCCGCGCTTCATCGGGACGGACACGGCGAACGCGTTGTGGGCTCATGCCACCGCACATCGGGTGTTTGCATCGCTTGGTGCGATTGCGCACAGGTGAGGAAAGCGTTCGCCGTCCTCCTGCAGCCCCAGCCCCAGCAGCCCGGCGCCCGTGCGCTCAAGGAGAGAGGTATGTACTAGCTCTCCTCATGCACACAACTCTCCCTCTGTGACGCGCGGCCCCCCACGGTTCACAGAGCGGCAATGTATTTACCATCACACGCCTCGCCAGTCACTCGCCCTCGTGCTCGGCGTGATTCCACGTGTGACGCCGCACCTCCGCTCACTCGAAATCACGATCGTAAAGGGCCCAGAGTGCGATTTGCACGCGTACACGGTCCGTCTTACATCCTTCTCACTAGTGTTGTGTGCTGATATCCCGCCCCGACGTAGGACCCGTAGGTCGCTATGCTCCACTCCACCTCGCTCGTCCACCTGACCCTGCACTTCCCGCCCAGCCGCCAGACCAACCATGTGGAGAGCATGGGCACGGCCAACGACATCTGCGCCGTGGAGGTCCGCCGCGTCGAGGCGCTCCGTCCGCTCCCCTTCCGTTTCGTGCACGCGGTCCCGACGCTCCGCGTCCTCACGCTCTCCGTGTGCCGACCGGGTTCGACACTGCCGAAGCGGCTGCGGGACGTGCCTCCAGCCGTTGCCGCTGAGTTCGCGCGCGAGGAGTTCGAGCGGCGGTGGAGGCCGATGAGCGAGTTCATCAACGAAGGGCTGAGGGAGCTCCGGGCGGAGATCGTGCGATGGCCAGCGTGTTCATGCCATGTGCGTTCGTGCGCAGGTGGAGGATTTTCGCACTGCGCTAGGCGAGCCGGCAGTGGTGCATGCGTCGCCGATCGTGTTCTGCAGGAGGCAGCGCGCGGGGAGGACGGCTTGGAGGCGATGGTACGCATAGAGGGTTGTTGATGGCATTTACTGTCCCGATCAGACTAGCAAATATATTGGTTTCGTACTATATGGATGCGTCCGCTATGTGTGGAAAGTGTCCTGAACGTTGAACCCTGAGTGAACTGGCCGGCCTGGCGCCCTGAATGCCCAGAAACGGCCTGGACACCCGGACGCCCGGAGCGAAATCCCTGGATTCCTGGGAACCCTGGTCAGGCCCCCCAGGTGTCCTCAGGATTTTGGGAAATTACTGATGCATCTGCAGAGGCTTGGTAGGCGACAGCGTGGACGCCAGAGGCTCGTCGTCGTCGTCGTCATCGTCAGATCCGAAGTCGGGCATGATGGATATCCAGTGCGGAGCGGGCGACGTGCTCTTGAACGGCGAGTCTTCCGCACCAAACAGCGCGTCCGCGAGCGCGCGGTTCCTCCGCATCGGGCTGGACTGCTTGGTGCCGTGTCGTGGGGCTGGAAGCTCCAACGAGTCTTCTTGCGGCAGCTTTACATCCGTCTGAGCCGTGGGCGAGTCGATGCTGTCGACCATCACGTCCAGCAGTGCGTTCGCGCGCGCAACGTGCTCGCTCGTCGTCCACGGGCCCGGAAGCGACGTCTACGCCTGCGCCACGGGAGGCTGCGGTGTTGAGTTGACCGTACGCTCGCCGTTGAACGAGTAGTTCGACTGCGATGTTGACGGTCGCCTCCTGCGAATCGAGCCTGGCCGGCGGTTCTCTGGGGTGGCCGCCTTCACGAGGGCAGCGCCGACGAGCTTGTCCTGGATGGCGGCGAAGTCGCTCTTCGAAAGCCCGATTTCGCGCTTGACAGCCTCTTCCGTCTCGGGTGCGTCGTACGGGTACGTGCCCGCAGTCGACGTCGCGCCGACGTCATGCCACGGCGACGCGTCCGGATCGAACGCGGAGAAGAGGCCATGGAGCCGATCCGCCTTGTGATCCTCGTCCCACGTATGGTAGCTGGAGCCGGCGGATTCGAGGGACGGGCGAGAGGAATTGGCGAGCGGAGGGAAGAGCAGCGCGTTTGGCACGGACCCAAGCGAGAACGTGCTCGTGCTTGCGTGTGCCGTCTGCCGCGACGACCGCCGTGAGCTCCGTGCACCCTCAGGGGTGATGCTGGCGTCGGCGAAGACTGCATTCGTCGGGGACCGCGTGCCGTTGTTGGTTGGTGTCGTGGTCCGGAGCGGAGTGCTCGTCTGCATTGGGGAGCCGAGGCTCATACCAGACATGGCGGACTCGGGGCGGTCAAGGATGTCGGCATAGTTGGTGTAACCGCCGTCCACCCAGGGTGAGTCCGGGAGTGCGGGCGACCGGAGCGAGCGTGAGGTGGCCTGGGATGTCTGGGACTTTGACTGCTCGAGCTCCGAAGTCTGGTCACTGATGCTGATCGAGCTGTTGTTCCGACTGTGGCCGCGGGTGTGCTGCGACTTCTGTGGAGTCCCGTTGGGACTTACGGGTGCGTGCCAGGTGATGTTGGACGGTGTCGTCGCGCGGGAGGGGGGAGAGGATGATATAGGTTGAAAGGAAGGACCCGAAAGGGGCGACATGGGCCGGCGCCGGCCTAGTACGGGTGACTCGGCTCCGGAGTCCTTTGTGGGAGAACCTGGTTTGTTGCCGAGGCTGCCCCCTTGACGCTCTTCCGGAGTGTAACGACCGTTCATTGACCGGTTGAAGAATAAAGGTGCCGTGGAGGGGGTAGCGGGGTACTTCGAGCGCGTGCCGGAATATGAAGAAGACGTACTGGGATTGTGCCTATGAAAGCTCGACGCAATGCTTTGGGGTTGGGTATTGATGCCTGGTAGGCGAGGAGTGTTGGCGCGGGGCGTGGTGGAGGGAGTGAGATCTTCTGAGTCGAAAGTTGCCCCCCTCGGCGTCATTGGACGCAGCATGCCAGGGGTGTAGTCGGGCAAACGTGGCGTAGGCGATGTCGTCCTGGAGGCAGGGTGAGGCAAAGAGCGATCATCTTCTGCTGACATGAGGTCGTCAAAGGACAGTGCAGTCCCGGTGTCGACATCAGCTGGGGAGGATATGGGTGACTGTTCGGGCTCCAGCGCAGCGCTGAGAGGCCCATTTATTATCTGGCTCGGCGGAACGTGGGTGATGGGCGACCGCTCCATAACAATTTTTTCGTCACCCTCCTCCTCCAACTCCCGTATTGCCTTGTCGAACGCCGGCGACGCCCGTCTGAAACCTTCCGGTGACAATACCCTGGAGAGTCGTTTGGCGAGTATGTTCGAGTACTCCGTGTCTTCAATGATGGCCCGGTTGTTGGAATTCGTGCTCACGTTACCGGGGCTGGACGGCGCAGATCCCGACAACGTGTAGGAGCTGTCTTCGGGGGTTGTAGGCCGCATGCTAGTCGCATATACCGACGAACCGCTCTCCCCGCGCGCGCTCGCGACCGAGCTCACGCTCGCGCCCTAGTCTGACTGCACGATCGCACCGCCGGTCGTGGAGCCGCGGCGACCCTGACGTCGGCGAGCCCGCGGTGCGGAGGAGGTAGGCCTGGTCGCGGAACTTGCCCGAGCCGAAGAGGTTGTTGCTCATCCGGCGGCTCCACGTCGAGCCCTTAGCGGAGGAGATCGAGGAGAGCAACGGCGCGCCGTGGAGCGAGTGCGCGGACGGAATTTGGGGGACGGTCATGGAGTTCGTAGTGGAGGAACGCACCGACTGCCGCGTGTCGTCCGCCGCGCCGCCTTCGTCCTCTTCGTCGGCGGTGCTCCCGGGCCCCATGTCGTAGCCCTTGCGCTTGCTCTGGGAGCGAGTACTCAGCCGTGCGCACGTTGCTCGGCGAATTTCTTCTGCAGGTCATCGAGCCCGATGGGCTCGCCAGTCGAACTTCGGAATACTTACGCTGAACCGGCGAGTGAGGTCTGGTGGGAGGCAGAGCAAGGACGTCTTGATGGATGCCATCGTCATCAACGTCGAGGATGAAGTCGTGTTCGAGGGAAGAGAGTGTGAGTTCGGATGACCATGCAACGGTGGAAGGGGCACCCAAGGCAGGTCCGAGTTCATGCTAGTTTGAGAGCAGTGGAGAGACGGGCCCACCTCGGAGGGCGTTGACGAGGCAGACAAGGGCGATGATGCACGGCATCGACTCGGCAGCCTCAGGGAAAGCATTAATTAACACCCGCAGCATCCACCATGGCCAAGGGTGGGAGGGGGCGGAGGCGTTAAGGAGCCGTGCTGCAAAGGGCGCCCTGATCGCCATCGGCGCCACCGGGGCCGCTGTGGATTTGATCGCCGATCAAACAGATGGCGACGACGCTGGGCGGCCCCGGATCGCCCACTGCGCCGCTCGCCGCCGATCACGCTCTCCATCGCTGACCGCGCTCCCCATCGCCGCCGCCGGCGCCCGCCATCACCGGCGGCGACGCCGCACACCGAGGGCCTCCCCTGCCAACGCGCAAACCAGCTGGCGGTAACACGCGCTGGGAAGCAGCAATCAATATGGCATTGAGGGGGCTGCACGCATGAGGCAACGGAAATTGGCACGACGGGATGGGCCGGATGGGAACCGCCGAAATAGGACGCGGAGGCCTTGCTCCATATCATGGCCACGGCCTTTGTCCGGTGTGGACTACACCAGACAAAGAGGTCTCTGTCTGGTCTGGCGCTCCGAAAGCATCCCGGTCTGGGCATGAGCATCCAAAGATCATGGTATGCTCTGGTAGCCTGGTTTGGTCATTTCCCAGAACTGATTCATGCGCCACCAGGAAACACGGCCTCACCCGGGTCCGTCATAGGCACAACATAGACCTCATCGTTGGCAGGATTCATGGCACCAGCCTGTTCGTCGGGAATCTCTTCGAGCAATAATTAAGCCAAGATGACAATGGCAGTGTATCTCATTTGTGAATTTCCGGTCTATTATGGTAAATGCACGGTCGTACATAATAAGAGAGCCCTTACTGCACATCGTGCAAGTACGCGCAGCGCGCGTAATTCATACGAGGGACTCAAGAAATAGGCGCCAATAACGAGACGATGGAAGCGGGGAGGCTGGCGTGTCACATGAACACGGTTGCAGACTTGCGAGGCCACGGGCTTGGGCTTGGTCGCGAGTCGTGCGAAGGAGAGGCTGGCTGGTGAACGAGAGCAATATCATGGGCTTGGTCGCGGGCCTGAGGGCCTGTCAGTGGTCACGGACAAGAGCGAACACTGTAGCAGGCCTGAGCCGGATCTCGGGGTGGCAGGCGAGGGCGGTTTTGTAGGTTCGAGGGGAACTGCGGGCTCAAAGGAAAGCGAAGTTGCTGGCTCGAGGGGCCAGGTGCGCAACTGGGAGGGGCGACGGGCTCATTTGCGCACATGAGGAGAATGCACCGCTTCTCCGTCGCGTCGCGCGCCGTCCGCGCACCTCCCTGTGGGCGCGGGACATTGCTGCAAAGTGGCGGAGAAGCAGCGCGTACCACCGGGAGCAATCAGTACTGTCGAGAGCTCTTGGTCCCACTGAGCTGGGAGCCCTCGGCGCCACTGCAATGGGGGCTGCTGATGCGACGTAGACTTCAGGAGCAGACTGACCGAGTTGGGTGGAAGGACGATACTGATCTCGGCCTCCCTCAGCGGCGTGCCAAAATTCGGTCTCCGCTGTAATGGGCTATGCTGCATCCGAAGCCGCAGCAACTGAAACACTGCATCAGTTGCAACCATATCTCCGACGGTTGCAACTGCAGCGACTGGACGGCATCAGCTACAGATGAAATTTTAGCATATGTGTTACACCATGGACTCTGTCTCATTACTATAAAGTTCAAAGCTCACGTTTCGCGCGTCCTAGGCCACGCGGGCCGCGGCGCTCTCTTGCTGCACGCTCCATTCTCATCCTTGACGACTCCATCGCCTCTACTACCGATCTCGTCGTACTGTTTCCGCTCCATCCGCTCCTTAATAGCTACGCACGTCACGGGGAGTCCCCCACTCGTTCTCGTCCCGAACTTGTGAGATTAACGCTGCCACGTTCATTAGTGCCCGCTCGCTCTCGCCTCGCACCACATCGTTCCCCTATGCTCTCCCACTCGGCCCCGACCTTAACATGAAATTGTGCCCCTGCTGCTGTAAGCCAGGTATAAGGACAAATGCAAAGTTGCTAATAAGTGGTGGCCAGCCTGTAAGGGGAAGCAAATCTGCATTGGGGGTGCACGCAGCTAAAACAACAGGCAAAGCGAGGGTGCAAAAAAGAGACTGGCAACTACGACGAGAGGCGACGAGTGGGTGGAGAACAGAATTGGGTGCAGATGCATTGGGCTGTTCAATGGAGGAGGGAAGGACCGGACTGACGTTTCGAGTTTTTCCACTTCATCGCCCCGGAGATGCCCTTTGCTCTCGCCACCCAGCCCAATGGCGCTGGCCCTCCACCAGCCTTGACCGGCGACGGTGCCAGCAGCGCTGCCGGTGGTGGATTTGGAATGCCGGCTGCTAGCCCCGTGCCCTCCTTCGCAGAATCCGCATCCTTCGTAGACGCCTTTCTTGGTATCGAGGCCTCAACCGTCACCTCCTCCACGAGGATCTTGATCAGGGTGAGGTCATTCGGCCCCGTGGGAATGCGTGGGGACCACATTTTGGCGCCCAGTAGCCGCCGCGAAACCGCACACCTGGCTGCGGTGACGAGCGACGCCTGGGTGGAGGTAGCGTTGATTTGGGTGGCCTGCTTCGGTGAGGTTGGTGGGCCATCATTCTGCTGCGATAAATCGGAGATTAGAGCTCTGTGATCTTGTTGACTGGGGTGGGCGCTGATGCAAGATGCGCCTGGAGGCGCAGAGAGACGTGCTGAGGCCAGCCTGCGCCCTGCAGCGACTTCTCAGACGCCGGAGAGAGCGCTGTTCTGAGGCAGCGACCCCACGAAGAGACAGGGAAAAACGATGCATGTGGGGCAAGAAGGACAGATAGGACCACAAACTCACAAGCTGGCAGGGTGCTTCGAGCTGCTGCTGCCTGCTTGCGCGCATCTCGCTCTCCCTCTCAATAAGGGCACATTTCTAATGACAGAACTGCTGAGAGGTCTGGGAAGAAGAGGCTTCATTGCTGGCAGACTCACGTCTTGAATTGAATTGAAGTTGAGCTCAGCCTTCTCCTGGACGATGGCGAGGCCTGCTGAGGGCGAGCGGTGGCAAAGGGTGGGTGCACGACGCGACGCACGTTTGGGGAGGGTGAGAGACATGGAGGAGGACCGCTTGGCCGTGGACGGGTGTGGGACTCGGCGTTGGGGGATATAGGTGGCTGGTTGTTTCTCGAAGAGGGCGCTGTGGCGCCGGCGGACTTGCTGGCCTCGGGTAAGTGGGTGCGGCAATGCTGGCTCGGGTCCCAAGGAGGAATAAATGAAAGGCGGGCGCCTATATTTGCAGCCAACGCCTGCTGCCCTCCGATATCTGCTGTTGATGGAAGCCACTTATGCTTCTTCTTCACTTTGCCATCTCGCCTATGGTGCCGCGCTAACCCCTGACTCGACCGAAACCATCCTCCCAGTCCGGGCCCACCCAGCATCGCGCACGCGCGCGCGAATCAGCATAGTGAGCTCGAAGGATGAAGCGGAACTCGAGGACGAGAAGTGGGGGCGCAAACCGGAAGTAAAAATCTATACTGACGGGTCGGTGATCGATGGGAAGGTCAGCACAGCAGCGGTGCGCGGAGTCGAGCGGGATAGTGATGGGAGTACACATGTTACGCCAATAAGCTCAGCTCCCCGGTAGCCCCTCTGTCGCACTCAACAACTAAGCCGCTATATGTGCGACGCAATCTAGGAAGGCGAAATCAGGCCACTACCTCACCGATCACATCCACGCTGGGCTCCACAAGACGAGCGCGAAACACTCCAGTGCCAAACCAACGACGCTATGATGGGTCCCGGGCCACCTGGGCATCGCAGGGAACGAACTCACCGACGAACACGCGAAATGCGCAGCAGCCGGGGACGTCAGCAACCCGAAGAAACTCCCCGCCTGCCTCAACAAGGCACGAGTCCCCACCTGCGCAGCCGCTCTCTGTGCGACGCACCTCACCGTCCTGCAGAAAAAGCTAAGAAGAGCTGGAGCGAATCTCCACGATGCCCCAAGATCAATCAAATGAAAATCGACCCATCACTGCCCTCCAAGTCGTTCCTGGACCTCATCACGCCGCTCTTGCGCCAACAGGTGAGCCTCCCTATCCAACTCCGCACAGGACACGCCCCCCTCCAAGCCCACCTTCACCGCATACGCAGCGCGGACACAGAAATATGACCGGCGTGCGGAGTGGACGCCGAAATGGTGATGCACTTTCTCCTCCGCTGCCCCGCATACTCACGCGAGCGCATGACACATATTCACATGAAGCCTGGACGCAAGGGCGCAAGGCTCGAGTATCTTAGATACTGAGCAGTGCAGACGCGCTCCCACAGCTCTTGGCCTACATAGACGCGACAGAACGCCTCCGGCAGACGTTCGGGGCCCTCACCAAACCTGAAGACGCCACTCCCGCGCCGCAACCACCCGCAGCCTCTGTAAACTGTCAAGTAAGCCAGCGCGCAGCACCGCCCCGACCACCACCACGGCAGCCTCCCACGCCAACCCGCCAACAGCAGAGCACCACCCCGCTGCGTGCACCACTCCCGCCGCGCGCACCACCTCCGCCGCACGCGCAGCCTGCCCACCGCGTGCCAGAACACGTTAGACGCCAGACATACGAGTCCAATAGACAGACTGCTCCCCCATCCCCTAACCCTCTCCCTCAAAGTCCCCATCGCCCCCTTCTCCTCCATGACCCATACACATAGCTACCGACCACACTAATTATTATACAACAGGGGAGAGCACAGGCGCAGTGACACACCCACACGAAGACAGGGATCCCGAGACGGAGTCCGTCCGGGCTCGCACAACCACCCACAGCGCTTGGGCAACGCACGCGAAAGTAAATAGGTGGCAGGCGAGCTGTCCTGCGACCTGAGTTGAAGGAACCCCACCCAACAAGCTGCGCGGCGCACAAAGTGAGCATTAAGCGAAATTGCGGAGCGCATGGGAATAGCTTAGAATGCCTAGAATTCCTCAGGATTCCCAGGATTCCAAGGTAGACAGGTGTCGTGTTGGGAATGCTTTCGTTGTCGAAGATTTTATTGGAATAGGGCGAGGATACCATCAGATTGGCTTGGAATTCCCAGAATACGCTGCGGTATTCTGAGGCATTCCAGGAATCCCAAGCAATCCTGAGCATTTGGAGTGATCCGAGGGATTGTGATACACGGCGTCATCCTAGGGCATCGGAATCGGCTCGTGCGGGGGGCAGGAAATCTACTGGCGCTTTCCCAGGTGGACTTCGGCGATTCGGACCAGAGCATATGCGCGAAACATGAAGGTAATTGAGAAAAGCACCGAACTACGAGTGCATGAGGAAATATCGAACATGGAGCTGGGCACAGTACTCGTGCGACAACATACACGTCTGCGCGAGCGACCCGTGTGCGAGCAGATCGACGCCGCTACGCTGTGAAGGAGGACGCCATCCGCGCCTGGGGACCCTTCCAGCCGCGCTATAATAAGCGCCTCCCTTTTAAGGCCGGGCCACATCAGCTCGCAGACCGCACTGTTGAAGTAAATGCACGTGTGTCAGCCACGGGTTTGACCGAAGTAAGCGTGACGGAGAAGGGGCGCACCACAGCGAGAGCGGGCCGGGCGAGAGCAGAGGACCAGAGCGCAGAGCGCAGAGGACACCGGGACGGATAACGCGAAAGTGGGATGCGGGCGAGATCGGAGGACATTGAGGCGAATCGGAACAGGAGGCGGAGGACATGAGGCGGAGGACACGAGGAGGACTTAGCGTACCCGCGCCCATCTCGAGCCACCACCGTTCAGTAGCCTTGTCCAGAAATTTGCTCCGCGTTCTTGCGCTCGCCCGCGCTCCACTCGACGTCGCCCGCGCCGACCGCACGCCCCTCGCGGTGCCACTCGAGCCCCCGCGCGATCGCGACGCGCATATCCGCGTCGCGTGCCCCTGATCGGGCTCGTCCTGGAGGTGATATGCCCCCCAGTTGACGGGCGACCGGTTCTCTGTCTCCATGGTGCACGAGAGACACCGGGCCTCATGCGTACGGAGGAAGCCATAGCAAGCGGTAAGTTCCATGGTCACAAAGCGGTATCAAGACATACAGTGACTGCAGTCCATGCGCATTCGAGAGCTATGGACGTTCTTTGTATCCAAACACGGTTTTGTACCAGGTGAACAGAACCTGAGAGAGCTCTAGGACTTGGTAGAAGTATCAGCACATCGTATCACTTGACACCAATCAAAAACCCAAAGAGAAGTGGAAGGCGAGCTTGTACCTGCGTGATGTGCGGGAAGTCGAGGACGGCCCGAGGCTCAGAGCAGGACACGACGCGCCGCTGCATGGAGCTGATCCTGCGGGGGATGCGGACGCATCTGCCACGCGGCCTGACGAAGTCAACTAAATACGCGTATGGCATACGCCGTGTGACGCCGAGACGTTTCTGTGGGCGGAGAAACTAGGAGCCGTCGAACGTCATGAGGGGAGCTGTGTAGAAGAACATGAGCTAAAGTCAACGTGAAACGAATAGGAACGTTACACGTACGGGCGTAGCGGGGTCCAAAAACCAAGCTGAGAGAGAGACCCTTGAGGTTGTGAGCTTATAGAGAATGTGACAGCAGTGTGAGCCACTACAAGAGGAGGGGTGCATGCCGGAGAGGTGCATGAGCGAGGGAATTCGGACAGAAGTGTGGGCGGCGGAACTGCCAATCGGTGTGGTCCTGTCAAAGCGCGCCATTGACAATTCCGCAGTGCGTGGTCGTCGTGGGGACTATGCGCTGTGTGTAGACGGCATACCGGGTGGAGACCCGGAAGTCCACGGCGCATCACCAGTCCCCGGATGACCCAGTGAGCGGAGTCTCGAAGAAAACTAGGGGAAGGTGCCAACCACCGTGAGCGGATAAGGTGGGGTAGCGAAAAAAGCATGCGTACCTAGCTTCAGCCTCATATCTCATAAGCATTGTGGTCGCCGAAGTCCTGGCAAGTTAAGTTGGGCAAGTCGAGGCTGCGCTCATTCCATTGTCGCCGGTCGAGAAAGAGCGGCGCCGATGTTTGGCGCTGGCAACGTGCAAGCGTTTTCAGAAACGACGCCGGACCAACTCCATCGCGCCCTGCTTGTCGTGCGGTTTCTTTCATAGCCTGGCCACTTCCCGAGCCATTGCGGTACCATCGGATGGCATTCGAATTCCCAGGATGGCGCACGTGCATCCCAATTCGGCGCCGCATCCCAAGCGAATATTGGGCAATTCTAATCACTTTCTAATAGCCAGGCCGCCATCCCGGGAATTCCAGTGCCTGGGATCCTTACCTGGCCGAACGCACTTTTGCTGATGCAGCTCTGCCCCATTCCAAGTTGAAATCGCCGTCAGGTCTAGCGCCCAGGCGCCTGCTGCCATCTCAGCGCCTGTAGACGTGGTGCGCCACAAGAGGCCCAGCGCCACCGCCATCGCCTCCTCCTCACTTCCTCGCACTCGTCAGGCTGCCCATCGGCACCTTCCTCAAGGCCTCCCCCTTGCTATCCTCCCTATCTGCCCTCTCAATTATCCTTAGCTCCAATCTAATTCACCGCCTGCCTCTCTCAACTCTCCAACGGTGCTCTTAGATCGTCTCAGTTCAGTTTGGTGGGTATTTCCAGTTCTTTTGTATCAATATCTCAGCCTGTTCACTTTTGACCATCTTTTAGCCACCCACATATCAAGACCAGCGGGTTGGGTCGGAGCTGTGACCTGTGAAGAAGTGGAGTTGGCTCAACTTCTGGTAAGTTCATATGGTTCTGTGCAGTCTATGCTTGGTCTTCACGCCCGGTCAAGGCAGACCATTCTCCTGGTGCACCATTTCCAAGCTCTTGTGAACGGCTCCGTGCCCTTGCACAACCTTGTTCTCAATTCCTATTGGTATTGAGTTCGACCACGGTCCACCGCCCCTCCCCAGCTGTCCCCACTTCAAGATCAGTCTTCAAAGCTCCTCAGAACGACTGTGTATCCTTCCAGTCTCTGCTTCCCGTGTACTATTGAGCCGAGAACCCACTCTCCGGTGTGCACTCCTCAAGTCTACTCCATATTGGCTCTTATTGTGAGACAGCAGTGGTTGGTACTCACAAAACCAACACTTGGCTGACCTCAGCCCTCCAACAGGCCTAGTTCCATACTTGCTGCGTTGTTCACCTCATCAATAAGAAATGGCCCATCTCACATCCAGTATGTCGGTTAAATGAATCAAGTGTATATTACTTTTTTCTTAGCATCTTTCAGCGCCCATGCAATGGCATGAAGTGCTAGCTGCTAGCTGCACCTCTGACCAGAAGTACATCATCACTTCGCCCAACACCGATTGGATCCCCGAGCCTCTCATTGGCCTAGTCAAAGTCTTCCTTCGATCAGACTATCGCTACGGCTCCCACGATCCTTTCCAATGGCCCCAAAACTTCTCCAATGAGATGCCGTTCATATCTGCTGTCCTCAGAGAGGAGCAATCCCCTTTTGAATATTCGTGCCTTTGGTGGACACCCAGCGAAGAACAGTTTCGAACCGTTGAAGGGTGTATTTTCACTTCAATTGGAGTTTTGGAACATTCGGCTCTGCAACGGCTCCGCGACATCGCTTGTCAACTGGAAGACGAAGCTGGTCTGTTTTTGGCACGCTCTTCTCATCCTGTGCTCAAGCAACTTCTTGGCCGCCTCCACACCTGCCTTGATCGCCTTCGTTTCTACCCTTGCACCTTCCGCGACGTCTGCTTCCAAGTTCGCGAAGCGCAGCGGTCATGGCTTATGTGTAGGGCCTTCATCGACTTCTCTTTGGCCACCAACCGGTCATCATCAGCTTTTCAGCCCCTGCAAACCCGCTTCATGGGAGCTTTTACGACATCTCCAGATACCGTCCAGCTGCTCCATAGCTCCGGGATCCCAGTTTGGTTCATCCGTCCGGATGCTTCTGTAGATATGCACACCATCATACACATCAAGCAACCCACAATAGCATGCCGCGGCATTGAACAGTCACTCTACCTCGGTGGGACGGAGCCCATCTACTCAGGTCTGTCTGATGGCCGACTCGTCGAAGCTGTATGCCGCCAAAAACACATGTATGTCGACGTATCTGTGACGCCCATCCTTGTTCGTTATGATGCCGAGTCCTATGTGCATCACAAGAGCACAAACAAGACCACTGGGAAGGATGTTAGGCAGAAGAGCAATCACTCTACGATCCAGCCTTGTAAGTGCACATTGCGCTGTGTGTATAAGCCCGCCCTAACGCTTCAATAGATAGGCACCACAACTCTCAGGCGAACGCGAGCAACACCTTGACCGCCAGAGGCAATGCGCACTCCCAGCCGCACCCGACCCAGATCCGTGGGCGAGACAAATTCCTCGACCCGGTCCACGATTGGATGCCACCCTCGATCTCTGCATGGAAGGCTGCAATGGAGTCTGCGGATCGGTCTTGTCCCCAATGCCCTTCTGACCAAATATGGGGGTATTGGGTTCCTGAGCCAGCTCTGTTACTGGGTCCCAGCATGGAGGAGCGTGTTCGGCTCTACATTATGTCTTGGCTCCGAATCCGCCCTGCATGGTTGTACCTGCTCCCTCTCCCCGACAGTCCCGTGACGAAGGTTCGACCTCAGTGGTGGCGCGATATACTCAATAACTGCCAGTTTAGTGCTGAAGCTGAACCGGATAGTCGGCGCGAGAAGAGGCAGAAGGACATCAGCGCCATCTTCGGAGTCATTCTCGACTGCAACAAAGCCATTCTTCCTGCAGGTGAACATGTTGGCTGGTTCGACCACCGTGTATCCATGGGGCGCATCCAGGGGAGCAATGCGAAAATAATTCTCTACGAAATCTTCGAGCTTGGCTTCCGATACGAGCTCCTCGCCCTCGACCGCATCCTACACCCCATGCCGAACCAACAGGATGCGGAGATCATTCGGGAGCAACGACTTGCAGAGGTCTTTGCGGGGAGGGATCTTTATCGACTCCACGAGGAGCCTAAGACCTTCGCCGGCCTAGGTGCTGAAGATCCACAAGATCCCGTGCGTGTTCGGTGCCTCGAAGCGCTTCGCCGGGTGGTATCGGAGTGGCCGCTGTGCCCCCCAGACATAGTCGTTCCTGCGTTTCCTATTGGCGTTGCATCTCCACTACATGCCATCAGAGATATGGAACGTAAAGTAGCTGCGTTCTACATCAAGTCGTTTTTCACATATGCAGGCCGGGCTCCCCTAGTACCCCACCGATTTCCCTTAAATGTGCCCCACGTTTCTTGAAGTGGAATGTTATTTTTATTGCCAACCATTCAACTTTTAGATCCGACATCGAACCATTGAAGTGGGCTGCTGTTCTTGAGCGCCACTGCCCAGTTCCGACCAGCGAGTGTCGGCCACGAGGTGTGGCAGAAAAAATGGCGAGAGCATCACATGGTGGAGTCGCGCCTGGCGGCCAGGGTTGCTTGGGGGCCGACAGTTTGCGAGATTGCCAGCACCCAGTGCGCGTGCGTGCGCGCCACTTCCAACAGCCCTGTGGGCGCGCACGGGTGGGCCCCACGTAGCTACTACGACCACCATGCGATTGCACCATTTAGATTAAACTCGCATGGTGAAGCGGGCTTGGCTGTTGCAAGAGCGGCGACGCCCAGCGTCGGGCATGGCGTTTCTGCCGTTGGCGATGCGAACGCGGGCGTGCCATTACTGGCACGCTGAAGCATCCGTGCGAACTTGATCCACTAACTATGGAAATGGTGCGGGCCGATGCGGACGGCGGCGTCCTATGGACGCAACATGAAGACAAAGAAAGCGATTGAGACTGTGTGGGCACTGCTCGAGAATTCTGGGTTGCTAAGTTCCTCCCCATCCTCTAGGCTTGCACTGCCATAACTCGAGTCGGGCCCAAACCCTTTCCTCCTTCCGATCACTCACGTCGCCCATATCTCTTCCGTCTCGCCCTCGTTTCATCATGTCCCCCGCCCGCGTCACCCGCACCACCCACAGAGTCGCCCGCCGCGCCGCCCTCTGGGCCCGTCTCACCCTCTCCCACCTTTCCGTCTCCCAGTGCGTCCTTCGCCTTCATTGCCACCACCACCTCCCGATGGCACCAAAACACATGAACACGTCCACCCAGATTCCATCAATGTGGAGAGAAAAATACCCCGGGGGACGTGGTTACATTGTGCTGTGGCCACGCGCTGCCTCGGTGGGTCCACTCTTCCCTACCGCGCTCCCCGCTCGCCCACCACCTTCCCAGACCCCAACAGCGCTGCCGACCCCGTCGCCACAGCGTGCACGCCCCAACGCCCAACAGACGTGCACCAGGTGGTCATTCCGCTGGCGCTGCCGGGTTGCGCCATGGTTCATGGCGCCTACATGCCACGGGATCTGCCCACCACGGCGCCTTGCACGCGTCGCCCGCGCACCACCCACGCTGCAGCCCTCTTGTGTGGGCCCCACCTCATGCGGCACGATCTCACCTTTGACCGCCTCCCCGTGCCGTCTCTGTGCACATCGTGGAGAAGGGAGCTGACCTTGCATCCGCAGGCTTGTCATACCAACCTCTGCTTAAACTCACTCATAGACTACTCAGTCTACAACGCCAGGCCGACAAGGTGCCGGGTTTTCGCCCGTCCTAGCGGCCCTCTCCCAGTGCTAGCCCAAGGCCGAAGGCATCCCAAACTCGCTCTGGCACGGTGTCTGTGCTTCAACGCATCACCCGCCTCAAAGCCGACCTCCCTGGCGGTCAGGACGATCCTGTGAACACCGAGGCCGTCTTCATCCCTACAGGGTTTTCGACGTACATGATGGCATGTCCCAGCCTCACGATGTGCTGACGAGTGGGCAGCGCCAGAGCGCATGCTAGAGCTCGACGTGACCTGCGCCGTGTAGTCGGACGGGAGCGTGACGCTGCAAGCCGCCGCGCTGTCCAACGCGTCCATGTTCCCTCCTCGCCTCGCTCGTACTTCCCCCTTGCTCTTTCTCCACGACGTCACCGCAGCTCTGGTCGCCGTCGTCCACGGCTTTCCCCCCATCGAGAATGAGACGCAGCCGTTCACTGCAGGCCCCGTTCTCCTGTCGCTGTGGACGCTCCCGAACACGGGCATTTCGAGCCCTAACGGCCCCGCTCTTCAAACCTTCCATTGAGTTGTATTTTACCAAGCAAATATTTACACAGCCAGCCACAAGCTCATCGTGAAGAACACACCGACTTGGACTGCGAGGCTGGACGTGGTCCCGAACTCATTGATGAGCACAGCCGCCGTCTTCGGAGGTCCTCGAAAAGAGCACTGCTAGAGGTTGGATAATGATCAATGCTGAGCGTGCGGTGCGTGCGAGGGGTGCGTCGGGACCGCGAGCCGGGCTCGGTGGCGAGACACGAGGACACGCGCGAGGACCAGCCCTCTGGCGCCGTCCTATGCGGAACGATACCCAGCTTCTGCAGGTCGATCGTGTGTGTGGCCGCAAGCACGCATCAGTAACTTCCAAATCCCTGAATCCCTGAATCCCCGGAGTTCAGGGATTTCAGGGATCCAGGAGAACCGGGACCATACAGGGCGCACAGGGCGACACAGGGATCCAGGACGCCCGGCGCGCGCAGGGCTTCAAGCATCAGGGCACCTCGCGCGGGATTCAGGACTCGGGCTCCTAATCAGCCTAGTGCAATAGTTCGTGTAGATGGTAATCTACGTACATGTCCAGATAGTACCTATTGAACGCATCTAAGGCGTCCAGAACTCGAGTTCGTTCATAAACGCTGATGAGGTGACATGCTCGAACAATGGAGGCAACGGGGATGACGTCGCACAACTCCCCATGTTCGAGTCCACCGGGATCACCGTCGCCGTCCTCTTCTCCGAGACGTGCGACGGGCACATAGGCCTCCTCCTCCACCCGTCGACCGCCCTGATGCAGGACGCCGCGCGGCCCAAGTACCACGTCGGGCACGGGTTCCGCCGCGCGAACGGCTCGCTCTGCGTCCGCCAACTCGTCGCACTCGGTGCCGACTGGCACGCGTTTGAGTTCAACGGGGAGCGCGTCCCCGCGGGCGCGACCTCTTCATCGCGGACGCGCCGCCCACGCGCGAGCGCGACGAGCGGCTCGTGCTCCGCCACGCGCTGCATTGCCTGCGGCCCGCGCCACCGTTACGGGTGCCGCACTGGCTGCTCGGACGGCTGGCGGCACTCGGGCTGGAGCTGAGGCGGCCGACGGTCGTGAGCCATCCGAGCGCGGAGGGGGAGCCGTTGCTGTGCATGTTGCGCTTCCAGGACTTGCGCGGGAGGGAGGCGGTCGAGATCGTCATGGGGACGTGTGACCGGTGCGTCTTGGGCGATGAAGAAGACGAGGAAGACGATGGGACTGAGGAGGCATCACAACGAAGAGCGTGAGTGCGGTCGGATACGTGTGCGCGCAGTGGAAGGAGCCGTGGATGTCGACCTCACGGAGCTCAACAGCGGAGACCGGAAGGGTGATATTGCGCCCTATGCCGATGAGTATGACCTTGCCGGTGGGCTAGCTCCACAGCTGCCCACGGCCGTCAAGAACTCTGGAGGGGCCGCAACGGTGGATCAGGATTCAGCGAAACAGCAGACACCTGCGCGCGCGAAGACCCACCTTTCGTGAGGATCACGGTCAAGAACCACGTCATCAGGCTCATGTTGTGGCTCGTGCCCGGCTAGATCTTGCACTAGGTGACGCCGATAACGATTAAGTCTGCAGAGATGGAGCACACTCATGGGACACTTACCTCGAGTGTCCGACCGTGTCTCATCAGCGCCATGCTGTCCTGGCCGCCTCTCACTCAAGCGGAACTGCGTCTGACTTCGGAAAGGCAAGCGGTGCGCGGTCAGAATCGTGCGATGTGAGAGGACAGCCTGAGGCGCACACATCGTCCAGGAAAGAAGAGGTTGTGCACCGCGAAGGCTCACGCGCCGTGCGAGTTGCGCAAGCCCCACATGGGTGCAGGTCGGGGTATCGGGTGCGGGAAGGTGGATGCGCATGAGGACGAAAGTGAACGTTTGAGCACTCACAGTTGGTCCGATATCTTCACTTCGCATCTGCCGCGAAGAACCAAAACCTAGGCTTTGTTGAAACGCATGTTTGAGCCATTCTCGCACTCGGCATGCCGGCGCTCCTACCGCAGTTACGTTCAAGGTATATTTAGAGGCGAGACGCGAGGGTGGGGGAATGAAGAACGGGAGTGGGTCAAGAAGAGATGAGAAAAGCGAGCATCGAGACGCGAAGGGCGCCGGCGCCAAATACGAGTCGCCTCTCACCTCCTCCCATCTGCACGACTCGAGGGTCCGACGAATGCCCATATCAACGCATCTCTGATCATACCTTGACGCTTCGACGAGCCCACTACACCCTTCCTCCGGCCGTGTGGGATAGTATATTATTGTGCGGATGTGCATACAATCAACACTAGGTGCGCTGTTTCTTTAAACCGTCCAATATCCTGCTGAACGCCAAGCTCGAGCAGCATCTCCGCCGGCACTTCAACGCTGAGACTGCACTTCAATACAACACCGGGTAATACGACGCCTACTCCTCCTTCTAGAAATCTATCGTGCAAGTGGGCGACATCAATCTCCTTGACGAGCTCACCCCCACCTCCCTCCGCGACGGTATCATCATCTCCCGCCGCCACAATGCACGGTGCGTCCTCGCGCTTAAGGATGCTGGCACGCTCCGCGACGTCCTCGTGTGCCACCTCAGACTCCACAAGTGTGTGCACAACGTCATGCACTCGTTCAGCAAGGGCTGGGACATGCTTGGCGGTACGTCTGCGCTGCCTTCTTCTCCTTCGCGGCCCGTCGTTGCTGAACCGTGTCTATCTTTGTGCCAGCCTGGTGTGCTCTCCTGCCTCCACACCAACTACGGCAACACCACATGAGCTACAGTTCCTCGGGACGGCGTCATCAATGTTCTCCTTACCCGAGCCCCGGCAGCTCGTCCCCACACTTGCGACTGTCGAGTGGCATCCCTCCGCGGCCTCGTACGTGGCCTCGGTGATCTCCATCGGGCGCGTGCTGAGCACGGACGACCGGCCCAGGTTCTACGCCCCTTCCGTGGGGCGTGACCTCCGACTGCTCGTCCTCGCACGCCGACGACCCGTTGAACACGTTCGTGTTGGTCGTGAGCCCCGCCGTTTCCACGTCCTCGCTTGTGGGCTCCATGTGCTCCTTTGTCTTCTTTCCCCCACGCCGTCCCCTCGCTGCTCTCTCCGCGCGCGGACTATAACATTGCGCGCGCGCGATCCGGGCAGGCGGCTTTGCTACGGCACACGCACCGCACGCTGACGCCTGCTCGACATACGCGACCTCTCGCCGCGCTCATCAGCCATACCGCATCTATATACCTTCATTTACAAAAGCTGGTCTGCGACAATAAATGCAATTACATGTTCTGTATTACCGTCCCCGCCAGAACCGTCCTAAGCCCTGAGCGAGCTGGCCGAACTGGCTGGCCTGGCGCCCTGAACGCCCAGACGCCCGGGGTGAAATCCCTGGGTTCCTGGGAAACCTGGTCAGGCCCCCCAGTACCCCACAGGAGTTTGGGAAATTACTGATGCGCCGCCGCAGAGGAGAAGCAGGCAGACGCGGACGAGGGGGTGCCCCTTAAAGACGCGTCATCGCGCCGCACGGTGGGTGTCTCGGTTTTGTTGCTCCTGTGGCTGCGTCTCACTGTGGGGAGCGCGCGGGGGGCATGTCTGGGATCGCAGCGCACTCACTCCCCGCCATAGACGTTCAAGTTGATGCGGACCGCCCAGCGGCCCAGCCTGTCTCGCGCACCCCTGTCCCCACTCTCCTACACCCACCGCTAATCCCTAACGAACCAAACCCCAAAGACTTTCGAAGGGTCCGCGGGCCCCAGAGCGGTGGCGGAAGCGGAAGCGGAAGCGGCACACGCGCTACGATGCCGGCCTCTTGAGCCTCGGCAAGGATGTCGTTCAGGCAGAGACCACCTATGGGACGGTCGCGGTTACATTCAATAGGCGCCGTCTGAAAATGCGCGTAGATTACCACCTACGCGAAGCACTGTGCTAGGCTGATTAGGCCTGAGCACCTGAGCGCGCCCTGTGCGCCCTGCACGGTGATGTGCATCCACCGCCGCTGGTACGTGCACGCGTCCGTCAGACGCCCGCGCGAGCAGGGCCGCGCCCTCGCGCACTGTACATCCTCGTCCCGCGCATCCTCGTCCCTCATCCCTACGGTACGCCACACCGACCCTCGCGATCGCTCCGCTTCATAGTTAGCTACACACCCACACACGTTTCTTCCCCTTTTCGTCCCCCCGTATCCCTCATTACACGGCCGCCATGGTCAGCCACACTCGTTACCCCGTTCCGCCACTTGTTTCCCTTATTTCCGGACATCTTCAGCTGCTCGCCATGACACTCAGACTCGTAGATATGTTTGGGTGTTCGTTTCGGTCGTAGTCACGCTCTCGCGCAGGCCGCATTCGCATGTATTTAGACTCGACTCGCGCTGCATGTTATCCAGTTCATTTTCCCTCGCATCTACGTGCGTGTGCTGTGTGCTCACCCCTCGCCTTCGTATCTATTCGACCTCGCCTCCACCGTATCGTCTTCGTCGCCTATCGCCCTTCGCCGTCGCCCATCGCCCGTCGCCCATCGCCTATCGTCTATCGCCGTCGTAGCGCCCGTGCGCGCCCTCTCGTCTCGCGTCTATCCGTCTCTCCGCTCGTCTTCGTCTTCCTCTCCTCCGCGTTCGCGCACTCCGTCCCCTTCCTCCTCCGCGACACCCTCGGACGTCCTGTCCCACGGTGCTCGTCCCCTCTACCGACTTCCCGTGCTTCACGCCTACGCGGACTCGACCTCAGCCCTCTCCCCTTGTTGACTCTTACCGGAGTTAGCATCACATCACCGTATCCCTCATTCCACGGCCGCCATGGTCAGCCACACTCGTTGCCCAGCTCCGCCACTTGTTTCCCTTATTTCCGGACATCTTCAGCTGCTCGCCATGACACTCCGACTCGTAGATATGTTTTGGGTGTTCGTTTCGGTCGTATTCACGCTCTCGCGGAGGCCGCATTCGCATGTATTTAGACTCGACTCGCGCTCAGTGTTATCCAGTTCCTTTTCCTCGCATTTCCGCGCGTGCATCGTGTGCTCACTTCTCGACTTCGTCTCTACTCGACCTCAGCTCGTCTCATCTCGTCTTCGTCGCCCATCGTCATCGCACACGCCGCCTATCGACTATCGCCCTCGCCTATCGACTATCGCCCTCGACTATCGTCCGTCGCCCGTCGCCCATCGCCCGTGCGCGCCCCCTCGTCCGCGTCTATCGTCTCTTCGCTTGTCCTCCTCTCCTCTCCTCCGCGTTCGCGCACTCCGTCTCTTTCCTCCTCCGCGACACCCTCGGACGTCCTGTCCCACGGTGCTCGTCCCCTCTACCGACTTCCCGCGCTTCACGCCTACGCGGACTCGACCTCAGCCCTCACCCCCTGTCGACTCCTACCGGAGTTCACATCTCATCAACGGTCCCAATTCCCCTCGATCCCCTCGATCTAGGGATTCAGAGATTCGGGTATCTTCGCAGTTATTGATGCGCCGCGCCGCCATCGCCTGCCCGACGAAATAGGCGCAAGTCCGCCGGTATGTTGCGTTTGCTAAGGGCGCAATCACCATGGCCGGCTGATGATCGCTTCTGACCAGAGCGTTCTCTCTCCCAGACCCACGTGCGGCAATTCCGAAATATAGCCTCATCTCCATTGTCTTCCTTCAAAATGTCCGATTTCAATACACAATTGTACGTACAGGTTGACGGCGACAACCGAACGCCTCTCAGGCCACATGGCATCTACTGACCTTGGCGCCAGTTAAGCCGCCAATGGGACGGCACTGTCGACCGAGTGCCAGAGGGCAGGCTGACGGGCTGTCCGACGGGAAGGTGGACGGTGGCCGGTATGAGGGGACCAGTTGCCCGCTGAACGAGGGTCCTCGGCGCTATGCTTTGTGGGTGGAGTCGGTTGGAGATTACTCCGCCCAGACGGATATGTGGGGTCAGGTCCCAGTCAGCGCGTTCGTCAATATGGTGCATCTTGATGCCTGGGGGAAATACAAATATTGAATACATCTAGCTGGTATCAGAGAGGAAGCATGCACGTGCCTTTCACAGTGGTGGCCAGCTTGTTGCGAGCTAACGCGTTTCGCATATTGAACATCACAAGGAATGTTTCAGTCGCGTCTGTGTTCTCGTTTCGGTAGTCTGAATACTGGTGGCGTGTGTAACCCGACTCTAGGAGATACTTGATGAGCCTTCTGTACGTGTGTGCTATCGTAGCCGCAAGTTAGCCGTGCTGGTCTGGTTAATGATGGCCAACGCAACGCACCTCGCGGCGAATTCCAGCCATCCGGCAGTTCGTCCTCCGTAGCACGAGTGAAGATGTCATATGAGATGCCATAAACAGCATTGAACGGCATGGCCGCCAATCCTGGAAACTGTTGCAACACAAAATTGAGCTGAGGGGCGAATGCAGCCATGGAAGAAGAGCTGGGCAGGCTGCCGTTCCTAGGTCAAGAGTTATGAGAGGGTGATACACTCAAGTTTCCAAGCGCCTTTCCGACTAGATAAGCTGTTGGGAACAATACACGCATCCACCACTGATGAGAGCACTGAAACCCGAGGACAATAAGGGCTTGCAGCGCGTGAGAGAATTTCGACGCTTGTTCCTCTGAACACTCACCTGTCAGCCGACAGAGGACAATGGACGGCACATACTGGCGTGTATGAGAGCACTGAAACCCGAGGACAATAAGGGCTTGCAGCGCGTGAGAGAATTTCGACGCTTGTTCCTCTCACGACGGGCAACGGCCTAGCTTCGGAGCCCGAAAATGCGTAGAAAATGCCTGTCAAAGGTGTCATTTTCGGCGGGCGTTTGTCTGGTGGAGAAAAAGGGTGGGAAAGGCGAAGTTTTATGTCAAGTTTCCGTGTGTGGTAAAGTATCCTGAAAGGTGACGGTTTGGGCGGATTTTCGGACAAAGAAAAGGAGACTTGTTCGTGTGAGTTTCCAGGGGAAAAAAACGGGGGCCTCAGGTGACCTTTTCTCCGCATTGTTCGGCCCGACGTAAAAGCACCGCAAAGGCCCATTTTCAGCGCCTTTTCAGCGCTCCGAAAAATGCACGGTCAACAAACGACCTTTGCGTGCTATGGAAATGGGTACTAAAGGCCTCTTTATCGACGCTTTTTCGCACACCGTAGCACAATCTTTGATTTCTCTTTTCCACCCATTTCTCTCGCCAACATTCTTTCCAGCCGATGTGACATTTGCTCCGTTTTTTCGGCCCTCCAAAAATCTCGTAGAAATTGCCCATTTTAGTCCCTTTTTTCACACGTGCACAAAAGGCGGCAGAAAAGACACCTTTGACAGGCTTTTTCTACGCATTTTCGGGCTCCGAAGCTAGGCCGTTGCCCGTCGTGTCTGAACACTCACCTGTCAGCCGACAGAGGACAATGGACGGCACATACTGGCGTGTGTGCGAAAAGCAGCGCTTTTTGTTCTTGGCGTGGGTGGGCCAAAAGTTGATGACCACAGGTGCCTCAAGGTGTCTCAGCGCTCGACGTTCAAGCGCTCGTTGAGCTCAGGGTCATAAGTCGGCATAAGTCGGCGCCAAGGCAATAAGCGCTTATTCCCCTTCACCCCCCACACTTCCAACCACCATGGCCACTGCTTCTTCGTCGGGAGACTGGGACAGACTCTCGCGCCGTCTTGCCAACTACATGTACCGCTGCAGAGTTGACGGTTTTCTCTTGCAAGACAGCCCCCTCGAACGCGACAGAGCCATAGCAGAGCTCAGCATGAATCAGCGTACTACCACGCTCAACCCGCAGGCCTCCATCGACGCGGAGGGTGGAAACGTTGACCAGTACCTCAGGAAGGTGGACAAGGCGATCGGCGAGCTTGACGATAAGGAGAAGCAGCACCAGGATGCTTTCACGGTTGCCGAGTACGTCGTTTTCAGCCCCTCAACCCCCCACTGTCCTCACACTGCATCGTGGAGCCGTGTGCTGCGTTGGCACTGCTTCTTCTCTGCGACCCTGATCTGTAGCCAGTACGAATGCACCCTCGCCCAACCTGGCTTTGATGCCAGTGGCTTGGGGGATGTCAGCATCCGCGCCCTCCGCTTGTGAGCTCTCGATCTAGACGTTTCGAGTATTGCTTTTAACACCGTCTTGTTATTTTCAGGAGCCAAGAGATGTTCAAGGAGTATTCTCCAGGAAATTCTTCATCGCCTGCCACCCATTTTTCCACCCGCGGCTCCCCTGACATGTTGCCTTCCCCTCCTCGCACGTCTCCTCCTATGCCCCCAAGCCCTACCTGGGAGGAGGACGTTCCCATGGAACGTTCCCTGACCAAGCTCTCCACTGAGGCGATCACTGCGCTGCTGGAGGATCCCGCCGAGCTCGTCAGGCAGAGGTTTTTGTGCTTGAGCGAGGACGAATACGAAGCTGGCCAGTGGTCGGTGGAGTCGATTGCGCACACCCGTCGTGGTGTCGAATATGTGATCGTGTACGATGATACCGATGGGCCGATCCCGATGGACGAGGGGTCCATGCGTGACCTCATGGAGGAGAGCGTAGTGCTGTGACAATTGTCACAACCCTTTGGTCTTGCTCATCGCTTGCTACACATCTACGTTGTATCGCAGCCAGCTCTCCTATGTCTTCTTATGCATCAGCTTTGATTACCCATGTCTGCGTCTTTTCACGGTACATCTGGTCTCGTCCCCAGTCGCTCTGCACCGCACCCCACCACCGCCTGCACTTCCCCAACATCTTGACGGTGTACGTTCCGCTCCCTCCACTAGCCCATGCGCCTCACCAATCATCTTCCAGCCTGTGCCATGGCTCCCCACCCAACTCCAGGCTTAAGAAGCATATGCAGCCTCGAGACCTGCAGACCCCACATTCCCTCACACAGCATCGCGCGCACACTCTCTCCAGACTCTGCTCAACGCCCTACCCCCTAGGTGGCCGCCTCCTCCATCAAGACCGGGCAGCTCGTTAGCCGTCGGCATGGGCGCTTTTGCTGTGACGGCCTACGCCAGCGGCGCCACTCGGCACTCAGCCCTCGCCCTCCCCTGGTGGGTCACCGCTCTCTCTTTTTGTGCCTTCACCCACCCCCAACCTGTCAGGTAGCCTTTTTGGCCTCGCTGGTAGTCTTACCCACCTGAGTACGTCCAGAAGGACGTGCTCTGGGTGTCATTTCGACGACGCCCAGTGGCCGACGCCTGGCAGCCCTCTCTCTCCCTTCTACCACCACCCCGCCCACCCGACCGCATGCAGGGTGCACCGGGGCGGCTCACCCTCATCCTCTTCCGCCGCCTGCCTTTCTCAGCCACCCTCGTCACTGCCCATTTCCAGAACAGACGGCTCAAAAGCCGTCCGAACGGGCGCTTCTCACCACCGCCTCCCGTCCGCCCGATTTGGCAACACTGTAGATGCGCCTCGGCCACGACGAGTGGCCTGTCATACGGGGATGTGTGTGCAAACGGCATCCTCAGCGTGCCTTTGACGGTTGACCTGTGCGTCCCTTATCTCTTCTTCCCTGAATGCCATGTTGGCTTATGTAAGCCTCTCCCCTCACACCCACAGGGCTTTGGCCGCCCGGAATCGATTCCCCGCCCCCTTCTTCCACTCCCTCATACAACGAGATGAGGCCAACCTCTCCCACCAGGCGGACTTTCTTCTCGCGTCTGAGCATAGTCGAGACAGAGAGCTCTACCGACCACGCCCCATCCCTCTCCAGCACGTAGTTGTACACGTCCGCGTCTAGTTCGTCCATCCAGCCCTACTCCCCAGCCAGTAACGTCCTCGCAGCTCTGTTTCTGCTTCTGTCCACTCTACAACTGCCGACCCGTGTCCGCTCCGCCTTCCGCCTTCCACAGTCAACCAGGGCACGAGTGCAAGCGGCCACTCCATTATTCGCTCAACATCCCCCTTTCCACAATGACACCCGCTGATACGCACGTGCCACCGCTGTATGGTGCACCGCGACTACACTAGCGCGCGCCGCCGTCCACCTCGACCTCGCTCGTCCTCACGCACCTCGACCTCTCCGCCGCGCGCACCCATCGCGATCAGTCCGCGAGCACCCCGTATCGACGCTCCAGCATTCCAGGCCAGACGCGACGCCCACGGACACACCGCGGCACAGTCCACGCACGACCGAGGCCGGCACGGCACGGACCCGATCCACCTCCTCTACAGCACGCTGACCTCGTCCATCTTCTTATTTTCATTCCTCTCCTCTCCTTGCATGTTTAGTATGCTCTCCTTGTCTACATTTCGTACATTTCGTATTCTCGTATCCACTTCGCACGTCCCCCATTTCGATCCTCTGCCTTAACCTATCCCTGCTCACCTGTACCTCGATCTTCGTTCCTGTCCCCCGCGTTTTCGGCTCAGCCCTTCATTCTCGGTCTCGATTTCGTACATTTCCGTGTCTTGGACTGTACATTGATCTGTCTACACACTCGCCCTGTGCGTCGCATGTACTTAGGCTCACGCTTTTCTTGTTGATGGACAGTTCACTTTCCCGCTCCGTCTGCGCGTGCTGTGTGCTCACCTCGTCTTCGCCTTCACCTTCGCCTTCGCCTTCGACTTTGACTTCGCCCACGCCCACGCTTTCGCCCACGACCTCGACCTTCCCTTCGCTAGCGCCGCGCGTGCGCGCGATCTCGTCTATTCCATCCGCGTCTATTCCCTCATCGTCCTCCTCGCGCTCGCGCGATCCCCCGATCCATCCTCTCTTCGCGCTCGCTCCTCCTGCGGCGCGTCGTAGCTGTTCTCTTCATTCCCTCTTCGACTTCCCGCGTCTCACGCTTACTCGAGCTCACTCACTCGCCCTCACCATTGTCGACTCCTCCCGGAGTTGACTGCACATCACCGCCTCTGCGACTACTTTTGTCTCCCCATTGGCGTCCATGACCACGAAAAAACCAACTGCTGCTCCCATCGCCAAAGCCGCCTTCCCGTCAACCTGCGTCATCCACCCCCTCTGTTTCCGGGGTATCTCCCTCTAGGGGAGACGCCGAACCGCTCTCTCTCTCTCTCTCTCTCTGTGCACTACACGCCCCTCACAAACTCGCACAGCCATGCCGGCCGCCGCTCGTGCCGCTTTTCCAGGCCCGATTGGAGCACGTCCGTGCCCCCACTGATGCGCACGCCGCACGGCCAAGGTACCAAACCACCACCGACGCAAACCGAGCCAAACTGCACCCCCAACCGTCCACGCGATGCACCGACCGCCCCGTTACCGACACCCGCACGCCGCTGCCGACAAGACCTCGCGCAACGCGCATCAACGCGCGCACTGGCCGACATTGCCACCACCACACCGTGGCTCGCACACACGAAGCCCACCGACCGATAGCCTCCCTGACAGTCAAAGCTCACCACGTCCTCGGACATCCCATATTGCCCCACATACCTTGCGCACACCCGAATCCTTCTTTTGCACTTCTCCATGTCCCGTGATTCCCTTTCGAATGTTCTGTATTCCTCGACGCTCCGCCACATTCCCACTTCCTTCGGTCCCACATTGCGATATCCCAGCTTGAGTCCGTCTGTACCTTATACACGCCACCAACCACCCTCCCTACGTCTCGCTACCATGGCCCCTACCTTACGCTCCATGGAGCATAGAGCATTTGTAGCATCGTAGCCCCACCCCGGGGGCACACTAGTAGTCCTCGCAGGGCCCTTGGGCCACTGCGCGTAGGACATCCACGCTAGAGCATATATGAGCCCACTGACGATGTGCGATTATTTCCCATAACCCGTCCACCCATCAATCCGAGTCAACCTGTTATGGCCTGCTCCGCCTATCCGTTTACGAGCATCGGCGCGCACCCGCAACGGACGTCTTAGCATACGATCACCGCAGCCACTAATTAGTGTACATGGTTTATATGCCCGCCTCCGCATCCCTGCCTCGGCACGCGATTGCCTCAGGCTCCCTCGTCATCCCCCGCCTTTCCTTCCCTCCCGCTCTGCGAGCCAACGAGGACACTCGCGCTTCTACACTACCGTCCTTACACGCTTACGCCACCCGTACCCGCCTAATCGACACCCTCTCCCGCGCACGTGCGCCTACCCTTGTCCGCGCCCGCTCGACCTCGCCCGCGCTCCCGCGATCTCGCGCGCGCGACCGCAACACAACCTCTTCGAGGGAGGGCATTTGACCAGCGCGAGACATCCACCCCAGTGCCCAAAAGTCGACGACGGGTTCGAACTTTCCGGGCCGCCACGGACAGCCTGGTCAAAGTTCGAATCCACCTGACCAAATTTTCCGTCACGCTCCAAATGGCGGTTCAATCAATTTGAAATCGCACGGTATGTGGTCGGCGCGGGGGTTGTCTGGACGGTGTTTGCGTTGGCATTTATGGCGGTTTGCGCGTGTCGGGGGCTGGTGTGGGGCGGTGGTATCGTTTTCAGGGTTAGCAAGACTTGCCCCGAATGTCTCCCAGAGGCGTTCTGTTGTGTCAATGTAAGTGAAGAGCTGTGGGAGAGTGTCTGCGTTGTTGAGTAAGTACTCGAGCTTTCCGCCCTTCCGTCTGAGCCTCACACGAATGTGCGCCATGCACTCACGTGAGTACGCGGAGCATCGGAGCAGGAAGCGCACCACCGTTTTGGCCTCCGCCCCGCATGTCAGGCATATGTCGGTGTCCGTGCGGCGTATGTGGTAGAGATAGGCATGGGGGGGGGGGGGGGGGGATGTGGCCCGTGCGGAGCTGGATGGGTAGGCACGCCTGTCGGCGGGAGGGCGGTGCAATGGGGCTGAAGTAGTAGGACTTGGAGGGGGGCAATGGGTCGATCCGGTTCGTCCCCCTTATTTAATTTCCCCTTTTCGCGACGTGCGTCGCGCATTCAGCGCTCAGTGCAAAATAAGTGGCCGTAGCTGTAGGGCAGCAGCGACCGTATTTGCGAACAAGCACGAGTTTGATCCCGGTGCATTATCCGCAAGCACTAGGAATGTTTACAAAATTTTCTCCATGGGCGCTTACCCTGCGCGCAGCAGTTGGAGCCGCACGGTGGCGTCGTGACTCGTTAGTTGCAGCTGGGTCCCAGAGCGCTGAAGCCCATCCTGCGACAGCCCGCCACCTTCAACGCCACCCTACTGCCACTGCCGCGGCAACGCGAACTTGCGCCACTGCTACTAGTCAAGCCCAAAGGCGCCATTTAAAATGCCTAGGTGCGATCTGTGCAACAAGGTATTCCATATGGGGCTGGCCCGCCATTTGAGGGAGTGCAAAAAGTACATCTTCGAAATCCATGGCGAACTCATTACAAGGCGAGAAAACGGCACAATAAGTTGTCGGTGCCTTCGCAGTAACGAAACCATCTCAAGTTGCACTGCGAAAATAACAACCAAACACGCCCTCACAGCTCACCTGAAAGGATGCACAGGATGGCAAGTAAGCAGAGAATCCACAAACCCACCCACCTGCTTGCTTACTTCCGTCATTGTGGCAAACGAAGCAGCAACTAGATGAGTCCCAGATCGTGCTGGTGCCTCTTCAAGGCTCAGCTTCGCTTGGAGAAGCTTTGAAGCCCATGGATATTGTGAGCCCTTCATTGTTGAGTCCGATGCTTGAGATGGCGGCCACCTGCTCACTTGCATGTCTTCGGCACTGCAGGACCCAATGTAAGCATTTATTCTATTTCGGCGGTGACTTGTTGCTGCCAGCTCACCAGTGTCGCACTGAATAAGTCTAATTCCTTCCGAACTACCCATATTCAGATATGAAGCTGCCAGTCGACCTGCTAGTCCAGACGCTGCTGCCGAGGGTGATGAAGAACACACGGAAGAACTTCAGCATGACCCTCCTGCAGACTCCGCTCCCACATCTGATAAAGATGGCGGCGGCTACAGCAATGCAGCACCTCAAACTCGGGCTCATTCCCGGAACGCTGATGCTTTCCAAGCCAACATTCAGCGTCGCTTAGAGGATCTTCTCCGCGATGAAGACAGCTGGGAGCATCTTGTGGACCGAGTTGTGGCGATCAGCCCAGAAGGCGGAACGGTGGTTGTTATGTAAGCATTTTAGTCTACGATCTGCAATTTGTGAAACTGACAAGGCATTTGTTTAGCAAGGAGGACATCTTGGGCGACCACGGCCTGTAGGTGTGCCCTACTCGGCGCAATAGGAACACCATCCGCTAATTTCAACAATTACGTCAGGATCTACCCTGCGCTTCTAATACCCCAGCAGAAGTGCAGAGAGAAGGCGCCACAGAAGGCAAGTCCAGGCTCTAACCTGCTCATTGTTTGAGCTACCACAACTTTAGCATCCACTAGCTTCTCGACTTCATTCTAGCAAGCACACAATTCCAAAATTGCACATCGGAGGAAGCAGGGGTCAAGGCTCTGCATAGGTTTAGAGAGGAGGCTCCACAGGAGGGGAGTTCAGCTTGTGATCTGCTCATTAAAAGTGCTAATGCTACTCCACCAGCTTCTCGACTTCCTTCTCGCACGCTTGAAGTTTCGCTGTGGCGGAGCGGGGGGAGCGGTGGACACGGCGCGCCGATGATGCATCCTGGGATAACGTATTGCGACTAAGTTGCTATTTTGATGGAGGATATGATGTGATACGGACGTCGGACGCGGAGAGGAGCGTGCCCTGCTCCAAGAGGGACGCGCTGTCGGATGTGGACACTGTGGTCCGCCCGTGGCTCACCCGACCGTGGACACGGACGTGGCGGCAGTTGAGCTCAAATTCCACGGGTTCGAAGCCAAGACGATTAGCTGCTCTGAGGCAAGCAGGAGTGCTTATTGTGCGTTGGGTTCTCAGGATGCAAGGCTGATGGGCGCGCGTCGACTTCCCTGCCACAGCAAACGTGAGGATAACTGCCGAGGCCACACCCGCTACTACTTTCGTCCTGTGAACACCCCCACCACTCGCTCGAGAACCACCACTGACAACATGTGTTTCGTTTAATTTTCTTTGTTAGCACCCCTACGCCTTGAAGAATTACCACCTGCCTACTGTCCGCGCCTCCACCGCGCCACCTGGCCAATCACTCGTTTCAGCTCTCCGTCTGCCACGCTCGCGCCCCCTCCGCCAGTCCTCCTCTCCCGCTGCTCCTGCTCCACCCGCCCACTTGGCGATCCTCGCTACCCCTAGTCATCAGTAATTTCCCAAAGTCCTGTGGGGTCCTGGCGGGCCTGACCAGGGTTTCCAGGAACCCAGGGATTTTGCTCCAGGCGTCCGGGCGTTCAGGCCGTTTCGGGGCGTTTAGGGCCCCAGGCCGGCCAGTTCAGTCAGGGATTTCAGGAATCCGGCAGGTGGGGGGCATATAACATTTATTATCACGGACATACTATCGTACATGTAGGCATACAGACGGGTGCGACTCTTCACAACGCTCCTCGTACGTGTCCGGGTCCGAGCCCCACTTCGTCGGCGCAACTGCGGGCAGTGGCACGGGCATCAGAGGGCATCACACCGCGAAGTAGCACTCGCTCTCCAAGTCCGAGCCGTCGCCCGCGCTGCCAGACCTGAACCCGCTCCCCCAGTGGCTACGCGCTAGTGCGAGTGTGCGGAGGACGGCGAGGGCGACGTACATGGGGAGCGATGCGGGGAAGGCCGTGCGCGGGAGCACCCCGGCGTTCGTCCGGGTCGAAAGCGCGGATTTGGTGGGAGCCTCCTCACCTCGTGCACCTCGGACACGAGCAGGTCTCGAACCTGATGGTGAGCTGTGAGGGGGAGCTCGAGCCACGCCCCGCCGAGGGAAAAGTCTCGTGCGTGCGTAGGCGCCGCTTCGTGTTCGACCGGACTGCGAACGAGTTTGTGCACGTCGGGATCGGGCACTTGAACGCTGCAGCAAACAGAGTTGAAGTTGAGTCAGCATGGAAACTGACGCAAGTCCACACACGACACACGACCACAAACATTTCGCGCCCGAGTGCGAGTTCGTGTGCGTTGCGAGCCCACTCAGCCGGGGGAACATCTTAAAGCACACCGTGGGTGCCTCTTGCTCTTCTTCGCCGGCCCCCGCCGCTGTGCATCTCCGCAGCGGGATATGATTATATGGTTGCGGAGGGAGGTGAGCGCGAGCTCATCGAGGAGGTTAGTGTCGTACCTGGTGTTGCACAGAAGTCCGGTCTTGGCGTACAAGTGCTGGCGGAGATGCTCGAGCCTGACGTACAGCGGGATATTGGACGCTTCAGATAAACAACTCACCCGGTATTGATCGTACGCCCATCCACCTGACACTTTCTGTCCCACACAGCCGAAAGAAGGGTGTAATAGGCCTGTCGAAGCGTCGAAATATGATCAGAGATATGTTGGATACTATGGGCATCCATAGTACCCACCTTATCCATAGTACCCACCTTATCCATAGCATGAAGCCTTCATATGGGCTTGGTGTGGCTTTTTTCGCGTTTGTGAGCACGCTGATACCGCTATGACTTGTCCTCAGGCGGTGTGTCAAGTGGTGGAGATGGGAGGAGGGTGAGAGGCGACTCATGTTAGGCGCCCGAGTCCTGCGCGTCTTCGGTGCCCACCGCACGCGGCTTTCTCATCTTGCTTCTTGACCCAATCTCACTCTGCTTTCCTCCACTCCCGCGTTTTTCCCCGTTACGCGCCCTGGGGCCAGGCTTCTCTTCTCCAGTATCAGCTCCGCGCAACACCGCCCTAGAAGATGCTGCCTCCGATAACAGCGAGGTCGAAGATGTCCTCGACCCTGAGCAGGTGGAACTTGGAAGACGCTCTGTTCCGCGAGCTCACCACGCAGGCTGCTGCAGGCGACATCCCTCAAGCGAAGGTTACGCTCTCCGCATGGCCAGGTAAGTCATCGCTGTAGTTGTCCATTTGAGCCACGCAGATGTAGCCCTCCTTTAGGGATCGTCACAGGTATACCCAACCCGCGCAGGTCACGGGTGCCGGTGAGGGTCGCGCAGGTATCGACTATCATGATCTGAACCTCAAGAATGACAACTCGAAGATCGTACGTGTTGTCGCTCCCGTTCTCTTCAATCTTGTCATACTCACTGGCCGCCCTGAAGACGTGCATCATCGACTGGGAGTTCACCACCGCACGCCCGATTTGGGCGTGCGCGCACGTCTCCGCCTTCCTACAATCTTCGCCCTTCAACGCAAACTTCTCTTCCGCGCGACCATCGAGCGCCTCGCCCGCTCCCCTAATGTGCTCATGATCCACGGCCGTCCCGTGCTCATCCCGCTCGCCGACCTTGCCTGCTTCTGGCTGCACCACGAGGCGACCGGCATGGCTCGGCGTGAAGGCGGTGCTCGTCCTCGGCCTCAAGGTGCGCGACCTGTAGGTACGCGTGGAGGACGGGTTCGCGCTGCCCGGGGGTGCGATGGTGCGCGAGGCGGTGGAGGAGGACATCGCCTGGTGAAAGTGTCCGTTCCTGGTCGGTGAGCACTTTCCCATAACCTCTTATTGATCCTGCTGAATCGCATGGCAGTCGCGACCATCGGGACCACGAACACGGGCGCGATGGACCGCGTCGACGAGATCGGGCAAATCCGTGAGTGCGCCTACGGTTATCTGAGCGCCGTGGTTGCTGATCATGCCGACCGCGTCCAGTGAAAGACTACCCCTTCATCTGGTTGCACGTCGACGCCGCGTGGGCCGGCATATCCTTTGCTTGCCCCGAGTACTGCGAGCAGAGCCAGCTCGCTGCCATCAACGAGCACGCAAAGTCGTTCTGCACCAATTTCCACAAGGTCTGCCGTGCGCCCGTCCCGCCTGCCCGCCCCTGCTGACAGTGCGCGCAGTAGGGCCTCGTCAACTTCGACGCGACCGCACTCTGGGTCTGCCAGCGCCACGACCTGATCGACGCGCTCGACGTCACCCCCGCGTTCCTACGCACGAAGCAGTATGATGCCGGTCAGTCGCTCGCCTGGAGGATGCGTACGCTCCCGACTCGCCCGTCTCTGCGATCTCGCTCGCTCGACTCACGTTCCTTCGGGCAGTCCACACCCTCGAGAGAGGAGCTGTCGCGCTGGTTGAGCGTCGTGAGTGGCCGCGCCGGGAACGTGACGGCGAACACTACCTTCTGCGCTTGACGTGTACATTAGAACACTTTGTATACCTATTCTTATCTGTGTTCCCACCCCTAGGCCGCCGCCGCCGCCGCCTGAATCCCTGTGCGTGCCGGGCGTCCTGGATCCCTGCGCCGCCCTGTGCGTCCTGTATGGTCCCGATTCCCCTGGATTCCTGAAATCCCTGAAATCCAGGGACCCAGGGATTCAGGGATTTTGGAAGTTACTGATGTAGGGCGACCACCCTCAGCCCCGCCGCCCAGCACGCACGAGGCTGCTGCGGGGAGCAAGGCACGATCGTCGATCGTCGACACCAGGGTCGAGCATCACGGACGGACAACATCGGAAGAAGTCGCACATAGTGGTACCTGCCTGGCTCTGCGGTCTCATGGGGGCATATATCGCGCGTCCCCACAGGCCGCTCGCCTCCTATGCAGCGCGCATGTGGATCCACATCTCGTGAAAGGCGCCGTAGTCGACGTGGTCCCCCCGACAGATGACCTGGACGGCCTGGTGTGGGTCCAGCAACAATTTGCACAATGGGCACTCAACCTCCCGAGCAACTCCGCTGTCTCCATTGCTCACACCTACCTGGGCCTCTGGCCGATCCGACATCGCTGCCTAATGCTGGCCATCCGCCAATGACCCAGAGCACCCCTGCATAACAATGGCTGTTCTACCGCGCGCTGCGCTCGCTATGGCAGTTGTGGTAGCACGCGCAGGACACGCCACGTGATACCCCGACCTTCTGGGAGCGGTTACTGCCAGTGGCCTTGGCCCACCGATCTTCCTTGCCCTAGACGTCGAGTCGTCCCCTGAGGTCTGTGCGGACCTACAGGCGGCGCTAAAGGCGTCCCTCAAGGATGCCCCCGTGCGTGGAGTCTCCCAGAACGTCCAACTCAAAGTCTGGCACGAATGCATTTTCCCCTCGCTTCGCCCTCAGCCCATGCTGGCGAGGATTTGCGCACACCAATCCTACCTCACGCCCCTCCCACGGGAAGACCGCTCCGCAGTCGTCCGCCTCCTCCCAGGCTGCCATCCCAACCATATCGAAACAGGACGCCACACCGTGCCCTACACGGGCAGCTCGGAGGACCGCCTCTTCCGCTTCTGCGCTCACGACGCCGTGGAGACGGAGCTCCATGTGCCCCTCGGCTGCGACGGGCTGGACATCTCCGAGGCCCGGGATGAGCATCTGGTGGCGCCAGAGGAACGGCAACTGCACGTATACCGGGTCTGGGAATCGGAGGGCGACACGACATTCCTGGCGGGCCGCCGTGGCTGGCGGCCGACGAGGCGGTCCGTCTTTTTGGGCATGTGGGTCTGCTGGGCTTTTGAGAGGTGTGCGGCAATCCCACCGTGACGCCGTGGCGTAGCCAGTGCTTTGCAACAATAATGAGTGTTTTTGATGTGCATATCCAACGGTGAATTCCTCTTTATTCCGCTGTTGCATCACAGTGGACAGCGCGGGCACCTACAGCCTGAGATGGGCCGACGCCGGCGACGTGCAGGGGCGCTCCCTGTGCGCATAAGCACTTGCGTGATGGACCTAGGGCGTCGAGGCATTGGGTGCAGTGTGGAACGCCGGGCGGCAGCCGCAGATCAGCAATTCTGTAAACGTCTGGTCACCTGGAAAATCCAGGCATTTCAGACGCAAACCAGCCGGTCAGGAAAACGGCGCAAGGTTAGACGCCCTAAATTGATCGGCGATCAGCGTTCATGCCACGACCGCCGATCAAATTTCGTCCCGGGTGGGCGGAACACCACCAGTGCGCAATATTCGGGGACGGGGTGACCAGAGGCAAACGACCGCACCCGCAAGCAGGCGCGGCGGACTGGCGCCCCGCTGGCGCGACTCAACCAGCGGCCACTGGGAGCTCAGGCCGCCGCCACCTGTGGCGAAGGGGGCCGCTGGGGCCACTGGGCCCAGCGGGTGAACGCATAGTTCTCATATATCGGACCAGCGGCCACATAAATCAGTGTTTAACCACAGTTTGCACGAGTTGAGTCGCGCGCGCAGCGGCCCGGCACCAAATCTGAGCCCGTTCAGACGAGCGCGAAGAGCTGGCGCCTCTCCCCGCAAGCTGGCGCGTCGTGAGAGCGGCCAGTCCTCCAAGCGGAGTCCTAGGGTTCGACTACATATTCCAGGCCGTCTGTAACATATGTTACTAACAAACCGACCCTCAGACGCCATTTGTAGCACGTGTAAGTAACATGTAACTAATTCGAAATGTAATGAGGGTCTAGTGCTGCGGAGAATAGCCCTACCAGTCCCCATCCTTAGTCAGATCGCTGTCGGAATCCTCATCATCGGACGTAGACAGCGAGATTCGTGCAGCACCCACAGTAGAGACGCATCATGGCACGCAGACGACACCAGGCGACCCCTCTGAGGGTATTCCAAGGAGATGGGGAGACCACAATTGCGACAAATACTCTTCAGGATAGCGGGAGCTTGCACAGGGCCCTTTAAAGAAACGTGTGATTTTCAGTGAAAGCACAAATATCTGAGCCACTGATGTGCAGTCAACTCCGGGCTCAGGAATCAACAAGGATGAGGGCGAGTGAGCGAGCGAGCGTAAGCGTGAGTCGCGGGAAGTCGTATAGAAGCAAATACGACGCGCCGCGGGGAGAGCGAGCGCGAAGGGAGGATGGATTGGAGGATCGCGCGAGCGCAAGGAGGACACCGCGGGGATAGACGCGGGAGATGGACGAGGTCGCGCACACGGGCGCTGGCGAAGGCGAGGGCGAATACGGGGGCGTGGGCGAAAGCGTGGACGTGAACGTGGGCGTGCGCGAAGTCGAAGTCGAAGGCGAGACTAGATGAGCACACTGCACGCATAGATGGAGCGGGGATGTGAGCGCAGATAGACCGAGGCAGCATGAGCCGAAATGGGGGGCTCGCGAAGTGGATACGAGGATACGAAATAGAGCAAAAATAAAGCAGGAGAGAAGAAGAAACATACGATATGAGGAGTGGGGTACCATCACGAGACAAGAACGTGTCGTCAGGCTATGGAGGATGGGGATCGAGTGCGGGCAGGTGATGACTACGAGCGAGCGTGGGCCACGCCGCGGTGCGTCCGCGAGTGTCGCGTCGGGACTGTGGTGCTGGGGCGTTAATCCTGGGGTCCTCGCGGGCAGATCGCGACGGGTGTGCGCAGTGGAATGGTCGAGATGTGCGAGGACGAGCGAGGACAAGGTGGGCGGCGGCGCGCAGGCGCTAGTGTAGTCGCGGTGCACCGTACAGCGGTGGCACGTGCGCATCACCACGTACAGAGCTTACCTGCAGCTCACTCGCCAAGGATAAGGATCGTGCCCCAGACGCTCCGGAGTCCGCCAGCATTCACGTACAACTCGGGGTGTGAAAGGGCAAAGCGGCGACAGGTGGACAAGCGCGGAAACATAAGGTTACATAGGGATCGACTACATATTCCGGGCCGTCTGTAACATATGTTACTAACAAACCGGCACTCAGGTGGTATTTGTAACACGTGTAAGTAACATGTAACTAATTCGAAATGCAATAGAGGTCCAATGTGGCGGAATGTAGCGCTACCAGTCCCAATCCTCGCTCGAATCGTCATCGGAATCTTTACCATCGGCCGTAGACAGTGAGCTTGATGTAGCACCGACAGTAGGGATGTGGTGTGACATGTCGGCATCTTCAGGCTCCTCGTCTGCGAGAATTCCAAGGATATGGGGAGATGACAAGTTCACGAGGGCATGTGGAACCAACTCAACGAGTGGGACCGCGTTGCCATCGGTACTCGACGGTATGGGTTCGCACTGCGTCGCAGCGCGCGGCTCAGACGTGTGCGCGCCGCCGCCAGCTGGCCCATCCGTATCGGAATCGTCTGAGCTGCTCTCAGCAGACGCGTCCGACACACCCTCCTCATCCAGGGTGCCGGCCATCTTCTCGAGGTCCTTCTTGACATCACGGAATGTGACTCGAAGCGATCGTGACTGTGGGGCAGGATTCGGGATCCCAGACTGGGCCAACTCCTCGGCCTTTCTCTGTTCCGATGTTACCATCAGTTGAGATATTTGCGTTCGCGGCCCGTGGGTTCACATCAGAGAGACACACCTTTGCAGTCCAGTGCTGACCAACCTGCACCATGTTGATCAGAGTTTGAGCCGTTTGTTTGCCTCGGAGCGGGGTGTTGAGTCGTGTGAAGTTGGAGCCTGTGCGCTCGTCCGGCATGGAGTTGGCGAGGATTGAGAACAGCTTCACCACAATAAGCTGTCGATCTCTGCATCAGATAACGGCAGCCTGATATAAGCTGAGATTGGTTTGCTCACTGCAAGCACGTTCGCATGCGGATGATTCATGAGAGGTTGCCAATAATCAAGCGGGGCGACGTCAAAGGCCGGAGTATTGAAGGGGTATTGCTGGCGCCAATAGCACTCGAGTTGAGATCGCAAAGCTTTGGTTGCAGCTTTTCGACCTCCAGCATGCTTGATGTGCAGTGCAGCGGGCTCGGAAGGGTGCTCTTTCGAGCGTTCAACGATCCGCCTGAACGCGTCCTTGCAGAAGGCTTTCAGGCGAGCATACGCACGCGGATGAGGAATTGTGAGGTCGGCGTCGGAGGCCGGTATCACAATGTTTGTCGGCTCCAGTGGGCTGATAAGGATGGCGTCGGACCGTACTGGGTAACCTGTAGAGTAGTTGACAGATTAGAGATGATAAGCAGCCTCGCAGTGAGCCGTAAGTGTTAAACGAGATGAGCCGCACGCGCCAGGCACGTCGAGCGCGGCCGGGGTTGTGGCACGCGCCAGGTGCGCGTCGAGCAGGACGCGAGCCGAAACTTCGGGCGCGGCGAGCAGGACATGAGCAGCTATGCATGCCATGCAGCGCTTCGACCGCGGCAACCCGGCACACGGAGCGCGGCACGCGTAGCGAGCAGGATGTGCGCAGGACACGTTGTGCCTGCGTAGGGGTAGACTCGGACTCGGTAAAGTGGGCATGCCGTGCACTTCAAACGCGGCGAGCTGCATGCGTCGGGCGCGACGAGCACAACATGAGCAGGACATGTCGCACCTGGCGCATGCAGCGCGGCGACGTGTACGTGGCGAAATGGATGTGCCCGCGGCCGCATAACTCTCATCCACGACCGAGCGCGCCGCAGCGCGGACCCATAACGATCCAACTGAGGTGTGAGGAATAGTATACGTACGAGAATCGAGACAGAACCCGGCGAAGTAGATATCCTGGTTCACAAAGAAGTCATCGTATCGGTTGTTGAATGCGGTGATGACAAGGTTGGCGAGGTCGCGTGGGATTCCCGTCTCATTGTGTCCCTTGCTGAAGAGGTCCCGAAGTTGGGCGGCGCAAGCCATGAAGAAGACCCAGACGTCAGATACATTGGTGTGAACCGATTCGAGAGCCCAGAGCGATCGAATGAGGGGTTGAATGATGGTGGTGTAGACAGTGAGCATCCGACGGAAATCCAGAAGGGTAGCGCTGTAGGCAGTGGCAAACATATCTTGAATATCGCGTTGCTGACGAAACAACCCCGAGCCCTGTCAGTGAGCCGCAGTTCTGAGCAAAGAGGTGAGGACACTGCACCTTGAATTTGATATGCTTTGCCTTGACAAGCGCCTGAATCTTGTCGAGACAAGGTAGAAGCGACGTCGCACCGGAGTAGTGACCTCCAAACCGAGTCTTGCCAATCTGCTGCAGACCGAGAAGTTTGGGCTCATCTGCTACATGCTTGCGCAAGAGAGCTGACGCCAGACGAGATCGAGAGAAGTAAGCAAGGATCTTCTTGAGCTTGCGGATCGGCTATACAAACAATTATTACGACTAGTATTTCCCGTGCAACCATGGTCGAGCTCACCTCCACGAAAATGGCCAACTTGGTGATATCCCGGATGATGCTGTGGGTGTGGTGGATGCAATCACAAAGGTTGAAGACGGTTGGAACACGCTTTACAAGGTCACCACGGGTTTTCAGTGTGACGGCCGTGCTGTCTGAGACAACTGCAGCGACTAGACCCCGGTCAATGCTGTCAATAGACTGAAATGCGCAGTCAGAACGAGCTGCATCAACTGGCGGCATAAACGACTCACTGCAAGGATCTTCGACAACACCCAATCTGCGGTGTGATGCTCGTCCGAGCCCACGTGGCCGGTGAGATAGACGACCTCACGGTTTGGGGTCGTAGCGTGAACATGGTAGATGGAGTCGCGCCGAGTGTCACCACCGTCAAACGAGATTGTTATATTCTGGCATTGACGGAGCATCTTGATGTTCTCGGCACGAATGAAATCCGCCTCGGCCGGGATGATATCCCGCGTGAACTTGCTCGACGAGGCTGGGGTGAACATAGGATTCAGGAGTGTCACGAAACTGATCCACTCCTTCGTATCAACGATGTTTGGAATTAGTCCACAGCAGCAGATGAGACGCATGATGAGATGGTTCCCCTGCAAGTTGAGCAGCTCCTTGCGCTTCGGCATGTCCGAGCGCGGCCCGGTAACAAATGCATCGAGCGTTCCTGACTTCGCGACCGCCTTGGAAGACGTCGATGACCCTTTGGCGGTCGACTCGCCATGCTTCGCCCGCTTGCGAGGGATACTCTTCAAAATAGCGGGAGCCTGTCCCGCATCCTTCGGAGAAGCATTTTCAGCGAAAGCATATATATCTGAGCGGCATACAGAACTTACCTGCAGTTGACGTGCCAAGGATCGTGCCCCGGACGCTCCACCAGCCTTCGCGTACAACTCGGGATGTGAACGGGCAAGGTGGTCACAGGTGGACGAGTGAGGAAACACGCGGGACGTAGCGGGGTTCCCAACAAGCGTGTATGAGCATCCATCAGCTATACACGACCACCCAAAACCCTTCTCGCCTCGTTTTCCGTTGAGCTTGATCAGGCTGTGCATCAACTTGTTCTTCGGCTGACCGACTTTCGACTTTTTGGCCCCAGCCTGGTAGCAGAGCGTTGGGATCTGATCTGCGCGGGACTAGAATGACCTAAACTCACCTGCGATGAGGGACTGTCGCTCTCATCATCCCCACTCTCCACATCCGCATCTGAAGCCGAAGAGATCGTGACCGCCTCGCTATGGCTACGCTTACGCACGGTCGAGCTCTTCGTGCCAGAGGTAACTGGGCCACTGCCGGCCTGTTACTGCAGTGAGAAAGATGAGATGTGCATGGAAGCCTTGAGTCGTACCTGTCGAGTGACCTTCTCTGCCCCATCCTTGATGTCATTAGCCCACTTGACTAGCACCCCGTCTCCCGGGTGGAGGCGGAGATAGGTCCGGAGGACGCCAACAACGGCCTCAATCGGAGGACCGCGCTCGACAATCGGCACGATACCGTCCCCGGTGGTGCGCGAGTTCCAGCCAAATAAGGCCTTGAAGGCCTCATTCACTGCGCCAACTTCTCCCAGGTCCGCGACGCGCTCCGAGTCCGGGGTGAACTTGAGGAATGCAGCATAGTGGCCCGGGTTGTTTTCTGTGCGAAGGGGAAGGGTAGATGGAAGGGAGCGGAGAGCTGCGGCAAGCTCCGTAAGAATTGGCGTGTCAATGTGGATTTTCGTGGCCCCCGGAGCGTCAATCTGGGCCATGGTGCTCTGGCGACCCGAACCGAGGGACAGAGAGCGGGGGAAGCCAGTGCGTTACGTATCCGCCAGCATGCGTGTTCCCGTGGGTCGTGGTGACTCGAAGGTCTCAGATGACGTGTTCCAACAACCCAGGTCAATGACGAGCGCTTAAATACATGTTACATGATATGTTGCACCACCCCTCGCAGGCCCATGTTACTTATATATTACTTACCCTGTAAGTAACGTACATAATAAGTTTTGTAAGTAACAACAGGGTATGTAGTCGATCCCTAAATTATTAAGGTAGTCGGGTTCCCAACGAGTGGGTATGAGCATCCATCAGCTATGGACAACTACCCGATCCAGTTTCGCCTCGTTTTCCATGCAAATCAGGCTGTGAACCAACTTGTTCAGTTGACCGGCGTATGAGGACGGCTCCAGGGTGCAATCGTGATCTTGGAGTGCTTGCGGACTGACCGCGAGAGGTTCGAGAGACGGAATGGGCGAAGTGCGCGAGGACAAGGGCCGAGCGCGGTCGAAGGTGTTGTGCTCGTACGTCTGCACCGTACGGCGATAGCGTGTGCGCGTCGGCGTCCGCAGCGTCATCGTGAGCCCCTGGGCTTCGAACCCCGCGACAGCCGCCTCGACGCGCGCGCGGCGAGCCCTCGCGACCGCTGCGCCCTTCGCATCGAGCCCGCCTTTGGTGCCGGGGGTGTCGACGAGCCCCGGGGTGAGCACGGCGACGGTGAAGGCCTCGGGCGCGAGGAGGACGGAGAACTTGATGGCGGCAATGACCTCCTGCCTGCACGCACTCGGAGAGGTGGTAGGACGGCATGGCGGCGATCTGCATGTCGTGGATCGAGTCGTACTTGCCACCCTCGGTGTTGATCACCATGATCTTCCTCGCGCCAGTGGGGGACGCGCGTAGGAGGGGGGGAAGGCGTGGATGGAGTGGATCGTGCCAAGGCCATGATTTGGAACCGTGGGGGACGGTCAGTGCGAGACTGGAGGGGAGGGGCACGGAGGCGTACGGCGTGGGCGAGGCTGGCATCGAACTCGGCCATGTCGGGGATGTTGAGGAAGTCGGTGAAGATGACAGGAGGAGAGCGGCGCATGGCGTTGTGGATGAGGCAGTCAAGGCCTCCGCCGGTCTTCTCGGCGACTTCTTTCCTGGTACGCTGGACAAGGACGTGTCAGCGAAGTCGCCGATATTGCCTTCAAAAATGTGGACGTTACTGAAGCCGTGCTGCTTTATCGTGTCCTGGAGGTGCACCGAGGTTGCGGACGGCGAACACGGAGTTTGCGGGTATGCATATGGATGCCTGGAGACACGATATGTTAATGCCAGGCAATATACGATAGGACGGTCAACGTACAAGTTGCACAACAAATTTGAGGCCGATGCCGGGAGAGGCACCAGTAACCGTGTATATGAAGATCATTGAGATTGCAAGAGGATGAGGTGGATGTTACCGGTGGCGCGCCACCGGAGCGTCAATCTGGGCCATCGACATGATGTTCTGGTGACCGGAAGCCCAGGGCAGTGGCCATGGGAAGCCTCGTGTTGACTCGGAAGTCTCACATGACGCGTCCCGACAGCCCTTTCAAGGACAGGCGCTTGTCCACTTGTTACATATGTTACACCACCCCTTCGAGCCCCATGTAACTAATGCGGGCGTGCATCGACGCGTGGCTGTGATGCACGCCACGCGTCCCTCCCGCCGTCCTCCTCCTCCACTTCCTCCCCTGGCTCCTCTTCCTCCTCCTGCTCCGCCCCCACCACCGTCCAGGCAGACGATAGCGACTATACAGTCGTCCTTCGTCTGCTATTGGACTCCGGTGTCACCTGGTGACACCGTTCAACTCCCCTCCTCCTCCTCCCTCGACCTCAACCTCGACCTCCATGCCGTCCTTCGCCCACCTTGCCCGCCACATCCACACCGTACGAGGACGTCCATCCGGACGTCCTCAGCATGGGGATTAGAATTAGGGGGCCACGGCGATGTACCGCGGCCCTTGTTCTGGTGAGTCTCCCGTTCCGCCCTCTTGCACTCCCAATGCCCACCTTTCCTCTCCAGCTTCGCCCATCCGGCCTGCCGCCGGCCTTGACCTCCGCGTCCACCTCGTCCACCTCGCCACTGCCTTCCTCCCCGTTGCTCACCCCCGCGCTGCTCTCTGCCCGCCTTCGCGCCGCCCGCCTGCGCCTCCCTCACCTCGCCCTCCTCCTCGTCGCCCTGCTGCGTCTCGCCCACCTCCACGCGGCCCACCTCCTCCACGCGCGTCGCCCACCTTCGCGTCACCACCCCCCTCCATGTCGCCCGCGTCCGCGCCGCCTCCCGCCGCCCACACCCACGCGCGTCGCTAGGCTCCCCCTCCTCCGCCTCGTCCCGGCCCCCCGCCTCCGTGTCCGCCCTCGTCCTCGTCCTCGTCCTCGTCCTCGTCCTCGTCCCCGTCCTCCCTCTCCGCGTTGCCGATCTCCTCCACCTCGTCTGCCTCCACCTCGTCCACTTCCGCGCGCGCTGCCCGCCTCATCGCCCACCTCTGCCCGCCTCGCTCGCCTCCTCTCCGCACTCCTCCGCGCGCGCTACCCTCCTCTGCCTCCGCCTCCTCCCGCGAGCCATCCGCGTCACCCTCCGCGCACCTCCTCCGCCCGCGCGGCCCTCCGCTCACATCGCCACCTCCGCTCGCATCGCGCACCCTTGTTGCTCTGCGCCTCCTCCCTCTTCGCATCGCGCACCCCCGCCCGCGTCGCCCACCACCTGCTCCGCCTCGTCCGCGCCCTCCGCGTCCCCCCGCAAGCCCTCCGCGTCGCTCTCCTCTGCCTTCACGTTGCTCACCTCCACGTCGCTTGCCTTTGCGTCGCCCGCCTCCGCGTCTCCCACGTTCACGTCTTTCACGTCGCCCTCCCCCTCCTCCGCCTTGTCCCGACCTTCTGCCTCATCCTCGTCTGTGCCGCCCTGCTCCGCATCACCCGCCCCTGCCTCTGCCTCCGGATCCGCGTTATCGCGGGGCGTGGTATTACTTACTAGCGCACCTATAATAAATATATTTTAATCACTAATCATATACAAGATGTGGTGTGAAACAAAGAGGGAGGCAAGCTCACTGTCAGAGACAGCGAGCTCAGGTGGCAGCGCCTGAGGCGCCGGTGTCCAGACATCTCGGGACAGCGTCGCACCCGGGGGTGCGCGAGCGCGCTTGGGGAAGGCGGTGTCGAGCGCGACCGGGCCGGCCGGCACCAGATGCATCCGCATCTGCCGATAGGCTGTCACAACGGATGCACCTGGCGAATCACCACTATAGCATCGGCTGCGTCCCCAACCCCGTTCAGTGGCGCACGCGAGGCCTTGACGAACTCAGGGAAGACGGTGTTGCTAACACAATTGGGCTCGCCACTGCGCTCGGTGTGGTGGCAGTGCTTGACGAGCTTGATCTGGCATGGGTTCATCGTGCTCGTGACATCGGGCACGAACGTGTGGGAAATTTGGTCATACCCAGGGTCGGCCCGCCGTAGGCGGGCGCCTTCGCGGCCCTGGGTGTGCCGGAGGCCCCTGAAAATGCAACCCAGGGTGCTCGATCACACCCACACAATCGTGGGCTGTGTTTGGTCGTCGTGATCCCGAATACATGTCGATTCGAGCGCAACCAGCTCCGGTCTTTGCATCTCACCTCCGCCAAGACGGCCGTTGCTTCTCTCACAACAGCCGCGCCTCGACAGGTTCGAGATGGAGGAGGTGGGTGCCGTCATCATCGTTTCAAAGCCGACGGGGCGCCTGCCCGGGGGAGTGCGGGAAATTGCGATAACATAGCAAGGGTCGACAGGTATATATGAGTAGTCATTACGAGCAGCACTGAGAGGGCCTGGTACATTCCAGCACGAGAACCAAAAGAGAGAGAGTGGTCCGTCGTTAGATGCTGCAATGCGAGACGGCGGGTCAGCTCAGTCCGCTCGGTACAGCTGAAGAGAGGGAGAGGGAGAGGGAGCGTACTTGATGGCGCACATGAGGAGGTAGCCGACGGTGGAGACGACGAAGGTGGCGATGATGCTCGCGGGCACGCCATTCTTGAGGAAGTCGACGTTGGAGAGGTAGAGCTGGCCCATCTCATCCTCCTGCGTCGCCCTGTCGTCGCACGCCGTCAGCCTGCGAGACAAAGAAGAGAGAACGGGGCACACACGCAGTCTGGTTCGGGAAGCCCAAGACGGGCATGCCCATGCCGGTGGAGCAGATGAGGCTGGTGAGGAAGACGAGCAGGTTCGCGTGGTTGCCGTCGGGCATGTTCCAGCCGATGTCGAACGCGATGGGCATGAGGAGCACGCTCGCGATCGTGTTGCTGATGAACGTTGAGATCACCTGTGGGAAAGGGTGGGGTTAGCGGTCGTGTTCTGGACAAACAACTGTGGTCGGGGTACTCAGGAGGACGATGAAGGAGAGTAGGAGGACGACTGGGTAGAGGGACATGCCCATGATGAGCCTGCGGATGCCGGAGCCGAGGACCTCGAGGAGGCCTGAGTCGCGCACGCCGTCGCCAAGCGCGATCCCGCCCATAGCGACGAAAACGATAGTCTAGAGGAACTGTTGTGGTCGGCGCGCGAGCGGAGCACGCGCGCATCGGGAGCGGGTCAGCGCGTCCTCGGGGCGACTGGGCGGGCCGGGTCGAGGAGGACCGGCCATGGACTTTGGCGACCTATTCCGGACTAATGAGTGCTCGCGCGGTCTGGACGCGCGAGCGTCGATCGTTCTTGATTGAGACGTCCCCGCTTCCAGATATACTGGGCGGGGCTCGTCCGGCTTCCTCACGCAACTTGTCACTACCCGTGTGCGCGAGGAAGCTGGTACGTCCGCCCCATGCACATCCATACAACTATGTACTTACATGTATTGCGGCAGACTGTATTGTCTGCTAGGTGAATACTCACGCAACTTGTCACTACCCGTGTGCGCGAGGAAGCTGACTGTATTGTCTGCTAGACGCTTCTCCGTGTATAGACGCCATATATCTTACAGGTTATGAGCCCTGCTTCCAAGCATTGAACCGAACACCAGCCAAATCGAAACCTACGCTACATCGAACCATGTCCGACACAAAGACTCGCTACTCCATCCCGAAACTGATCGCCAATGGCTCCAATTGGGTCGTATACAAAGACAAGTTCCTGGCGGTGTCCGGAGCGAAGGGATTGACGAGATACATCGACGGTACCGTCCGCATACCCCCTCGGCCTATTCCCTTTTCCCGTGTCAACCCGCACATCCCCGCACCCACAACCCCTGGAACATCCCCCTCCCCCGCGCCCGTCAAGGACATGTACTCGCACCTTGACGACGACACCTACCATAAGCTGGCCGAAGTGGTGGACAAAGACTACGACATCTGGGTCCAGAAGGAAGCGGACGCGCGCGCGCTTCTCTACGAGAGCATCCCCGACGATGTGTACATCAATATACGCGCCCAACCATCCACGGCCGACGCCTGGGCTGCTATCGTCCGCTCGTTCGAGGGCAAATCCATCATGTACCAGAACAGCCTCCGCACCCAGATGCAGAACATGAGATGCGCGGCGGACGGCAACCTTCGCGAGCACCTCGCCAAGCTCGCGCAGGCTCGCGAGACGCTCAGCAGCTACGGCGGGACGATCTCGGACGAGGAATACAGCGCGATGATCATCGCTAGTCTCCCGGAGATCTACCATGGCCGGGTCAACTCTCTTGTCGACGCCGCACGCGTCACCGGCAACACTCTCGGCTACGACATACTCATCCACACTCTCGAGGAGGAGTACGACCGACGCGCCGAGGCTCGCACCTCAGGCGAGACGGCCCTCGCAACCGGCAAGCCCATTTACAAGTGCTTCAACTGCGGCCGCCCCGGGCACGTCCAGAAACACTGCCGCGCTCCAGGCGGTGCAATGGAGGGACAACCCTGGCCGAAGTCGAAGGGCGGCAACGGCGGCAATGGCAACGGTGGCGGCACCGGCAGCGGTGGTAATGGAGGTGGCGCGAGCACAGGCGCTGGCGCAATAACCAACAACGCAGGAGGCGGGGTGGGCGCGGGCAACACCAACAAGAAGAGTACGGTCGCGTTTGTTGCGCTGCAGAACATCGCGGGCACGGCGCTTGCCGCTCGCCCGGGCGAGTACATCGAGGTCTACGACAGTGGAGCCTCAGCACACATCTCGCCGTACCGACACCGTTTCTTCAACTACCGCGATCTCACACCACCACGCCCCATCACCGCTGCCAATGGCGATACCTTCGACGCCATCGGGGAGGGCGACATGGAGGTATGCGTCCTTGATGCCACCAACGACTCGCCGACCACCATCACACTGCGCGATGTACTATATGCACCTGGGATCGGCTTCTCCCTCGTGTCCATCCGCAAGGCAGACGAGGCGGGATACTCTGCGATCTTCGCCCATGGAGAGTGTCGTCTGCAGTCGCGCGAGACCGGTGACATCGTCGCGCGCATTCCATCTTATCACGGTCTCTACCAGATCATCTCCTGCTTTGCCGATGATCACACCCCCTCCCCTGCACAAGGCACCGACGACACCACGGCACTGAGCACGCGTCCGGCCAAACGCGGGCCGCTCACCATAAGCGTCATGGACCTCCACCGCACGATGGGACACATCTCACTCCGCACCGCCCGCGACATGGTCACTCAGGGGCACACCGATGGGATCAAGCTCTCGGACACGGACGTCACCACTCAGTGCAAGACATGTGTGCAAGCCAAGCTCACGCACAAGGCGATCCCAGACGCCGCACACGGTGCCCCTCACGACATCCCTGTAACCGCGTATGGCGACAAGTTCCACTCCGACGTGTGGGACTCCGGCGAGACTTCTCTGGGGGGCGATCGCAAGGCAGTTGTATTCATCGACGATCACACAGGGTGGATACACGGCGCCACGCTGAAGTCAACCTCTGGCACTCACCAAGCGTATCTCGATCTCGAGATGGAGCTCAAGACGCAACGCGGGCTTACGCCTAAATGGCTACACTCCGATAACGGGCCTGAGTTTGTCGGGCTTCGTCCCCACCTCGCGGAGAAGGGAACCCACTGGTCGGCCTCACAACCACACACCCCCGCGCAGAACGGCAGGGCCGAGCGCAGCCTACGGACACTCCGCGAGCGCGTCGCGGCAATGCTCACGGACTCCGGCCTGCCGCTCGCGCTGTGGGCGTTCGCGTTCCGATACGCAGTGTTCCTCCACAACCGGACGGCGCGCGGTGGGCCCTCACCATACGAACAACGCTTTGGTGTTCCCCCGTTCCTAGGTGGTCTCCGTCCGTTCGGGGAACACATGTGCATCTATGTCGAGCACACGCGCAAGCTAGCGCCCAACACCGAAGACGCACGGTTCGTGGGGATGAGCACGCACCACAAGGACTCCGCGTTGGCGTACACCCCTCGCGCGCACAAGGTTGTGCTCGCGCGCTCCTACGTTTGGGACAACGGCGACAAGCCGGGGCCACCTGAGCCGCGGTTCGACGACGCGGAGATCACCGGGCATGTCCACGATGGGAGCGAGGGGGCGCGGGTTGAGGAAAACATGGACGACATTGTCGCTCCCACCGTAGACGCACCTGATGAGGCGGCAGCCGAGCAGGGGGCGCACGAGCAGGGGGCGCACGAGCAGGGGGCGCGCGAGCACGAGGAGGACAGAGGAGACGTGGAGGGACAGGAGGAACAGGAGGGACTCGAGGTGGTGGAAGAAGCGCCGGCCGAGGAGGCACTGGGACGCGGACACCGCGTCCGCCAGCCCTCGCGCTGGCTCCGCGATATTCAGGACGGCGTCGGGACGACTGACGGACGCGCGCGCGCAAACACGACACACGCGCGGGACATCATGGGGGAGCTCATGGCTCTCTCCAGCATCATCCCGGACGTCGCCGACACACCCCCACCCGAGGTCACCTCCCTCGACACAGCTTACCGCTGGGCCGCGCACTATGCGCTCGGACTGGTACAGCTCGGCGATGACCCGAAGAACCTGCGCGAGGCACAAGCGTCGCCGTACTGGGGCCAGTGGGAAGAAGCAATCCAACGCGAGATGGACAACCTGCGCCGCCACAAAGTCTTTCGCGTCGTTGACCGCCCAGCAGGCGTTACGGTGATTGACACCACCCAGGTGTTCCACCAGAAGCTCGACGCGGAGGGGATGATCAAGGAATTCAAGGTCCGAGTCGTCGCGCGCGGGTTCCAACAGCCGGACTATGTCGAAACCTTCTCGCCTACAGCTAAGCCGGCCACCATCCGCCTCATGTGTGCACTCGCCGCGCGCAACGGTTGGCCACTCCTCCAGCTCGATGTCCGGAGCGCGTACCTTCTTGCGCCGCTCGAGACCCCCGTCTATGTCAAGCCACCACCAGGCATGCTTGCACCGGGCGACGAAGGGAAAGTATGGGTTCTCGACCGTGCGCTCTACGGCCTCCCACAGTCCGGCCTCGCGTGGTACACCAAGTTCAGTGGCGATCTCCGGAAGCTTGGCTTCACCCGCAGCGAGCGCGACCACTCCCTGTTCACCAAGGGCGAGGCACAAGTGCGCGTCATGCTCGCGACCATCGTGGACGACATGTTCGCGACTGGGCCACCAGAGTTGCTCGAGCCCTTCCGCGCTGCGATCAAGGAACTCTACGACGTCAAGGACATGGGTGAGCCGGAGTTTGTCGTCGGCATCGAGGTCCACAGGACGCGCGAGCCGGAACCAGATCGCATCTACCTCTCGCAGCGCGCGGCAATCGATTCACTTATACGCACTCTCGGTCTCGTCGGCGCCAAGAGCCTCTCCACGCCCTGGCTCGCGGGTACCACTCTGTCCAAGGACCAATGCCCCACGACCGACGCTGGCATCGCGGAGATGAGGAAGTACCCGTATCGTGAAGGCGTCGGCGCAGCGATGCACATCGCAGTCACTACTCGCCCCGACATCGCCTTCACTGTACAACAGCTCTCCCGGTTCATGGCCAACCCCGGCCGCGAGCACTGGGAGGCGCTGAAGCGCCTCGGACGGTACCTCATCGGCACGCGTGAACTCGCGCTGGTGTATGGGCGCAACCGCGAGGGACTCGCCGGGTTCACAGACGCTAACTGGGGCACCGGCGATGATACCCGGCACTCCGTGTGCGGGTACGTCTTCACCTTGGACGGCGGTGCCGTCTCATGGTCCGCGAAGCGTCAAGCCGTCGTCGCGCTGTCCACCACCGAGGCGGAGTACATCGGCCTCACTCATGCGGGGAAAGAGGCCGTTTGGTTGCGCGGACTCCTCGTGGAGGCCTACGACCCCGCTTTTGCGGACTACGCTATGCGGCTGTACAGCGACAACATTGCGGCGCTCGACCTCGCCAAGAACAATGCGTACCACTCGCGCACAAAGCACATCGACCTACGGTACCACTACATCCGCGAGCTGGTCGAGGCGAAGGACGTTGTACTCGGGTATCGACGCACGGAGGACATGCCGGCGGATGTGTTCACGAAGGGGCTGGGGCGCACGCGCATGGACCATCTCGCCGAGCTCTACGGTTTGGTCCCTCTGCCGCGCTGAGGGGGCGTGTTGTGGTCGGCGCGCGAGCGGAGCACGCGCGCATCGGGAGCGGGTCAGCGCGTCCTCGGGGCGACTGGGCGGGCCGGGTCGAGGAGGACCGGCCATGGACTTTGGCGACCTATTCCGGACTAATGAGTGCTCGCGCGGTCTGGACGCGCGAGCGTCGATCGTTCTTGATTGAGACGTCCCCGCTTCCAGATATACTGGGCGGGGCTCGTCCGGCTTCCTCACGCAACTTGTCACTACCCGTGTGCGCGAGGAAGCTGGTACGTCCGCCCCATGCACATCCATACAACTATGTACTTACATGTATTGCGGCAGACTGTATTGTCTGCTAGGTGAATACTCACGCAACTTGTCACTACCCGTGTGCGCGAGGAAGCTGACTGTATTGTCTGCTAGACGCTTCTCCGTGTATAGACGCCATATATCTTACAGGAACTGCCCAAAGTCGTCCTGCGTAGAACGGGCGTTAGCGGATGCGCACGCCACGAGGGAGGCGCGCTCACCTTCTTGAGCACCCCGGTCAAGAAGAACACGACGATGAGAATGATTGCGATGACGCCCATGTCCCCGAGCACGCCCTCGATCGAGTGCGCGACGCACCAGAGGCTGATGGTGACGAGGCACACGAAGGTGACCCACCACTGCTTCCCGTGGCCGTGCTCCTTGGGCGCGCGGACCGGCTTGATCGCGATCTCTCCGTCGCTGGTGGGTGAGCGCGCGGGGCGGTAGCTCACGAGAAGGAGGAGCCAAACGAGGACGATGGAGATCACGGAGACCGCGATCGAGACCGCGAACCAGGATCCCCGGTCGAGCTTGGGGTCCATCCAGTCGAGCGCGATCAGATTCTGTGGGGACGAGATGGGCGAGCCTCTCTGGCCACCGATGTTCGCCGCTAACGCGATGCCAAGCTAGGAGACAGGGTGTGGGCCGAAGAAATGAGCAGAGGATTAGGAAGGTCGAACACTCTGCCAGTCACACAATCAGCGCAACATTGTGTATGTAGTGTGACAAAAACAGATACCAGCAGTGTAAGAGAGAGATGACATGTCAGTCACTCGCGTACAGCGGGCTTGGACTGCGCTGCGAAGCTGGTGACACCCTTGACAGATCCCGCCTACGTTCGCCCACTCAGCGTCACGTACGCGCATAAGGTCATAAAAAGACTCACACTGCCGCCGCCGTCATGTTCGAGAATGACGACAGGGAAGAGGCCCTGCGTCGCCATGTGTTCCTCTTCCTCTCGCCTAGATCGACCGACGATGCCCCCCAGCCTGCCTGCCCACTTCAGGACCCTTTTCGCCGTGTATAACATCGTCAGTGAATACCCATGATCCGCGCTACTGGATGAGAACGAGCGGCGCCAGGGTACCACTCTTGTACCCCCTTGGGGTATCACAGGTCTATCTGCCAATCTCGCCCGTTGAGAGAGGACGTACCTGCAAGCAAAAATGGGTCCGGTTCCCCCAAAGCCTTCGCCGATTGATCCTGTGTAGACTCACTACCCAGCCCAAGCTTGAGTGAGATCGTTTCCAGATGCGCCTCCTCTCATTATCCGCACGCGACGGATGGTGAGCAGTGGAGGGACCAGAGACGGTTGTGGCAGGCTGCAGGACGATTCCATCGAGGGCTGCTGGATGTCGCCAGAGAAGGAGGAGGTGCAAGGAGGAGGAGGAGGAGGAGGAAGAGGAAGCTACGTTACGCACGTCCCGCATCCGTCCCGCGCTACGTTCCTTGCCACTCGTTTAGTCCCGCATTCTCCATATGATATGCTTACGGACTCCTGACATTACATGTATATATACTACGCTACTGTACGACACTCTTTAGCGATCAACGCAGTTCTAGTCTTCTTCCTCCACATCTCGTCCGCTCCCGGCGTCGCCGGCTATCGCCCTTCGCCACAGGCGCTCAGCGCTCTCATCGCCGATCACGACTATAGCGCCCATCGCCGACCGCGCCTCGCGTACTCATCGCCGATCGCGCCTCGCGCGTTCTCGCGACTCGCCCACCTCTTCGTTCACTTCACTCTCTCTTCGTCTTCGCGCGCCGCCATAAGGCGTCTAGCCTTACAGTGTGCCGCTCGCCACCTGGAACGCGCTGGAACCCATCGCCGACCGCGGGCCCCTGTGAGCCATTCGCTGAAGGCAGGCCCTGTTGGTGCGGGACATGTGCGGTCGCGAGGGCGCGCCGCATGCGTTGGGACTCAGCGCGTCCTTGGGGCGGCTGAGCGGTCTGGGTTGAGGGTGAGAGACGGTCGTCTCCGGGATGGCCAGGTATGGAGCGTAGGCGCTCGGTTAGAGGGGGTCAATCGCATTCGTTTCGGTGCCCTCCCGTTCCCAGATGTACTGGCGGGGGGCGACACCGGCTCTGCACACGTTTATACACCACCCGCGTGCAGAGCTGGTGAGATTCACCTCCCATCTGATGTTGTGCTGATGCCTTGGTAGACTCGCACTCGTCAACCAGGTACATATATATGCACGCGTTTATCGACTACCCGTGTGCAGAGCTGACTCGTACTCATCTACCAGACGCATCTACCCGCACTACAAGCATATCTCATAACAGGCCCCACGCGCCTTCCAACTCCGTGTTCCCCACACGCCGTCATGCCATCCAGTGCACTACTACGACCTCGCACCATCACATAGTTTCAGGATGACTCTATCGACAGCATTTTTCCGCTTCTGCCACCCCTCTAACTCTCTACAAGCATCATTTCCTTGTGCACGTCTTATCCCTCTTATTATTCTTCACCTTAAGACACTCTCTGCATCGATTTGGATGAACTGCACTTGGAACACATTTCAAATTCAGACGTCTGCAGCGATTGCAGGGGTTGGTTCCAGAAGTTCCCTGCAAGCGAGCACCATGAGCCGGCGATGTTTTGCGAGCACATGGCCCTCTTACTGATGACCCTGGTGCCTGATGAGCATGGTTTTCATCCTGTCTGCTAGCCTCAGATGAGCTAGATGCTGTTGATTAACAATTAAAATGATTCATGCTTATGCATGAAGGCGATCCCCATACCTTGGCCATTTCTATGATCAGGTTGCTGGCCCCTCAGCCGCTTGGGATCGTGGCTATACTCCGGCTCGGCAGAGCCTAGATCTGCGGCATGGTGTCAGAATAAATTTGATACAGCAATAGGTTCTAATGCACCATGGCCCTCGTCTGCATGGAGAGACCTCTTCAATGGCACTGAGACGCCCCTAAGAGCGCTGGATTCTTCTGTGCCAAATCTTGGCCCATACCCCATGTCGTTCGTTTGAACCTGCCCTCGTGACTCGGCAGCACCAGATGCTTGAAGCTGCCCAGCATTCATGAGGCCGCCTTGCTCTCCAACATCATCAAAGTTGGGTGCTTGCCAAATCAAGGGCGCTGGGCTAGCACTGCCAAGAGAATATGAGCTTGGAGAGAATGCGGGCTGTGGTGGGCCGCAGTCTGACCTCAGCCTTTCTCTCTGTGAGAAATTGGTGCGATTCCCAAGATCAATTTCTTCAAGAAACAGGGACAAGCCTTCTTCTGTGGTATCGATGCACACATATGCGGTGTTTTCTGGAACTTCCTTCAGCCATGTGAAGTTCAAAGCGGCTTCGTCGTCGTCGGAAAAATCGCCCTCCAAGGGAAGCACGAGGTCTTGAGGGGAGGGCTGATTGAGAGCTAAACTGCTAGTGGAAGCCTCTGGGTGATATCGAGAGAGAGAGGGGGTCTCAGAAACACCCAGAGGAGATTGTCAACGTGGCACGTACCGCTGACAGGCAACATATTTTGGGTCACAGAGGGGTCCTGAACCGGCAGAGTCTCATTTCGTAGAGACTGGACAAGTTGGAGCAGCTTTTGGACAACTTCCTCTATCTCGTTGATCTGAGTAATGGGTGTTAGAGGGGGCGGAGCAAATCCCGTGGGTGTGGGTTTGTAGCATTCTTCCAGGCAGTTGTTATCTATAACCCCACCAATTGCTATTTTCGACAAGTCCCCTGTGGGCGGTATATAAGCATGCTGTTTATTTCCAGCACTTGTATGCACAACCAGAACCTACCTTCAATCAATCCCAAGTCTTTCTGCCACATCTTAGTGAGCTTCACCATGGTGGAGAGTCGGTCTTCTTCGAACTGCCGATAGGATTCCTCACTTCGCCCATACATGCGGTTGGTTGCGATGGAGTGGCCTGCTTGCTGTGCACTGATCGAGAGCAAGGAGTTGGTAAGATGGTCATGAGACTTGGCAAACATGCCTGTCGGATCCCGCTGTCTCTTGATGGCGCACAAGAAGTGGCGCATATGTCGCATCCCAAGCCCCTTTCCTCCCCAAACATCCTTGCTTCTCGAGCGAATGGCTCGACCCAAGTGTTCGGTTTCGAAGAGCCGACCTGAGTCTCTCACAAAGGCGTATCGGCGGTATCGAAGGCAAGCCCGAGGATCCTTCTCCAGAAGAACCTGCGAAGCGAGTTGCACTGCAAATGGTCGAAGGACTAGTAGGGACTGCAGCAGAATAATGGCAGGTACGCCACACATCACTTCAGGCAGGTTCTTTTGAAAGCCACTTCGTGATGTTGTTTTGGAGTAGCGGCGATAAAAAATCACGTGGTTCTGCTGGATGACGAGATCCCTCAAGGAATGTTCTGTGTTGCAGATAGTCAGAGGCGTGATTTCCGTTCCCCTGGCTGGCCCATTGTTCAAGAGATAAACACAAAGCAATAACAACTTGTCCAGTTCGGCGTATTCCTTCAGCCACTTCAAGGCTGTGTCGGTGTTCAACGTTGGGGCATCCTTGTTGCCGTAAAACCAAATATTCGCTAGATCCGAATTGAAGATGGCATTGCAGAGAAGATGACGACCTTCGTTGACAAAAGTGGAGTTGGCAGTATGATCCAAAAAGGACCATCCAGGTGTTTTGTTTGCCAGGTCATCTGCAATGTCGACAGGAAGTGAAAGAAACCGGTTGAAGCTGAGACGGCGGTACACATGGACAAGGTCATCGATGATGGTTTTCACAATAGAGCGAAGGCCTGTGAAGCTGCAATTAAGCTCAGCTATTCGCACCACATCTCCCTGCTGCAGAAACTGAATCAGGTGGGGAGGAAGAGTAGCTCTCGCGATTGGCGCTGAATCTTGCATGAGCCTTCCAAGAGTGGCCCAGGTAGAATGTCGATAGGTCCCGTCGGTCTTTACGACCCAGTGCCAGATATCATCAACCTGGCGAGATGCAGCTCCCATTGCTGGATCTTCAAGAGGGGCTCTGTGGAGTTCCTCCCCCTCCTGTTCTTGCGTTTCTTCTACAAGCCAGTCGTGGCTGTCTTCATCGTCATCTTCATCATTTCCATTTCCTTCAGTGTCATCTTCATCGCCAATGACCCTGCCCACCTCCCCATCTTCAAGCCCAATGTCCTCCACTATTTCCTCATCTCCATCAGCACCACTCTCATCTCCTTCATATGCGATGTCTCCTGTACGTTGCTCCCGCATCGCACAATCAAGAAATAGGAGCCTCTGTAATGCAGTCATTAGCAATAGTTAGTCGAATGTTAAGACAAAGCAGCCCACCATAACACCTTTGCACTGCACTATCATAGGAGGGACAAGCAACACCGATTTGAATTCTCCTGTGGTGGAAATGCTCTTGAGCATCAGCACGTGTTCCATTGGATCTGGCATTGGATTGTTGTTGGAAGGCTTCCAGATGGTCTTCCAGAGCTGAAGAAGAAGGTTGTAGCAGGCGCATCTAAGAGCTCGCGCGTTGAGGCGGGGTTCGCTAATGTTTCCCAAGATGTCTTTTGCGAGTGTGGAGACGGGTTTAGGAAGTGGTAGAGGTTGGGATAGCTCTGCATCATTTGAAACAACTCGTAGGACGAACAGAATTTGAGTTACAGCTGCAAACGCAGCATATCTGCAGACTGTAAATGAATTCGACCAATCGGCAAAGCTTGACGTTTGATTAGCATCACCGCACAACTCAGCCTGACTGATCACATACTGCGGACGTCCTGGTAACCCCTGTCGATATTCTGTGGCGTACTCATTTTTCCAAATGCGAACAAAGATGGCCACGACAATGTTCCGGAGATGGTGCAGAGGGTCACCCTTTCTTGCTGGAGAAACGAGCGATATGGCTTCTTTAGCGCTTCTTCCATGGTAGTACAGTTGAAAACGCTCTGGCCAGCGGCACCTATTGAGCCACGGATGTACATTACGGGGGTCAGAAGGAGGGGCTGCTCCCACTTCTTGAATGGCCGCTTCACAGCGTTCAACGAAGGCTGTTGCCAGAGTAGTTGGTGGAGGTCGCAGGATTTTGTCTCGGCCGGAATGCGAGACGCGAAAAGTGCCATGCATCGAAGTGCCACCAACATCCGTGACACTTTGTCTCCAAAGGTACTTCATGTCCTTGTTGAGAATCTTGGGTAAAGTTGGGTGTTCTGCGTGCGCGTGCCTTGTAACGGTATCGCTTCTTCCATAGGCTCTGTCATTGCAATGGGGACAGGAGTACAGCTGCACAGGATCTGTAAGAAAACTAAAGGGAGGAAGAGGGCGCTTTGAGAATAGGATCTTCTTGAAATGTGCGTCTGACTGGATTCCAGGCCAATCAACTAGTAGCTCCTCAACCTCATTCTGTGCATTTTCGGTTGCCCTGCCATGCTTGGCGCCGGTGAGGTGGCCTTTTGCGTCTTTAAAGAACACAAAAGTTCTGCATGGTTGGCAGACCAGGGAGCGAGTTAGAGCGTGGTACGACAGTGTGTGATCTTTCTTTTTGATAAGTTGGTTCATTGCATCGTGTTTTTGCTCAGACTGGGTGTGAGATGCCGTATAGTAAGGCCAGTTAGCTCCATTGCTCGTAGTTCACCATAGACGCAAGGGCAGCTCACAGAGGATGCAGCCATCATGCTTGAACGACTACGTCTGAATAAGACTAGCAAGAAGGGTTCTCGGCTAAATGATGCGCAAGAAGCAGAGATCGAGAGGGTAGGTGACTGCTGTTCTCAAGAGCTCCAAAGACTGTTCTTGAAGCTGGGGAGGGGCGGCAGGCTGCCAGGGAAAGGTGGTGGTCCCACTCAATACCGATAGGTATTGGGAACGAGGGTTTGCAAGGGCACGGAGCCGTCGACAAGAGCCCAATGATGCGCTGGGAGAATCGCCTGCCTTGGCCAGACATGAAGACCAAGCATAGAATGTATGGAAGGATATGAACTTACCAGAAGTTGTGTCAACTCCACTTCACAAACTTGTTACAGCTCCAGACCAATCTGCTGGTCCTGATATATAGGGGTTAGAGGATAGCCACGAGCAGTGGGCGGGATCGGTGAGGCGCTGCTGCAGGAGCACTGGAAATGCTCACCGAACAGAATTGGGACAATTTATGGGCCCGTTGTAGAGCTGGGAGAGGCGGACGGTGAAGTATACTAGAGATAAGGATGAATGTGGGAGCAGATGGGGAGGACGGCAAGGGAGAGGCCTTGAGGAAGGAGCGCGGCGGGGTAAGCGACGCTTAGTACCCCGCCGATGGGCGCCCAAATGGGCAGCGGCGGGGCGGGCCTGGGCTGCCGCGGCACTTCCTGCACCCGTCTTTCCACCGCCATGTCCCGGCCAGCCCATGACGCCAGTTGCAAGACCTCCAGGATTGCAGAATGTGCCTGGGAGCTCTCCGTGTATGTATTGCCCCTCCACGCGCGGTATATTTGGGCACGTTTCGGTGCGAGTGGCTGATCGACTGAGCAGCACTCTCGCTCAACTTCCTCGCCGCCTGCCCACCCGCCCGCCCGCCTTCCCGCGCGCGCGCAGGTGGAGGGTTTATAGCTAGTCTGAGACCCAGCCATTGGCAGGCCTGCAGAAATATGGGCTTGCTGGCACCATGAAATGGTGGGTCAATGGGCCCGCTCTCCCTTCCTGTTCTGCGCTTACGGTTTCGCTCTGATACGCACGCGCCGCCGCTGTACGGTGCACCGCGACTACACTAGCGCCCGCGCGCGGCCGTCCACCTCGACCTCGCTCGTTTTCACGCACACGCACCTCGACCTCTCCACCGCGCGCACCCATCGCGATCAGCCCGCGAGCACCCCATATCGACGCTCCAGCATTCCAGGCCAGACGCGACGCCCACGGACACACCGCGGCGCAGTCCACGCACGACCGAGGCCGGCACGGTACACACTCGATCCACGTACTCTACATATTCTCTCCTTTTCTACGTTTCATCCATTCCCTATTCTTTCCCTGCGCACCTGTACATTTACTTTCGCTCCTGTCTCCTACGTTTCCGGCTCAGACATTCATTCTCGGTATCGACCTCGGACATTTTTCGTGTCATGGCTTCGACTGTACATTGCTATCTACATACTCGCCCTGTGCGTCGCATGTACTTAGGCTCACGTTTTGCTTATGGATGTCCAGTTCACTCTCCCGCTCCTTCTGCGCGTGCTGTGTGCTCACCTCGTCTCACCTCGTCTTCGCCTTCGTCTTCGCCTTCGACTTCGACTTCGACTTCGCCCACGCTCACGCCCACGTTCACGCCCACGCTTTCGCCCACGACCTCGATTCCATTCGCCTTCGCCAGCGCCGCGCGTGCGCGCGATCTCGTCTATTCACTCCGCGTCTATTCCCTCCTTGTCCTCCTCGCGCTCGCGCGATCCTCTGATCCGTCCTCCCTTCGCGTTCGCTCCTCACGCGGCGCGTCGTAGCTGTTCTCTTCATTCACTCTCCGACTTCCCGCGTACCACGCTTACTCGGGCTCGCTCACTCGCCCTCATCACTTTTGACTCTTCGCGGAGTTGACTGCACATCAGCTCTCTGCACTGCTGTAGGGAGAGCACACAAACACCGCCCCCATTGGCACTTTGAGATGTGCACGCTCGAGGAGTGCGAGCTGCGGGGCCGCATCATCCCACCTCAAAGCACATGCTTCATAACAAGTCTCAACATCCAATGCGCTCCCAAAGCGCTGCCCCTCCCCGACCCTCCCATCATTCAAGACGTCACCCCCAGCCCGGCCACAGAATGGCACCGCGCTGCCGTTTGTCAGTCTCCAGCCCCATCTTTCGCCGGTGCTCTGCTCGCACCGTCACCAGTCCTGTTGCCCTTCAACGATTTTCGTGGCACGACCTTTAGCTGTGCTCACCACAATCGTGCTCTCAACCACACAGCACGCCGCCTGCTTCGTGGGTCTCGCTGCAGCGTACAATGACGGCCTTTTTTCGGGTCTTCAGTGCCTCCAGTACCCGCCGCACTTCCCCTTTTGCATGTCTTCCAAGGGCTGTACGTGCCTTCTCCCTCCCCCCCTGTTTCGTTCACATATTCATTTCCAATAGTCCCTCCCATGTGGTCCTCTTGTAGCTCAACGGGGGCCTGGGCACGTGTATCACTCCCTCCCACAGCAACGACAGCACCAACTCCCCAGCTCGCCACTTCACACCTACCAGCATATCATCTCCTCCCCCAGCACCAGCGAACTCTCACACAATTGCCTGAGCCTTGGCCGCTGTGGCGGTGGCTCCGATTCTCCTGGCCGCGCCCCGCCCCCTTGTTCGCTGGCGGCCATCCCCCACTCGCACCGCTACAACCTGCTCAAGGCGGCTGCCATCATCTTCGCCTCCGCACGTATATCCATCGTCCGCCACCAAGCTAGCCGCATAAAACACGTCCGAGCCAGCAATCAAGTCCACCTCCCCGCCTTCTCCCGACCACCCAGGGGACAAAACCATCTCCTGCGCCCCTGAAGCCACCGCCCGAAGCCATGTCCGCAGCCATGTCCACAGCCGTTGCAGAGGACAAGTGGCCTCCGCTTATTATCAACGCCGTGCACGTGGAGACGCCCGGGGCCTGGCGCACGAAACAGCAGCGCGCCCGGCTCCTCTGCGAGAACAAGCACCCCGCCTCGCAGGGTCCCCCACTGCTGCCTGCCCCCACGACACCTGACCTCATCAAGACTGGACGTCCATCCTGGAGGTCCCAGGCGAGAGCATCACGGCCAGAGCCTGGGGCGCCGGCGGGGACGCGGGCATGCGACTTAGCGTCAAGGGTGGTGCAGGTCCGGATCCGCGTGGGCGCCGGGAATGTAGGACAAAACCACATTGCCCACCCCTTCAGCAGCGGCGCCGCCCTCACGCCACGCAGCCCCGCGGGCGTCGAGCGCCTGCCCAGCGTTGCACGCCCGGCTGCCGCTCTCCTTACCACCGCCTCGCCCTGCCACCAACGGCGACGTGCGGTGCACGAAGATTCAACTTCTACTGGGCCTGCATGGGGTGCGTCTCTCGCCCGAACTCTCTTGGTCAGGTGTGGGCATGGGCCGATTTTGCGACTTGAAGCTGTAAGGGCCCTCAAGAAACGTGGTGGACAGACCAAGCGCAGGGCATCGCTCGGGTGGCACCTTCATGTGCGCTGCCTCTGTTTCTTCTCCATTTCGATGTGCTCACGCAAGATTTCCAGCACTAGAACCGATGGGCGGACCACTATCAGCCATCGAAACTGCAGAACGCAAAGACGGGGAAGATGGAGGAGATGCAGATCGCGTTGGAGTTGGTATGGATCCGGGTGCGGTTCATGGAGAATGCATTCGGCGCCACGTTTAAGCGCCGGATGGGGCTCACGTGGGCGTGCGCGATTGCGTGGCACCTCATGCTCAGGAACAAGAAGCTGCTCGAGGATGGCCAACGGTTGGTGCCTCATTCCGTTCCGGCAGTTGACACAGATCCTGAACGGGAGTTTGAGGGCAGTTGGGGAATTACCAGAGTTCATCGACGCCCGGGTTGATCCTGGGAGCACCATCAGCCTCAGATCAGTAATTGCGCAAATGTCTGGTTGCCTGAATTGTCTGGACGAAAAATTCCAGGCATTTCAGACATCTGTCAGGCATTCAGGCAATGAGGGCTCAAGCGCTCAATATGTACGACACTGTCTCGTACGAATAGTAGTCTATGTACATATTGACGTGCTCAATGTGACGCTCCCGCAATGCCATCCCATCTGCGAGCGCGAGGTTATCCTCGCCTCTAGACAGGATGCGTGTCACGAGCACGCACACGACTCGCGCTATGGACCTCCCACATGACCGGCTCGACGAGCACCGCCTGCGCAGAATGCGAGAGCGGTGGGACCGCAAGGTCGCGCGGCCGTGACCCGACGAACACCGACCGTAAGCGGGTTGTCCTCGCCCAGGGGCGGCGTCCGCCTGCAGTGGAAGCCACGCCTCCTGTGCTGTTCAATGGCGCAGAAGGACATGAGGACTCTGCTTCCACGCTGACCTTGTACTCTGCATCGACCCTGCGGCTGTACCGCCCCACCCGACCTCAAGCTCGGCATTTGCAGCGCCCAAGATCACGTTCGGCGCGCGCACACTGGATGGGCAGACCGAGCCCGTATGTGCACTCGCGCTCGCTCTCGCTGACCGCCGGTGCGTGAGCCTCTGGGTGTCCATGAGGTGGACCAAACTCACGTTCACCGCGAGCGTCGGCGTCGCGCCCGAAGGAAGCAACCCGAAAGCTGTCGCCGGGTATCCGACGGGTGCGGAGTAGCTGTCATCATGCAGCGCGCGTGCCGCCGCAGCGAGCGTCCGAGTTGCGTTGACGAGGCTTGAGAAGGTCAGGCCGACGAAGGTCGTGGTGGATGCGTAAAGGAGGAGGATGGCGAGCAGTTGTATCTGGATGGAGTGGAGGCGGAAGTCGCGCCGGCTGTGGGTCGTGGGTAGCATGAGGCGCGGTCGGTCAGAAAAGGCGCGGCGTCAGGATGTCGTACGAGCGCACGCACAGGAGGAGGCAGGCAGAGGTTCCGGCGAGCATCGAGACTATGCCTGCATGGGGAGGGGGGTTGGCATATGCCCATAGGGAAAGGGTTGCGCAGAAGTGAGGAAGACGGACCGAATAGACAGGCTGCTAGCGCACTGGAGAGCAGCGCCACAGAAGCCGAACCCTGCGCGTAAGTTTGAAGCGCGGCGAGCGCGTCTGCGTTCACCGTTACATTGGACATGGGGCAGGACGGGGACTGAGATCGGTGGGAGGATTGCGGAGGTAGAATTTCAGCATGTGAGGGCGTACGGACGCGGCTGCTGCAGTGAGCAGCAGCGTAGACGAGCGTCTTGAAGCTGCACGGGTCGACGGAGAGCAGCTCTCGTGCGATAACACGGGCAGGAGCTGTTCAGCGCAAACAAGGACATCAGAATGACAGCCTTTACCAGAAGTTCTCGCTCGTCGTGCGCTGGGGTGCAGCCAGGACACACCTACTCCCTCAGCAGCTTACCGAAGCTAGCTCTCTTAGCCTTGATATATGTCTTGACTCGAGCGAGGAAGATATGAGAGCATGAAAAATGGAAACATAGTCAAACTCACAGGTTGCCCGTGTCCTTTTCCACCCCCATCCTGCGGCTGGTAGTACAATAGTCGCAGCGCCGTGACTCACCATCATCCGGCCGCCCTCATCGTGGAGCGGAACCATAGATAAGACGGATATAGTGCTCGAATGATAAGGGACAGAACGCACCCCAAGGCCTCGGTGTGTGGCTTGATTGAGAATTGAGATGAGAATCTGCGAGATGAGGGATGATAGAGAGGGAGAGAGAGAGAGAGAGAGAGGAAGAGAGAGAGAGACATAAAGCGTAAAGTGAGCAGACGCGCACACACGCACGCGCTGAGTCGCGGAGGCAGCCGGCGCCAAATAGCGCCGCATCTCTTCTCCCATCCACCGTCTCAGTCTGACTCCCTGCCACCACAGACAACACCCTGCACAACCGGGAAAAGACCATCCAACAATGCCAAGTCAGTCCACAGACCATACATACCCGTGGGTGACTGACCTCGACCCCGTCTTAGCTCCATCCTGCCGTCAGAGCCCGCACAACAGGAAGAACTGGAGCTGAGAGAGGTATGTACTATCTTTCCTCACGCGCAAACACCCCCGCACCATCCCCCCGCACACCCAGCCCCCACGTTCGCCGCCACACTGTCCCAAGCCGCTTCCAACATTCATGAAAGTGTCCCTCGGTTGCGTTGTATGCGGTCTGGGCCCACCGATTTTAGCGCATATATGCGCTAAAATCGGTGGGTTTTCCCTTCGTGCCATCATCGCGCACAGCAGGTCGCCCATCGGGGTGAACATCGTCGCGTGAAAGCCGCGTTGAACGCCGCCTGGAGCACGTAGAGCCCGCGACGTCGGAGGACAAGTCCATCATATAAAACGTGAGTACATCCAAACCATGCGCATATATTCTACTTACATGATCCATCCCTGCTCGTACCCCTCATCTGCCACACCTCCGGCTGCACTGGCCACCAACCACCGCACGCCCAAGAGCGCGCCATGTCTGCACGGCTCGCGCCCGGTCTCGCCCACGTCTTCCCCTCAAAAACCCTGCCTCGCCGCTCTCGCCTCACGACGCCGGCCATCGCGGGTGCGCAGCGCGTCGTCTCGACCTCGGGCGTGCATCCCTCTCCCTCCCGCGGCCGTGACAGGGATGGCCTCCAACGCAGACTCGTCCTCGTGCACACTCGCACACGGGCCTGACACCCCGGAGCGTCCCCGAGCCTTCTGCGCAGACTGACGCGTACGTACCCAGATACCGCGCTCCCTCCGACCCGAACACCCGAACGTCATGCGCGCCTGTACCCCTGGTTCGGGAGCTGGACCCGTTCGCGTATGCCACCGCGACGCCGTAACGCGGGCACGCGCCGCACCAGCGGCTGGCGGGTACGCCAGAATGGGTGGCAGGGCTTCGTCGGGACGGAGACGGCGAAGCTGTGGGCGCACCGGCTGTTCGCGTTGCTCGGTGCGATTGCGGACCGGATCACCAAGGTGAGTAAGACCACCCACAGCTGCAGTCGCTGCTGACCCAGCTCGATGTCCTCCACATAATCGATGGGCGTTGACCTCAGCCCATGGGGACCCCCTGCGTTCGAAACCCAGGACGAGTACCATACCGTACGGCAGCTTGCGGTGGCCCGAGGCAAAGAAGCACGAAGGACCGGGAGATGTCAAGGAGTGCTGGGTCGAATGGCGGCGGGAGGGAGAAGGACAGCGGGACGAGGGCGCGGGCAAGTACCGCGCGCTGAAAGCGCACGGCGAGCGCGTCAACGATGACGACGGGCGCGGGCGCGTTGGCCAGCCCACACGGCTGCGAGCGCGGCGCCCGGCGAGCATGCCGACGACGATGAGGGGCACTGGCGCGCCGGCGCCGCGTGCGCCACAGGTATATACACCCTAGTTGTTGTCCTATCGAACTAGAAATTGCATTAATTTGTTTTCTAAATGGATCGGTTTGCTGCGCGTCGGAATCAAGCTACAACAGCGACCTGGGATTACAGTCTCGCGGTCGTGTGTCTGAACTCCTGGTTGCCTGGTTTTGGTGTCTGATTCGGTCTGGAATAGTGTCCCGCGAAACCCTGCCTGAAATTTTCCGTCTTGCCTGGTTCTGTCTGATTCGCTTTCTCAGACCGAACCAGACAGAACCAGGCACTTGCACAATTACTGATCCAGGCTGTGGCAAAAGGTTGCGCACAAGGCTGCGGGTAGAGTTGCAATAATTGCTGTCGAAATCGGCGGCTGACGGCGTACTTGCAGGCCTACTCCCGGCAGCAGAACAACGCTAGAACACGCGGCAAAGGGTTCAGCGGATGGTTGATGGGAGTCGTGGAACGCAACCAGAGAGGGACTCGGCTTCGCCCAGAGGTCCCTGCGCCCAGAATTTGGTAGTGTTCGTGCCCTGCCATGCCCCCGGATTTCCCCCCTGCTCTCACAAGGCATGCCGCCTCTTCTCATCCCCATCTCCATTCCCATCTTCAGCCTCGCCCAATCAGCCTGTGCGTATCACCCTGCATCTCGACGCCTTGCAGCTTGAACCAACGCGAGGACGCCACGTGGCCATGGATCCCACGCTTGTCTAGGGCCCGGCTAACCATCACGCCGGGGCGACCATTTTTCTGGGAGCTTGTCTGGGAGCTGTTTATAAGGTTTACTAGCCTTCGTGGGACACGACATCGCTCGCTACGCAGTGCTAGCAATGTGCGCCATTCTGGACTGCAGCACTCGTACCTGCAGAAGGTAGAGACGAAGATGCGAGATGGTGCCCCGCGCGAACTCTCAAGATCTCAAGCCTCAAGGAACGCGTCTCGTCGCGTCTGTCATGTGATGACTAGACCACCCGGAAAGTCGTTCGCTGAATATCTCAGCTACGCCAAACCTGATTCACACCAAACTCGGCAAGAGTGCAGAATCACATCCTAGAAACATGTTTCGATTGTTCTAAATGCAATACGTACATGTGTGTGCGGCGGAGGAGGGGATTAGAGGAGCCACCGTCCTGTTGGAGTCTAAGCGCCGAAAGTTACATTTGTCCTTGTTTGGCTCCCCTGTTCACGCCCTAAGCACTGAATCGCTCGCTGCGCTCGTAAAAATCCGCGTGCAGCCAGAAAAAGTGTTTCTATGGGTTTCTATGTGCGAGAGAAAACCTTACTTGTCTTGCTCTCGGCTTTAATGTGGCACTAGAAAGATGGTCGCCCCGGCGTGCATGGCATAAGCTGCCAGCGGAGTCAAGCGCCGGCGTCACCCAGCGGGTCGTACGCCGCCTCCCCCGTCCACGCAGGCGCACACGAGTGGGTCCCGTGTAGCAACAAAGACCACAATGCGGTTGCGCCACTGAAGTTAGAGTCGCGTGGTGAAGCGGGTGCGGCCACAGTGAGGCGGCAGCGCCCGTGCGGCCATCCGCATTGGCGACGCGCGTCCAGCGGCCAGCCTGATCGGCGAACGGGGCTCGGGGGCGCGCCTTCGAATGGGCCCTTATCGCCGCGGCCGCGTGAAAATGATCGGCGATCATCTAGCGCCTCGCCTCGGGTCAGAGGCGAGGGCCGAGGCCGCTCGGCGCCAGTGGTAGGCATTCGGCGACGAGGGCGCGCGGCCAGCGCGCCACAGTCGGCGATCACGGCCGAACGCCCGCACCCGCAGAAACGAGGCGCTGCGCATCGGCGCTGTGCTGGCGCGACTCGGCCAGCAGCCACTGGAAACCCAGGCCGCGACGCTGGAGGAAGCAGCTGGGGCTGCGGTTCCTGGGCCCGGCGGGGGAGCGCCATTCTCATGAACGGGGCCTACAGCCACATATATTACTTTGCGTTGCATACATGTCGTGCTCTCTGCTTGGGGAGTGGCTGGCACAGCCGGCGCGTTGGGTCCCTACTCTGTTACGCCCTCAATGGCTTCTCGCTGGTCGACTGCATGGTCAAGGGTCGCTGGCATTCTTCCAGCTCTACCTGCGGAAGCAAGCCGACGTCCTGGAGCCCCACCTCGTCGTTCCCCCACACGCACTGGGCGACGCCCAGCGTATGATGCTACAGGTCCGTTGTCACTCTGCTCCTGTTTTCTTTTGGGACTCGTCAGCCTCGCTCGACGTGTCGCAACGCCCCTGCCTCAGCACGGGACTCGTCGCTCACCTTTCCCCTCTCACAGAGCATGACACAGGTGGCGCCTCAGAGCGCCGCGAGCTCAGCGCGATCCCTGCGCGCTTCTCGCGCGGACCCTGGCCACGCACCGTGACACGCTTCATGCGCGCGGTGCCGCATGCGACCGCTCTTGTCCGGTCTGTCAGCCATCCCTGTATTTCTAGTACGAAACATCTACGTTATCACTCCAACGGTCTATCTGCCGGACTGCGTCCAGAGCTGGACGCCGTAGATGGGAAATTCGCGTTGAATCGTCCAACCTCTGCAGACGATTCTGATCATTCCAATAATATCGGTGGTGGTGCTTATAAATAATGACTGTGTGTATCATAACAAGTGATACTATGGTCTAATGTGATGGTAATCTAATATACCAATTGACGTGGGGAGGCGAGCGCGAAGGGGGAGGTGGGCGACACGGGGATGGACGACGGCTCGGCCGCAAAGGTCCATCCCGCGCACGTCCTTGCGGTAGTAGAGCTTGACGCCGACCTTGACCGTATTGAAGGAGTCGCCCTCCCTCCTCCTCCTCCTCGTACCCGCTGTAGAAGCTCACGCCCGAGCGGGAGCCCGCCATCCGGCCCGTCCCACGTCGTGTGAGCCTCCGCACATACTCCAGCCGAGCGCGATACCCCCTCCGTAGCTGCTTGGCAGTGCGCCGACATTTGATGGTGCGCACCCGACGCCCGACGCCCAGTTCGCAACACATCCCTCGATGGGGGGAGTGGCGGTGCATCTGGGGGCGCGTCATCGGCACCGCTGTGGCCTTCGAGGTAGTCATCGTAGAACTCCGTTACCCGCTGGTTTCCACCCTGCACCGGCGGCGCGGGTCCGTTTGGTTCGGTCGGAGAGCCGCCCTTGTGGACGCTGAGCCCGTGTGTGGGTCCGTTCAGACCACCAGCGCCATACGTGGCACTGCGGGTTAGGCTGGGACCAGTGGGTGCGGCAGGCGACGTCTTGGGCAGGGTGGCGGGTGAAGGGGCTTGCAGTGTCACGGATACGCTCGCGAGCATCGTCCTCGCACGCTGAAGGACAGTGGGGGGACGCCTCGTTGGGTCGTTGCCGTCCACGAGCTTGGGTGCGCTGACGGAGGGCGCGACGACAGTGGGACGATAGAGGACAGCGACAAGCTGCAGGGGGTTTTCAGTGAGTTGAATGCACGCGGCGAAAGAACGTGCACGCATTCAGGCGGTACTTTCCTTCGTGTCGTGCTCGAGCTCCGTCGCGCCGCCCTCAGGCCCGACGATGTCCTTCATGCACGTACGGCGCATCTATGCGTGGGCGTCGCACGTGATGTCGTCCATGAGAGCGTGAGGGCGTCAGCGGTGCGCACGATCGCGGCGGAGGGGCCGTAGTACTCACAGAGCTTTGTCCAGGCGAGGTAGAGGACGCGGGGAGTAGGGGTGGTGTGGATGATGCGGGTGACTCCAGTGGGATGGGAAATACGGAGGTGGGCGACGTAGGCGAGAGGTGGCGACGGCACGGGCGACATGGCAACACGGGAACGGGGGCGACTTAGAGTCAACACGGCAGGCAGTGTGGAGGTGAATCGAGGTTGTCCGGTGCCATCCTGATGCAGGGGCGACGTTGAGTTTATGTCGAAGCGATGGTGGTCACTATCACGATCACCGCTCGGAGGAGCACGCTGGTGGCCGACTGCCGACCGAGGCGGATGTGGATCACGGTCGAGTGGCCTGGGAAAGAGGGAGAGACAAAAAAAGATGGTCAGTAGGATCCCAAGCCCTCAATACGCAACCGCCTGCAGCGGACAAGATGGAAGCGATTTGAACACCCACCAAGCAAGATGGGCTTGGCGTCATGCTCGGCGTCGGTGTCAGTGTCGGCGTCGGCCTATGCGAGAGCGACAAGGCTGCTCGCTTGGTGGATGGACATGTGGACAGGCGGGAAGCAAGAAAAGTACGCACCAAAGCCGCCAAGTACAGCATCCCTGCCGTTGCGTGCATATCTCTAGAGCATAACGGCATGCCAGATCACGGCTGTGTCACTGATGGCGGCCTGCAAAGTGTCAGTGCGTGAAGTCGTTGGTTCTCACAGCGCGGCTGAGCGTGCTAAAGGTGATCAATCATTGGGCCTAGTCATCGCGTAGACAAGATAGAGGGCAGAGTGTGCGACGCACCTACTGGCAGTGACCTACATCCTCATGAGAGGCCACTGCGGTCGACGCATAGAGGTCCACACGAGGCCACTGAGGCAGTTGGAGACAGAGTCTGAAGAGGTCGGAGTCGGACGAGACTGAGGCTGGCAGTGTCAAGCGCCGGTGTCCACTCAACGCGCGTCGATTCCCACGGGTCTCTGACTGGGTGCTGACCCGATGCCGACCTCCCTGTCCTTCCCGACCTCCCCTTTTTTTTATTCCCGGCGCAACGTCCTCAACGAGCACGCAAACCCGCCTCTCGCCGCCCGCTTTCCAGAGGCGCTGTTGCGGCCCTGGTTGTCTTGGTGAGTCCCCTGCTCCTTGCACTCCCCACTTCGCCCACCACCTCCACAGCCCCCGGCCGCACCACCAACTCCGTCCCCACAACGAGCGCGTCCCTGCAAACCGTGCACGAAACGCTCGTCCCTCCGGCGTGGCCATTGCCACTGTGTCACACATCGCCGCATCCGCCCGCCGCAACGCCGTACGTAAGCTCCCCTTACCGCAAAGTCGGGGCTGGCGATCCGTGACGATGGCGTACCTAGGTTAGCACAACATCGTGTCTGGAGAGCAGCACCGCTATACATTGTGAGCACCCTCTTTCCTTCGATGGGATGGGACTGTGCACTGACCCCCCATGGCCCAGCGTGTTTCGCACGAGAGGGTAGAGGAGCAGCGAGTGCAGATGCTCGAGCATGAAAAGCAGGTCGCGCAGTTCCGTGACTGCACCGCGCTCCTCGAGGGCTCAGGCCAGGACAACCATCTCGGCGTGACCAAGCTGGGCGGGAACGTGGTCGGCGACTTTTTGATCAACGTGCGTCCGTCCGCTCAGACCCCTGCGATCCGCACGTTCCTCAACCTGCGCAGTCCTCCCCCGTGTGTTCTGCATGCGTGCATAGAACGCGGCATCCAGCAAATCAGCCGCTAGGCGGCAGACGTTGCCCGCGCGCACCCTCCAGTGGCACGCCGCGCTCACGGACGACGACCCGCCCGAGCACTCCTAATCATCTGTCACGTCCGGGATCCAGGTCCAGAGCCGTCACCAAGACCATCGCTGAGGGCGTCGTCAACTGCCTCATCTCCCCCAAGGCAAACATTCGGCTCACGGTATGCACGAGCACATCTTCTCCCGTATGTGCACCTCTCCTCATGCCATCCTTCCGCATTAGATCCCCTCCGCGCACGTGCTCGCCGCGCCCCGCAGGCGATTCCAACGTCGGCGCCGTCCGGCGCCGGCAGACATTCTCCGCTGCCACCAAACCCTGCTCGACCAACACCTCCCGCTTCTTCCCCTCCAAGCGGCCGGACCATCGCCCGCAACGCCCCGGCTCCTTTACGGTACGTTTCCTTTTGGTTTGCTTTACTTCTTTGTCCATGCTCATTTCCATTTTCACTTCATTTCCCCACCTCCCGCGCCATGACCTATTCCCGCATATGCGCACACAACCCCTCCGCTCACGCAACTCTTCGACACATGCTCAGGGACAAAGGACTACGTCCTCGCACCCTAGTCACCCCCTTCGCCCGCGCATGCCCACCTGCGGTGCCACCTCCTGCGTAGGGTCGAGGGGCTCGACCGCTAGCTCAAGGGCAAGAACACCCCCGACGCTGGCGCGCCCCTCAACAGCACCTCCTCTCGACTCGCTCTACGACGCCGACCGGATGCTGCCGCTCCAAGGCACGTCGTTCTCGGCGACCCCACAGCGCCACGCTCCACGGCGCCGCCTTTGTGTTCGTCAGAAGCATTGAGTCCGCTTATGGTGCGGAGGGGGGACACTCGCGTCTACTATCGCGATCGTCCTACCTCCCGCGGCCGCTTGTGGACTGGTGTGCATATCGTCTCGGGGAGGCAACGGCAACCTGCACGCATACACGTGGCGGCGGCGGATGGCTTGAGCACTTCCCAGTCGCTCTCGTCTTCAATATCGGCGCCACACATGTCGGATGTCCATGTATATACTTGTTCCGGTTACCCCGCACTCGTGTTCTGCCTGTAGTAAACTAGTAGCCACCGTAATGCATGGATGGGCGTTCCGACGCGGACGTGCTGGCGACGGCGACGGCGGGCGAGGGGCGGGAGGAAGAGGAGGGGATGCGGTTCGTGCCGTGGACGTGCGAGCTCCGGACGGAGACGAAGGCGGTCGTCGTCGCGAGGCTGCGGGCGGACGAGCGGACGTTCCCGAGTATGGTGGGGAACTCGTGTGGGCGGCGGAGGTGCATGGGTGCACGAAGATCGAGTTCTGGTGCATGCCGGACAACCTCCACGAGCTCATGGAGAGGATGGGGTTCACTGCGACGAAGGAGCGGACGGCTCACCTTTCCGTGTGTTATGGAGAAGGAGAAGAAGAGCTGAATTGGCTCGAAACCGAGAAGCAAGTGCTTCTACTGTTGGCGCCCGTGCGAGAGGGTGGTGCTGATGCTCTGTCCAGGTGCTGAACGTGTGAAGAACGCCACCGAATCAATGCGCAACGTTCCTCATGTAGACGCACAAGGCGATTGAGCGACAGACATCGATAAGTAGAAGTGAACCAATTAATCAAGAGTTGCTCCGGGATCAAGAAAGTGTGCACCCGGTCGGGATATCCCAGTATGGAAATGAGGAGATATCGTACGAGGTATTTACAGAACCTGCGGAACGAAGGGTTTCCCAGACTCACGGAGCGCGGCCTCAATGACCTCCATGCCCGCCAGAGCCTTCTCCTCCTCGAAGCGTCCCGCGACGACTTGCACCGACAGCGGCAGACCGGCCATAGCTTCCGCGTCGTAGATGTCGTGCACCTGACGGGCGACATCGCTCAGTCCTAGATACCTGTCGCTCTTCTTAAAGTCGGCAGTGTAACTGTCCCGGGCCTCGTCGACCCGGCCGACTGGTAGCACGCCCACAGCGTAGTCGAGCTAGCGGGATGGAAACATCAGCCAGGAGCCACGCCGGCGCCCACATGCTGCGAACTCGTGACACGCACCACGTTGTACAGGAAGGAGTAGTTCGCCGACACCAGCGTGGCCTTGTCGCTGACCTCCGGCTCAATCGGCATGGCGGGGAGCGCGTGCACCGGGGTGAGCACGAAGTCGAGCCCCTCACGCCGCCACGCATCGTGCCACCGCGCACGATACGTGTCCCGCTGCAGGACCAACCCGCGCTCCTCAAGCGCCGAGCTGGGGTGGAAGCATGCGAGCAGGTCCGCCCACGCATCGTTGCGCCCTTTCGGGGTCGACCACCAGCGCAGGAAGACGGCTTGCAGTCGCTTGAGCCACAGAGGCAGACGGAGAATCGTCTGGACCGTGCGTAAGGCCGGTGAGATGGACTCCCCGGATCGCAAGGGCATGAACGCGGATGCGCCTGTGGCGTTGTGGGTGTGCGTCAGAAGGGAGCGGGCTCGGGCGGGGACACGGACCTCCATCAGCGAACATGAGTTGGTAACCTATCTTGAGGCCTTCAAGCGGACTAGGGGGATGGCTGGGGAGTGAATGCAATGGCGCGGTGAGCGGTGAGATGCGGCGGCGGCGGCGGGGAAGGAGCTTACAATACCACAACCTCGTGGCCCTGCTTCCTGAGCGCATCGGCGGCCTCAGCTAGTGCCCGCGCATTCGCCGGTGTGGGCAGAACGACGCCTAGGGAGATGATCAATCCTTGAAGCGTACCAAACGTTGGAAAACCTTACCATCGTCCATAACCAGACCGAATCTCAATTTCCGGCCTGACGTCACGCAATCAGAAGGCCGCCATGTCAGAGGCACGCACTAGAGAGGAGCAGCTAGAAGCATGAGCGCTGCAGACGCAATGGCTGCTGCTGGTTAGACGCACGGTGTGGTCATACTCCCAAGGACGCATGCGAATTATGCGCTCCCAGAAGTCACGCAGGTCCGATAGTGAACGGGCGAGCGGAGCAGTGATTGTTGGGACGGCGTCCAGTCCTGGAAGGCACCCAAGGGAGCCACTGTTTGGGAAACGACCAGCGGAACCCTTGACGGCGTAGAGGCCGCAGAATGCGGCAGGGTAACGTGAACTGCCGCCGAGGTCGGTGCCGACTTCGATGAGACTGCCCTGCCAGGCTAACAGGGCGGCGCCCCCACCCGTGGACGCGCCGGGAGAGAATGCGGGGTTGAAGGGATTGGTAGTACGCCCAAATAGGTCGGAGCTTGTCTCAAATGAGAGGCAGGCAGTGGGGAGGGTGGTCTTCGCATAAACAAGTGCACCGGCGTCGCGGAGAAGGCGGAGGAGAGGGGCGTGTTGGAGGGCGGGGTGACCAACACGAGACGAAAAGCCCAGGGTGGTATCGTGTCCAACAATGTCAAAACATTCCTTGATGCTGACGGGGACGCCAAGAAGAGGTAATTCTGAAGTGGCCAGTGGTATGGAGGCGTTCTCTGCTGCTTCTTCAAGAAAGATGTCGGCAAGACAGTTGGTAGCATCGTGAGCTTTGAGGGCCCGTTTGCCGTATGCTTCAAGGACATCTAACGGGGTGAATCCGTCCACGCTCCCGCAGGCGAAAACAAGTTGTGTGAGTGAGAGGTCGAGGATGGAGGAGTCGGTGGCGGAGACGGTGGCCCGATAGATCGCAGGAGTAGAGTCTAACTTCTGGCGCAACTCCTCTTGCTTCCGTGCGCTGGGTAGAATGATTGAGTAAGTAGGTTTAAGGCGAATGACAGCCATGCATGGGTCCTGTTTCAAGCCCTGCCCCTGATGTGGCGGCGAGCTGCGGCGTGTATGCGCAGACCCTGGCGCTTCTCCTCGGACCGCCCACGGTAAGCCGCGGCTTGCGCGCATCGGGAATGGAGGAGGACAGAGGGTGCAACGCGCCAGACTGCATGGGGCAGACATGCCGCTTGGCGCAATGCACGCCTTGAATCCACGTGCTCTAGTCTCCTCCACGTACGTGTCTCCCCACATAGCCCCCTAATACACCGCGGGCGATTTTGAAAGGCGCATGGGCAAGTCTATGATGATGCAGAACGGAAGTAGGGGCAGCGAGCTTGACGTCGAGGAATTCCACGTGCGAACATGGGGTTCCGCCGTGGGAGAGAAGGGCGGCGAGGAGGGCGCGCAATGCAAATAGCGCGAAAGGAGCTCGGAGGGTAGGAGAAGACTGACCAGTCTGCGCGGTGCGCGGAATAGGAAGACATGAGCGCGCTGCGCGCGGTCGGGTGCGGGGGTGTAGGGAGAAGCGACCAGAAGGGAGGGCGGGGAGGGTGGCAGACGGGGCCGGGGGGTATTAATTGCGCGAGACATTGGCGCCAGTCACGGTCGGAGGAATGCGCCGCCGATGGGCGCTCGGACGGGCGGCGCCAGTGCGGCATGCGGGCGCAGCGGCCCCGCCTCCCACCCGCGTCCTCCCGCCGCCATGTCGTGGCCAGTCCACAACGCCAACTACAAGGCCTCCAGGCTCCCAAGATGTGCCCGGGAGCTCTCCAGGTACGTATTGCCGCTCCGTGTGCGGTCCATTTGGACATGTTTCGGTGCGAGCGGCTGATGGACCGCACAGCACGCTCGCTCAACCTCGCTGCCCGCCCGCGCAGACGTGGCTCCTCGACACGCCGGTGGAGGGTCTCTGGTTAATCAGAGACCCAGCCACTGGCAGGCCTGCAGAAATGGGCCATCACACGCGCGGCTATGGCTTTCGTAGGCCCGGCTTGCTGGCACCGCAAAATGGTGTGTTGCTGCGGCCGCCCTCCCTTCCTGTTCTGCGCTTACCGTTTGGCTCTCTGCGCTGCAGTATGTAGCGCACAAAAACACCGCCCCCATGCAAACTTTGGTATGCGCACGCTCAAGTAGTGCGAGCTGTGGTCCCACATCAGTGAAGAGGGACAAAGGGTGGGTTGCACGCACTGTTGCTCGTTCTTCTCCAGTCCATGCTCATGATATCTCGACCATTCCTCCCCTGCGTCCCACCTCAAAACATAAGCACAGCGCATCATTCAATCATGCCTAGTCACAAGTCGGAACATCCAATGCGCTCCCAAGTGCTGCTCCTCGTGTCATTCTTGAAGACGCCAACCCCAGCGTGGCCACTGAACGGCACCGCACCACCATTTGTCAGTCTCCAGCCCCTTCTTTCACCTGCGCTCTGCTCACCCCGTCTCCAGTCCTTCACCCTTCCATGATTGCTGTCGTGGCACGGTCTTTAGTCGCGCCCACCACCATCGTGTTCTCAACCACGCATGAACGTCTCCCGCTTCGTGGGTCTCGCTGCGGCGTGCGGTGGTGCCTTTTTCGGGTCTCGACTGTCTTCAGCACCCGCCTCACTTCCCGTTCTGCGTTCCTTCCAAGGACTGCCCGTGCTTTCTCCCTTTACTGCCCTGTTCCATTCGCTTATTCGCTTCCAATGGTCCCTTCCGCGCGGTCCTCTCGTAGCCCCACCACATTTTCCCTTAACGGGGGCCTGGGCGAGTGCACCACTTCCCCCAGCAGCAGCAACAACAGGACTGGCTCCCCAGCCCGCCCCTTCACACGTACTAGCATATGCCCCTACATTATCTCCTCCCCCAGCACCGGCGAACTCTCACCCGATGGCTCAAACCTTCGCTGTGGCAGTGGCTCCCATTCCCCTGGCCACGCCGTGCCCCCTGGTTCGCTGGCGGCCATCCCCCACTTCCACCGCCACCACCTGCTCGGGGCGGCTGCCATCATCTGCGCCTCCGCCCGTGCATCCACCGTCCACCTCCAAGCTAGCCACAGAAATCGCACTCAAGCCAGCCACCAATTCCGCCTCCCCACCCTCTGCCGACCATCCAGGGACGAAACCAGCTTCCGCGCCCCCCAAGGCCAATACCCGAAGCCAAGTCCGAAGCCCCAGCGGAGGACGAGTGGCCTCCACTTACTACCAACCCCATGCACTTGGAGACATCTGAGACCCGGCGCAGCAGCAACGCATCCGGCCCCTCTGCGAGAACAAGTTCCCCGCCACGCCAGGTCCCCTGCTGCTGCCTGCTCCCACGATGCCCGGTCTCGTCAAGACTGGGCGCCTATCCTGGACGTCCCAAGCGAGAGCGTCGCGGTCGACGAGGGTGAGCCCGCGCCCGTACAGCGCGACGGCGAGGATGGTGCGGTTATGAATCCATGTGAGCGCCGGGAGGTCGCTGCAAGCGCAAGATGGAGGACAAAAAGGACGTTTCCCGCCCCTTCGGCAACGGCGCCGCCCCCGCCTCTTGCGGCCCCGCGGGCATCGGGCGCCTGCCCTGCGCTATGCGCCCGACCGCCGTTCTCCACACCGCCGCCTTGCCCCACCACCAACAGCGACGTGCGGCGTACGAAGATTCTACTTCCGTTGAGCCTGCATGGGGTGCGTCTCTCACCCGAACTCTCTTGGTCGGGTGCGGGCATGAGCTGATTGCGTGAATTCAAGCTGTGTGGAGCCTCAAGAAACGCCGTGGTGAGTGGACCAGGAGCGGGGCGTCGCCTGGGCGGCGCCTTCATGTGCGTTGCCTCCGTTCTTCGCTATCTCGATGTGCTCACGCAAGATTTCCAGCACTAGAACCGACGGGCAGACCACGATCAGTCGGCAAAACCGCTGAACGCAAAGACGGGGAAGAAGACGCCGGGATATGCAGATCACGCCGGAGCTGGCGCAGACTCAGGTGCAGCTCATGGTGCAGGCGGTCGGCGCCACGTTCAAGCGCCGGATGGCGCGGTGCCTCGCGCTCGGGAACAAGAAGGCGCTGTTCGCGGATGGCCAACGGTGCGTGCTTATTTCCGTGCTGGCGGCGGACGCGGATCCTGAGCGGGAGTTTCGAGGGTAGTTGGGGAACTGCCGGAGTTGATCGAAGCTCGGATTGATCCTGGGAGAGCCATCGGGTTGCGACAAAAGGTCATCTACAAGACTGTGGTCGGAGTTGGTGTATGGCTGTCGAAGCCAGCCGCTGACGGTGCGCTTGCAGCCTGCCTACTTCCAGAAGCAGAACAAGGCTAGAGCACACGGCGAAGGGCTCCGCGGACGGTCGATGGCCATGGGGCGTAACCGGAGAGGGCCTCGGCTTCGCCCAGATATCCCTGCGCCCGGATTTCGATGGCCTTCGCACCCCGCCACACCCCCGGATTTTCCTTCTGCTCCCACAAGGTGTGTCGCCTCTCCTCATCCCTATCCCCATTCCCATCTTCAGCCTCGCCCCAGAAGCCTGCGTGTGTCTCCCCACACCGCAGTACCGCGCGGCTTGAACAATCGGGAGGACGCTCTGTGGCCATGCATTTACCACCCGTGTTCCGGGTTCTGCTTCCCATGGCATGAGCCACCGACATATGGCTAGGCGCACCCAGCGCGTCGCGCACGCCGCCTCCCACGGCCATGTTGGCCCGCACGAGTGGGTCCCATGTAAACACTACGACCACCATGCGATTGCAACATTTAAGTTAGAATCCCATGGCGAAGCAGGCATGGCCGCCGTAGGAGCAGCCGCCTCTCGCCCTTCTACCCACTCGCCCAATACCCCGGGCCCCTGGGATGTAAACTGACCAAGTTCTAGATGGCCTTCCTCGGTGCTACAGGTCGTCGGTACGTGTGCATCCAGCACCTACACGAACACTACGCGTTGGATATCGTGCGCATCGGTCAGTCCAGCGGTCCTCCACTTCTTGTGCCTGTCCGGCTCACGGAAGGTCGTGCATTGCAGGCCCCAATGGACTTTCGATCCGCGACCCGACTGCCATGCTTGCAATTCTGGGTCCGTCTGGGTCTGAATTGAAAACGCCCTTGTAAGTCGTCCCATACACAATCAGGAAGAAGCGCTCACACCTGGGCAATCGCGCAGGCATGAAAGGCATGCTCCTCAAAGCGGAGCCGCTTACGATGATCGCAATCCAAGACACGGACGAGCATGTGCAGCGTCGACGCCCGTACCACGCGGACTCTCGCAGGGGGGCCCTGAAAGACTACGAGGTGATGGTCTCCCGGCGGGCTCGGATGCTCGTCGACCGCCTGGGTGAGACTAAGGGGGCGGACGTTTGCCTTGACGAGTGGTTCGACCGCTTCTCGTAAGTGCTCTACTCATCTGACGTCGTCAACAGCTTCTGACGCGCATACAGGTGCGATTACATGTCAGATCTGGCGTGAGCGTCCGTGTATGCACCTCCGTGCTTTCCTCGCTTACAAGGTTCCCCAGATTTGGCGGCGGTTCGGAGCTACTGAGTGGAACCGACAAGAACAACTTCCTCCCTGCCCTCACTGCAGCGACTACGTGAGTGCCCTCGCAAACAAACAGCACCCGTGCTGAATTTTGAACAGGTCTGCGGTGTTCCTCTCGCACGTACCCTGGCTGGGGGTGTAGTACTTCGAATACATCCCCGTGCTCGTCAAACCGCTGAGCACACTGCACGTGAACTGCTCCGCGCTCACCAAGCAGCGCGTGCACCGCGGCGCCGCCACGCACGACCTCTTCCACCACCTCGTGCGTCCTCGTCCCCTCTCCCGCACGTGCACATTCTGATGCGTTGGCGCCGTCGCCCTTGTCTCTTCTGCGCGCATATCCTGCAGAACCACGACGATAACCCGTCGCGCCCGCCGCCCTCGCAGTAGCAGCTTATCGAGGACGCCGTCCTTACGATGGTCGCGGGCTCGGACACCGTCGCCTCTACGCTCACCTCGCTCTTCGCCTGCCTCGTCGCGCACCCAGCCGTCCACGCGCGCCTCTCGCGCGACACAGACGGGACGGTGACACGCGCCCACCGCGACATGGCCTATTTAGGCGCCTTGATGTGAGCGCCTCATGTAACGGCTCCTTGGGCAGCACGGTGTTGACGATCGGGCAGAAACGAGACGCTGCGCCTGTTCCCGCCCGTCCCGAGCGGCACGCAGCGCCAGATGGCCCCCTGGGGGCCCTGGATTCACTGTGGGAGACAAGTGCGTCCCTGTTGAGTGACTAGATGCGCCCGCGGGCCGCGCTGACGATGATCATCATCAGATACATACCTCCCGGGTCGGCGCTCTGGGTGCACGTCTGGTCGATGCATCGCGACGCGCGCAGCTTCTCCGATCCCACGCGCTTCTGGCCTGAGCGCTGGCTGCCAGTCGACGCGCACGACTCGAAGCCGACTCGCGGGTTCGCGCACGACGAGGCCGCCTTCAACCCGTTCTCGTACGGGCCGCTCAACTGCGTCGGGAAGGCGCTCGGGTTGCAGGAGATCTGGACGGTGGTGTGTGCGGTGCTGCAGCGGTTCGAGGTCCGGCGGGTGGCGGGTGGCGGGCGGCGGGCGGTGGGGGCGTGCGAGGGGTGGAGCGGTGGATGGCGGCGTACGAGGGGGCGTGCCTGGACCACTTTGTGAGCGTGAGGGGGAAGGTGCGCGTCGTGCTGGAGGCGCATCGAGTGGTGCGCAACTGCGATGGGGGTGCGGAATTCGCTTCATAACTTTCATATCAGGCTGTTTACTAGCCAAGACTTCCGCCGCGCGTGATCCAAATGCCTTTCTACGTCATGGAGCCGTCCTATAGTTTGGTGTTGTCAAGCACTTGGTCGCACATGAAGAGTAGACCACGCCTACCGATTGGACATCGGAAGATCCTCAAGATCCTCATCATCTTGCTTGCGCCATGGTTAGTTTCTCGTCCGACAGGTTGACCAGATTCCCGCCGCCTCATGGCTGCACTTGTCGGCCACATGCACGCGCTGTGTCCTGCCTTCTGGGCGGTGCGTGGACGAGCGAGGAGAGTCAAGCCTTGAGGTACATCGTGTTGAAGGTGCATCGAGTACAGCATGGAATCAGATCTAATGAGAATGACAACTGTTGTGATTAAACTCGACCTTCGCTGGTGCCCCCTCACTCCCCCCATGCCTCGCCTCCAAAACCACCGGCACCACCGCCCGCGACGTCGTAAATAAGTCTTTGTATCTCTCCTCGTACGCCTATATTAAATACTCCGCCTTCAGACATGTAGTCCAAGGAGATGTGGAGGCGAGGGTGATGGGGAGATGTGGCGTAGCGTAAGGGGTAGAAATACTAAGCAGAAGCGCAGGCAGGGGCGGTAAGCGTGGGCGCCGACGAGGGCCGAGAATCGAGGGCCGAAAGCATGGGGAGGAAAGCGACAGCAATACGAATGCATGATCAATGGCAAGCAAGGGAAGCAGAACTATGTGCAGGTAGTAGCAGTAATCAGGTGGTAGTGACGACAACGCGCAACCCAGGGACGCAGACAGGCCAAAGGGGTTTGCAATGGAGGATGGAACCAGGTGGCAAGACGGGAATACAGGGTGGCAAGCAGACATTAGGTTGGGGTGTCAGGTAAGGATGTCGATTGTGGTGCGGTGACATGGGTGAGCGAGAGAGCATTGCGATAACAGAATGAACATCGAAGGAGACCTGTGCACGATGGAGACAGGCTATCATTACTTCAGCAACCAACGTCAACAAATGAAAACCCACAAGGATAATGAGAGAGCCCAACGAATGGACAGAGCAGAGCGAAAGAGACAGTGCGCATGTGGCATTGTCATGACGCCACACCAGAAATGCGTGCGCTCTTCTTCATCTGCACCGGCTGGAGCGGAGTTGGCGGGACCGGGGGAGGCATTGACCTTGCAGATGACCATATGACGGGGGGTTCTCGGTACGACTCCCGTTGCAGGTCGGAGTCTTCAACCAGATCTGCGTCTGGTTCGACGGTGATGGTCTCCTCGATCGTCGCCTCAATGTCGACGTCGTGCTCATCTGGATGCAGCGCTGCATGGCGACGAGGAGGGTATTTTGGGATCGTGATTGACTTGTGTGTGCGCATCATCCATTCCATGGTGTCCCGATCTCGGTCATAACGGCTGTCATCGTCCACATCGATACTGCCCTCCGCACGACTGCGATTGCAACCACCTTCATTATCCTTCTTTGGGTCGATATGAGACAAGGAGAGAGAGACGAACAAGTGTGAAAGGTGGGTAGAAAATGGGTGTTCGTCTTCGCTTTCGAACTGGTTCGGGACGGCGCGGGGGATAGAATGCAGGCTCCGTGAGACGACAACCTGGGTGGCAATGGCGCGATTGTGGACTGTTGTGGCATCTATTGTAGGGACGTGCCTGGTCAGGGAAAGGGAGCTTAGAAGGGACGGAGCAGAGGGCAATGTACCTTGAAGGTGGATGAGGATTCGCTGGCTCATAATCCAGGTCACGGTATAGCCGATGGAAACCCTGCATGGTCAAGTGATGAGTCCGAGGTCAACTGGGCCTTCCCAACAAGCATTGACTGTTTCCCACCCTGACGACTGAATCAAGATGTCAGACCATGAAAGCCATATATATGCAAAAGTCGAGCTCACCTGAACTGACTCAATGGAACTTCTGTAAAGAATGAGATTCAAGATGTTGGCACCTTTCAGGACTGTCAGTAGCAGTAACAGCAACGCATGTGGAGCTCCTACCAGTGAGGGTGACAAAGTAAATCAGCCCATCGGTGAGCATACTGTGACAAGAGGATCAATCATAGTGGTAGGAGGAATGAAAAGTGAGCGGACATTCTGACGAGTTGTGCCATTCTGTGTGCCAAACACCGTCAATACTTCACTCAAACACTGCCATAGAAACCACACAACACCCACTTTCCAGAGTTGGAACCTAAGTTGATCAAGTATGCAGTCGAAATGACGAGGGTGACAACGTCGTACGTCATAGCAAACATATAATACAACCACGCCGTTAGCACCGGGGGTGCATTACCTGCGGTGCAGCTGGGAAGTTACGTAAGTTGAGGCGAAAGTGCAGAAGTTGCACACACGTACTTGTTGTGCTGGTGGAACAAGGCCCTAAATGAGCACAGACCCCCGAAGACCTCATGCCTGACTTACCACGCCTCGGACAGCTGCCAACAATGGGAAATGTAAGGGGTCGCTCTGAGCGCATATGGCATGCACTTACGAACTCGGTTCCAGAGGTTGAGGAACCATTCGGCCTGTGATGATACTTGAGCGCGCCGCGCTGAAAGAAATCAGGAAGGACTCACCATCGTACACACCATAAACGTGATCGAGATTGTCCGCGTAACCCATGTCGCACGCCGAGAGAGGTTCATCGTCCTGGCAGGGAGGGTGAGCACAGCCGCGACAGACGTTCAGTAATAACGCGATGGCGTACCGGACGCCGAGAACGACTTGAGAAATCATCGTTTGGAGCACTGCCAGTGGGGACATGTGAGACACGAGCGATAGCGGACGGAGCTTGGGGGTGGTCACAGTCGCACGAGGGCCGGGCGGCACGCGGTGCCGTCGATGGAGGCGGAGCAGCAGAGCGACGTGGAGATGCCATCGGGGGTGGGGTGGGAATGGGGGAGTCACAGGGGACTTACCCTTGAAGACGGGAGCGGCGATGAAGTAGCGGTTGCATAGTGCGGTGCTAAACGAAGTGGAATAGTAGCCGACGCTACTGAACAGGAGAACGGCGATGCTGGAGTAGCTGCAACCACGGTAGGTGACGGAAGGTATGAAATGAAAGGATATGGTGCGCACCGGATAGCAATGAAAAGGATGCAGCCGGGGGATAGTCGCCAACTTCGCTGGCTGGCGTAAAACCGGTACTCGGCTGGGAGGGTGATGAAGTAACTGAGCAAAAAGCGGGGGAGGTGAGCGGGGGCGGCGAGATGCGAGACACAGAGGGCGCGACAGGACTGACTCGTAGAACGCGATGGCTAGAGAAACGGCGCGGATGTAGCTGGTCATATCGGCCGCGTCGTCCTCGTTGTGAAAGCTGCTGGCGTCGAGGTGGATGTTGGCCATGTGAGGGCAGTGAGAAGGATCGTGAGGAGTCGTGGAGGAAGGCGGGGGCCGGAAGGGACGGCTGCTGGGAAGAAGGGGGCCTAGGCAGGCATCATTATGGCAGGCAGAGGGCGCGTCGTTTGGACGGAGGCTTACTACACGTGAACGCCGGATGTGGAAAGCGCGCAGAAGCCCAGGCCTCTTCGTCCGACGACTCGGCAACTGAGACTCAGGCAGAGCTGGATGCTATTATCGCCTGCCTAGCTGTCTTAGGCCTGGCAAAGTGTACCACCGTCCCCAGCGCATGTCCCAACCCCGGGTCAACGCAAGACCTGGTGGCGCCAGCGCCTGCCCTCGCCATCGGAGTGGCTGCCGCGCCCCTGGTCGGACCGGGTCAGGCGCTCGCGCCGCCTCATACTTATCCTGCCAACGCCCGACGGTCCTGCGCCCCTCACTTCTACATACTGTATGGGTGCATGCCGGACGGATTCGGAGGACCGAGGCCTAGGTCGCCATATAAGCGCCGTCGGTGCTTAGTGCAGCCCCCCACATTCTCAACCATGACGTCATTTTTCTCGTCCCGCCCTGCCAAGCGGGGGCTGTTTGTGTGTTCTGGTCAGTGAGCCGTCTTGCTCCGGGAGCGGCGAATGTGCTAAGTACACATCAAAGGATCAGGATGCACGTATGCATCAGCCATGCTGGGCTGCTGTAGCGTATGCACGCACAGCGCGCGCGTTATATGCGGTGCAAAGGCACCCCGGCTGCGCATCTGTCAGGATCCCCACGCCGGGGCGAGCATCTTTCTAGTGCCACATTAAAGCCGAGAGAAAGACAAGTAAGGTTTTCTCTCGCCCATAGAAACCCATAGAAACACTTTTTCTGGCTGCACGTGGATTTTAAACCTTATAAACAGCTCCCAGAAAAGCTCCCAGAAAAATGGTCGCCCCGGCGTGCCGGGCCCCGTCTATGACACGCTGCGATGCCACATGACGCCCGTTCCGCGCATCCGTTCCGCACAACGCTTCTCGCCACTCGTTCAGCCCAGCACATGCGTTATGTTTCCGGACTCCTGACATGGCATGTATAATACTACGCTACTGAACGACACTCTTGAGCGATCAACGCAGTTCTAGTCTTATTCCTTCAAATCTCGTCCGCTCCCGGCGTCGCCGGTGATCGCCCTCTACAGCAGACGCCCAACGTTCCCATCGCCGATCACGCCACACACACGCATCGCCGACCGCGCCTCGCCCACACATCGCTGATCACGTACGCCTCGCGCACCCCCGCGACTCCCCGTTCACCATGCTCCCTCTTCGTCTTTGCGCACCGTAATAAGGCGTCTAGCTTTACAGCATCCTGGAGCACAAAGGCACATAATAGGGGTGCATTTGCAAGGAGCGGTGGGCATCTGAGGGCATACAAAGTTGGATCCCAGGCCAGCCACTGCAAGCGCATGGGGCCTCAGGGCGCTGTGCAGACCTTTATCAGTGGGCAGACAAGCTGGGTCGGTCAGGAACAGCGCCGATCGCCTTTTAACGTTGCACCTGGGGATATGTGCATTGTGGGTGACTGGTGATGTGACAAGCGAATTTTCGTATACGCGGATCCACCACCTGTGCTGCCGTTCTTCAACACATCCTGGGTGCACGGGCTCTCTTACCCAAGCACCCCATTGTGAATTATCAATCACACGATTCACTCGGTGCAGATCAGACTTGGTTCCTGCAGTGCGCTTTTGGTGATCAGAGCCGCGCAGTGTTAAACTACACCGCGTAATGCCTGGAGCATGTAATTTACACCTCCAATGATGCAACGCCATGTGGCCCTGTAACCAGCCGGATTGAGCCTTGTTTCGTGCCTGTGGACCAGTGCGCATATTGCCGGCCTGCGGACTTGTCAGCCAGGTCCATACAAATGGCATGAAAGTGTGTTAACTGCGCGTGCAGTTTCGGAGTCCGGACCAGCCACCGTCTCCGTTCTGATAAACAGTAGTTTCCCACGCATCGTCGACAGCCCATAGCCCCCCCCCCCCCCCCCCCCCCCCCCCCCCGTACTTGCTGTAGTAGGCTCATCCTATGAATCTTATCCATCCCTAACATCCCCGCCGTGTCCTCTGCGGCGATTTCGTTCCCTCTCTCCTTCTCAGTCCTCAACAGGGTGAACACGTGTAGCTGAGTGGCATAGGTATAGGCGCACTCGATGGCGCACACACGCGGCGCACCTTATGCCGCGACTACTGGGGGCTGCTGGGCCTGTTGAAGAGGAGGTCCATGGCCCGTGGTGGTCCGAGGAGGTTGACTGGGGAGCGTCGACTGCTGATTGCAGGTGCTGCCCATCGACTGGCTGGTACCGGCCGGGAGGTGGAATGGTCCGGAAGCGTCGGGGGCATAGACCCATGCAGGACGGCCATTGGCTACTCTGGTACGTCGGGTCCGTCACCCTGTCCTTGCGCGCGAGCGCATGAAAGATGGGTACGCACTGCCACGGCGACTCGGCCACCTCCACCAGGCTCAGCCATCGACTTCACCATCCAATCATGCCAGGTGTGGTCCCTGAGACGACGGGCGCGATGGTCATGGAAAGCCACATCAGCCGCGCAGGGGTCCACCGCGGGCACCATGTTCGTGGCCGCGATGGCCGCGACAACGGGAGAGACCACGGTGGTCGATGAGGGCCAGCGCGTCGATGTCTGGCGTCCAGGCGTTTGGTGCCACGGTGATGCAGGGTGCCAATGCACGTCCCCGCCGTGCCAATAGTCACACTAGCGGCATCGTTTTGGTCCGCGGCCCAGTTCTCCGGCCTCCACCCAGCCACTTCATCAGCCATACCGCGTCTTTCTTCGCCCCCGCCGCGCTTCCTGGACTTGTCTGGGTTGCGTACAGTGTCGACCACAACGACAACGATCTATGTATGCGACGTCGACGACGACGAGCACCCGACCAGCTCCTCCCTCGAGTCGTACAGCCCCATGGACATTTCGGGACATAGACGAGGCCCGACGTCCCTATGCAACTCAATCCCACCGTCGAGAGTCCCATAGCTACCGCCCCCCCTCCAGAGCCCATGGCAAGGGCTTCCGGCGCAGGGGCCCCTTCCCAGGTGCATGATATACTCCGGAAAACGCACATCTTCACGAATCCCAAGGTCCTCGACGCAGCCAGTGCAACTTTGGCATTCAGGTGGTGAGCGTCTCACTCTCATTCTCGCATGGACCTGCGATACGGGCGAGAGGGGTGATACAAATAACCGGTCACGCGCCTTGGGCCACCCATCTGCCTGGCGTCGACGGCACCGCGAACAAGACCAACACGCCCCTCCGCCCGAGGTCACCACGTCTTTGACTGCGGCGGTCCACCTGCCTCTCTTTCCTCTATCTCGGGAATCTGTGAGTACCCCTGTAGTGACCTCCCGCCCGTGCTCCTGCTTGCCTGCTGTTCCTCTAGGAACGCATCTTGTCTCTGTCGTCGAGTGCACGCTTATGCAGCCACAAGCCTGCGTGCGCTGCTAGCAGGTCCGGGTCGGGCTCGAAATTTGCGTCGATGAGCTCATTAACGCCATCTTGAGCGAGAACGATGAAGAGCACAAGCCGGAGGACGCGCGGTGATCCTGACGGACTCGGGCATGGACATTGAGCGGACGTGCTCTTTGAGGAGCACAAACACCTTCGTCACCAGCGCGGTAATGTGCTTTCTTCCACCCATTTTCCCCCCATGTGGACCCTAACCCCTCCCTCATCATCTCCTCCTTCGTTCTCTTGCATCTGCTTCTCTCTTCGCTTCACTACTGCCTCGTAATCCTCCCCTCCCCCGCACGCACGCACGCGCGCACGCCGCGCACAGACCCTGGCGCGATACGCGCAGGCCCGACGCACGTACGTGCTCCACGGCCGCGTCCGCCCTGGGGGTGGCCTCTTCCTCATCGTCCGGGTCCAGGACCCGTGGGCCAGTGGGCAGTGGTGACAGCACGACCACCAGGGTCCTCCCCATCATCTTCCACGGGTACGTCGTTGGCGGGGTTACGCTCGTCGGCGCGAGCGCGCACATTGCCCTGTCCAAAGCTCAAGGCCTCAAGGCATCACTCTTCCCCCCTCCCTCTCCAAGCGCCATGGCCCTGGAAATCTCCATAGGTGGGCCTGAGGATCTGATCAGTCAACGAGAGCACCCTCCTCACAGCAAGCGTCACCCAGATGCGCTAAGCTCTGATCCCACCCGGTATCGATGGCGCAACCCGCGCATATGGCCACACCACCAGTAAGCCATTTCATCCTTATTATTGTGATTTCTTTCCCGACTCCCTGTGTGAGCATTTTTTGCGAGGCGTGCTGCTGAGCCATCATCGCAGGCACGCGATCGGGCAGGGCATACAAACTCAGCGCCCGGCATGCTCCTGAGGCGTCCTTCTCCACACCTCCATACCCCCACACCTGTGTGCCACGGCCAGTGGCGCAGCTCCACGAGCTGCACGCCCGCAGCACCAGGGGATGCTGGGCATGCATGGAAGTCGCAAACGACGAGACATGCCCCACAACGATTTCGTCAAGATCACCGCCGGTGTGGACGCGCGGTCGTCAGCCTGCGCATCGACACCGCACCCCTCCACAAGGCCCTACCGGACGCCAGCAAGGCTGGGAGCACGAGCTACAAGAATTTTTCTCACCAAGTCCGAGGTGCGTCGGATTCTCGTTTCCATCTCTTGGGCAGGCGAGCAGATGTTTCCTCTCCCTCCCTGCCTCTCTGGCTCCGCCGATCTTGCCGTGTTGCTGCGGCGCTCTAGACTGATGCGCTTGTCACGCCAGCGGTTGAGCTCGGACACCTCGTGCCGGCTGACGCATGCACTGTGGCCCACCCACGTCGCATCTACCCCCACGGCCACGAAAAAATGGCCGGACATCGACGCGCCCGTAGCAAGCGCCAACACTCGGCTCGACGCCGGCTTCAAGACACGCACGGACGCAGGGACCGGGACGACTGCCATCGGCGCCCCCGTATGAGGCTCCCCTCTGAAGAGCGTCCAGATGTTCGTCGACTTCGTCTACCCCGCATCCTCGTGAGCACTTACCCTTCCTTTTCGTCGTTGTGGTGAATGTGCATACACGTGCCATTGACCAGGAGGAGGAGGAGGAGGAGGAGGAGGCGGGTGATTAAGGAAGACTGCGCTGCGCCGCATGGCGATACGCCTTCCATTTTCGTCACCGCCCACTTTCCAGCGCATGCCTAAAACAATCCACCTCCCCCTCACCCCCTTTCTTCATCCATCTGAGCCACAAATACTTACCCCGAACCCGACCATTATGAATCAAGATTATGCTATGCAGTTATGGCCACGTATGCAAACTCACGTAGGCGTAGGTTTAGACACCAGGAAACGAACGCCATCCCTTATCCCTGTCGCTTTCGTTCGATCTCTGTTCACCCACCGTGCCGCATCACCGATCCATTTGGTTCGTGAGCGCGACACCCAGCTTCTCTGTGCAGTTGACTGAGGGCGTTGATGTGATGCCAACTCCAGTAACAGTCGATAAAGGGTGAGGGCTGAGGTCGAGTCCGTGTAGGCGTGAGACACGGGGGGTCGGGCGAGTGAACGAGCACCAGGGGGCAGAACGTCCGAGGGTGTCGCAGAGGAGGAGGGGGACGGAATGCGCGAATGGGGAGGAGAGGGGAGGAAGAGAAGCAGAGAGACGCTAGACGTGGACGAGGGGGCGGATGGGCGATGGGTGATGGATGATGGGCGACGGGCGACGGGCGATAGTCGATAGGCAGCGTGTACGATGACGATGAGCGACGAAGACGAGATGAGACGAGATGAGATGACATGAGGTCGAGTAGAGGCGAAGTCGAGGAGTAAGCACACAACACACGCACAGAAATGCGAGGAAAATGAACTGAATGGCAACCAGTGCGAGTCGAGTCTAAATACATGCAAATGCGGCCGGTGCGATGGCGTGAATACGACCGAAACTAGCGCCCGAAACACATCTACAAGTCTGGGTGTCATGGGAAGTGTCCGGAAAATAAGAGAAACAAGTGGTGGAGCGGGGCAACGAGCGTGGCTGACCATGGGGGCCGTGGAATGAGGGATACGAGGGGACGAAAAGGAGAAGAAACGAGTGTGGATATGTAGCTAAACATGACGCCAGAATGACCATGGGGGTCGGTGGCGTTCCGTAGGGACGAGGGTCAAGGATGCGAGGGACGAGGATGTGCAACGCGCGAGGGCGCGGAGCTCGTGCGGGCGTCTGACGGACGCGTGCACGTACCAGCGGCGGTGGATGCACATCAGCGTCGCCACGGTGCATCATGCCTGTGCCTCTTCAGGCTTCAGGTTCGGCGGTTTGCGTCGTGACTGGCGTCTTTTAAACGTGGAGCAATCGGCGATGGGAAAGCACTCACTGAGGTCAATCCACCAAGTCTCCTTGACGTCGTGCCACTCGAGCACGGGAATGTCGCCCTGATTGTTTGCTTCCAAACCAACATCGAGGCCGTAGTGAGCCACCGCCTCTTCGTTGCTGCTGAAGTTTTTGATGTTCCAGATGGAGGACGGATAGTCAGGGTCTTGGTCGCGTTTTTCCATCTCATAGAACGCAGAAAGCGTTCTCGTCGGAATGCTCCTGATTGGCAGATTTCCTTCGTAAAAGGCCCTGCGAACTTCACCAATGGTGTACTCCAACCACGGCACCCATATTGTGACGTTGGGGCAATGGGGTGAGGGGTTCTTGATAAGGGCGTAATGAACTTGAGACGCAGCTTGAATGAGTCCTTGTTGGGTGATCGGCTCAGAAGCCATGGTGGGTGGAGGGGAGGGTTGGTGGAGGGATTTGGAGCGCATTTGGCGCCGGATCCCCGTAGCCGATCGCCAATGCCGTGTGTGGGAACTGATGGCGCGCATCGGCACGCATGAGGGCGCTTGACGGAGCTGGACACTTTGACTCACAGATCTCTCTAATCGACGTGTCGCGCCCAAGGTGTAGAAGCAAATATGTTCAAAATCTTAAAGATTCTGCTCCTGGTTTGAAATAGTGGCTGGCCACAAGGCTAATAGGCACAAGCCACTTCCATTGGTGAACGACACGCCGAAATTATTAAGAGTAGACCATCCTGTAATGAACTAGCAGTACATTATTGCAATTTAGTCGCAGCTATATCGCTCAACGATGTTGGCCCGATTGGATGTTCCTGGGAAGGGAGTGGGCATGACGCAGCGGCAAGGAGATATTTTGAAAATGGCGAACTACATAACGCTGCAGTAAGCAAGTACAGCGCCACAGTGGGCTGTCACCGCCAGAGAACAAGGTCGCGGCCGGCAGGCTACGGGATGAGTGGCAAAGAGCGGCAGGAGGAGACGAGGACAAGTCGGATATGGTGCGGCCGCTCGGCGTCCTCATGCCCGTGCACGCGGCTGCCGGCGTCGATAATAACGCCCCTGCGCAAGAGCGCGCAGGTGCCACCATGCCACCAGGTGCACGCAATGGCGTCGACGTGCTCACGCCCGGCAAGGCCCACGTACTGGCTCTTGCGTGTCACGCCAATCGGATGGGGATGAAGGCGGAGTACGCCTGCCCGAGCGCGAGCATGGGGAACGCGTGCGTCTTCAGCACCGAGAACAACATCGGGCGAGGAACGGCACGGGCACGTCAAGCGTGCCTGATTAGCTGTGCCGCGCGGCACCCCAACCAGCGAGGAGGCTGTCAGTGTGCATCGAGCGGGCGTGGGCGATGGTGCGGGCCCGCGTGGAGGAAGAGGACTTGGAGCATCCTGCCTTCATGGCCCAAGTCGGAGAGCAGGGGTTGGATGGGGACGGTGTGCGTCCGGAGCGCGGATGGAGTTGAGAAGGTCGCGCCTGCACCCAACGCCGAGTGTGCCATGGTCGTCCAACGCACTGCCAACGGGGAGGAACACGGCATCGGCGTGTGCGCGGAGGAGGACGAAGTAGAACGTCTCACAGCCGCAGCGATGAGGCGCGCCATGTATCCTTCTGTGGCTCTTTCCGGGGGCAAGTCCGCCGAGTCGCCCAGCTGGCCGTGTGTCTAGTGTCCACAGCCCCAAAATCATGAGGAGTGGCGGGGTCGTGACGAGATAACATTGTGGAGGCCGTGCGAGGAGATCACAAGACAGGGAGGTGGTGGTGGCAGTCGAGGCTAAGGGCACAAGAGACGGCCCGGGGACCATAAGAACTCTGTGCGGCTCAGGAATTAGAGCGTTTTCGCAGAGAACGTCCTCAGGACCCTGGCGTCCTTGACGTGGTCCTGGTCGGCGGCGAGCTCGTCTTTAGTGAGCGATACGTTGGATTACGTGGGCCGTATGAGAGTGAGCTCGGGCTGGGTAGACAATGTGGAGGTGAGACGCTGGCGATGCAGGTGACGTGGGTGCGAGGCACACGAGGTGGGTGAGGGCGAGGGCGAGGCGGGCGAGAGGGAGAGAGACGCAGGCTAGGGGAAGACGGCGACGCGGGGGTAATGCGGTGGCGAAGCAAGTGGGAGCGAGATGAGAGAGGGCGACGTGGGCGGCAGGAGGCGAGACGGACGGCGTGGGGGTGATCGTGGACGCCGATGGGGAGCCAGAAGTGGTTGGAGAGGTTGCTGCCGTCGCAGAAATGGCGATAGCGGATGTCGAGCCTGCGCGGATTTTCCTCTCCAGCAGCCCCTTTGTCGCCATGTAGGACTACGCGTGCGATTCTGCCTCCCACCTACCACGCGGTCGTTGTGGGATCAGCCGCGGTCCAGTGAACATCAAAGTTGACGGAGACGTACCTCAATCCAGGCGCGGTCAGCCTCCGCTGCGCCTGCATGCCCCCTGACCAGCGCGCCCGCCATCCCCGCCACAGGCGTCGCGTCCTTCTGTCTCAATGCTGCGTCCGCTTTCATGCGCCTCGTGTTCAACTGCGTGGAGAGCTCGGCGCGAAAAGCGGACGCCAGACGCATCCGAGCGATGTGGCAAGAACGCAGCAACCTTGTCCAACGCGGTTTTCAATGGCCCCAGTGGCGCGTCCTCGACCAGCGCGTGCGCCGTGTGGCTCGGCCTGCGCCACCGCGATGCCAGACAATGCGACTCCTCGCAATTGCGCAACGCCCCCGGGAATCCCACAGTCGCCAAGCGCAACGCAGATGGCAGGGGCCTTACCGCCTCCTCAGACGGCAAGATCCGCCTTCGCTTCAATCCCCATAAAGGCCACCCACTCGCCTGTCAGCGTTCTCGCATCTGCAATGGGCGTGGCTCCGCCGCCCATGCCGCTCAAACTTGTCATCTCTCATATCCGGCTTCAAAATAGCAGTCCACTCAATGCCGACGTCTGGGAGCATGAAATCCGTGAGCTCGGACTCGCTTACAAATACCCCACTCCCATGCTCTCCCTTTGCCAAGGATTACCATCGGCGTCTGTCATGGGACGGGCCGGCGCCACGGGCCAGCGCTACGCCAGACGGACCTCGCGATTTCTTCAAGGCTCGCGCAGGGTTTCTTTTTGACTCGTTTTCTTTGTTCTCGCTCTCGCGTGCTTCAGCACCGATCGCGATCCACTTTTTATATACACCCGTTCTATTCAGACACAACTTTTTTGAACACCACACTCATCATCTCGTCCGTCTCGGCCCCATTCCGTATCGTTCTCGTGCCCGTCTCCTGTGTGCTTATCGCCTTCGCCCGCACCATTTCTCGCCCACCGAGCTGGTCGGTACGAGAGGTGGTCATCGAGCTGTGCCATCAAGGCTGCTCGCTCGCAATCTCGCAAGCTGCGGATAGACCGCCGGAAAGGAGGCTTCCCTTGAACTCGTTTCTCCTGGGCGCGCTAAGCCCGTGCGCATAACAGCGCCCCTCACGAGGGAAAGACCAACGCCACCTGCCCCGCGCTCTCCGCCGCCCAGGAAACCTGCGTCGGCGACGATCGCCCCGCTGCTGCGGTCACCCCAGGCGCAGCTACGGCGCTCCCCACGCCTTCCGTTCCTTTCACGAGGCGCGGATTGGCGCCACTTGCCCTTGCCTAGGCTCGATCATCCAGCCGTCATCGTCGTAACCTCCTCTAACTTATGACGATGACGGCTGGATGATCGATCCTACTGGCCGCGCCTCGTGCGCCCTCCAGCAGGCCAGCGTTGCATCACGAATCCGGGGAAAATCCGACAAAGCTGATCGGTGCTGAAGGAAACCGGTCGGCAGCTGGCGATCGAGAATCGTCAGGTCAGCGCCTTCGGATCGTTTTCGTCTCCAGAGATTGTTGCTGTCTGCACAAGGCTATTACGACCGACCCTCGACCGGTCGCGATCTACTCGGTACTGTGCCCAGATCAAGGCTAGATCGCGACTGATCATTTGCGTTCTGTACATTGACCGGAACCGACCGTTTCCTGACCGCGAAACCTTTGGCTGTCGCTGCTTATGACGTATGTGCCCGTTCGTGTCAAATCTTATTTGAGCTGCTATACAGCGGCTCCCCGATAGTTTCCCACCAGTCTTCGCCTTCTTCAGCTCTCCAACGGGCCACCTCTTCACTCCACCTCCACCCCACCTTCGAAACACATTTGCCTCCATCAATGTTCGTATAAGCCGTCCTCTTCTGCTTTTCTCACCATTACTGACGCGATCCGTTTCCCCACCCGCTTCGTCGGAGCCCGACCGTACCGCCCTCTGTCGTGGACATGGGGAGCGTGAAGAGTGCGGCCGCTCAAATGGCGTCAACGGCAACGCGCACCTGGGCACGCGTGGTGAGCCCAGCAGGCTCGTGTGGGGACGGGACGAGGAGAGGTTGTACATCACCGTGACGCGGTGGCCGGAGAGAGCGGGAGGGCCGTGCTCGATGTCGCTGGAGACGGCGACGTAGGTGATTGCGTTGTTGCGCCCATCGAGAAGTGCGGCGGGGTCGATCGTCGTTGCCACGCGTGCCGCCCTCGTGAGGCGTGCCAAGGAAGACGATCAAGGCCGTTGCGGTGTGGGGTGTGCGCCGCGCGTGGTGTACAGTGGGTCGCAGTCGGTGGCATCGGTATGCCAAGGGTATGTGAGGCGATCTACAAGACCCGCATACCAGTTTCCTTGATGACGATAGGTTCCCCTCCCAGGTCACGATTCACGCGCATATAGTCAGTGGGGGCCAGGGCAACACTGTTTATCAGCGTGCGTAGCCCAGTATTCGAACATATTGCTCATTGCCGCTAACATTCCCTGTGTACTGGGGACACGCTCTCGATGAGTTTCCACCCGCTTACTCTTTACTACATTAAATCCGGTACGTGCAGATGTTCCTCTCAGGTTGGCTCAGTGTATATACTTCAGTAACACCTCGTCGCGCCCGGGCCGCCCGGCGCACATTGACAGTGTGCACCGGTACTAGGCACAAGAGTCGAGGACGTGTTCAACAAGGACGTCGACACATCGACGAGCTCATCAACACAGTGTCGAGCAAGGGCGGTAAAGAGCACGAGATGCACTAAGATGTGCGCTCGCGCGCGGCAAGCCTGACGGACTGGGACATCAACATCAAGCAGACGTGCTCTGGGATCACAGACAGCGAGGTAGTGTGCTGTCCTTCCTCCGCTCTCCTTCGCTGACTTGTTTCCTCCTCCATGTACGCCCTTACCCATGCCTCCCCCCTTCGCTGTCACACCTCTCTCTGCTTCGCTCGTCGAGTCGTCCTTCCGACTTCGTCATCCCCGCTCACACGCACACACAGACCCCCCACGATACGCGTAAGCTTGGTGCGCTTGCACGACGTGAGTCCACGGCCGCGTCCGCCCCCTCGTCGTCCGCCTCCTTGTCGTGGTTACCTCAGCGGGTGGCTGCGGCGCCCTCCCCACCGTCTTCCGCGAGTTGTCCACGCGCGCGCGCTCGTTGGCGGCCGGCGGCGCGTGACCGCGAGCGCGCACCTGGTCCCGCTCAACTTCTCAAGCGTATACGTCTCCAAGGTCGGCTGTCCGCGCGCTGCTACTCCTGGTGTGGGGGCGCAGATCGCTGACGAGCCAGGGCCCGGTGGGGGGCAGGCTGAAGAAGATGCAGATCCTTTTTTTTTTTTTTTTGGATCCTCGTTTATCGCCCTTGAGGACGGAGCCCTATGGTAGGCGTAACATACAAAGTATTCGTAGGTATAGGGTCGCATTGCACTGGGGGTGTTCGTCTTCGCATATGCACCCTCGGGAGCGTTCCCGAAGGCACAGTGGACCGAAACGCGCCGGCAGGCATAAGCCGGCGTGCCATTGAGCCCGGTGGGGCTCGGGGGTGCGTATGAGTGGGGATGGAGAGAGAGCGATACCGGATAAAGTATAGTAAGAGTACAGTAGTAGTAAAGTTATGACAAAGAAAGAAAAAGACCGAGTGCTGGCGGCCGTGCAGAGTGCGTTGGTGAGGATGGATGATGGAGGGGGCGGCAGTGAGTCGTGTTTGTCCGCGTGGGCAGTGTAGGCGTCTTCGCGCGGGTGTCTTCTCGCGCAGGGGTGGCTGGGTGAGGAGCGGGTGATCAGCGGGAATCGAGCAAGCAGGGGTCATCTTTTCACCTGGTAGGTAGCTCCTCACGCCGGAGGGTCCGGGTCCTCCTCCGGCTCTGGATAACGCAGGCTCCCGAAGCGGAAGAACAGGCGGCGTGTCTCGTCCAGGAAGCCAAAGAGGGAGATGCAGATCCTCGCCTTCGCTTCATGCCATGCTATGCCGTTATCTATTCAGTGTCTCATCATGTCATATACGAGCCTGTCGCAAGTTTTATTATTCAATAATACATCATGTGTTTACAAAGCTTAATCCGGGACATTTCGAACTGGCCGTATTGGTCTGTTCTTATCCGTGCATGATCATGCAGCGCTCGGTAAATGATCTGAATTCCGTTGGGATATGAGGCCATTTGCTGCTGGCGCTCCGACTGGCGCCGATCAACTCTGCGCCTGTCAACGGCCAGGCCAGATCAGACCGCCAGCGGGTATTGGCCATTGATGATCTCAAAAGACGATTCTTGGTCAGGTTTTAGCAGCAGCAGACATATACAGACACCTACGATCGATGCCGACAGACCTTGGCTGGCTGCGATCTTCCTCCGATCCTAGTTCCCCCGGCTTCGTGATGTGCCCAGTCGGGGTCCCGAAGGCGAACTCAGCCGCGAGGGATTTGATGCGCGTTGTGAACGCTTTCAGCGTGAGCGGCCGTCGAGAGTTGCGAACGGTGTGCGTGAAGAGAGCCTCGCTGCGCCCGAGCCCATTGAAGGCGATGTAGTAGCACCTGTCGCGGCCACTCGTTCCTCGCCTCCGCGACAGGGCGACATGCAGACGCCTGCAGACACATAAGGCATTACCGATCGGCGCGTTCGAACGACGCCATGTAAATATGCAAGCGGACTACCATTCGCAGACTACCATCCGCACGAGACGCCGTGCTGGTGGCTGCCTGACTGCCTGGCGGCTGCATGGGCTGCCTGAATGTTTTCGTTCAGACAATCTGGGCAACCGGGGACCAGCACAATTATTGATCGGCGGCCAGCAGCATCGCCCAAACACGGCCACAGCGCGTGATGGCGTGACGTGCGAACATCGTTATCAAAGCAGATCAGCCTAGCGCGAAATCACACGCACACTACGCCGTTGCACATCAACATGAACAACAACGAGGGGCAGCTAGGCGAGGCCGTATACAGCACGATGCTCACGGCTCTTGGGCGGCGTCTCCAGCACGGGCTCCACAGCGACCCAACCAAATTGGTTGAAATCTGCCCCCCAGAGGGCCTCGAAACAGCGATGTTTGAAGACTGTGTGCATGCAGCGGACGTCATGCGCGAGGCCCTTCGCAACAAGTGTGCGTACCTCTATTGATGCGTGGGGCGATGGTGGCTAACCGGATTTCAGTTTCGATGAGCTGGAGGCTCCGGGATCACATCAACGCGGTGCCCAAGGTCAATGGAATAGCGAACGAGCTAGAGCAGGCTCGCCTGGAACGTGATTTCCCCGCCCACGTCATGGCGGACTGTGGGATTCCGCATGCAATCCACAGCGCTGCGGTTATTGTGGACGCCGATCAGATGCCTTTGGCCTGGGCGCTCCCAAATCTGCTCCGAAAATCTCGCCATGTGCGTCTTTGTTTTGCTTGAACAATTGAAGTTTCGTCTCACTGAGCATGTAGGACGAACTGCTGGAAGCGACCCAGAAGCTCAAGAAGCACCTAGACAAGCCCACCGCCAGCACGTCGTCGTGGCGTCTCTACCAGCAACTGTTCAACGACCACGCGGATGGAGGGTGCGGCCTTTTTGGCATAGTTCCTCAAATGCGACCCAGATTCGTAGGTGCATACCAATCGAACTCGTGCAATGCTCACGTTCATGAGCAGAGCAGCGTAGTCAGAGCATCTCGGGCCTTCGAAACAGATGAGGTGCAGTGCTGGCTCAAATCCATAGACCAAATCGGGGCCATCTTGGACGCCGTCTTGCGCATCCTCGCTCCTAACCAGCATGAACAAGTGGGCGAGCTGTTCCGCGACAATGTAGATGCCGCCTTCCCCTGGCCTGTCACCAGCATCGGCCTCCAGATAGTCTTTAACAGGAAAACACCGTACCACCGCGACGTCAACACCTTCAAGCATTGGTGCGATCTTCTCGTAACCCTTGGAACCTACGGCCACAGCGCGTACATGGGGCTTCGAGGCCTCGGCTACTCAGTCCCTTACACACCTGGGACGGCCGTCGTAATCTTGGCCAATGTGATCGAGCATGGTGTGCCTGAGGTCGATGAGACAAGGATCGTCGTGTCATGGTACAACCGTCGCGATATGGTCAAGATTTGGGGCGGTGAGGACATTTCGGTAGCGCCATCAGAGACCGTGCAGGCCATCGTGGTGAGGGTTCTCCACGCCAGCGGTGTCTACGTGTCATAGAACACAGCAGCATGTATGATCATTGGCACGCAATGGGAAGCAGGGGCATATGCATGGAGGCCGTCGGTGGGGGGCGATTGCGGTGAGGCAACCTGCAGCAAGAGGGGTTTTTAACCGTGCACCCACACATCAAATCAATTGCAAACCAATAGAAAGTGCAAAGGAGAGGCGCCTGACGCACGGCCAGGGGAGGAAGGCGTGAAAAGGGGCGCCGCAGCCATCGGGCGCTTCGTAGCAACGGGCGACGCGATCGCCGAGCGAGCCAACTTGCCCCCGGACTCCACCGGCGTGCCGCTTGGGGCGGCCTGGCACGCGAATGAGCCGCGGGTGCGCCTGCTGCAGGAGCCGGTAAGGTGCCGCGGCCTCGTCGGCGGCGGCGGCGGCGGCGGCGGCGGCTGCGCCAGCAAAGCCGCACGCCATCGGCGACGGCAACACCAGGCGCGTGCCCACTAAGCGGCAATGGCAAAGGCGCCCTCCCTTGTCGCAGCCGGTGGCCGCAGGATGGAATCGGCGCGATAGCTCGGAGATGTGACCTGCTTGTGAATCCAGGCCAGATTCTGACGGCATGCGCCCGGCCCCTTGCGCATGCCTCCAGAGACGTGGTCTGTGCAGAGGCCGTCCCAAGTCGCCCACTCAACTGCACACCGGCGCGCAAGGGCACCCGTGGGGAGAGCCGCGATACCATGTTGGTGCAGGAATGACCCAACAACACAATGCACAGCGTGCCGCTGGGCTAACCCTGTTAATAAAATCGTGCAGTTGTGGCTCAGCGCTGAGATGCGCCGGCTCGAAGCGGCTGTCCGAGGGGAGGGTGGACCCATCCACCATAGGCGGGCACCACGAGTGCGCCTGGCCCCGAGGAGATGAATGCGCTGGCGTGCAGCTGCACGCCGACGGTTGGCCTCATCGAGCATGGCGACAAGGACCCGGACCCACAAGTGGTCGTCCACCCGGTGTAAGACCTGGCCAAGCCCGCCCGCCCGCGCGGAAAATGCCGAAGACCGCCTCCTCGACGTGTCTTTATGACCCCCCAGAGCTGTGCCCCTGGCCAAATATTGCGCACGTAGAACGAGTCGGGGCTCATGTGGACGATGGCTCCTGCAAATTGCGAGGGGTGCAAGGGAACCGAGTGATACGCATCGCGGATGATGAGGACGGCGGCTTGGGAGACAGGGAGCGCCGCACGCATGAGCGATTCTCGGGCGGAAAAAGCGCCACGTGCCAGGATGCAAGCCAGCATCCACAGCAGAATTGATGGAGCTTGCCTCATTGTGCGGTCCGTGAGGGCACGAGAGGTCTTGTATGGGCCGAAAGGAGTTGGGTTTGGGCGGTTTTGGGAGGATAGACAGCGGAGACGCCTGCAAAAGGCCGAGGTAAGCTCCAACTTCAGTGGTCGAAAAGGGTCTGAAATAACACCCGAGGGTTCGCTCCCTGCGCATGATTTCCGAGGTGTTCCGTGTGGTCGAGCGTCTCATATGGGTGGCTGTTGGAAGTGAAAGAAACGGAGATGCTCTGAGGGACGCTGTTATGCGCACGGGCTTAGCGCGCCCAGGAGAAACGAGTTCAAGGGAAGCCTCCTTTCCGGCGGTCTATCCGCAGCTTGCGAGATTGCGAGCGAGCAGCCTTGATGGCACAGCTCGATGACCACCTCTCGTACCGACCAGCTCGGTGGGCGAGAAATGGTGCGGGCGAAGGCGATAAGCACACAGGAGACGGGCACGAGAACGATACGGAATGGGGCCGAGACGGACGAGATGATGAGTGTGGTGTTCAAAAAAGTTGTGTCTGAATAGAACGGGTGTATATAAAAAGTGGATCGCGATCGGTGCTGAAGCACGCGAGAGCGAGAACAAAGAAAACGAGTCAAAAAGAAACCCTGCGCGAGCCTTGAAGAAATCGCGAGGTCCGTCTGGCGTAGCGCTGGCCCGTGGCGCCGGCCCGTCCCATGACAGACGCCGATGGTAATCCTTGGCAAAGGGAGAGCATGGGAGTGGGGTATTTGTAAGCGAGTCCGAGCTCACGGATTTCATGCTCCCAGACGTCGGCATTGAGTGGACTGCTATTTTGAAGCCGGATATGAGAGATGACAAGTTTGAGCGGCATGGGCGGCGGAGCCACGCCCATTGCAGATGCGAGAACGCTGACAGGCGAGTGGGTGGCCTTTATGGGGATTGAAGCGAAGGCGGATCTTGCCGTCTGAGGAGGCGGTAAGGCCCCTGCCATCTGCGTTGCGCTTGGCGACTGTGGGATTCCCGGGGGCGTTGCGCAATTGCGAGGAGTCGCATTGTCTGGCATCGCGGTGGCGCAGGCCGAGCCACACGGCGCACGCGCTGGTCGAGGACGCGCCACTGGGGCCATTGAAAACCGCGTTGGACAAGGTTGCTGCGTTCTTGCCACATCACTCGGATTGTTCTCGCCAGTCATTTAGTCCCGCACCCTCCATGTGTTATGGCTCCGGACTCCTGACATTAAATGCATATATACTAAAATACCGCACAACACTCCTAAGCGATAAACGAGGTTTTAGTCTTATTCCTCCACATCTCGTCCGCTTCCGACGCCGCCGGCCATCGCCCTCCGCAACAGGCGCTCAGCGCACCCATCGCCGATCACGCCTCACGCAAGCATCGCCGACGGCGCCTCGCCCATTCCGGCCTGAGGCCGTGCAATCTAAGACACGTGTGTGGCGAAGATTGAGCGCCGCGCGTACCGCTCGCCGGCCATGGGGGCGCCAGCACCCATCGCCGACCACCGAAGCGCCCTTCGCCGCGTGCCCTTCGCCAACCGCGTGCTCCACAGGCGTCTGTGCTCGCGCCCATGCTGCCTCATGCCGCTCAACGGCTTCGCCAGTTAGCCCTCCCGCCAAAGATGCTTTCTGTTAGTGATATCCTCATGAAGTCGTCCCCCTCGGGGGAGCCCGTGTGACAGTGCACGCTCTGCACGTCAAAGTTGATACCGATGCCCAAGTGAGCTAGACGCATTTGATGGCAGCAGCAAGTCGACGCACCATCGAGCGATGCGAGTGAAGTCGCCCACGTTGGCCGCCGTATCCCATATAGACACTTGTCCAGGGTCGAAACACTGGAGCAGCTCTTGCAATGCGGGAGGATGGAGTTTGTCGACTGCGAGGGCGAGCCGGGCGAGCTCAGAAGGATGCAACTTCGGGTTGAGGAGCCGCAGCCAGTCCGCAAGCTCATGCGCAGCGATCTTCCGTCCATCCTCGGAATCGGATGGAAAGCCACGCGCTCAGCATGAGAACAGAGGAAATGCAAAAAAGCAAGGGACCACCACTCACGTTGCGGCAACTCTGCGACCTTCACCAAGAACTCCCCTCCACGAGCACAGACATCCGGTTCGCATACGCCCTTATCAGCTTCCTGGCAAACGAGAACGGCACCGGCGCGTCTGCCGGGGCGAGCCGCTGCACCCCGAACTTCGCGCCGAGCTGCTCGACGACCGTCGCGAGCAGCGGGCTCGGCACCGCATCCAGGCAGGGCCCGATGGAGCCCGCGCCCGCGGCCTGCCGGAGGTCCTCGACGTACTTGTACGGCGTCTTGATGCAGCGTCCAGGAACGTGATCACGCCGTCCCCTTCAACGTCCGTGGGGGGAACACCGTCACGGGATTGTGGGCCGGGGGCACGCCGAGTGCGGGGGAGATACTCGAGCCACAGTGCGATCTCGTCGGGGTCGTGTCGGAAGAGAACACCAGGAGCAAATATGTAGCGGATGAGGGCGACGATGGCCGCGCGGACGGCTGGAGTGGGGGTGATGATGTAGGCTTTGAGGAGGATGTGGAAGTTGCTGTGTTTTTGAGCTTGCGAACGTATGAGCGGATGATGGTCACCGTGGGGAGGATGTTATCGATGATCGCGGCGCTTGCGGAGTCGGCTGGCACAGCGACGCGCCACTGCTCCCGCTTTCCGCGAGGAACAACGAGGCGGTGGGCACGGGGAGGGAGGCAACGACGCCGAAGAGCGGGATGTTGGCGAGCCATTTGGACGGCAGGCGCGGTTCGAGCGCGAGCCCCGCGCTCGGCCAGTAGCCTGCGACTAGCTCTGGGCACGCCGCGAGGGTCTTGAGAGCGAGCTCCTGTTGCCGTGGGTCTTCGTTCACTCTGAGGGTTTACAGGACGTTCGCAAGGATTTTGTTGTAAATTTTGCTGCCCTTCGATGCGCCATCTTGCGAAGCCTCGGCAGTGCTAACTTCAAGCCGGGTCTCCCGTGAGTGCCATCTGCGATCTTGGAAGCAGAGTCCGACAGCTAGTATCGAGGACGAGAGGGCAGCGCGCCGAGTCAAATTCGCGAGCGCGACCATGGCGTTGACGCACCAGGAGCATTTGATATCGACAACGTTCGTCCCATCTTGCCGGGAAGTCGTCCAGGACCTGGGGGTACTCGCCCGGAGGGCAAGGACGGGCTGGGCGCGCGGAGAAGGGCGACCAGAGAAGCCAACTGGGGGATGCCGCGGAGGCGCATGACGAGAGCGACGGGGAGGTAGAAGGTGTAGCAGGCGGTCTTGAAGATGTCTTCTGCCGCGTTGGAGGAGGAGGTCGATGGGCCGGCTGATCTCGGGCTGGAATGTTGTCTGTCTGCTCGACGCGCATTAGTCTTCCCCCGCGCGTGCAATGAAGAGACAGGGACGCACGTCGTGGAAGAGCTCGAGGACGTCGTACTGGCTGGCATGGAGGTGCTTTGCGGGCAGGAAGTATATGACGCCCACGAAGATGAAGGAGACGATGTAAGACACAGCCTCGACGCGGCACCAGCACGGCTGGTCGCGGGGGGTGACAGACTGATCCAATCCGAGGGAAAAGGTTTGGAGCTGCGCATGAGCGAGGATCGGGGTGATCGCAGAAGACGAAGAAAGTTCAACGCACAAGCCGACTCGAAGGACAGCCTCGAAGTAGTACTTGTCGTCGGTGAGCGCGCATCGGGTTCAAGAACCTCCGTAGATCGACGAGGGAGACATCCCGGTTGAGCCTGCATTGTAGTACAGGTTCGGGGGCGGAGGATAACAGGGAGCAGGCGGGCGCGTTTGGGCGCGTTTGGTGGCCCACTGGGGAGCTCGTCGCGGGGGGGCTGCGGAAGAGGCGATGAGAGCGGCTGCCGGCAGTCGTAAAACGAGAGGCGGCGTGGTCGTGCAGTGGCGTGTGCAGCGGCGTCCCTCGCTCCACGCGGTGTCTTCATCTGTCCTCGACATCCAACAGCCCATCGCCCTATGCCCAGTGGGGAACTTCACGCCGATAGAGCCGTCGGGAAGTGCAGATGGTCCCGATCGGTTTCGTTGCGGAAAGTGCGGACCTGGCGGGGCTTTTGGAGTCGGACGGTAGTTTGTGGCGCTGCCAGTACTCCATCTCGTGCTCGACGCGAGGATCCCATGCAAGATCGCGGCTCCGAAACAAAGCATCAAGTGCGGTAGAATGCAACGGAAACCTTGAGGAGAGAGCCGGGTATTGATGACGCGGCTCGCGGCCTACGGCCTGCTCCCACCTGCGAAAGTCTGGGCCCGCGGCTAGGTTGGACGAATGCAGATGACAGACTGGCGTCGGGATGCGCTGGGGAGAAGGTTGCGGAGATAACGGTATGAGTGGACGTGCGGCGGGACGGGGAAGGCGACCGACCTGTAGCAAGATACGAAGTTAACGGAGAGGGCGCGGGGCCCTACGTTTGACGCCTGGCGAGCCGGTTCGATCGTCCGTGTGACGAGCCAGCCAATGTGGCAAAGCGAAAGACGACTAGGGGGAGGGGTGAGTGTCGGGAAGCTTTCCGGAGTTAAAGAGTCGCATTGGAAATTGGGTGGCATTCTTGGGGAAATCAACGAACATTGAGAGGAGAGAGACGTGCCGATGCGAGACACCAACAGGTCAGCAGGTAGACCGCGCAGCGCGAAGGAACTTTGGCCTGCGGGCGCGGAGAGCGTTAGACGAGCGAGTGGCGGGTAGAGGATGTTAACTCACGTACTCTGCTGCCCATGATATAACGCAGCTCCAGCAAGCGTTGGCTCGGAGAGATGCGCACGGCACATACACGCACGTGCTCCTGAGGTTGCCCTGCGAACGATCGGCATGCGCGACCGAGAGGGCGGTGGAGCAGAAGGTGGAATAGCGTTCGCTGGACGCGACTTTGATCGTGCCGACGATGTGTGGGAACGCCTTGTTCTCTAAGGTCGAGGACACTCCTGCGGTGCCTCTCAGCGGAGCATCTTGTGATTGGCGCCTCGTACTGTTCTTCCAGGTCGATGACTCTTCACGCGTAGGTCGGGGATGACAGCGATAGTGTCTGATACGGATTGTTGCAGGGGACCGTGGAGGACAGGTCGAGCGTCCTCAGCGCATGACACGCACCATGCTCTGGACACGAAGCAACGCCCTCCGCGACGTTCGCCGAGATCTTCACCTGCACGCGCGATGAGCGTGGGTTCGAAGACCCGAGGCTAAAACAACGCACCGTATGCCCGGCGATCTAGCTTCTCCCCTGTTGCGGTGCGGCTCGAGCTCTTCTTCCCGCTCGCTCGGAGGTGGAGCGAGATGCCGCCAGTGAAATCTCAGACACTGGGTGCCCACTCCAGGATCTCCCATTGAAGCTGCATATGTCTGGTGCACGCAGGGGTCGTGCAGGTCTTCCTGGCCAGAAGATCACGAACACGACGTGTCTACACGTCAAAGTCCGTACGCTCTGGCAGCCCTGACCCCTACGGGAAGAATGAGCGATAAGGATCGCTGTGGCTGAGAGACGTTGGCGAGACTTGCGTTACTGGACATGGTGGGGATGAAGGGAGGACGAACTCACTGGTGGAAGCAATGACTGAACCCGTGGACCACTTGGCGTACTCTTCGCGGACGAGAGGCGACAATGAACGCGTCAGAGTCGCACCTTGCGTTTCACAAAGTCATGCGGGATAAAGGCACTGAGGTCGAGATGATATAGACGGCGAGGTTGTCGAAGCAAGAGGCGAGCGCGGCTGGTCATCTGTGAGACCACGACAACACGAGGGAAGCCTCGTGTGGGTGGTACACTCGAAGACACTAACCCGTCGCAATGTTTGGAAGCAGCCAAAGACCTGTCATAGAGCACGGAGTGGCGAGAAGGGTGTTTGCAAGTACGCGATGGGTATTCGCGAGTGGGATGCTGGTGATGCCGGACCTAACCCTGGGACGAGGTTCCCCATGAGGCTGGGTTTATTGCGCGCCAAGCGCTTTGCCCGGTTCGGCATGGGCGCTTCTCTACTACCACTACGTATCTCAACGGGATGTGCAAGAATTCGAGCTGTGCAGCCTCCTCTTGCGTCCCGAGCACTCTTCCATAGAGGGCTGCTGTGCATCGTTCGGTTCCTAACGGAACTTAGTGCGCGTGTGGACCGTGTTCGCGTCTACGACCCATTGTCCGCCGTCGTTAGAACACGACCCAAGTTAGGCTCAGAATCTGAGTTTACACTCACAGTGGACTGGGGCCGGCGTGGATACCGAGAACATCGCGCGCGCTCCTACTTGACAGTGCGGACCGTCTCTGAAAATGTACGGCGTCAGCTGCCTTCGCGTCCGACACTAGCCCTACCACACACGCACCTTCACACAGCCCATGGTGTAGTTTTGCGCGTTCCGAAAGTGTTCCGCGACCGTGCTTTCCTGGCCACCATGTGCGAACAGGGGGGCCCCACGTGGCCATCCCCATTCCCTTCGCGTTTATCCTTCTCTCTGCTTGTCTTCCTTTCCTTTGCTCCGCATTCGCGAACTCTGCCCGCTTTCTCCTCCGGGACACTCTCGGGTGTCATTTTCCACAGTGCCACTTGTGCCCTCATCAGACTCTCGAATCTCCCCGTTTCATACATAGCTAGTACACGGACTCTTGTCGATATCAGCGGGTCACTCTGACCAACCGTCGCTACCCAGTTCAAGCGTAGCACAGCACAGTCTGGTCTCACCTGGCAACAGTTTCCCGGTCGACATAAACTTGGCTCAATAAAATCATTTACGTATACCACTGGGGCCCGCACTGCGGCAGTACAAACCTCTTTCCCCTTTGTTTGCCTTCGTCCCGCTTCACCAACCCCCAACACAAAGCAAGCGCAGCGATGAACTTCCGCTCGAGTCTATGAGGAGTAGGAATGCGACTTCTCAGCATTCAGGTGAGCACCTTCCCAAGCTCAACGCGTCCACCTACCCGGACTCAACTGATGCATCCCTCCGCGCCCTACGCATCCACCTTCCCCCGCTCGCCGTGTCCCTTAACTGGCTTCGGCCCCTCCGTCCGCATCCGCTGGGATAACCCTGGCGGGGTCAAGGCCATCGCCCACGCATGGTAGCTCGCGGCGCGACATAGGCATGTTACTTTTTTTTTGTCGTCCTCGTTTAACGCCCTCGAGGGCAGAGCCCTATGGTAGGCGTGTAGTACATGCTGTAGTTCTACTGTTCAATGAAACGGGGTTCTCGAAACGTGGGGGAAAGCGTCGACGGCGCAGGTGGGCATGTTACATGCGACTGCGATGCCCTGCTTCTTGTATGCACCATCCCACTCCTCCGCCCACTCGGCGCTCACCGCGCCTCGCTCGGACCATCAACTGCAACATCGCGCTCACCCGGGTCCCCGCACTGCGAGGCGCTTTCGGTTGGTTTTCAAACTGGAAGTACTACGTCCGCTTTCCGCCCTCCCCTGGCGCCTTGCGACGCTGACGCCAAGCGTTGACCCCTCACACAGAGGCTTCGGCTGCTTCGCCCCGGTCCTCTTAGTGCCCGAGACCACGGTGTTTACGCTTGAGGAGCTTGACCACCGTCCGACGCCGCCGCGCAGCAGCGCACCCACGCTGCGTACCAACTTCACGAGCTTGGCCACAACCTCCGCCAGCACGTCCTTCGACAGAAGGTCAGAGACGTGCCGCCGCTTTATGAGCACGAGGGCGCGCTCAGTGAGAAGACGTACTATGCGCATATCTCATCGATGACGAGTGAGTCGGTCTCAATCCCGCTGACACGACAACCGTTTCCTAGCTCGCACGCGCGCGCAGAGGACGCCCGCCCGCCACGTCGTCAAATTTCCTTGCGCTGGCACGAGTCTGTTCAGATACTACTGCGCTGCCATCCGCATTCATGTAGATCTTTCTAATGTGTACCTCACTCGATGCTATAATGTAGTAATGCAGTAGTTTGTCCCCCACACCCGCTATGAGTGCGTGCATGACGTGAATGGATGTACTGCACCAGGCATACCATACGGTCCATAATGGACGTCAACACCTGTGTCTGATCGCACTCGACAGGTCTGTGTCGGGTCAAACATGCACTGTAGTATGGCGGCTGCGCAGATGATATTATGTCGTACATAGGCTAAATAATGATCATTCACCCGCTGGGGTTCGATCTGGCGTTCGTTGGCGTCTGATAGTGTCTGGTCCGACAGCGTCTTGTCCGACAGATGCAGGTCGCTGCCGATAATCTACCAAACATGGATACTATCAGATCATTATTCGTCTGAACTACAAATAATGACAGCGCACTCTGACGTACTGCAGTGCACTACAGAGCTCTGCTGTGCGTACACTCACTTTGCTGATGTCTCACGCGTCGGATTGGGTCAGAGCCAACCGTTCTGACGCTTTCCAACTCAGCAGACCTGCCAAGTTCCAACCGATAAATAGGAAATGGTTGGAACAAGTTGGTAACGACTACAGACTTTCCAACAAGAGGCCCGCATTCCAACCAGAGCTTCACTATTCCAACCTAGATGTGAGGCGGGAAAATGATGCATTATCGCAACTACTGAATTGCTTCAGGGCCGTAGCTTGCAGCCCAGACGACGAGCACAAGCACAATGAGTTGGCCAGGAAACAAGAGGCAGTCCGACGTGCCGTTGAACCGCTCCGTAGGTTCCAGGATGGGTCCTAGTGGGGTTTAGTAGCGCCGCAGGGGCTGTGAGCGATCGATGGTGCCGTGGCAGAGAAGGTGGCTGGCTCACAGGCTTCGACTAAGGGATCACACTCTGGGGCGGGACGGTGTGCAGGTCCGCATCTTCCTTGGACACCTTGCCGTACACAGCCCTGCGTGGAGGGCGGGGATGAGCACAGGCGTGACGGGGCCGCGCATGCCGAAGGAGAGGACCCACTCCACTTTCTGGAGGCGGCGCCCCCGTCTGAGCTCGACGACTTTTTCCTCGGCAAACTCGTCGCTAATCAGAGCGGAGCTTCGTGAGCGGAAGGAGAGATGGTGGATCGTGATACGTACACGTAGTTAAGACCGTGCTCGTTACAGTTGGAGCACGGCAGGCGCTGTCCCGAGGCGAGCGTCGGGAGATCCTTGAGGCCTTGAGTTTGCACTTGACCCTGCATGGACAGCCCGGGGAAGGAGAGCCGACGAGTTAGTAATGCGTGGGCAGGCGGACCATGGAGCGACGGACACCTCGTATGTGGTCCGTTCGGGCGTCACCCTCCGCGTCCGATGAGGAAGGGTCCGAGGAGCTACAGCTGTTTCCGAAATGATTGCCCGACCAACTCCGATGATACGCGAGCGCGCATCACACGCGAGCTGCACGAACGCACACGAGAAAATCGAAAAAATCGAAAAATCGTCCTCGTCGCCTGCAGCCTCCGTACAACGCCTTTGTGCCCTCCAATACACTCCATTTGTCTCTGCTTCACTCCCTATCATGCCTGGGTGCTCTATCTCCCAAGATATCGAGGCTGGTGCGATCTACTCGGTTGATTCAAAGCCGGTCGCGGGTCGTCCTTGCTGAAGCTCTCGGAGTGTCCACACGCTCCATGCGACGACGAAAGGACGACTACAAGGCATTATAGTAACTTCAAAACCGCCGGATTCGTCGCTCCCTGGCCCCTGGTCCTCGAGGATCTACGATATCTCCTCCCCCACCCTTTGTTGTACCTTCACGAACGTCGAAGGCGTCAAATGGTCTCGCCGCTGCCCGCCGTATCCTCGTCCGACTCGGGGTTTCGCACAAGAAGCTGTGAAAGGAGCCAGCTGAACGCGACGGGATCGTTCGGCATCAGTGGCACGCTCAGATTACCTCCCAGTCTTCGGCCCCACAGCTCGTGTTCGCGGACGGCTCGAGCAAGGACAACCCGTTCAAAGGCGGTACGAACGCGTTTTGAACGGGCAGCATGCTGTGGAGAGGATCTTGGCTGAGCGGCCTGCAGGTGACGCTTCTCCATCCTCCCCGCCCTCACATTGAATGGCATTTCGATCACCGCGCAGGTGCCAGATGGTGCAGGCCTCATGCCTCAGGGTTTGGTGGATGGTGGCAGGTGCTGAGTTCTACGATTGGGCTGTCGCGGAGCCATGGTACGTCGTCTCAAGTCGTCTCAGTCCTCGTCCCGTCTCAGCCGCTGCTTTGATAGCTGCCCAAGATGAAACCGTTCCCAGCCCAAACGGTCTTCCCCCTGTCGACATTCACTGCACACACAAGAACTATGGAGTTTGATATGTTCCTTTGTTGGGGGGCTTGAAATTATGGGCCTGCCGCAGGTCTGCTAGTGCCATAGCGCCGGCCAGCACGATGACAGTATCTCTGTCGTCCATGGATTGCAAAGGCATGTACATGCAGCGCTCGAGCAGGGAACAAGTAGAAATAGTGGTGTATGTGTGCTGGCAGCCTCGCTCTCGCAGTCTCCCAATTTCCATCATTTTTCGATTTTTTTGCGGAGCTCGCGTCAGCTCGCGCACGCGCGGTGGGACTTTTCGATTTTCTCCGAATTTTTCGGAGTGTTCGTGCGTGTTGCCGCTCGCGTATCATCGGAGTTGGTCGGGCAATCATTTCGGCAACAGCTGTAGGCTTGGCGCCGCAGTCGAACTTGTTCCCTCTGAAGGAGCGGTGTCGTGGAGCACGGCGCGGCAGGATCATCGTCAATCAGGTAGAAGGTGTTGCCGGAAACGACGCACGGCTTCAGAGATGTGCTTTTGTGCCTGACCAGCTTCTGGTCGGCGTCGTACTAGAACAAGTCGAGGGGCGAACTGGGGGTGGTAATGATCTCGAGGACGGGGGAGGGACGGAGAGGGTGTTTGTGGTGGTGGCTTCAACTTCGTAAGAGGGCTGCGTGCGCGGAGAGCCTGCGTGCGCGTGTGTGGGACAGGTCTGGGCGGGGTGCAGGAGATGAAGAGATGAGGAGCAAATGGGGATGAGCACGGACAAAGGCGGGCGCCGATCAGTAATTTCTCACGCGTCAGATTGGGTCTGCAGGCGTCTGCAGCAGTCAGAGCCAACCGTTCCGACGCTTTCCAATTCAGCAGACGTCCCAAGTTCCAACTGATAATTTGGAAATGGTTGAAATGGGTTGGCAGCAACTGCAGACTTTCCAATCAGAGCTTCGCAGTCCAACCGTAGCACCCCTGTTCCAATCTAGTGATAGTGAGGAGGGAGATAGTGCATTATTGATCAATGATGACTACTAGAATACTACAAGAAGTATGAACAAGCGGGAATACAGACATCTATCCTTTCGGGGGAGTATTTGGGGAGAGTCACGCCCATGCGCGTCACTGGGTTGCGCTCGCATCGCCGGGTCGCCGGGTCGCGCACGTTGCATAGTTGTGCACGTCGCTGCTGGGTCATGCACGTCGCCGGGTCGCACACGAGGACCGAGAATGTCTAGAAGGGTGAGCTGGGACGCTGTTGAGCACAGTAGGTATCGTCCTCAATATCGTCGAAGCTTCCATCTGCACCGTCATATGCAGACTCGGAGTCTGCATCAGCAATCTCCAAGATCCAGTCGAGGATTGTCTGCGCACGATCTTCAACATCTATGACATCACGCTGGATGCGTTACACCACATCGCGGTGAGGGTGCCCGCGTCCTTGAAGGTGAAGTTTGTAGTGGACCTCGTTGACTGAATCCGGTGATTCTCGAATGCCCGTTGAACCTGAGGGGTGGGTTCAGTTTGAGAGACAAAGCAGAGTAGATGTCACTCACAGCGGCACAGGTAAGTGCAAGCGCCCCAATGGGGAACCGACGTTCACTCTCCGTGCGAGCACTTCCTTTTGTGAGATGGATGTGATGTGCCATGACCGCAAGGATGTAGGGTGAGCGGAAAATCTCACGAGCATTGTCAGGCTATTTGTAATTGAATGAGCAACGATGTCAGAAGTACTAACAGAGATACAACCTGCCTTTGCAGTCGCATCGATAAGCCAGTTCTTGAGTGCGGTGTCAGTCTTATCCTTTCGCGGGAGATTTGGACCGAGACGCCGCTCGTCAACGGCATCTTTGACCGATGCAGTTGCGACTCGTTGAATATCCTTGCGGTAGTCGTAAATCTGCTGACGGATCTGTGTATATAACCGGTGAATCAGATGGGGCCTTGTAAACTAAGCGGTGCGGACTTACCCAAAGGTAGACAGGGTGCTTCGCAGTAATGGTCGAGAGACCGTGGCCAGGGATGAACTCGTCGAGATATTTCTGTACAAGACTCGCGAGCGACCACTTGCCTGGTTCGCCAGTTGTGCTCCACAGGCGCACCAGTTCCCCAATGAACTCAATGACGGCTGGGACGATCGAGGGCTTGAGGTGCAGTTGCACACCAGCTGGCATGTCGCAGAGCTGAAGCTTCCCTTTCGTCTGCGTGTTCTGATCATCGTCATCGTCGAGAGGTTCACCGTCCATGGGCGCGGGCCCGGAAAGGGCGTGCAACTTGATGGGCGACTTTTTGAATGTCGAGGGAGTCGCCAAGGCGATGTGGGCAGGCGTCGTGGGAGCCCTCGCTGGAGTCCCCTTGGCATGGAACAGTGATTTCTTGCTTGTGGTGAGACGTCCGACAGGGGGAGTTGGTGTAGCTAGAAGGAGACAGGTCAACAAGAGCTCGTGTTAAATATTCATGGAGTAGTACTCACCTTTGTCGTCATCGGCAGGCTTGGAGCGGTCACTCAACTCGTCTTCGTCAGCATGAGCTTTGCCTTCGTGTATGCCCCAGGCGCTGATGCCCTAGAGGTATGCTCACAGTTAGGACGTCGACGGCTTCAATCATTATAATACACGCACCTCATAATCGTATCTTATTATGCGCGACCGACCCTCATGGCCAACGGATTCCTTGGCCACTTCTTCGTCTGTGATGCCTTGAGGAAGATCAAACACATCGTAGTTATCTTCTCGCGAGGCTACATGTAACGATGAGGACAGATTGAACATGACAGCGGTGCGATGAGCTCACCATCGGCAAATGTGGTAGCTTGATTGGAAGCTTGTGATGCAGCCTTGCAAGCCACCTGGCGTGTGGCCCGTGCGACATACATCTTACGCCAATCGTCTGTGCACGCATTTTGAGACATAATAGTCTTGCGGCTCTTGTCTTTGCCAGATGCACCAGATAAAAATGAGTATAATGCGGTGTAGTAGTTCGTGGCAACGTACGAGCCGATGTCCTTGTGAGCAGCTGGTGCATGACTAGCCTGAGACGGTGTGCTGCCCTGGTTTGATTGCCGCAGCTCTTGAACTCGGCCTCGTTCAGCGTGCTGAAGTGCACTGCGCTTCTCCGCGCGGGAGAGCTGGAGAAGAACTGTCAGCACTGTACAGCAGTGTCGATCTCGAGCAATATTGCCTTGACCTGAGTTTGTTCTTGACTCCCGGGTGGGGCGCCATCGACATCCATCGCGTCGTTCTCTTGTTCGTTTGAACGCTACACAAGTAAGGATTAACACACAGTATCGAGGAAGAACAGGCCGGCGAAACATCACCTTGTTGCTCGTACGTGAATGGGCTACCGAAGGCTGAGTCTTGTTGCCGGTGCGAGAGTCGTTGCTGTTTTGAGGAGGTGCGTCTGCGCATCGCGATATGAGCAACACGTGGTGGCTTGTCGAGCTCGAACTGAAGACCGTACCAAATGCTTCAATAGCATCGAGCTCGGTGCATGCTTGTTCATCTAGGATGGCAGCGTACTCCCGGAGCTTTGCTTCGCGGCGCGCTTGGCTTTGGCATCCCTCGCTTGTTGCTCCTTGTCACGCTTGGCTGTGGTGTCGGCCTGACGATCCCCAAGAGGGCGAGGAACCAGACCAGCCTCGATGGCTGGGTGCCGATTGGCATTGGTTTTGCGCGTCTGGACTCAGCGGCGTTCCTCCTGTGCCACGTGTCAGCAGTTCCAAGCCTTCAGTATGATAAAACACAATACCTTTGCCTGCGGAGCCTGCTGAGTGTCTCCAGACTTGACGGAGGAGGTGTTGGTTCTGGTAGAAGGGGCAGGAGCGCTGGGGGTCGACGACGTGGGAGCCGGGGGAGACGCCTGCGACATCCGGCTCCTCTTCTTTGGCGGCATCATACGTGGGAGCGTCAGATGGATCAACGTCATCGTGCGGCTGGGAGGAGGCCGGCGGCGAAGGTGAACGACCCCGACGCTTCGACCTGCGAGCTTTAGCTAGGGGCATGACACGCCGGGGCGACCATCTTTCTAGTGCCACATTAAAACCGAGAGAAAGACAAGTAAGGTTTTCTCTCGCCCATAGAAACCCATAGAAATCCTTTTTCTGGCTGCGCATGGATTTTAAACCTTATAAACAGCTCCCAGAAAAGCTCCCAGAAAAATGGTGGCCCCGGCGTGTGACGTGGACAGAGGTGAGGGGGAGAAAGAGAGGCGTCCTTGTTTAGCGCCCACCTCGCCGTCTCCTTACTAGTGCCCCTGGATTAAATCCAAACCCTGGTAACCAGATCTTTTGAACGGCAAAGGCTGCATAGAGTAGACCTAGCAGTTTCGTGACACGCGTGCACGAGTGCACAATATAACTATTCATGTTGATACTGCGCAATGGGCTGTGGTGGCCGCATTACCTCGCGCGTACGTCCCCATATGCGAGTGACGGCGATGGCGTGTGAAGTGGCTTGTCTCTCGGCGAGTTGACGTGATTACCACTGTCAACCTCGCTGCTGCCATTGAGGCGTGAGTAGAGCAAGTAGGGCATCTTCTGTGACCTGATATAGTATGAGAGCTTTATATACAAGTGAGGCGCTTTTTATTGCAAGAGGACGCTCGTCCCGAAGGCGTGGAGCTTCAGCGACACGGCAACCGGACTACGAGGTTGTACTACACACTCGGATGCGGAACGAAAGCTGGAACAAGTGTGCCCACAGCCCATAAGGCTGCATCGCTTGCCACATCGTCCAGGCGTGGAAGAGTGCCGCTTGGGCAGCCTGGAGGGCGCCGTTGGCTGCACACCCTTCCTGCCTGAGCGCGGGTCCGCGACGTAGACTAACGAGCAGCGGGTACACTTGCCACAGCAACGACAGGATGCGGTACGCAGGGAAACAGGGAACAAGCACTCGCCTTGGCCGCCTCGACCGGTCTCCGACTGCAGTCTGCAATCCGACGCGCTGCCCATCCGGTTATTCTTGCGTGTTGCTCGACTTCCAAAGCGGGGGGGACTGTGCAGGGGACACGCAGCGGTGCTCGCGTGAGTCGAAGACGAGGGCATGCTCCGCGACCAAGAATGGAGGGCTCTCCAACCTTGTGTCCAACTCGTATGGGTCCACCATGAGTGCGAGCCCGTCCACGACCGGGTCCTACAAGGTCCTGCACCATCCGGGCGTGAGCGTGTGCGCAAAAGTGGTCATAAAGACGAGGATCTCACCATGTTACTCACTCGGAGCCCCTATAGACACTCGCGCAAACGCTTGGCACCGCCACCGTAACCGACGGGTTCGCAGATTCGCAGAGGGCACCTGGTTTGAAGTACGCCCTCCACTGCTGCTAGCGGTTCTCTTGCTGTGTGCTCAGCTCATCAACTGGTTGCTCTACATCTTCCCGCCCCTGTGAACCGTTCGGGAGCGCGACGTGCACCCTGCCGGGGGGATGACCTTGCCAGTGAGCGCGACGGGAGCTGAGCCAAGCCGACGCGATAGCCGAAGTGGGTGAACTCGTGGGTGAGGTGCGCGAGCTCGCGGTAGAGGGGGTAGAAGTTCGGGGGAACGGAAGTAGTTGTCGGGGACGAGGAACGGCGGGTGGCGGAAGCCGCAGGTCGCGTGCGGCCAGACACGCTTAGCAAGGTGGGCGCGAAGGCCACATGGGCACGCGCGGAGGTCTGTCTGCATGGGGGGATGAGGATCGTGGAGGAAGTTGTGGGGAAGGAATGGGGGATGTACCGGAGGTGAGGGCTCGTGCTGCTGTTGCTGCCCGCTGACGAGACCTGGACGGGGACGACGACGACAAGACGGTTCTGCGCGCACAAGGCCGTATCGCGCATATCGCGTGGGGGTCCGTGCGTCCGTGCGTGTGAATATGCAAGGGGAAGGGCCGCCGCCGGGCTCGCCACCGTTTAGGAGGACATAGGAGAGGAGGCCGTTGTACGCGATGTTATATGGCAGCGGGATGATGGTCATGGGCTTGAGGAGCGTGGTGACGGCGTCGCAGATGCAGCCGTTGTTGATCCCTCACGTGCTGCGGATATCGACAGCGGGATAGCTTCGGTGCGGGGTCGTCGACCTTGTACATGGGGAGGCCGGCCTGTGTGGGGAGCAGCAATTCAGCACACCGACGAGGCACTCATTGCTAGGGAATCAAACAAACGAAAAAAGGGTCGGAGTGAAATGATACAAAGCATGCAGCTGCGGCGTGTCAAAACTCGGAAGAGTCTCTCAACCAGCAGCTGCACACCATACACAAAGTCACGGTGGATATTGGAAAGGGTGTGCAGGACGAAGATAATGCATCATATGCGACAAACTTACCAGATCTCCGATGATTGCACTACCCTTCGCTCTAATCGGACGCAGGGGCTCCTGAGAGCCTCGCCGACGAGAATCCCATTGATGCCCTCCTTGGCGTACGTCCGCACGTTGTTGAGGCTTTGCATGAGATGCGCGAGTCGGCGATGAGGTGATCAGGACATGAGCAAGTTGAGTTTCCGGAGTGTGAAGGCGGTGGGGTGATGTTGTCGTTGCGGATGATAGTCGCGTCCGCGCCGAGGGATGCAGAGCGACCGGTAGGTGAAGGAGTAAAGGTTTTCGATTGAGGAGTACGTCGAGTGAACGCTCAAGCTCTGCAGGGGGTGCTGGTCGCTACAGCCTCGGTGAACCGATGGATCCCGGAAGAGATGTGTGGGGAGACTCGAGAGCCGTCGACGAAGTTGTGCGCCCTTCGAGTGCGAAAGAGTCGGGCGGATAAAAACGAGTTGAGGGCCTGAGGAGCCGCTTCCTGTCTTTGGTCGATGCTGCGGCAGATGCGGGGGGATCGGCGGGCCCTTCCATAGCACCTGGCGCGACTCGTGGGAGGGCTTCGCCGCCGTTTGAGCCGTAGGAGTAGGAGGATGTAGCGGAGGGCGACTGTATCTGTAGAAAAGAAAAGAGAGCAGCCCATTAGCAAAGCAACATCCAGGTGGAAAAACAAACAGCATACCTTCAAAACGCAAAGCGCAGTGAGCGACGGAGGGGGAATGGTGATGCATTGATGGTTGGCGGATAAGTGGGAGCCCAGAGGAGACGCTGGCGCCTCCGCCGCTGGAGCACACGTACGTACGCGTTGTCGCCTGTCCCACTGCTCGACCGCGACCGCCACGGCCGTTACCCCCTGCACCCCTCCGTGAGTGCTCTCTCGGGCTCTCGTTAGTTTAGGATTGCTTAACAAACCCAGCTCACGCTCAAATCTACAATATGGCACGCTTTTGCAGCCTATGTCACAAATCATATCCCACGCCGCGCAGTTTTGCCTGCCATCGCCGCCGAACCCATCGCCATCCATGCCCCCCACTCGTTGAATCAGCCATACACTACCACCCTTTCCTGAACGGTATAGTGCCAGCATCATCAATTTGGTATATGTGCTGATGCGGCTTCAACCCGTCCCTGCAATGCGTCCGGCACGGAGTTCCACCCAGATGGTGCACCACCACCTCCTCGTCCAGATGCTGTCAACTGGGGGCCTTTCGACGGATGCTCTGCGTTTGAGATGGCCGAATGGGTATTTGATGTGAGCCACGAGTCACAGGATAGTTATTCTCAGCTGCACCAGCTCCTCAGGGCACAACTCGTTCACGACGGTCTGGAAGACTACAATCCTTTCTTAAGTCCAAAACCGCGAATGAGGAAGCCATCGACAACATCCCTTACGGCGAGGCGTCATGGTCAACATTTACTCTTCGATATAACGGCGACACTACCCCCGGGTCACCGTCTTGGAAGCATCAGGAGTACGCCTTCCACCTATGTAACACACGCGAAGTAGCTGAGTATATTGTTGGAAACCCTGAGTTCAAGAACTCTTTTGACTATGTCCCGTTTGAGGAGTATATGGGGGCCAATCGCGACTGTCGCCGGGTGAGCAACCTCATGTCTGGTCAGTGGGCCAGCGACAAAGCCGTAAGTCCATATCCGATCACTTTTGCGCATTCTTCCGTATCTCAGAGCGAGTCGTGCAGGACATCATTGCACAAGACCCTCAAACCCATGGCAGCATGCTCGTTCCCATTGTGATGGGTGCCGACAAGACTACGGTTTCCATTGCCACTGGAAACCAAGCCTTCCACCCTGTCTACATGTCTGTCGGCAATCTTCATAACTCTGTGCGACGGGCTCACGGAAAAGGCCTTGTACCAGTCGCATTCCTTCCCATACCCAAAGGTATGTCCCTATGTCGTCACAGCGAGCTCAACAGATTCTTATTTGGCTGCTTGGTACAAAATAGCGGCGCATGAACCAGAGGACGATGAGGAGTTCCGGGTGTTCAAGAAGAAGCTATATCATGCATGCCTCGCTGCCCTCCTTGAGCCGCTTCGTGATGGCATGATCATACCTCAGGCGTTATGGTGCCCTGACGGCCATTTTCGACTGGTAATCTTCGAGATCGGGCTCTTCATTGCTGACTACCCTGAGCAAGTTTACTTATCAGGGGTGGTATATGGGTGGTGTCCGATGTACGTCGATGTGTGGATTTTTTCTTCGATCTGACCTAGCTGCCTAGATGCATCGCAATACCGGAGGGCAAATTTCACCGCGATAACCCTCGGACCCGTGAGGGTGACGATGCGCTTCGCCAAGCGCGCTCTGCGAATGAGCTGTGGGATCTGTACGGTATCAACGACAATGTTCGGGTGGGTACTTGCGTCCATGCCGCACATGCGCCGAGTGCTCATTCTGTCACATAATAGCCCTTCACAACCTATCTCCCTCGTGCCGACATCCACGAGCTCCTAACCCCCGATCTTCTCCACCAGTTGATTAAGGGGACGTTCAAGGATCACCTCGTCGACTGGCTTATCAAGTACATCAAGATGAACGAACCAAACGACAAAGTCGCGAAGCAGCATCTGGACGACATTGATTGGAGGTGTGTATGGCTTTCTGCCCCATGTATGTTACTCACACGTGCTTCCAGGCTCGCTGCAGTGCCTCTCTTCCCCGGTCTACATCAATTTCCACAAGGGATGAGTTTTACGCAGTGGACTGGCGACGACTCAAAAGCATTGATGAAGGTCAGCTGACATCCCCCCACATACAGTAGATTTACTCAGCAGGTCATTGTTCTCGCTATCGTAGGGTACGTCCCGCCAGAGATGGTGAAGTGTGTCGTCGCACTGTTGGACTTTTGTTATCTCGCTCGGCGGCCATCCCACGACAAGTACACTATCCATGCCATGTCAGCGCTTCTCAAACGCTTCCACCAGCTCCGCACCGTCTTCGAGGAGGAGGGCATCCGACCGGACGGCTTTGTGCTCCCCCGGCAACACGCACGACGAGTACGGTGGTGTGAAGAGGGAGTAGGCGATCGGCCTTGAGATCAAGACGATGTCTTCGAGTGCGGTGCGCGCAGAGCTGCTCTACCAGCGCGACATGGGCTTCGGCACCGTTGTCGAGAACAAGGTGCTTACCGCGGAGTGCCATCCACCCAAGACGCACATCGAGCTCGTGCTCCCGGAGGGGTTCACCTACCGCGCGGGTGACTACCCCGCAATGTGAGCTCGGCTGCAGATCCGTATGATTCGCCTCTCACACGTATCTGTCAGCTTCCCCACGAACCCTGAACGCACCGTGCGCCGCGCGATGGCTCGGTTCAACCTCGATTCAGACACCGAGATTGAAATTTTCTCCACGGCACCCACCCACTTCCCCATCGGCAAGCCCATTTCCGTCTTCAACCTCCACAGCAACTACGTCGAACTGCAGCAACCCGCCACCCAGCGTGACCTTGAGGCCCTCATCTCCCGCCGCAAGCCAAAGCCTCGCAAGGTGAAATCGAACGCTCAAGCTCCCGTGAGCCCCTATGGTTATGAAAAAATGCTTACCTTCGGCATCGCTCAAAGTTGTACTCCGTCGAACTACACGCCCCATCCAACTTACTGCCGCAGCCGCGGCTGCGAACCTTCATCTTGCGAGCACCGATCACGCAACGATGCCAACGCTGCTTGAGGGGAGCCTTCCACGGCGGTGAATGGCAAGCGCGGTCGCCACTGATGTGCATGCCGCGTGGCGCACCCCGTACCAACCCCAACCGCACCAACCGTACCGTCACCGACGCCCACAACACTATCTCACCGAAACACCCGCGCACTGTCGCAGACAAGCCTCCATGCGACATGCGCACCCCACGACAGGCCGACATCGCCACCACCACTCCGCTGCTCACGAGCGCGAACCCAACAGGCTGTTAGCCTCACCGACAGCCAATTCTATCCCTACCTCGGACATTTCACTCATTCCCTGCACATCCCAGTCATCCTCGTTCACCTCCCCGTGTTCCATAGTTCCTTATAGAACTTCCCAGAATCCTCGACGCCCTGCATCTCCCGCTCCGCTCCGTTCCCCTTCAGTCTCGGCTTAGTACGATCCGGGACCAGCTCCCTCAGTACTTTCTCTGTGCTACCAACCGCCTCTGCATGTTTCGCTATGATAGTTTGTGACCGCGTGGCCACTGCGCAGCCTCTACTATACGCACTCCCGTCCTCCTTTTTCGATTACTCTACCTCACTCCCTCGCCAATGCAGCCGCTCTTGGCAGCATGCACGGACTTTGTTGCTACGTCTCGCACTCGGTCATCTATTTATTCCACCAGTCTGCGCGCTCTAGCTACAGTTTCGACGCTCCCATATTCCGCATGCTACTCACCCAAGTCCGCCCCAAATCCGCCGCCGCCGCCGGCATATCGGCCTTCCGACACCGTCCGCCTCGACTCAGCCGTCCCGCCATCCTCCGTGTCGTCTCCGCACGCATCGTGCTTCCTTCCTCTCCATCACGCGCTCTTCCTGTCCTCCCATGTCAGGCCGACTTCCTGTTCATCGCGTAAGATAAAATCTAAGCTGTGCCGCAAAACGATGAACGTGGCGCGCCTTTCGAAGCATGTTTGGCAACGTCCAGACCAGCGGTATCTGATCTGCGTCGACGATTACGCAGGCACTGCGGACGGCGTGGGGAATGCCGCATTTTGCCATGGCTTCGACGGGGTATTCGCGTTGCAATTGAGCTTGCTCTTTGTCGGAGGTCACGGTGTTGACCTTGGGTATCGCCTCCCGATGCTGCTCGATATTCCAGCCGGTCGTGACTACGCGTCACCCGGTACTAAGCACCAATCGGCTTGCAATGAACGTACTACACCTGCATTTGTTTTGAATTACCTCAAAGATCACGTCCGCCGAATGAGTGCAATCTTCAAACATCGTCGCGTCCAGGGCATCAGGCCGACCAACTTCGACCCATGGTGTCGACTGACTGCCAAGCCTGTGTCGGACACGGTGTCTCAGGGCGGCGTTCATTGTCTCGTTTACAAGTTCTCGTAGTTGCGCTGCGTCAAATGTGTCCATGGCTACGTGCGAGATGAAGGGGAAGATGGGCCGTTCCTTAGTATCAGTGGTCTCGCAGAGCCGATCTTCATAGATCACGAGAACACCTGGTTTTCACGTCACATGTCGCCATCATGGCACACGTAAAAAGCAGTCAACTTCCAACCAAGAATCGAAATTGGGAGAGAGATGAATTGTTGAAAAAGTCACGTTAATACGGGCCACAATCTACAAGAACGCTGCAAGTCCAAAATGCACTTCGCCTAACTTCGTGTGACTGTTGCTCGCATCCGCTGGGCTTTCTGACCGTTTTGGACGGCGACGGCACTTGGCCTTCGCGCAGCACTAGGCGCCACTGCGGGTCGAGGCTGGCGAAGCACCGCGCCCACTGGACTGCTCGCGCGAGGAAGACACAGAGGCCGATCTTGATGCCGTGGTCGCCGTCGATGGCGGAAGTCCGAGTGCAGAAGGCGAAGGCGAAGTGGCGGCCGATAGTTGCGGCGGAGTCGCCACCGGGGAGTTTTGTAGAGACGTCGCTCGACTGAGGAGGGACGCGCGGGGACCGCCTGTAGAGAAAAACGAGCCGGGGCCGACTGGGTGGCCGACAGGATCACCAGCGGAGGTTCCTGTGACGAGGAGTTAGTGCGAATGCGTTGCAATTCACAACTCATACCTAGTGTAAGACTCGGCGAGCGGGAGCCGTGCCACAGTGACCCGGAGGAACGGCTTTGGCCGAAGTCAACAGGATGGAGCATGCCGTCGAGCTGCCCACGCATCCTCGCAACCTCCACCTCCATGCCTCGCATCCGTGCCACTTCTCGCTCGAGGGCTTCAACTCGATGGACAAGGGCATCATACATCGCACGCGGCACAGATGCTGAGCTCGCTGGAGGCCTGACCGCAATCCGACTGCGTAGCTCTTCAATGGTATCTTCAGCGATAGCATCAGTCGACGGTACGTTTTGAAAATCGCGACCTCTCGCAAAGTAAGCAGGGGTTCAACAGAGAAAGAATGAACTTACGGGGCGGAGGCGGTGGTTGATTTCGGGAAGCAACTGCGTGTGCGGGCGGTTTTGCGGACCCACTCGGATTTTGCGTTCGAGATTTTTTCGCAGGCGGTTGAAGGAAGATTGGTTCGTCGTCGGACTCTTCTTCTTCACCGGAATCGTTGCGAAACTCAGAGTCTTCCAGGGCAGGTGGATCACCCAGATAGTTGAGCTGGAGGTTGGTAAGCATCAGTGGCGGCTTTCACGAGAGAAATGGCGGGCGCACCAGTCCAACCGCTGCTTCGCCAAGGTCTTCAATAGGCGCAACATCGTTTCTGTGCAGCGAGGCGGCTTCACGATGCAGCAAAGCCTCCCTACGCTTGGCTGCGCGATCTGTTCCTGTCGGGAGCTGCACCCGGCGCCAAGTTTTGAACCAGGTCGGCACCTTCGCGGAATCTACTTCGAGCGACCAAACGGCTGACCGGATGACTGGATTCGGGTATATGTGGGGATTTGCCAGCTGCACCCCAGCACGGAAAGCGCAGTAGCCAGCTAGGAAGCCCGAGGACTGTGCCGACATGTCTCCAAGGTCGCACTTCTTGCCGGCGGTTTTGCATACCTCACAGGTGCTATTCACAAGGGGAAAGAAGATGCATTCAGAGTCTTGGGTGCGGCAAAGGCCGCATCGCCAGTCAGGGGTGTCGTTGCCGGTCTGCGCCCAAAGGGTTGTCAGACTGCTATGTCGCGAAAATGCATTAGACTCACTGGGCGGGGTATCGTCACGCATGGGAACGCGTGGTCGGCTCCGGGAAATGGCGTAAAGTGCTCTTCGGGTGCGACATATTCTTCGGTCTTGTGGGAACGCTTTGATGTGCGCTTAGGATCTGAGGTTGTGGTACCTCGATCGCTTATAGCACCGGCCGCTGATGCCCTCGATCCTGCCAGGGCAGGAGGTTCGGTGGACGAATTGTTCTCTGAATCACCGTCTGCATACTTGTGTCAGGTTCCCATCGGGCCACATGCTTGGATACGCTCACTGTTCGCCTCCGCGTTTGCCACCTTCGCTGCCACAGAGCCGCGCGTTTTTCGTTTCGCTGCGTGTCGTCGTTCCTTGGGGGTTGGCTCCCCAGAATCTTCCCCCCCTGCCTGTGGTCGTTCTGCTGTAGGAGAATGTGAGCACAGGTGCGAAAAAGGACCAAAAAGTCGTACCACCGCCCTTTTTCTCACCAGGGACCGATCGGATGTCTTTGACAATGTCTACGGCCATGGGCTCATCAACATCGCTTTTCAATGTTTGAGGAGCTACGGCAAATCATCAGTGCCATGCATGCATGTGCCATGGAATCTGGAACACGCACCTGGGGCAATGCCAGCGTCCATCCGATTGGAACCTGTCCTCGAAAACTTCAAAAGGGCATTAAAAGATGCACGAGACGTGGAGCACCCACTTCGAGCCTTGCCCTTGCTGCGTTGCGCTGGCGATAGAGAGGTTTACGGGACGATTCACGAGATGTGAATTTGGGTACTCACCGACATCAGTGCCCGTGGAGGACGCATCGTGGCCCGCACCCGGTGCCGACGCCGTTGGGGGATTTCTTGGTGTGACTGCGGCTTTCTGAGCAACGAAACAAATAGCAAGAAAAACGACTCACTGAGTTGCACCCATTTCGCACCCTTGAGCCCATCCAACTCCAGCAACAGGATATCCCCATGGTCATCCGCCTCAATGCCCACGTCGAAACCATAGTGGGCGGCGGCGGCGGCGTTGCTGTCGAACTCTTGGATATTCCAAATTGAGGCGGTGTATGTATCGTCGAAATCGCCCTTTTCGTACTCGTAGTAGGCGGCGAGCGCAAGTCGCGGTATGCTCTTGAAAGCGCAGTGATTGTCGTGCCTTGCCCTGCGAACTTCTCCAATCCAAAACACGAACCAGATCATCCATCGGTTGAGGTTGAGGCACTGGGGATCTGGGTTTCTCCTTAGTGCGTGGTGCACAAGCGATGAGTATAGCGAGATCTGGTCTAGAGTGACTTGCGGCTTAGGCTTAGTCTCCATGCTGGCGGGGCCCGAAAAGGCGGGACGGGGCAGATGCAGAAGCAGGCAAGATGACCGGGATGCGAAGGGGCGGTCAAACGAGGCTGGGGCGCTGCCAGCCGTTGGCGGCAAAGCGCTGCGAAAGCGGCTTCTTGGCGCCTCAGCGCCGCCATGCTTTCGCCGACAGTGCGTGTTCGTAGATGCTCGCGATGCCTCCGCCATCCCGTTCAATTGTTTTACCCATGGCGCAAACCTCATGCACTACAAAATTCCTAGGACTATCATTAAAAGGTAAGCCGTGTCTCAACGTTCTTCAAACTTGCGCCTGAAAGCCTTTGCAACAGGCCCTACTAGCGAACTTGGTCGGTGGCTCATAACACCGCTTCAGGAACTCTTCTCAAATTTTCTACCCTGTTTAGAGCCTTTGTGCACGCCAGTACATCACATCATCGAAGCAGACCACATCTCTCCTTGGAACGCCAGGGTACTGCCAGCTGATGCTCAGGCGTTATTTATTCCTTCCGCGCGTTGCACAGTCCAGGACCTCCTCCGCCGAAACTTCATTCCAGCCCCAGCCACGGCATCGTGGAAGTCTACTGCACCAATTACTCACTCTACGAAGCAGCCAGACGAACCTAAAACCATCCCCGACTGGCTAGTTTTCGTGGACCAATACTCTGAAGACACCGCCGTCACTCTCCTGCCTGGCGGCCGAATACCCTTGGTAGCCAACTCACTCATGCACCCTGGAGCGCCGGGCGCCCACCTGCCCATCTGGTTTGACGAGCTTTGGAGGCAACTATCTTCCGTTCACTCATTGCGCCGGGGCTATCTGAGCGCGCAAACATGGGTTCGTGGCATGCGCGGCACGCGCGCATGGCCCGCAGGCAGTGGCGAAGAAATTTTACACCGCCTGGATCTCCTTCCGGCAACGGACGGCATTTGGCGGGGCGCCGCGCCACATCTGGCATCTTCCCATCAATGGTTCAACTGTGATGTCTTGGACCTTGTCGTTCGGATGCTGAATGCGGACGTTCGTGGGACCCCCCGTGAGGATAAAGTGCGGGTATTCTCCTCTGGGGTATCGGGCCTCGACCTGGAGCGGATTGGCGCGAGCATTCCACGAATCTTGCGCCGGGCAAAGCTCTGCGAGCAAGCTACGGTCTATTTGCCATGGCATATTGGTCAACAGCATTGGATCACGGTCGTCATCAACATTTCGAACGCAAAAATCATGTATGCTGACTCGAAGCCTTCATTCAGCACGAGGCATCTTCCGGATGCCAAATCAAAGATGCTGCGAATCGCATATGCCATTGACGCGACGTTTGGTAAGCCCTTGCGGGAATGGAAGTTCGACGAATCGTCCATTGCCTGTGCGCTGCAGACGGACACCAATTCCTGCGGCCTTGCCACTGCATTGACAATTGCCCACCTAATGTTCTCGGAACGCCGTGCATGGCAGCCTGAACGTGTTGATGAGCAACGTCTCAGCCTGCTTTTACAGTTACTGCGCACAGTGCCCCAGGTGCGTTTTCACTATGTCTTGTGATAATGCCTGCTGATGCCTCCCACAGATGCACGAACCTGACAATCTTGAGCCAAGCATGTGGGGACGGTCACACATCAAACGTGCAGTCGCCGGGCCCGAAGCCCCTCCATTGCAAGAACCCCAACGTTGGAATACCGAGGGAGAACCATCTCTTTCCCCAAAAGCGCCGCCCTTGAAGCAGACTGCCGGGGCGTCCGCCGCAGAAGACGTCGAGCCCGAACAGCCCCCGCCGCCCTTCTCAGCGCGTGGAAGGAGCGGGCCTGGAGCCATTCCGCCGCCGCCGCCGCCCTTGAAGCAGACCGCCGCGCCATCCACCGCAGAAGACGTGGAGCTCGAACAGCCCCCGCCGCCCTTCTCAGCGCGTGGAAGGAGCGGGCCTGGAGCCATTCCGCCGCCGCCGCCCTTGAAGCAAACCGCCGGGGCGTCAGCCGCAGAAGACGTGGAGCTCGAACAGCCCCCGCCGCCCTTGAAGCAGACCGCCGCGCCATCCACCGCAGAAGACGTGGAGCTCGAACAGCCCCCGCCGCCCTTCTCAGCGCGTGGAAGGAGCGGGCCTGGAGCCATTCCGCCGCCGCCGCCGCCCTTGAAGCAGACCGCCGCGCCATCCACCGCAGAAGACGTGGAGCTCGAACAGCCCCCGCCGCCCTTCTCAGCGCGTGGAAGGAGCGGGCCTGGAGCCATTCCGCCGCCGCCGCCCTTGAAGCAGACCACCGCGCCATCCACTGCAGAAGACGTGGAGCTCGAGCAGCTCCCGCCGCCCTTCTCAGCGCGTGGAAGGAGCGGGCCTGGAGCCATTCCGCCGTAGATAGTTTAGCCATGGGGCATACGGCTTCAGTGAAATATGGCGCAGAACTTCAACGGTTATTTTTCTCCACGTCATCAAGACTCGTATTATGCCAATTCCTTCATTTTCTGAATCTGGATAGGCGGTATGCCAGAAAGGCCAGAAACTGACCTGGCATCTCGCCCATGTAGCCCATGCGGGGTGCCGCCCCTCAGCTCCGATCACGCGTGCCCCTCAGCTCCGACCGCGCGTGCCCCCCCTGTGTTTTCCCCTCACCGCCGCCCAGGGGCATTTCCATCTTCGCATAGGAGTGCTTTTGCCAACATTTTTGACACATTCCCCAGCACGGTGGGGAAAATCACAATAGTGCGCAGGTATACCGATCATCATAAAACAGCGATGGACAAAGGACGGAGGAATACAGCCCACAGCAGTGACGACATATTTTGGGCACTAAGTCCGAGCGTGTAAGAATAAGTAGATCGTCCAGAAAAAACGCGAGTCTGCATGGCGACAGCAGGGTCACATTGGCGACCGTGTTTTGCAAGGTGCCCGCCTACTGGCCTGCTAAGCACGGACGCCTGTGAGCATCGATGCATAACTAAAAGCAAGCGCGACTTCGACGCCAACCTAGGCGTCCACAACGAAGTACCCAGAGCCACCCAGGCACGCGCACAACTTGCAGTGGGAGGAATGAAGGACGCTAAGTGTCCGGGAGGCATTTGCGTTGCTGGATAAAACGGCCGCAAGGGCCTCAAATGAGTTACCCGCGGGCTTGTGCTGCCGTGTGTCCAGCTGCCTGGCGGCGTGCGATCTGATCGTATTCGGGGGAGGTGGATGCTCACAAGTCGACGAGCCTTGTCTCCAAACTGCGCTTCAAAAATATCCGCTTCTCCTTCTTCGCCCATTCGATGCTCTCCGTCAAGACTTCGATTTGAATCTTCTGGTCGTCAGGTATAGCGGTGGGGTAGTTACAAAAGAAGTGCACAAACTGAAGAGAGGGGTCGATCCTGAAAATTCGGACGGTGGGGGGAATAAATATGCGGAGTTTGGCGGCCTTGACCTCCGTGATCTCGAAGAAATGAAACGGCGAGACCGGGGGGTGACTTCAGGGACTTCTTTAGCATTCCTGCGAACTTGCGATGAGTCTTGCGTCTGCGCGCCCTCAGCGCTCAGCCACACCTGTCTTCGCTCCCCCAACCGCGCTCCGCGATCGGCACGGGCCATCACCCCCTCTTCCGCCCTCTTCGCCCGTGGTGCAGCACGGCACGTGGTGTTTATTACGGTGGTTTTACGATACATGGAGTTTACGTTTCGCTCACGCCTGGCCACCCCGCGTGCGCGCGCGCCCTTTGGAACCGCATCGCACAGCAATCGCGCGCACTCGTTCTGGGCTCGGTAATCAGGAGGTGCCCCGTGCATCGGGTGGGGGATCTCGCCTGCTGGTCGCGTACCGTGTGCAATCGCCTCTACGTGGCCGTGATGCTGACCCTCGTGAACGGTGGGGGGGTTGGGCGTCGCCGCTGCGCGCTCGATGGCAGGCGAAGGCGGGCGAAGGCGGCGGGTCTTCCTCACCAACGAGGGCTTTTTGAAAGGTGGGGGTGTGGGATTTCGGGGTCGTAGGACGCGATCGGGACAGGCCGGAGGGTGAGGCTCCTCTGGGCACTGGAGACGGGCGGACGGACGGCGGATGTGCGGGAGATGGTAGTGGATAGGTGCAAACGCGTAGCGTGCGGTGCAAGTGGTGGCACCTCTGGCGCCGAACTCCAACAGGGGGCCCAGTCAACCGGTTGATCCTGACAGACGCACACCCCGTGATGTAAGGCCAGCCTCCTGTCGGCGCGCGGAGCCGAAGAGGGAGGGAGAGAGAGATACATAAGCCGTCTACGCTAAGTAATACACAGCTCCGGTCGCATAGATTACGAGGGAGCGCAACGCACGAAGGGGCGAGGAATTCGAGGGGCCGCGCGAGGTGTGATCGGCGATGAGGGCGCAAGGCGCGGTCGGCGATGGAGACGCTAGGCGTGATCGGCGATGTGAATGCTAGACGCCTTTGGCGAGGGGCGAAGACCGGCGACGCCCAGAGCGGGCGAGATTTTAGAAGCAAACACGAGAACTGTGTTGATCGCTGACGAACGCCGCACATCGGCGTAGTATATATGCATGCAATTTCAGGAGTCCGGAAATGTATCTTATGGAGAATGCGGAACGACATGAGTGGGGAGAAACGTATTGCAGGACGGTCGCAGGACGAGCGTCAAATGGCATTGCGGTGCATCATGGCTGGGATCCTGACGGGTGAGAGGGCGGATGGAGCCTTGCCGATGCAGGCCTCGTGAAAGGGAGTGGGGGTGGTTCAAGTAAAGCAGATGAGCGCTTCGTGAATATGGGTGGGGGCGGCGCAAGGGTCACGGGCGCACGCGGTGCGGGCGGCGGCGCGGGTGCGCCCTTCGTGAATATAGGCGGGGGCGGCGCAAGGGTCACGGGCGCACGCGGTGTGGGCGGCGGCGCGGGTGCGCCCTTCGTGAATATAGGCGGGGGCGGCGCAAGGGTCACGGGCGCACGCGGTGTGGGCGGCGGCGCGGGTGTGCCCTTCGTGAATATAGGCGGGGGCGGCGCAAGGGTCACGGGCGCACGCGGTGTGGGCGGCGGCGCGGGTGTGCCCTTCGTGAATATAGGCGGGGGCGGCGCAAGGGCCACGGGCGCGCACGGTGTGGGCGGCTGGGCCGACACGTGCTTCGTGAATTCAGGCAGGTGCAGCTTAAGGGGCGCAGACGAGCGTTTTGGAAAGGGTTCTCCAAGGCGGAGTGGGTGTGGGCTCACCTCTTGATGGTCGGGAGGGCGTGTTGTGAACGACGTTACTGCAGGAGACGTTACTAAAAAAGACGTCAGCCAATGGAGGGCGACAGGAAAGTGGAGCACATGCCAACGCCAAACGGTCGTTCCTCCGTCGTAATCGCCGATGCAGGAAATGTGGACAGAGACCGCCATGCATGCCAGACGAGGGTGTTTAGCTGCAGCAAGTCTTCGCCGTGGGCACTGTTGAGGCGATGCGCTCGCTGCTGGGGGACCATGCTAGCTGTCACGTCGAGGTTGTGCAGCGAGACGAAGTCACAGGCAATTTTGATCGCATTCTGACGGTTCTGGACCTGAATGGCAAGATCAATGTCAAGATGGAAGAGGTGTAGGAGAAACGTGCCTGGTGTGGCCAGCCGGCTGGAATGAAAATTGCGTCGCCAACGAATTGTTCAATTCGCACGAATTGGACGTTGCACTGCGATCTTAGATCCTCCCACATCGCATCTGTGAGGTACACGTCCTGTGAATGAATGGGGTCCATTTCCGCATATTGAGTCGGATATACTGTGCGCAGGTACTGTCTTATGTGAGGCTGGCTTTCGGGAGGAGACGCGTGCCAAATGGCCCCAGCCTGCTTCGGATCAGGGCAATAGGTCATAAGGTTGACGGCGTCGGTGAAGTCGAGGTGCAGTTTCGTCGTTCCGTTCTGGCTACCGGGGCTCCCGTACGCGACGTACATTTTAGGGCCTTCGTGTTCGGTTTGATCAGTTCCGAGCAAATTGAGGGTCAGTGGTGCAAAAACTAACCAAGGTCAGGCGGACAGCCGTGGCGATCAAAGTGAGCGGCGAGATTTTTCACCCCGTCCAAAGCCGCAACATCTCTCGTCGGAATCGGAATCGCTTGAATGAAACTGTCATAGTAATCCGGGAACTTTTGCCGAAATAAATCTTGCGGTGGCCAGTCCTGTGGAATCATTCAGCCCAGCCCGGATCGCATAACCGCCCAGCCAACCTCACCTTCAGCTTGAGCGCGTTTCCCCCTTCGCCGCCTTCAAAGGTGGCTAAGAAGTCTGCCAGAGTCCACTTGCCCTCAGCGTCGAGATCGGTTCCACAGTGAATGGGTTTGACAGTCTCGCGTCCAAACTTATTGATGAGAAAAGCAGGAGTCCAGGCGCCCTGAAGACTTCGATCGATTCCCCTGACAACCACGAGAGTGTTGTGTTTCCAAACTGCCAAGAAATCTTCTTCTGAGAAACCACCGCTCTGGAAAATGGGTATGCTGATGGGCGCCCCCAGCATGTGACCTGGCTGCATCCCAGTCGCGGTGTCGGGTCTAAGCCTCGGAAAATCCCCTGAGATTTTGATGCTGCGGCATGTAAGGCATTTGAGCACACACCTATTTGCGACCAACCGGGTCATTTCGAGTATGGCGCTGTCCACCTCGGATAGCGAAAATCTAGTCCGAGGTCGGAGGCTGAAGCCGGTGTGTTGTTCCTCGCCGTTTCCTGTGCAATCACTGCCTGCTAGAAGCTAACAACAATGTGTCTACATCGATATAGAAAAAGCAGCATAAAAATGGGCGTACTTTGCGGGATTTGTGGAGGACATCTTGAAAGCAGTCGGCGCATAGGTCGGCTCCACATATCCAGCAGAACCACGATCGAGAGAACAAATCTGCCAGGCATCCATCTGTGATTCTTTGAGTGGATTATGGATGGCGCGGGGTCATCTTGCGCACCACAGTAATCCCTCAAACCCGGACGGACCCTGCGCTGGACCGCATTCCCCGCCAAGATATGATCACGTTCTGCAAGTAGTATGGGCAGCATGTATGCCGCGATGGATGACTGCAACGTAACCAAATAAATGAGCGAGGCGGAACGAATGGGTTGACGACTGGGGTGGGTATACCCTGGACTCTTCGGCACACCGGGAATCCATCCTCCTATTGAAGATAGTGCGGTAATCCGGAGGCTCGTGAACGGCACTTTTGGAGTTTTGCTGAGGGTCGTCAAAGAAACCGGTGGCGCCCGTATCTATGCTCCGGAAGTCTGGCGAAAATGGTTCGTGGCCAGCGTAGGAATTATGAATGGCAGTGTAAAACGTACTTATGAACCGGCAGGAGGCCTTCAGTTCTCGCTCCTGTCGTTTGCAAGTTCCACTACGGCGGCAGTCTAGGCACATTGAGAAGCCTTCGGGCATGCGCCGCGATGCGCAAGATGTTTCTTGCAAACGGGGGGTCTCCGACGGCGGCGCCATGGTCGAATTTACGTAGTTTCTGCGACGGAGGCAGGGCTGTAGCAGGGTATTGGAGCCAAAGGAGCCAGAGGGACTCACCAGTCAGCAGGCCACGACGAGGGGGTGATTCAATGTTTGATTCCAACTGCTACAGAACACGAAGCCGGTGTTGCGTCACGTTGTGTCGCGCCGCACCGCTGCCCGCGTGGAGGAGGAGGTGGTGGTGGTGGTGAATTGGGCCCAGCCAGCAGCGAGGCTCGAGGGGCGATGGCGTGATCGCCGTGCTACAGCTGCCCGCAGCGCGTTTGCTTTTGTAGCGTGACCGGCTCGGCCGGCGCTACTCATTTCCCGGTCTCTTGATCTCCTAGTTCCGGCACGGCTATTGATCCTATCCGCGCATTGTATCTCGTTTATCTGTCCTGCTTACTTGTTAGTTCACCGCGCTTCGAGCACCCAGTATGTCTCAGCGCACGGACCTCCCCCTTCTGCCTATATATACAGGGTCCCGATGTAGAGTCGTGGTAGCATTCCCTCGAAGCAACCCACAGCCTTGCAACCTGTCACGCACCGCGGGATCTCTCTCTCTCACTCCGTGTAGCCAGGTCGTTCCAACGGGAGCGCCGAGCGCTACAGCTTTGCGCGCGAAAAGCGCGACGCGTGTCGGCTCGGCCGGAGAGCCGCCCAAAATTCGCGGGGCGCGCGGGGGCACGATTGTCCTTCAGTTTTCCTGTCTCCCCGCTGCTCTGCGCCCCCCAATGAGCTTCAAAACGTCTTTGGCGAACACCAATGCACATATTTGCGCTTTTCCGTGCGCTGAACGGCCGAATCTACGCCTCGGACGACAAGTGGACGTCCGTGGAGGATACCTGACGATCTTCTCGTCCCCAGCCCTTCCTGTGTCGACAGAGAGCCTTAGAAAGATCCGCAGAGGCTGGGAGTTTGCTTGAAAGGTGCGCATGTTGCGTTTTTGGCCTTCCTGCGCCGTCTCCCTGCTTGTTCCTTCCCTTGCTCCAGTTGCCGCCACATATGCCACACTTCCTGTCTTTATCTCTCTCGGTAAACCCATCGGACGGCTATGAAAAGTTTAAGACTGTGACAACTACGCTTGGAGGCATTTTATAATGGGTCTTCTCGTTCTGAACGGTTGAGTGGACGCATTACACGAAGGATCGAGGTTTCGCAGTCATGGGCGACAATCTCGCTTCCATTTGCTACCCCGACATCGGCGTAGACGATCGCACAAGACGCAGATGGGTCTCTCATAGGTGCGTTTGCCATGTTTTTTGCCTGCTGTGTGCTTCCCGATCGAGCCCACGTATGTTCGCCAGGGCGCTGCCACGCCAGCGGCAAGATCATCGCGAGTGCACCTCACCTCTCGTAGAGCCTCTAGGATGCAATCCGGGGTTCATGCCGATCAAAATCATCTAGAAGATGCACGCTGGTGGTGCAGTAGCGGGCTAAGATATGCGGTTAGAAGATGATGTCGCCGCGACTCGCCGGTAGGCTCTCCGTCCGGCCTCTATCCCTCACACCATGGCAAGGGACCCTTGAAGCTTTTCATATCACTAATCACTGGGGCGATATATTTAATATATCAACTGGAGTATGGTACACCGTCTCTGCCATACATACAACTACATAGGTACAGGTAGCTTTCGACGTCTACGCCCATGCTTTCCCTCCGCCTTAGTGAGAGTACACCACACCGAAGGTTTATAAAAGACGAAGTACTCGCCTGTAAGAACGTCCCTTGCGTAATACAAACATTCCGACATACTTCGAGGGCGCATAATGGGATGCAATCATCGCCTATGGCTGCGGGACCTCAATCTGCAGGGTGATGTGTCCGCACAAGCGTTCAGGGTGCGAAAGCTGTTGAAGACTCAATCCATACCTGGAAATAACCCCACAACAACTCCCAACTCTTCCCGGCCATTGAGGGACTTGGCAGGCGGCCATTGAAGGGGAGCAGGTGTGACGTATACGGCAGCGACTGGAGAAGGGTGCAGGGACAGGCAATAGCACGGCGAAGGGGAGCCAAAAATGCAACATGCGAACCTTTAAAGCAACATCCACCCCCCGAAGACGTTTCTAAGGCTCTCCGTAGACACAGGAAGGGCGGGGGACGAGAAGATCGTCAGGTATCCTCCACGGACGTCCACTTGTCGTCCGAGGCGTAGATTCGGCCGTTCAGCGCACGGAAAAGCGCAAATATGTGCATTGGTGTTCGCCAAAGACGTTTTGAAGCTCATTGGGGGGCGCAGAGCAGCGGGGAGACGGGAAAACTGAAGGACAATCGTGCCCCCGCGCGCCCCGCGAATTTTGGGCGGCTCTCTGGCCTACATAGCCGACGCGCGTCGCGTTTTTCGCGCGCAAAGCAAACTTGGCACTGCAAGCTTGCTGCAAGCAGCTGTATCACAGGCATGCTGACATCGCTGCTCTAGTGACGCTGTCGTCGATCGCCGTCTGTCCAATCGCCTTGATGCTCCTCCTCACAAAGTCGACGTCGACCTCCTGCTCGCACCTGCGCACACAGCCCGCCAGCCCGCCAGCCCGCCGCGCCCTCCACAGCCTCCACTTCAATCGAACCGATGCGCCCGTAGAGCTCGCTCAGGAGCGGGTCCACGTTGCTCTCCATCGCGAGCCGGAGAATGATGCCCAACTTCTCGACCTTGGCCGCTTCGAGTGCCAGATCGTTGCACTTGCAGAAGACCCGCATCTTGTTCGCCAGTGCGTCCCAGTGCTTCTGGAGAATGTTGATGTTCCGGAGCGCGATCTATTTCACCTCGGGCGGGTTCGAGAGTACGTAGAGTACTCCGCCTCGCCTGCGTCCTTGGGCGTGTGGCGCGCGAGCGCGGCGAGGATCGTCGCCGTGCCCCACTCCGAGGCCCCGTTGAGCACAACGAGCAGCTTGTTCACGGTGTCGTTGGGAACGCGTCCGCCGTCACAACAGACACGATGGCGCCGCGACCTTGCTCGCGACAACTTGGAGCAGATGTGCCGACGGAACCGGAACCCGCGGGGCATGGAGGTTGCTCGAGATGGCGGGTAGCGTAGGTTGCGATGTATGGTTTGCGACGACGACACTCAGAAATGACGAGGCGACCGAGCCGGAGGAGATGGCGAATCCGGGGGCAGCCGCAGGCACGGGCGTGGGTGTGGGCGACTTCGGTTGTCGCGGCACCGCCAGTTTGTTCGTGAGGATGTCGAGGATGGTCCTGCCAACACCTGGAGTCAGATTCGACTTTGCCAGCTCCACGGGCGCGGTCGCCGTCCTCAGGCGGCGACCGGCGCAGACGGCTCCTGTCTTGAGTGGGTCCTCAGGGTTCCACGAGTGGACGGTGGGATCTGCCACCGTAGCCCAGATCAGCATTCTGAACGGAAATTCAGCGGGAGGCAAAGGATGGAACCCCGGGCACCAAGCAAGTTCCGCCCCGCCATCGAGATTCGCAGAGAGCACGTTCTGTAGGGACCGTACCGAAGGCGAACCGCGTCCACCATTCTTCAAGGTTAACGTCAAACCAGGCGCAGTGGGTCATGCTGTGAAACAAACAGCCGGTATGAGCTTACGTACGCAAAACGTAGAATGGGCCACTGCGTCTCAGCCGCGCACTCCGAACTGCCTTCAAAAGTGACGCAAACTGAGACTGCGTGCGTGTGTGAAAGCACGAGGGGTCCGTCGCCCCGCGACCGGCCGGAAGCCGCAGCAGTGCGCAGCTGATAATTGGGACTGATGTTAGAATCAAACAACGACTTACATCCGGCTCCGCCTCCTCGAAAATCAGCACGTGCACGTACCCCCGGCCTCGGTCAAGACAGCCAGCTATGGAATTCGTGAAAATCTGATGGAGCGACGGTCAGCTATGATCAAGCGCATTATGCGGTGGATGTTTTGCTCTCGCGGCATCTGGTGCCATCCCTGTGGGTGTCCTGATCGCGGTGGCCTAGGAGAGCTCTGCAGCGTTCCCCAGCATCAAAGACACCCATAGGCGCAAGGGAGGGCGTCCGTACCTTGTTGATAGTCCTTCAGTGCGTTCTAGAAGTCCGCAAAATTCCGCTTCTGGTGAGCTCGTGCAACCGCGCACATGCCCTCCACGTCACGCAGTCGCGCATGATCCGAACGGTTGCGCGCAGTGAGCGCAACCTTGCGCGGCAGCGCATGCCTGGGCACGCCGAGTGCGTTCGGATCATCTTGTGTGCTCGAGTTCTAAAACGTCTTGTAGAAGTAGGAGTATGCGGTGGTATAGTCCTTGTCTTCCGCATGCAGGTGTTTGGAGGTGTGGTGGGCAGTGGATCTCATTCGCGGCCCTCCGTGAAGATGCCAGTGCCGCCTAATGCATTGAGTCAGTGCGCCGAGCTAGACAATCAAGGTTTCCACTGGCGCACCTTCGATTTCACCAGGTTACCGATCTCTCGGTACGCACGAGTCCCCAGTAGATTGACGTCTAACCGCTTGAGCTCAGTGAGGAGGGTCTCAATAAGAGCGAGCGCGGGCTTGCGCTGTTTTGCGTCCAGCACTCTAGTGGTGTACGATCTGAACATATGCGTATATTCGGGGGAGGCGGATGCTCACGAGTCGACGAGCCTTGTCTCCAAACTGCGCTTCAAAAATATCCGCTTCTCCTTCTTCGCCCATTCGATAATGTCCGCCAAGACGTCGGTTTGAATCTTCTGGCTGCCAAGGACAGCGGTGGAGCAGTTAAGAAGTGTAAGAACTGAAGCGAGGGGTCGATCATGGAAATTCGGACGGTGGGGGAATAAACATGGGGAGTTTTGGCGGCCTTGGCTTTCGCGGTCTTGAAGAAACGGAATGGCGAGACAGGGTGGTGGCTTCAGCGAAATCTTTAGCATTCCTTTGAACTTGCGATGAGTCCTGCGTCTAGTACGTGCCCTCAGCCACACCTTGGACTCACTTCTGATCTAGGTAGAGCTTTCCCAGCCTCACGAGAGCGTTTTTCTGGTGGTGGAGCTCAGCCTCCTCCTCTTCCACGGACGCACGAAGGCTGTGATGTCGTGGTATGCGCGGTCAGTCGATCGCGTTTCCCCTCCGTGCGCGAGCTGCGGCTTACCCAAGATTCCCTTGTAAGGCACCTCTGTGCACGCTCGGGGTCCTTCGCGGCTTCGCTCAGCAAGTCCTCCAATTGAGTGTAGGGGATGACGGAGGTGGAGAGGGGTGGGCGAGGACTCGTTCCCGGCAAGCAGGCATGTGCGTAGTGAGAATGCGTAAATATACGGCGCCATACTACCGCATCGTGGCCTCCGCCGAGTCCGCGCTGCCACTGGACGGCGTATCGTGAAGGGGAACAAGGACAAGGTTGACGGGCGTCTTGATAAGGCCGAGGAAACGGGGGGGAGACGGTCATTGTGGACGCGCACCCAACGCGCGCCGCAGTGCGCGCGCGAACTATTTGGGGAGAGGGCTGTAGAGGGGCAGAAGGTGGCCCTGGAGAAAGACCCGGGACGGGGTTCAAGGATAGACATCGCGCTCACCCTTACCCGGATCGGCCTCTTCTTCGGGGACCATGAGATGCTCACTCAGTGCCTCGAGCAGGCAAAAGACTCTTATATCACGTTGTTCTTCAATTTACATGCCCTACTGAACACACGCTTCAGACTTGTGGAGAAGGGCGGTGACTGGGATCAGGGAGTGACAGGGACATCGTCTGAAAGTGCACCGTGGTATGCCGTCAATCCGGCAATCCAAATCCCAGCGCGGCGAACTCCGCGATGCCCCGGCAACGTTCACCGCCACCATCTTCCAAAATGACTTCGTGGCGGCCATCACGATCGCCAACTTCCTGGCAACCAGCCGACCAGGTCTCAAGAAGAAGCTCGTTGTCGCACCGGAAGTCAACCGCTGCGCATGTGAATCGCCTGCACGACGCGACGGGCTGCCTGAGCGCGCAATACCCATCGTTAAATGACAGGCGTCCAGGGGATTTCTCGCGCTCGGCCAATTCCGCGCATCCCGTTCCGGTTGTTGCCAGCGCTTCGGCGCCGGGGCTCCGTTCAAGTTTACCAATGTTTGAAGTCAGCCGTCGGCGGGAGTTACGTGCTCCCTGCCTGGTCCGGCCCCACCCGGCATTGCATTCCTGCATCCCACGTACGAATGCTTTCAGGCCCGAGGGGCCTACGGCGCCGCCAGGCGCGGGACATGCTCAGCCTCGGGGGCACGTAACTCGAACAGGCGGCCTGCCACAAACGAAGCGTGGCGAATCCGCGCGCCGTCTTGCAGCGCGGCCGGTGGGGCCCGCCAGCGGTGGGGCCATGCGCGACCGCCGGCGGGGCGCCACGGATTGATTTCCCACGCCGATCATCCCCTGGGCGTTGTCGGCGGTGGGCACGCCGCTGCCCGTCCATGCCCTATCCCCCACCATGGCCGCCACACACACCCTGGAGGACGTCTCCAACTTTGCCTCCCTGATCCACCATGCGCTGCTGAAGAACCCAGATCCACAGTGCCCCAACCAAGCTGCGTGGGTGCCCTGGTTCCACTACACAGTTGGCGAAATCCGCCGGGCGCGGTCCGATGGCCTGCCCTTCAAAACACTCCCAAAGCTGGCCCTCGCCGCATACTACGAGCTGGAGAGGGGCGACATCGACTTGGGATACGAGCCTTCAGTCTGGCGCATCACGCCTCATGACAGCAACAAGGAGGCGGTGGCTCATTACGGGTTCGATGTGGGGCTGGAGGTGAACGACGATGGCGACGTTGCCCTGCTCCCGTGGAGCGCCCTGAGGGGCCGGGAATGGGTGGAAACTAGTGAGTACGTTGCCTTCTGTGTGTATCTCATATTCAGAAGCCCAAGTAAAACCGCTGGGCCACCCCGTACCTATGTTGGCGAGCAACGTGGCGCGTGGTGAGCCCCCCATGCCAGACCACCCTGTCTCGCGTTGCCCTCATCTACATTGACTTTCCAGGCTTGGAGGGGTCAACTGCCGATGCCGGAAAAGGTACGCACGTAGCCGCCTTTCTTCCCCCTTCCACCCACATCCCGCACAGTTTGCGCGTGCCCACAGGCCACGGCGCATTGGCGGCCATGAGTGCGATGGTGGCTTGCGGCTGATGAGGCGACGCCTCACCATGTCCCGCCGACCATTTCCCAGCAGTGCGATCATGCTGTGCCCCCGAACGCTGCGCTCACGCTTGCACGCAGAGGATGAGCCGCCGCCCGGAGCCGCCGAGCCTCGCGACGTGGCACCTAAAAAACTCCAAGGGGCGAAGAAGCGCAAGGCTGAAGGGCCGCCCAAAGTGGAAATCCCGCTCCAGGAAGGTGCGTCCCTCATATCCCCTGCGGACTGCTTCCCAGTAATCACCACGTGCCCCTTTAGCGGAACCTCGTGGTGAGGTGGGGGCCGAGGCATCTGAGACCAACCAGCGGCAGACACGCTCGAAGGCGAACACGGCCTTGAAGCCAAACATCAGCAACGCCTCAAGTAGCCAGGCCGCAGGAAAACGCAAATCGCGTGGCAAGGCGAAGGCCGATGTGCCACCCGAGCCACATTTCCCGCCCTTCCCTGGCTACCCCGACTTCTTCCCGATCGCAGAGGCGCCTGGCCCCGTGAGTCCGATGCCTTTTCTCTGTATTCCAGCTTAATCACACAATTGGTGCAGACCGAAGACGACCCCATCGACTGGCGATGTGTAGGCTGCCGAAAAGCCAACGTTCCGTGCCTGTTCTCGCCTTTGCAAAACGACACCTGCGAGAACTGCAGAGCGGGCGGGGCGGGATGCGGTCTCAGGCTTTCACCCAGCAGCTCCCGAGGATTCGTCGCCGCGTATTGCGCCTACAGGGCTGGTGTGCAGTGGGCCAATCCCCACATCTATCCAAACCCCATCCCCGTCTCCGAGCTCTGGGCGCAAATCGGAGGCACCGGAGACGTCCCGACGTGGTTTGTGGAGTGGTGCCGCGCACGTGTCACCTCTCCTGACGCCAAGGTCGTTTCTGCTGAGCACGCCACGGCCCTGGCGAACCTGGCGGCCTCATCACTCCGCCGAGATGACATGGAGCCGGTGGAGGACTTGGGTGAGGCTGCTTACAGCCAGGTGAGTCCCACAGTGTGCTTCCACCAAAGCCCTGCTAACACACAGAGCACCAAAGCCGGGCTACCCTTTCGACCCACGCCTCGGCCCTGAGGCGGAATCCGTCAGCGGAGATGGCGGCCCCAAGGCAAAAGGTGCGTTGGCTGGCAGCGTCGAAGTCACAATGGGGCTGATTGGGTGCTAGATCACAGCATGGGGGCCGATGTGGGCGCCTACACTGAAGCCAACGCCGAAGCTGGCGCCGACAGCGAGGCCAACGCTAACGATGGCGCCGACGCCGATGATCGCGGCAGTGGCAGCAAGGGCAAGGGCAAGGGCGTTCTTGGGAGGCCCCTCCCGTTGGGCACCGGGTCATCGCCGCCGGCGAAGAGGCGCCGTGGGGCCCCGGCGGCGGGCCAGGGTGGGCCGCCACCTCACGCTGTGGCATCGCACAACCAGCCGCCGCCACCACCTGGTACGATCGTCTCTCTCCAGCCTTATTCTCGCTTATGGGATGCAGGACACGACTTCCGAAATGTGCCGCTGACGCCAATTTTCCCCGAAGATGTCGTGAACGAGGTCCGCCCTCTGTTCGGCAGCGCGCACTCCCCAACTGCCGCGGGGGTGCCTCGCGAGGAGTTCGAGGCCCTCCGTCGCCGCACCGATCGCCTTGAGCAACAGCTCGCAGCCATGCAAGGGCTGGAGATGGAGGTCGCGAGCGTGCAGTTGCGGCTCGACGGCTTGGCCCAAGCGATGCGCCATCAAGCAGGTAAATCTATGCTCGGCCCCAGTCCCAGTGCGCCGTTCTACGCATCCATGTGGCAGCGCTGATTGCCCGCTGCAGCGCGCTCCATGGGGCCACAAGGGGAAAGCGTCGTTGGTGCCCCGATTTGGGGGCAGGGGGGCGGTTTCTACTCGGCAGGCGGCCCAGAGGCCATGCGGGCGTGGCAGGGGCGTGGGCGATGGGAGGCGCCAGGCTACGAGGCCCCATCGCCGCTCGCCTTCCGCCCGCAGTTCCTGCAAGATCGGGCCTTTCTAGCGGAGCGCTCGGGACTTAGTACCCCAGCAGCGGGAACGGGCGGCGCCTCCGCCATGCCATCGCCGGCGCAGTCCGCGCCCTCGCTGGCGCCATCGCCGGCGCCCACCACATCACGATCGGCGTCAGTGGCATCCACACGTGGGCGCACCAGCTCCCATCGCCCATCGCCAGCCTCAACCGGTGGTGGCGCATAGACGCATTTGAGCGGTGTCGGATGCCGTAGAATAAATGATTGTCTTCACGCTGAAAGCACAGGGACTTTCCCAGCGACGGCTGCCTGTATTTACTTCACGATGTGCTTTTAACCTCACCTCGCTCTCTTCAAGACACTCGGACGGACCTCGAGTCGCGCGGGCAATTTAATTACTACTAAGAAGTGGAGTGCTATGCTACTCGAGCCATAACATGCGTTCTGCGGACGCAGATGCGTAGGCAGGCCGCGTCCGTTTGCAGCTCCACAGCGATGGCCGGCCCAGATCTGCAATACGCGTCTGCAGGCGTCTGCACATTGCGTTCAGACGGTCAACCTCTGCCGTATGGTCCCATGCAGCACCATCTGTGTATAATTATTTTAAAAAATCGCATTCGTTGATGTGAAACGTGATTAAGTCTGTCTCACCACACAGAATTAATTCTGTTCTAGTGTTGCCGTCCTCATTAATCTTAGACATGCTTCGAGACTTAGATAATTCAGGCCTTGGGAGGGGGGTGTGCACAAAGTTAATTGAGATGCTCGAAGATAATATACTGCAGCACCTGATGGCCGATTAAGTGACACATGTAATTAAAGTACAAAGGACACATACTAAAGACATGAAGATAATCGACAGCATACCATTGAGTGAGACGTTCAATTATTGTGGGGGAGCAGCGGAGGGGAAGAGACCAACGGCGACAGGCCGTCCGTTCCAGACGCAGGCGCGGAGGGCGTGGGGTGTTACGGCCACGGACGCGAGAGCGTGGGCGAGGTCGGGGTGGGGCGGGCGAGGGCGGTGAGCAAGCGGAAGTGGGAAAGGGCGGGGTAGCGCGCTCACCAGGCGAAAAGCGGGGCCGCGGTTCCACCGCGGCCCTGGGAAGCCATTCGTCCGACCGTGGGCGTGCGTGGGGACGTCCTCGATGCGTCGTCGTCGCCGTCGTCCAGGCGGCTGGGAAAAGGCAGAAGGAGAGCAGAGGTAGGCAGGCGTCCAGCATACGGGCCTTCCGATTTAGACGCAGAGCAGGCAGAGAACGGGAGAGGGCTGGAGGGCGCCGCCTCATCGCATCTTGCGCGCGGTCGGGTTGGGCGAGTACACTGGGGGAGGAGGGGTCCAGACGGAAGAGAGCGGTGGGACGACTCACTGGGCGAAGACCGGGGCCGTGGTTCAATACCGCGACCCTGGGAAACTAATCGCGCCGCTGACATGCAGGGTGAGCGCTGCAGGCTCGTGCGGGGACGGAACGACTCGCAGAGGTCGTAGGTCACCCGGTGACGCAGCGGCCTAAAAGGACGGGGTTGACCTCGTGCTCGATGTCGCTGAAGAGGGCCACGCAGGCGCCGATCGCGTTGTTGCACTTGTTGAGGAGAGCGGCGGAGTCGAATGTCCACGCGCGGGGGCGTCGATGGAGTGCTGTCAGATGCGCATCGCGAGGAGTATATGCGGCGGCAGGCCGAGGGTGGTGAGGATGGAGGGCTGTTCCTCGAGGAAGTCTAGCATGCCCAGACGAGGGGCAAAGACTTCGCCTGCTTAGTTCCCCACGGGGTCCTTGAGCGCCGGGAGATGAGGGCCTCAAGGTCACGCTGGGTGGCGGGTTGCTGCAGTTCGACGTAGTTGCTGTGGAGGTTGAAGACGGAAATGGGCTTGCCGATGGGGAAGTGGGTGGGTGCCGTGGAGAAAATTTCAATCTCGGTGTCTGAATCGAGGTTGAACCGAGCCATCGCGCGGCGCACGGTGCGTTCAGGGTTCGTGGGGAAGCTGACAGATACGTGTGAGAGGCGAATCATACGGATCTGCAGCCGAGCTCACATTGCGGGGTAGTCACCCGCGCGGTAGGTGAACCCCTCCGGGAGCACGAGCTCGATGTGCGTCTTGGGTGGATGGCACTCCGCGGTAAGCACCTTGTTCTCGACAACGGTGCCGAAGCCCATGTCGCGCTGGTAGAGCAGCTCTGCGCGCACCGCACTCGAAGACATCGTCTTGATCTCAAGGCCGATCGCCTACTCCCTCTTCACACCACCGCACTCGTCAGCAATGCCAAAATATCTGCTACGCCCACTAGACATACCGTGGAGAGCTTCACCCAAACCATCTCCTCCTACTTGTCAAAGGTATCCAAGGACCTGGCGCTCGCCGCATCGCCAGCACCAACCTCGACGAGCCCGACAGCACCGTGCCAAGCCTCGAGAATATCGTCGATCAACTTGGGCGCGCGCTGCTAGGTCGACCCAAGGACGCCGTACTTGATGCCACCTTGACATTGTCGGCCCACTCAAAAAAGTGCTTCGCGTTGTCCGCGACCAAGCCCGCGAAGGAGGCGGTGAGGATGAGCACAGGGCCGTCCATCGGAAGGTGCTCCGCGGCCATGTCCAGTGTCGACAACGTCGCGGTGAACTCTGTCCCGCTAGGTCAGGGAAACTCGGATACTCTAGCAGTAAGACTCACCATGAGTGGGTGCAGTGGAGACGATCCACTGCGCAAACGACCCTGAGTTCCCGGTGTTCGAGCCGTAGAACACGCACATCGGTTTCGGCCCGTTCGCGAGAGCATTGGCGCTTACTACATATCTGCGCGGGCGCTCCAGGCGCCGCGATTCGCACGCCCAACGAGTTGAGGAGCACCCGCGGTTGGGCGATCCTTGGGATCGACCAGACGTGAAAATGGAGATGAGCTCGAGCTGCGCCTCCTGCCACGCGGACGTGAAGGGACCAAGCTCACTGAGGGCTGTCACGACAGTAGTAGAGCTTGAGCCGGTCTACGTGCGGCGCATCCAGCGAGAGCTGGCGTCGGAGAGGAGCACGCGATCGCGGCGGCGGGGTCATAGCGCCCGCGATCGGCGATGGACTGACGCCCGTTGGAGTCACCGCCGACAAACATGCCGGAGTAGCAAAACCGACGACGGGCGAGATGCCCCCGCCCCTTCCGCCGGTTCGTAAGACGGCGATATCAAATTCCAAGCCAAACATAGAGGTTTTTGCCTACACCCATTGCTTTAGGAACGCAGGCTCACATTGTCTTTTACAGCATGTGCCGCTTCGCCGAAGCAGGCGCCCCATCCATCTCACCGAGGCTGCCATCGCCGCGAATCTCCGCCTTGCGAGCACTGATCACGACGCTCCATGTGAATCAAAGGCTTACGCTTAGTAAACCCAGCGCGCCGCCTCCACTACGACGTCACCCCATGTATGAAACGTGGATAACTGTTGTTCGTCGCGCGCCCGTGCTTCACCGTGTCGTTTTACTTTGAACCTCTGTCTTCAACTTGCCAGATTCTGCGTTTTCGATACAAATTGCCCCCGTGTGATTAACACCATTCGATGTACTTAGTGCGCGTTTTATGACTTCACAACGCTTGGACTACTGCTACGAGATATGCACAAGTGATTGGACACGGCGTGTTACGTCGCTTCACGTCTTTGCGAACTACAACGAATACATCTCAGTTTCACGAAGAATCCGCACAACTAGGCTCTGGACTGTTTCCGACGGTGCAACGACGTTGTCTTCATCACCCCAAATCCCAACCATATCTCGACGGTTGTACCAAGAGATTGCAATCCTTGTGTCCTTGACCTCGGGCACACCGTGCTCCACGATGTTGGCCAAGACCACCACCACAGTGCCTGGCCTGTACGAAACGGAGTAGCCAAGACTTCGAAGTCCAATGTATGCACTGTGTCCGTATTGTCCAAGGGTGACAAGGAGATCGTACCAGTGTGGGAAGCTATTCACATCCCGATGGTAGGGTGTCTTCCGGTTGAAGATCATCTGCAGGCCGATCCCCGTGACTGGCCATGGGATGCCGTCTGGTAGATTCTCCTGGAGGTATTCGCCCACTTGCTGGTGCTGGCTCGGGACGAGGATCCGTAAGACAGCGTCCAATATTGCGCCACTTCGAGTTATCGTTCGCAACCAGTCCTGGACTTCGACCTCGTAGAAGTCTCGAGATTCGCGAACTTCACCGGTCTACAAGCATACGTGAGATATCGCCTGGCATCGGAGGATGTGCACGTACGAACGCGTCCTTCATCTGGGGAACTATCCCAAAGATGCCACAGCCTCCGTCTGCGTTCAAATTGAAGAACCCCTTAAAGTTTCGCCAGGACGACGTCCGCGTCGTAGGTTTGTCAAGATAGGTTTTCAGCTTTTTGGTGGCCTCGAACAGCTCGTCCTGTGGGTTCCATCAGATAAATGACTCGTTCGAATGACAAAAAGCACACCTGACGGCCTTTGGACAACAGATCGGGGAGTGCCCAGACGAGTGGAATCTGATCGGCGTCGACAATAACGGCGCCACTGTGAATTGCATGGGGAACCCCACAATCCGTCGCGGCAGGAATGGGAAACTCGCGCTGCAGACGGGCTTGCTCCGGGTCCCTCGCTACCCCGTGGCCCTTAGGCATGATGTTCATATATTCTCCTATCGTCCATTCCATCGAATCTATTCCACAGTCAACATTATCTGCTCAGTCTACACAGCGCATACGCACATTTGTTATGGATCGCCTGATCTATGGAGTCAACTGCGTGGATGCAGTCTTCGAACATCTCCACGTCGAGCGCTTCAGGACGACGAATCTCAGCCCCCAGTGTGGACCCTCCTCTTAGCCTGTGCCGGATGCGTTGCCCAAGGGCGGACTGCATGGTGGTATAAACCACTTCGCGAAGTTTCACCGCCTCAGCGTTGTTCATGCCTGGCTACTGTGATGCTGAAGTGATCGAGCGCGAGTGTAGCCGCGGACGTAACGACTTGATCTCGCTTTGATAACGAGATTCGTGTTTCCCGTCACATGCCGTAGCCGCAGAAAACTTTGCATCGCAGGCTGCATTCATAGCCGATAAAAAAACCGAAGTGTGCTTTTTCAGATCTATATTTCTACAAGTGCAGGGCAGGAATATCGTAGCGCTTTCGCATTGTATGAATATCAACATGTCCGATCTGAGTCCTAGCTCCGCACGACCGCCGCCGGACGCTGAAAAGCGCCCATCCCGCCCACGGTCCGCACGACATTGTGGTCGACGAACGGCAGCGGCGGCATGGAGCTCCTCCAAATCGCATCTACATACCTCCAGTCGAAGACCGCGAGGCGCCCTCCTTGCCTTGGGGTCCGAGCGACGATGTTACAGATGTCGATCTCGAGGCCGTCCTCGACGGCGGCAATGGCAGCGCGGAGGTTGAAGGGGATGGTGCGACCGAGATTGAGGAGTGCCTACTGGATCCCACTGAACGGGCGAGCTGGAGTGCGGAGGAGTTTCCGCTGCTGTATCCGGTGGGGCGGGCTGGATGGACAGATTAGATTACCGCAAAAACAAGGACGTAGCGACATCCATACCTGGTTGGAAGAATGGAGAGCGTGTAGAAAACGCAGATCCAGAACCCGGAAATCCACCGCCGTGCGCAAAGAGGATTCCTTCGAGCTGACCCCGCATCTCAGCGACTTGTACCTCGAGGCTGCGCGTCCTCACGACCTGGTCCTCGAAGCGGTTGAGGAGTACGTTGTACTCCTCGCGGGAAACGAAATCCGCATCCGCACTCCTAACAAGGGTGCGGAGTTCCCTGACAGGGTCTTCAGGAGCAATAGGCGTTGGCGGCACGTTGCGAAAATCCAGACCTGTTCACTTCAATGAGCGGCAGTTTGACAGTGACGTAGTGAGACATACGAGGCGGCGGTACTGCCTGGTTTTGCGGTGCCAATGATTCGGCTGTCGGCTGATGGGGAGCTGCGCGTTTTGGAGCCCGTCGACGTTTCTTCGTAGGTGGTTGAGACGCGTCAATACTTTCGTCACCTGCGTCCTCTGGTGCAATTAGTCTGTGAACACCATCAACCCCAGACAATCGCACCAGACGCACCAGGCTTGCCTCCACTCGTGGAGGGTGGGGGCGCATGCGGATCGTACGGGTAGTGTTTCTGCCGCGTCACACAGTGTCAGCATGTGGAACCGGGGATGAAATCGCAGCGCGCACCGTCCTGTACAGCTCCTCTCCAAGGTCGGGGATGGACTCCATGTCGTTTCGGCGGAGTGTGTGGGTGTCTGGGTTTTCTACGGCCCTCAGCCTCTTTGCTGTCAGGGTTTCTTCGGCATGCGTGTGGTGTTCGCGCCACCACTCCTTGAACCAAGTCGGAACATTCGATGAGTGCCCTAATAAGGCCCACGCCTCTGTGGCGGGAATGGGGTTAGGATATATGTGGGGATTCGCCCACTGCACCGCGGCCTTGTAAGCGCTGTACGCCATCGCGAAGCCCTTTTTAGTAGGCGAGAGGTAGCCGAGGTCGCACTTGGCCGAGCTACCCTTGCATCGATAGCAATTCCCCCCACTCACGGGAAAGAAGACGCAATCGCCGTTGGCGTCTCGGCATTTGCTACATCGCCAGTCCAAGGGGTTCTTGGCAGTCTGCGCAGTGACACCGTTAGGCAAATCTCCAGTGGAAGGACATCTGACTGACCGGCCGCGGTACTCGTGCACACGGATAGAACCCTGGCGGGTGGTCGAATGGGGGAAAGAAGGGTTCAGGCGGAACGTATGGCTCTGAGCCGTGCGAACGCTTCGCCGGATCGTCGGACCCCTCGCCAGAGGTGCTAAGACTGTCGCCTTTGCTCGAGGTGGATGCCTTGGCCCGCGTCTGCCGCTGATCGACGTCAGGCGGCTCGGGGGAAGAGGCGTCCCTCGTAGCTGAGTTACATGATCAGTGGGATATTGCAGCAAACACCTGTGAGGCTCAGAGGTACCCACCTTCGATTGAACGGCTCTTCGGTGCCCCTCGATGATTCCGTTTCTTGGCATTTCGTCGGTTTTTGGGCGTCTTCTCGCTGTGACGCTCACTTGAGCGCAGCGATTGCTCGTCTATATGAAAATGTGACCACTATGTTTGACGGAAGAACGCAATTGAACTGCTCACCAGAGGGAGGCGCACGGTCGTCCTCGACGTCTTCTAGAGTGATATCTTTGCCGGCGGGCAATGCATCGCGACCTGCAGGAGCAAACGATGTCGGCGGGATACTAGATGGGCGATCAGGAGCTTAGACGGTGATACGCACCAGTAATTGCCGAGGATGATTCGGCTTGCGGTGTTGAAGGCCGGTCAGCCGAGGGAATCGCCGTGGACGAGGATGCGGCGGCGGTTCGAGGCGTGACTGACAACTTTTGAATGGTGGGTGAAAGGCAAAGACCGAAAAGAACTCACTACTCTCAATCCAGCTCTTCTTCTCAACGTCCTCCCACACCAGGACGGGAACGTCGCCCTGATCGTTCGCCTCCAAACAGAAGTCGAAGCCATACGCGGCAGCGGCCTCTGCGTTGGTGCTGAACCGTTGGATGTTCCAGATGGAGGGCGTATATGCAGGGTCCTGGCGGCCGTTCTCCATCTCGTAGCACGCACAGAGGGTTCTGGTTGGAACGCTCTTAAAGCGCAAACGTCCTTCGTAAAACGCCCTTCGGACCTCGCCGATGCTGAACACCAACCAGGGCATCCAAGTCGCGAGGTTGGGACAGTGGGGTGACGGGTCTTTTAATAGTGCGTAGTGTACTTGTGACGCAGCTTGGACGAGTTCGCGTTGGGTGAGGGGGGGTCGTTGTTCAGAAGACATCGCGATGGAGAGAGTGGGGACTGTCGGCGTCAAACGTCCGCACGCCCGACGTCTCATCGCCGATGATCGGCGTGGGAATCAATCATGCCGCACGTATCAAACGGCACACGGGCGCTTTAAGAGCGTCCGGCTCGAAGCCGCATTACCACCATTCAACGTGAACGCTCCTCGTCTATGCAAATCGAACCTCAAGGTCTCGCATTCGTAGGCAAGTCTCAATTAAAACTTTCGCCATATGTTCGCCTACACAACCTTTCAGCAGGTCCAACCTGTGCACTAGGTCAGTGGCATCGCACGCGTCACGAGAGGTGCTGTAAATTTTCCCATCGAGCATAGATCCGTCGCGGATTCCGAGCAACCACATTCTCGGCCCACTCTCGGTCTGGAACTCGAAGGCAATGCCGTCAAGTGCTGCGCAACTCTTCAGCCCCTCACCGACTTGCACCGTCGAGCAACTCCTCAGCCGAGACTTCGACTCGGCTCCCGACCCACTTCCTTGGAAACCTGGCGCAGATTTGGAATATTCCCTACACGAGCCGGATCCGCCTGCTGATATCCCTCGCTGGGTCGCTCTAGTGGACCACTATTCGCCAACCACGGCTGTCACTCTGCCACAGCGCGCCGACATCGACGCCTTAAGCCCCGAAACCCTTTCCTTAATCCACCCGGGCGCCCCGTCCGCTCGCCTGCCTATATGGTTTGCACAACTGTGGGACTCACTATCTGAAATCTACCAGATGCGGCAGGGATATCTGCGTGCGAGGGCATGGATAATTCGCATGCTTGAAGCCGGCACGTCAACCACTGCCGAATGCGAAGAAGCCCTTCGCCGCGTGTGTTTTCTGCCGGCCATGGACCACGTTTGGCGACACGTCGCACCCCGGCTCGCTTCGTCTAGTCGATGGCTTAACTCAGACGCCCTCGACCTTGTTGTGCTTATGCTCAACGCGGAGATTCGTGAAACGCCTCTTAAAGGCGTGGCGTTCGTCCTTTCCTCCGGCATATGCGGGTACTCGGGGACCAAGCTTAACGCAAGGTTTTCGCGTTGGATTGAACGCCGCATCTTCCAAAAGCGTGCGACGCTGTACGTACCCTGGCATCTTCAGGACCATTGGATCACCGTCGCCTTCGACATCTCTCATGGAATCATCATGTACGCCGACTCAAAGCCCTCTTATAGCGCCACCTTGCTTTCCGACGCGAAGCGTAAGATGCGGAATGTTTCTATAGCCATTGACAAGGCGATCGGCAGGCCGGGGCGTATCTGGAAGTTCGACAGCACATCAATTGCCTGCGAAGAGCAAAAGGATGACTGCTCTTGTGGAGTTGCCACTGCCTTTACGATTGCACATCTCATATTCCCAGACCGCCCTCCTTGGCAGCCAGAGTACCCGGATCAACAGCGGCTAAGCCTGCTCCTGCAGCTCTTACGCCGTGCGCCTCAGGTGCGTTCTCTCACTTCCGGCCTAGCCAGTGCGAGATGCTTATAGCCTACCCTACATGCAGACAAATGGATCTCATTCTGGATACAACAGCATCTGGGAATACGCCGACCTTGCGCCTCCCTCAAGTATTCCAGCATTACCATCAAGCACATTCCAAACTCAGACAACCGAGACCCCAACCACAACAACGGGTTCACAATCGGCGCCATTCAAAGGGCCAACTCACAGTAGTCCCTCGACCCCGGTGCAGCTGGCACGCCCGCCGCCGCCGCTCGGCAACGTGGCGGCCCCGATGCAGCTCCAACGCCCGCCCTCCCCGTTCCAAGGGCCCGCCCCACCGCCGCTCGCGCGCCCGCCACCACCGCTCGGTAACGCAGTACCCACAACGCCCGCGCGCCCGCCCTTGCCGTCTCTCAGGCCTGCCCCGACGCTGCTCCAACGCCCGCCCTTCCCGTTCCAAGGACCCGCTGCACCGCCGCTCGTGCGCCCTCAACCGCTCGCGCGCCCGCCACTGCCGCTCGGTAACGCGGTGCCCAAAACGCTTGCGCGCCCGCCCTCGCCGTCTAGCAGGCCCGCCCAGATGCAGCTCCAACGCCCGCCTTCCCCGTTCCAAGGGCCCGCCCCACCGCCGCTCGGCAACGCGGTGCCAGCAAAACTCGCCAGCCCGCCCTCGCCGTTCCGCGGGCCTGCCCCGGTGCACCTCGAACGCCCGCCCGCGCCGTTCCTCGGGCCTACCCCAGTGCAGCTCGCGCGCCCGCCTCCACCTGTCGGAAACGCGGCGCTCGTGGCGTTCGAACCCCCACCCTCGCCATTCCGCGGGCCTGCGTCTGTGCATCTTCCTAGCCCGCCACCGCCGCTCGGCAACGCGGTGCCCAAAACGCTTGCGCGCCCGCCCTCGCCGTCTCGCAGGCCTGCCCCGATGCAGCTCCAACGCCCGCCTTCCCCGTTCCAAGGGCCCGCCCCACCGCCGCTCGGCAACGCGGTGCCAACAAAACTAGCCCGCCCGCTCTCGCCGTTCAGCGGGCCTGCCCCGGTGCACCTCGAACGCCCGCCCGCGCCGTTCCTCGGGCCTACCCCAGTGCAGCTCGCGCGCCCGCCTCCACCGGTCGGAAACGCGGCGCTCGTGGCGTTCGAACCCCCACCCTCGCCATTCCGCGGGTCTGCGTCGGTGCATCTAGCAGGCCCGCCACCGCCGCTCGGCAACGCGGTGCCCACAACATTCGCGCGCCCGCCCTTGCCGTTTACGATGCCCACATCTGCGACGCTCAACCGCCGCCCACACGCGCTGCTCAGGAGACCATCACCTATTCCGCTGGATTTCCCCACCGAGCCCTTCTCAACCCGCGGCATGCAGGACGCGCTGCTTGAACTCGAAGTGCCGCCTACACCCTTCAGACAGCCTGCCGTCGGGAGTCAGCAGTTGCAGCAGGGCTTGACGCATGCACAAGTTGCTGAGAAGAAGCCCGATGCGCCACTGGTACGCCGTTCATCTCAAGAGCTTCGGCACTGTGGGGAGCACATTGGCGCTTGACACCAGCACTGGCAGCACTAGCACTACCCTCGTCGTTGCCGTCGTCATCCTCATGTTCCGATGTCCCATCTTGCCCTCACCCACGTCTCCCGTCTTGCTCTTGCCCGTCTTGCCCGTCTTGCCCTTACTCTCGCTTGCCTCGTGTCTCTCCATCTCCCACGTCGCCCCCTTCGCGCCTGCATCTCCCACGTCGTCCATGTCGCGTCCGCTGTATTGCCCTCCTCACCCTCCTCGCCCACGTCACCGACGGCGCGAAGCACAGCCTTCCCCTACCACTCTCCATCCCGTCGATTACGAGCGAGGATTCAACCAACAGCCCAACGTACAGCAATACTGGGTACGGTGCCGCGCAACAATCCCATTCTGCAGCAGCATCAAACAATTGGCACGGCAGTGGTGCGGCTCACGGGCTACCGTACTCCAACGCTGTCGCGCCAGCATAACGACGCCGACGTCCAGCACGACGTCCAACCCGTCTTTCCCGACGAGTGTTCATTCCGTCTCCCACCCACGCATCCACCGCCTCTACGATGCCTGCCACGTCACCCCCACCTCGTCCGCATTTCCCGCAGCGCCCCCTTCGTCACGTCGCCAGTGTCATCCACCTCGCTCACATCACACTCCCTTATCCGCGTCGCCAGCGTTGCCCACTGCGTTCTCGCCCGTCTCACCTTCGCCTTCGCCCATCTCGCCCTCACCCGTTTTGCTGTCACCCGTCTTGCTGTCACCTCCATCACCGCGTCGCCCCCGTGTCGCGCCCGCGTCACCCACATCGTCTTGCTGGTCTCGTCTAGCCCACATCACCCACATCGCAGCGTCGTCCTCGTCTCGCCCACGCGTCGGTGTGATCGTCTTTGCCATGTGCCTCTGTCCGGGCGCCGGGATCGATGCAACGCCGGCCACGCGCTGACCGGTCCCTCTCCTCAGGCTGGGAGGAACGCATTCTGCCGGCTCCTCATAGAGATCTCGAAGACCTCGCGGGATCCTTCGATTTTTCTCTTGGGAGAACAGCTGCGTGTGGACAACTTGGATCGCCTCAAATCGTACCTCCAGCGAAATCCCCAAAGCCAAACCCGTCGTCATCTTCTCCCCATTCAGCCTCCGCGCGACCTTCGTTCTGTGTTCTACGACCCAAGTGCACGATCATCTCAGACAGGAAAAATGAGGTACGCTGGTATGGATATCATTCTACGCTGTGCTACATTGACGACCATTTTAGCACGACTCGACTGCAAGCTTGATCACCGAACTCCGTTCTCCTACGTTCCCCACGTCGCCAGGTGGGATTGAGCTCCAAGCGGCCGTTCTGCCTCTGGATGATAGAAATAGATTCCTCCTCGTCGACTTGTTCTGCAGAGGTCCTGGCCCCATCTTCCTCGTGCTTGAAAGAGTGGACGACGGGAGGTCCAACGATGGCGCTGCTCCGCTCTACCAGCCTGGCAGGGAGGAACCTGTTGTGCGTATGAGGGAACCAAGCACGGACATCGCCTCACATGGCTGAACGATGACAGACCTGCGCGTTGTAGCCCTCCCACCGTACACAGGTGTCCCCTCAGAGCACGAAATTGCAGGGATGGAGTCGCTTAAACGCTTCTGCGAAACCACCACTACCGGCTCCCCCTTTCACCTTGCCTTTCGCGACTTCTTCCAGCTCAGGGACCAGTTCACTGTCTTCGACGGCAAAGCAAGCACCCAGCCGTCGCCTTCTTCCACCGAAAACGTCTCCCTTCATTTCCGCGGCTTTATTCAAACGTTGACCGTCGTTCTTGGGGTCCCCCATCGACAGCCACCTGCACTCATCTAGGCTAACCTCGCTGTCATCTCAAACTGCGATGAATACGTCAAGCCCAGACGTACCGCGCCGACAACACTTCTGCACCCTTCGTGTTGCCCGGCCCTATGAAGCAACCTCCGCCGCCGAGGATGCGCATTCGTGCGAGACAGATCATATCGACATGGACGGACCATGGCCAGTGCAGCGCCAAGTGCAGGATCCGTCTTAGGAACTCATGTTATCGTTCTCCTCTAGTCCGTTTAGTAGAGAAACGCTGCAAGTAAGGGTGGATTTCAGAATGATTAGGGGCGAGATGTAGAGTATAGCACGATATGACTGCGCATCATTTGTTAATGTTTTAGAGTGCCAGCCGACAGTAGCATCGCGCATGAAACGGTCGTGACGATGCTGTTACACGCTGATGTGACGCCAACTCTGGGGTGTCGAAGCGAGAGAGCGTAAGCGCGAAGCTCGGGAGATCGCGTGAGTGAAAAAGAAGAAAGACACGACGCGCCGCGTGAAGGGCGAATGCGAAGAGAGGCTGAGCGGGCGAACGCGTGGCGCGCGAAGTGGACAAGGACAGAGGAACAGACCGGGGAAGACGAGCTCGAGCACACGGGTGCTGGTGATATGATATAGGATGCGAGGGAGTGGGCGTTGGCGTTGGCGTGTGCGAAGTCAAGGCGAAAGTGGATGAACACACCACACACGGGAATAGCCAGGAAGTGAACTATGAACTTAGATACATACGGCGCGCGGCGCGGGGACGTATCTAAGAGAAGAGACTGCATCAAAGACAGTAAATAAGAACGTACAAATCTGAAGCAAAATGTGAATCCTAGACACAGGAGACACTGCAGAAGAGGCGAGAGAGACTCGCGTGGAGATGGACGGAGGGGGGCCAAGACAAAGAAATGAAGAGGAGACGAAGAGATGTGGGAACGCGTGGTATAAAGAAAATGTATCATGAAGCGATCACAGAACGTACTAGGACGTCCACGAGTGCAATGGCGAGAGGGAGAGGGCGTCGCGCCGTAGGCGGTGGTGATCGCGTACGCTCAGTGTAGACCGCGAGAGAACACAGAAGGCGTTGCGGTGAGTTCACATGCGTCGCGCCTTGACGTTTCCATCCGTTTTGCTGACGCGGTCATCCTGTGGTAGTATCCGCGGGCGGATGGCGAAGGGTGTGCGAGGCGGAATAGACGAGATGCACGAAGACGAGGACGAACGCGGAGATGATCGTGCGGGTGTTAGCCTGGTCGAAGGTGTTGTGTTCATGCGTCTGTGTCGTATGACGACAGCGCGTGCGTATCAGTGGATAGGCCTGTTATACGGAGGTATGAATGTCAGTACGAGCCAAGTCCTATAACGTGTAGCGCATTGACTTACAACCCAAATAGCACACACGAGTGCCTCCTTGGCCTCTAGTGCTGTCCATAGGCAGACCGCCTTTCACATCAAAAGAATCCTCTGCGCGGTTTGAGCAAGTGAAGGTGCATACATGCGCTCTGGGACTTCAACGACTGCGCTGTCCGCAGACGAGGCAAGCAGTTAGCGCCAGAAGCGTTTTGTGTCCTCGACACTCAAGTACTGACCACTAGCGTTGCCTCGCCTCCTGCACACCCGTTTCTTGCTGTCAAGGTCGTGTATAGGGCATAGGGAGATCGTCAGCTGCACGAGCGCGAGGGTTCGCGTCAAAAACATGCCATCAGTGATGCCGAGACGCAGGACTCTGGCGCGTCTTGTTCTCCCACCACCACCACCACCACCGCCTCTCGACGTCCTTCATGTTCTTCAGCTCCTCTCCTAAGCTCATCTCCCACTTTCCTTCAAGGCTGTAGTCAACATCCCCTCTTCGTCGTCAACCGAGTCCGGCACTCACTCCGCCGGAACGCCTCACAAGGTCGCCGCTCTTCCACCCACCTACCACGGCGCTTCGTTCCCCGCCTACTGCTCTCTCCCATGAACATAGACGGCTCAAAAGGACGTCTTCCGCCGGGAAACATAGAGCAGGAGTTTGGTGCAGTGGGAGGATACGCCATGCCGGTATGTGTTATACGTGTAGCACCCATTTTCTCGCAATACACGCGTTTCCCGAAGAACATCTCGTCGTTCGTCATTCCATACTCTTTCTACCTGCTTCTTGAAGCTTCTTGCGATCTTCGCTGGCTCACCCCGCGCGGGCATTCTTTCGTTCTCTCTTTCTGGAAGAACTCGCTACACATCAACGGTACTTAGCGAGCAGACGCCATTGGTGCGCGAGCCCCTGTTTTTGCGAGTTCTCATTCGGAGCATCCCAGCCCGTTTCATTCTCAGCGTAGGTCCCTATGGATGAGCGTGGGTGCCGTCTTCAAGCGCGGTGTCGACAGTAGAAGGCTCTCGGTTGTACGTAGCCCACTCCATTCATCGTCCTCCAACCTCTGACGCAGCTACCAGACTGGTGGTAACACGGATCTACCTAGCAGGCTCGCTGGTGATCTCTGCTCATCAGGTAACGAAGGTCGCCGTTCGGGGTCTCAAAACGATGTTCGCCGCCTTGAACACGCCCGCCCCCGAGCGCAATCCGACGAACCTGGAGTGACTCTTCGTGGTCCGCACTACTGTCTCGTCCGTCTGCGCGGGACGTCCATCCTGGTTCCGGCGTTCAGAAAGAAGGAGCAGCTCACGGATCTCAATCCTATGGTCTACGCACACCGCAAATACAAATGTATGTGTAGCACACCGTTGTACGCCATCATCTCATACAGGCAGGCTACGGAAAAGTACGTCCTCCTTCGTCGAGCATCCTGGCGCATAGTACCCATCCCTAACGCTAATACAACAAGAGATCGACCCTGATTCATACGCACCCTCAGCATCGCCGCCTCGTGCTTGTTCCAGCAGGTCGCCGGGGATAACCGCGCGCAGGTTTCGACTGTGCTGGTCTGTCATTTCATCACCTCATGCGCGCATACACTCACTTCACATGAACGGACGCAAGGCACAACACTCGACCTCATCTCCCGCGAGAAGTGCTCTGGCTTGTCGGTACCATCAACACCATAGCCATCTCGTGGTGCCTCCCTTCCCTCGCCGACACGGGACAACAATTTTAAGCCCGAGGAGGACGCAAAGGAGATATTGGAGGACTATCCAGGTGTGTTTCTTTATCCTCGATCCATCTACATTGGCTCAATTGCCGCCTATTGTTCCCCGCACACGCTCCAGATCGTGCCGCGCATGCTATACGAAGTCACCCATCGCGATCTTGGTGTGTCTTTTCCTTCCTCGATTCTCGTGCTATTTCCTTTCTCAACCCGAACCCCCGACACTCTTTGGTGTCACCTTCTCCACGCCTCTCCTCGTCGCCCCGATAGGATACTAAGGCGTCGGGCACGCCGACGCCCAGTGCGCGGCCGCGCGGGCCGCGGGTGCACTCAACATTCCTCCCATCTGCGACAGCTCCATCTCACGTTCGCTCGAGCAAGTCGCAGAGGCGAACGACCGTACGTCGTTACATAACTCGAAGTGCGCATATACCTATCTCGCATGACTGCAGGCAGCTCAATGAAGACACATCACCCTCTTCTCCCCTGCACGCAGAGCTGCGCTTGTCGTTGCCGTCGACATTCATGATCATCGACTGGCGCCACCTGAACATCGACTGAGTTTCTCCTCTTCGCCCGTGGCCTTGGCATCCGGATGGCGCTCTCGGACTCATATTCATGGATCAAGCCGGGGCTGCACCGCATATTTACGAGAGCAGGATACCCACGCCTCGTATGAGGTGGCACGCTCGTCGAGTCGGGCGGATGATAGGTCATGTCGTCGATGATCAAAGGGATCCTGAGTCTCGAGGCGCGTCTCCCTACCCTTACGTATCGCGCCAATGTATCACTCCTCGCGCAGAGCGCGGAGATCGCGATCAACGATGGCATGGACGCGATCATCGTCTCCAACCACAGTGCGTCCTTCTCTCTTCCTTCCCCTTGTGCGCACCATGGTGATCGACATCAACCTAGACCACCACTAGATTGACCTCCCTCTTCGCGGTCGAACACATCACACAGTCTCATGAAGTCAAGGCCGTGCCCGCGTCCAGCAAGCCCATACAATATGCCCGGAATCGTCAACTCCGGATGGAGCCCCTGGATTAGTACAGGGCCCTACTCCGGCTGCAAGGCTACGCAAGTGACCAGGCGTCGTGTTTTCTTCCCCACCGTAGCCCATTTTCCCCGCGACGCCACTCAGACACGTCAAAGCACCCGGGATTCAGTATGCCGCCCGTTCAACTCCCTTGCCCGAATCTCGCCATCATGCCAGTCGTCTCCACACTATATTCGGGCCTCCGGTTCGCCGAATACAACCCGCCCCTCTCCGCACACACCTGACTCAACGTCGTACAGCACGAACGTGACGGAAAGCGGAGGCCCGCGGACGACGGAGACGCTCTCATCCAGCCCAAGGTGTGCGCACGTCGGTCTCGCTCACTGGCGGGACGCGCCCCCCTCTCTGCTCTCGACGGAACGTGAGCGAGTTGGTGCCCGACCTTCGCGCACGTCTCCTCCGTACCTCGATCTCCTCACCAGCCGCCCTGGTCGACCTCGACGCAGACGTGTCGTCCCGCGGGCTGCGCACCGTCCTCGGCGTTGCGTGTATAGGGGCGGGCACCCCAAGCGCCACGCTGCAGTCTTCCATGAGGCACACGTGGATGCGACGCGATTCAAAGCAACTGCCACCGCGTCCTGTTCGTCCAAGCATGCCCTCGTCCACCGCCGGGCTGCCATCCGCCCCCGCCACCGCCGGTCCTTCGGGCGCATCGAGCACTCGCGCTCTCCAGTGCGCGAGGTCCGAAACCCTAGTCGATCCCCCTCGCAGACCAAACCGACGGCGATAGAAGGACGCGGGGCGGGTGACATCGCCATCCGCGTCTTCACGTTGACGAGATGCGAGGGCGGGGATCGCAGGCGCACGCTCGAGTCTCGACCCGACGAACGACCCCGAGCCAACTGACTCGTCGAACCGGTCGAGTCTTCCGCGCTCCGCCGCGTCAAGACAACGCAAGCTCTGGCGCCACCCGAGCCGCGGCCAGCCACAGGAAGCTCGTGCGCTTTTCGCCTCATGCGCGAGTAGGAGCGTCCGCTGATCGGCTCCGTGAGCGTCCTCAGTGCCAAGACCTCGAAGAGCCGGACCTAACACGTTTTTCTCTGTTCACTCGAACAACATTTTCGCCTCTTCCCCGCGGCAGAAAAGAGCAGGAAGGTGAAGATCTCAGACTCGTAAGTGCTCCGATTTCGTACGCGCGCGGTCTGGCGTGTCGGCTGATGGACCTCTGCTTGTCCGGTCTCCCAGCAGCACGCCGCCTCAAAGACTCGCGCTCGGTCTGGGACCTCCGGACGCGCGAACGTGCGATTCCGTCCGACCAGGGAAACTCAATTCATACATCTATGTAGTACAAGTCATTCCTGATACAAAAACCGCAACTTCTTACACCCCAAACCCCATCCGCTTGCGCTCGTGTCACGCGGGCGAGTTCGGAGACGCACCGACGTCGCTCTCCCCGCCCTTCGTCGCGCTCCACGGAGAGTCTGCGGAGCGTCTGCGTCAGCGTCCCCCTCCTCTCTCTCTCACACACACTCGCACGCGCGCACGACGAACGCTCACCTGGAATGCAGTCGAGGCTGATGTGCGCCTCCAAATTGTCCGTCGTCATCGTGCGCTCGATCGTGACCGCGATGCCGTGCGGGCGGCGCGGAGAGGTGCGAGAGGCGCGGGTATCGCCCCCGCATCTCTCCCGCCCCTTAGGGCACCTGCGCCGTCGACGCTTTCCCCCACGTTTCGAGAACCCCGTTTCATTGAACAGTAGAACTACAGCATGTACTACACGCCTCCCATAGGGCGTTAAACGAGGACGACAAAAAAAAAAAAGTCCGAGAGGCGCGAGAGTTCGATGTCGAGCTGGCTGCGGGTGATGTCGCCGGAGGAGGAGTGGATGGTCGACCCGCGGCGGGGGTTGAGGATGAGGCGCGATCCCTAGGCGGGGTCAGCTCGTCTCAGCGCGAAGACTGCAGTGAGAGCGAGACCATCAGCAAAAAAGCGTTTTAATTGGAATGGCTTGAAAGCGAATAAAACGTCCAGAATGTTATAAAATGTTCGTACTTTCAATAGATAGCTGTTCTGGAGGGTTGCAAGTCAATCCAATGTCTGGTCGGAGTCATTGGAAGCCATTCCAATGTTCGGCGATCTCAGGTTACCTGACACCGTCGGCTGCCTGAGCAGTGGTTCGCACATCAAATACGATAGGAAGAAACCATTTGTATTGACTAGAGTAGCTGCTACATGCAGACACGAATGCATGTACTATAAGGACAAGGCAGTCACACAAGGTCTTCCTTCAGAAAATAGGCGATCACGGCCCCGCTGCGCCAGGTTGCTGCATGCGCGAGTTCGCCGGAAGACGCACAGGAACGTAGGTGGCTGCGAGGCATCGTGAATAAGTACGAAGGCACCGCATATGCCTAGAATATCGGCGCACTCACATGTCCTCATAAGACGGCAGCACAGTTCCCTCCTTGCGCTGTCGCAGAAAGACGCGGCTCCCGCCCGCGCGACGTACTCGAGCCGGATGACGGTGGGGATCTCGCACAAGCGCGGGGACGCGAGGCGGCGCGCCACGCGCGTGCGCATCGGCGAGGCGCGAGGTAACCATTGCAATGGTGAGCGCGAGGATGAAAGAGCGGAGAGGGGCGCGCCGGTCCGTGAACGTAAACACGATGTGGTGGGCGCGTGCAGCGGCAAAGATCTCCGTGAGGATCCGTGGGGTCTTGGGAGGATTCAATGCAAGGGCGGAGTGGGAACTCACCAAAAAGGTTGTCCGCCAGGCCGATCTTCGACTGGGCCACCTTCAAACTCAGGGAGGGTCGGTGTACTTGAACGCGGAGCAGCTTCCTCTCACCAGTTTCATCTGGAATGGTAGCATACCGCAACATCCAGATGCACCTGGAATAGGCGCCGCAGGCATGAACATGGCTGGAATAACAAGTATTTATTAGAATACTCGTGCAGGAGTCGAACCTGCAGCGACCAGGCGCTGCACGTGCCACGCTTAGCCGGTACGCTAAGTAAGCTTTGTTGGGAACGCTGGCGCTTGCCTTATACCATCTCATCGCTACACCTCGACTTCGCACATGCCCAACCAGTCTTTCATCGAGAAGTAAAACGCGCTGACGCGCATGCGACCCACTTGGTCCGCCGGCAGCCGCATAACGCGGTGGGATGGCGTGCGGGAGGGCACTGGTAACGTATGTCTTTCCGGGTGTGTCGAAGCCATAGATGTTGACGAAGGTGTCTTCAGGGAGCTCCATTCCGAGCGCTAGCGGACTTGTGCAGGTGAGCATCGAAGCTCACCTGAGCACGGGGTGGAGGAGCAATCCTCATCTGGCCAGCGCCTCGCGCGCGACTAGGGAATAGACTCCCCGCGTCCACTTCGCGCACCCCGCAACTTCGCGCACCCCGCAACTTCGCGCACCCCGCATCTCTTCGTGTTCTTCCCTCACTCACCGTTTCACGCTTACGCTCGTCCACCCTCACGCCTGTCGAATTTGCCCCGGAATTGGTGTCATGTCAACGGCGCCCAGGCCCCAGACCGCACACCTCTTCGTCTCACCCGCGCCGCACGCGCCCGCACTCACCCTCACCCGTGCCCACACCGGCACACTCTACGTTCGCCCGTGCTCTCACCATCCCAGACATTCTCAGCACGGTGATCGAAGCCTCGGACCCGCGGCGATGTACCACTGGCCCGCTCCTGTCCGGTGAGTGCGTCCCGCCCCTCTCGTGCTCTGTACCTTGCCCATCCCCTACCCAGGCCCTAATCGCGTCGCCGCTCCCTGCCGCGAGCACATCCCGACGGACGCGCCGCGCGCATACATTTGACCCGAGTGGTCGCTGCGTGCACGCGGGTCGTACTAACTGTGGCCATGCTCGTCTGCCATTGGGCGCGTTCTGGACGCCAGAGACCTCCCATTCGGACGTCCTCGACGAAGAGTCCTATCTTCAGGGCCACCACAGCTCATTGTGGCCCCCCTTCGTCTTAGTGAGTCCCCCTCCCTGCCTTCTGCGTTCCCTACCTCCTCCCAGTCTCTGGTTCTCCTCGCACGACCTCAGCAATATAGAGTCACGGCATTGCCACCACTTATAATTTTCTAGATGAAGAATATATTTCTTACCTCCTACATATTGGAGTGCACATCTTCTTCTCCGCATGCACACCAATGCCCCTCTCTGCGCCCCCCGTTCCCATACGGTTCTCGAGTCCCCGGCCCTCAGTGCGCGGTGCGCATTGACTGCATGCTGGGAACCGCGACGGACATGCGCTCGCGAAAGCGTTAAGCGTTTGAGTTGTGCGGGTGAAGCAAGGTATAGGTTAGGATCGCAATGCACCTGGCAGTTAGTGCGCGCGCACGCGAGGTCACCGAACAACTTGCACACCCCCATAGATCCGCATGACGAAAATGCTAAGTGCACATGTCGACGGACTGATAACGAAGGGCGCCGCGCACACCGAAGAAGCTGAGTATCCGCGCGCTTGCGTTCGATAGAGCGGGCACGCACGCGACTGTGGACAGCGACGCAAGAGCACATTGTTATTTACTTTGAGCAAGGAACACTACAGAGTAGATGCACAGGTATCGAGGGGAGAGGAGCATACTCAGTCAACGTTGTGAGGGTTCACGAGGCCGAAAGCTTCATCCCATACGGAAGCGTCCTACACGATGCAGACGAGTTAGTCGACATTGCAATCCGTGAGCGTGCCGACGTACCAGTTTGAAACATGCGTACTCGACCTTGCAGTCCTCCAGGAGCATGACATTGCGATGTGCCTGTCTATACGAAGGTCAGCCGGCGAGTGTCTATGCAGAATATGAAGTACGTACTTAAGCGAATACGCTGCTCGCGCCGGATCACCTTGCTCGTCGTAGACCTTGGCCTTCTTCGTCCAATCGCGCCGAAAGTGAGCAAAGTACAGGATTGTACGCCACATCTCTCGGCGCAAAAGCTTACGCTCTTCTTGCCACCGCGCGAGCAGCGCACGCGTTCTGAACCAATGGACTTGTTTGACTGCCGTGGTAACGTCGTCAGGAGATGCGCACACAGGAGAGGTAACAATACGTACTGTTGTCCTCGTACAGGGTATACAACTCCGTCCCCGGCTCGTCGACGATGGACATCATGTTCCAAAGCCAAGATGGTTTGCGACGACTCCGGTTGAGCGACTCCGAAGTGCTCTCAAGATGCATGGGGTCAAGGTCGCTCTTCTCCAGCGGTCGAAACTCTACATCATTCTCCGACATCCCGAGAGGGCCCCCATGAGAATCAGATGTGTTCGAACTACTTCGAGACATTTTTGAGCGTGCTGGCGCCGCACCTTCATCTCCAGTTCCGCAAGGCGTTGTGCCGGTGATTGGGCTAACACGATCGCCTCATAGTTGGATGGCATCGGAATATCGATGGCTTCAATCTCCTTCGTCCAAGCGTCGGCGCGTTGCTTCTTCTTCCCGGAGGTTGCACCCACATCTCCGTAGGACTCAGGACGGCGAGGGAACATGTTAGACTCGGAGCCATCAACGCTGACGTTCTCCGCCGCGTCCTCGAGGGCTGGCTGGATGTGCGCGTCGTAGACATTTGCCCATTTCGCGTAACGCTCTAGAAACTTCGACCGTGTGCTTTCGATGCTGGCCTTCTCGTCATCTGTGCTGTTTTGAAGTTGATCCAGCAAAGAACGTCTATTCTCTCAAAGTCATGAATGATGTTGACGACTCTGAAGTCGATCAGAGACGTACCGCGTCTTCTCCAAGTCCACTCCTTCGCAAAGCACTGTCAGCACCTTCCTGTCCCGACGCGACATGCCGGGCTCGGCGACAGCTTTCTCGAGGTCTGTTGTCGCAGACGCTATGGACTTCTTCGTAGTGTCCTTCGTGGTGCTCTGCGTCGCCTTCTTGGCGGCGTTTTTGACTGTCGGCTTTGCAGCCCCCATCCCGGCGGGCTTCAACTTCGATGTAGACGCCGACCCCTTGCGTTTCACGGCGGCGACTTTGCTGGCGTTCGTAGCAGACTTCTTGTTAGCCGTTCCCACAGGCTTCTTCCCCTGCGCGCCCTTCTTTTTCTTCTCAGTCAGCGCTGGGTCTGGTGGGTCACTCAGCGAAGTACATGCGTGATAAGTAGAGTAAGACTCACCGCGATTGAAGTCCACATCGTACGGGTTCACCAGGTCGGCGTGCCGGTCCATGTGCACGACATCTTCCAAAAACTGAGCCTCCGTGGCCTTCATCGACGAGAGTTCCTTCTTAGAGAAACCTTTCTCGAGTTCTTCGAGATGCGTCTGGAGATCTTTGATGATCTGGTGAGTCGGTTCGAAACGAGCTGCGAGCACGGTGGCTGAGCAGAGAGTTAGTACACGGAAAAGTATGCAAAGACGGTGACTCACGCATCTTATGCAACCGCTGCGAGTTCATGTCGTTCCAATGATGGTTGAGCACGTCATGACGGTGCCCTGGACTCATCTCTTTAGTTCGTGCCGATAGACCCGTAATCGCCGCCCAGATGCGCTCGAGAGCCTCGCCGTCAGTTATTGCCGCGCCTGGTAAAAAGTTGTAGGAGAACTTGAACCGGCACCCAACTTCGTGCGCGGCGAGGTGCCACTTACCCACCGCACCGAGCGTGAACGGCTGCAGACGGGAATCTTCGGGGAGACAAGTCATGCCGGCGAAAGCCGCGCACGTCTGGGCCACGCGCTCGTCGTACTTCTTACGGTATTGGCAGTTGATATCGTAGCCGGAGATGAACATGGGGAGGGTGTAGTACGCCTTGGTCGCACTGAGGTGGCAGAGGTCCGCGTACTTGAAGCTGTAACTTCTTTCAAAACCAGTCGATCCGTAGCGAGCCAACCAACTCACCCTTCGCCCTTCGTCAGATCGACGACACTATTTCTCATCACCTCCATATGTCTAACGCACGTAAGGCCCACCATCCCCGTCACCCTCCCGGCGTAGCGGCCGTATCCCATTGCGCCGAACTGATGGCAAGTCGTTTCCTGCAGCGAACATCAGACGCTGTCGACGCAGGTGTGCGCGAACTCACCTCCTTTGGAACCTCGATTGCCGACTCCAGAATGTCGGCGGCCTCGGTCTCGTTAACCCAGTACATGGAGTTGTAGGACAACGGAATGTCCTGGAGGTCGGCAGGCTTCATCTTCAGTACGAGCTTGAAGTTGCCGTCGCAGACAATGTACAGTCCGGTAAGATACCTGTCGGCAAATAGGTATCGCTGTCAAACATGGCTGGGGGAGAAGTTACTCACCCGTCGGCGTCGGTCTCTCCGTACATAGGCGGTGGCGTTGAATGCATGTTGATACCTGGTTGCGGGCAAGCTGGGCACGAGATACCCAGCACACCCTCCCCCATGGCCCAGGAGGGTTCCACGTCGTTGCGCTTCGTGAGCCGGATGAAGGAATATAAACGCGAGGCCTCCAACAGGTCCGCGTATCGAGTCTGTTTGCAGTCAGCACGAGCGCAAGGAGAGCGCGCAACAACAACTCACCGTAATGCGGTGGGTAAGCACGTTATCCTTGCTGCGAGTGAGGTACTTCCAGTAGTCTAGCGTCGACATTTGCGTACTTAGGGACAACAGTTCGAAGTCGCGCAGGCCGGACATCGTGAACGCTGTGCGAGGCTGTTCCCACGACGCAGGCCACAAGCCCCCACGCAACAGCTGCAACGGTTCTTCTTCCGGGGCGCGGTTGAGGGAAGTATGCTGACAGAAGCCGACGTTGAACTTGTGTGGACCATGGTTGTCGACGATAGTCATAGGTCGGGTGTGCTTTGCCGCGACCTCGCATGGCTCTCCATCCGAGTGGCCCACATACAGATGGATGGCGTACGGCTCTGGTAGCTCCCCACCGATTGTGCGCTTCCAGAAACCGCGAGAGGTCTGCCATTCGTCGAGGCGATGAAAGGGCATGCGTACATGGTCTTCGGATATGCACTTGATGCATACGAGAGGTGGAAACCAACAGTCGAAACATCGATAGACCGCCTGTTCAGGTACGAGCTTCGTGTTGCACCTCGCGCACTGGAGTAGGAACGAGGGTCCCTTTTCTCTCTCCAGGACGGCGTCCTGGACGCGGGACGCCCAGTTCACCATGAACTCGTTCATTCTGTCGCCCGGGGTCTGCAGTGTCGTCAATGATAAGAATCACCCGCACATCTCTGCTCACATACCTTCTCTTCCTTCTTCTTGTTTGTGCCCTCTTTATCCTTCCCCTTCTCCTGCCCCGGTCTGTCGTCTTCTGTTGCGATAGGAGCGGGTTGCGACTGACTTGGAGACGGATCCTCCGGAGCCTGTGGCATGTCGCTGACTAGTCCTGCCCAAGCTGCGCTTGCTGATGTCGAGGTTGGCGTGATCGAGGGCCCTGCGTCGGGAGACCGTCGTCGGGCTTTTTTGCTTTGAGTGCGGGGTAATAACGAAGAGCTTTCGCCCTTTGCGGCTTTGCCTAATTTTCGATTAGCATACTCATAGGATAAGGTCACCTCGAATCCTCACGTTTAGTCATGGGTATGGGATACCGTGGGGTAGTTGGTCGACGAGCGATGAGGGTTTGTCGACAGGTGGTGGGGGTTTATCGGCGAGCGGTGGATGTTTGGAACTGGTGCAAAGGATTTCAGTGTGTTTCTGCTTCCTGTTGCAGAACTACATACATTAGAACGGCCTGTTAAGACCTGTTGTCGGGCTCGCCTGAGGACAGGGAGCCGGCGAGAACGTTACAGGACACTCCTGGGGTTCGAAGTTGACTGTGAGTGAGGGCGCAGGAAATCGGGGCCTTGAACGTCTGGTACCACCAGTCGTTCTACTACCTCGAGGAAAGACCCTCGGCGAACGCGACGGTGACACACCGGCGTCCACTCGAGAGGAAAGGGATGGAGGTTTTGAAGTATCGTAATGTAGAAGCAGGAGGAAGGAGAGGGGATGCGAGAGTGGGTGAGAGATCCATGGCGGAGAGAGGTATATAAAAGGAGGAGGAAAGGGGATGGCGGATGGAGCAGATGGATCAATATGCAAGACGGAGGTCCGAGGATGGAGGACGGAAGACGAAGGTATGATTGCACGTGCCACATACGATCACGTGAGCCAAAGCGCGTGTGCTGTTGATCGCGTCTTCTAGTCGTTCCCACGATTAAGAGAGAGGCGCTGTCACCACATCAGCAAAGTAGGTGCGGAAACGATAGCGTATGATCGTGCACTGGGGCATTTGTAGCGTACGATAGTTAGTGCTAGCGAAGACGATAGAAGGTAGATTAGTATCCAAAGAATGCAGTAACCCGTATTGTACGGCCTTCTACTTCTTCCGCTATCAACTGATGATCGATTCTCGCGGGCAGGGCTATCAAGTCTGAGTGCGCGCGCGACCGTATATCGGTCATCTGCAGCGCATGAGATGATAGTATCACACTATAAGAGGTCAGAGTTAGCGGAGGAGATGACAGATAACTGCAGAACACTGTCGCCTTCCGTCGCACACAGGGGCGTACATATAATCACACAGGTAGTATGATCCAATCGCACGATAATCCATTCGGGTTAAATACGAAACAGCCGGTGTTCTACACAACGGACACATGAGCAGAATAAAGAACTTACATGGTCGGCGATGTGGCCGAGCTTGAAGCCTCTCTCCCAGCACGTCTCCCCGAATTGAGGGAGGGTTCCCTGCCATCGTGAGTACTATCGGAGTGGTCAGTAATGTAGAAAATTCGTATCGAGAGATCGCTTACCTGATAGAGGAGTCAATGTGGAGAGCGCGGAAAGGTCGGTTGAGCGTGGCAAGATAGACAGGTCGGGCATGGAGGGGCGCCATGGGCGCGAAAGGGTGAATTGGTTGGGCGCGGGGAGGTGGTCGCCTTGAGCGTGGATGGTCGCGTCGGGGAAGGGGGAGGGAGGCGGAAGAAGTCAGCGGGTGCGGCCACAGGGAACGCGGAGGAAGAGAGACGCACGCAGGAGAACTGGAATGCCTTCACGAGCCGGATCCCCTCGACGGAGCGGCCCACGGGGAGGTTGTTGATCGTAATTTGCTTGTCCAGCTCAACCGAACGCACAATCAGCCGCGATTCCCGGACGTGTGCCGCTCCACCAAGGACGTACCTGAGGGCACCCTACAGGGTCGACTCTGATGAGAAGCCCACAGAGGGCGATCCCCTCGTCCTCGATGAGGACGCCGTACTCGTGGGACATGGACATGTGGGCCGACTCGAGACCGCCTTGCTTGCGCGGGGCAATCACCCAGATCGGTCGAGGCCGCTATGGACTTGGTGGAATGAGCGGCTGCAGAACAGATATCGGTAGAGGAGGAAGAGGAACACAAACCAGTGAGCCGCTGCTCCTGCCGAACGGGCGGCTGCTCGGGGCGGACGCGTCGCGCGCGTTCAGCAACGCCTACCGGAAGCGGTCGCGCGCAGATCTAGCAGCAGGAGGTCAGGATAAGCGGGCTCGACCATGCGGGTCACCGTAATATCCTGCTCGCCTGCCGCGCTCGGACGTTCTGAAGACATACCTGTACACCATGCTCCCACGGAGCCGGTGGCTGCCGCACCTCCACATCGCCTTGAATCCCCGGTGGCAAGTGAATGGTGTTGGGTCGCTGGCTTGCATGGGAGCGCGCGGCGCCACATTGAAACTGTCGGCAAGGCTGAGGAATCAGGCCTCACAAGTGACCGACCCGTGGCCATGGGCGACGTACTCAAGCGTATCTTTGTACCCGCAGTCTTGAGGGTGTGGGCTTTCGCCGGTGTGGGTGAGGTGTTCAAAGCCATGTGTCGACACAAGTGTGTACGTGAGCGAGATGCTGAGAGCGGGGAATGAGGAAGAACTCACCGTGTCTTGATACATCGCGCGCGAGTGTGAGTGGCACATCGTGCTTGGGGGATGATGGTGGTCGCGGATAAAGCCCAGTAGGCGCGCAACCCAGCACACGCGCCCGTGTCTGGAAACAATAGGGAGGCCAAAGCAGGACGCCACTGCGGCGCCTCCGTGACTATCAGCAGGAAATCCTACGTCTCAGGGTCATTCTCCACGCTGACGAGAACCGTGTACTTGACCTACCCGGCGGCCGCTCTTCGGAGGTGCACTGGGCCCTGCTGCCCGAGCGTCTTGATCATCATCGCCTCACCCGCAATCAACTCATGGTGCCATCTGCAAACAATGCGCCAGATCTGACGCTTCCCAGCCAGCTCTCGAGAGTGAGATCGCTTTCAACGTCAATCTTCCATCGCCTAACGTAAACGGCCTTATCTCAAGACCTCTTCCCAGTCGCATTGGTAGAGCTTCAAGCTGCAGAGGTCATAGCTTGTCGAATCATTGGATATCGAGGAGGATGGGGCCCGGGAGCAGAACATTACTTATTGGGAGTTCACTGGCAGCTGGGCCGAACTAGGCTCGGCGTCGCTTGACGGGCAAGGTCGTGCACGACTTGCACCCGACCACTGCCGGCAGCGCCCCAAGTTCCAACATGTTTGCAGGACTGTATTTGCGCTAGGAAGCCAGAGTTGGTGGAGTGGCTGCGCGGTGACTCGGTGAGGCCGTATACTTATATCCTCGAGGCTCACGGGCACCGCGTTCTCTGCCGCGCGCACCATTCGCGCGCTCACGAACCAACCGTATAGCTCAATGCAGACTTCTCATGCACCCCGCGCGCGCCATGGATCACCCTTGGAGGAGCGCATGATCATCTACTATCATCAACATATCATCGACTACAGCTTTTTGTCTAAACTACTAGTGCCTGTAGTAGATCCATCATATCCTGTATGCGGCCACGGAATGTGATCAAATGTCATATCAAAGCCGAATGAATATCAGCTGCTACCGTTCTACTGCCATCATTTGTCGCGCGGACAATAGACGACCTGTCCCGATATGGCAGTGTCGCGTGCTATCGGGCGCTACCGTGAAAAACACCTTTTGCTGATGCACTCTTTGCATGTTCCACGTCGTCTTTCATCCCTTGCTCATCGTCCATTGTCCTTCCCCCATCATCTCTCCAACTACATTTCATCTTAGCCACGCAACCATAGGGGATTGTATCCCTCCATTGGTTGCATACGTGGTTCTCCGGCGGGACGTTGTCCAGCCGAACATTCTCTACTTTAGACTCCCCATTCCGCCCCTCTTTGTCGGCGAAACACCTCGTTGACTCCACGCCTTCGAACTTCGACTTTCAAGTACGTCGAGAGACGTCAAAACCTCCCAACTGGCTCAGCTCTTCCGCTCCAGGTACGTCAACCATCATCATGTCCTGCGAAGTGAACTCATTGCTATTTGACCTAGAAGACTGCCACCTCAATCTGTGATGTCCTCGCATTTGCATTCGACTCGTCGCTTGGCTGGGCCCTGTACGTATCGCTTGTCATCCGAGCACGAATTGCTCATTCACCCGCATTTCAGCCCTCGGTTCAGCCTCTTCGTCCGCTGTTCCGTGAACCGCGACATTGAAGGTACGCATAAACGCAGCAAATGTTGCCGCATGATCTGACTCGCGGCGTGTAGATCGTCCACCCTTGGGGGCCGTCAGCACATTCGACGCCTTCGTGGCGAGCGATGGCTTCGGGACCTTCTCGCTCTTCACCACACCCAATCAGCGATTTGTACCGCTTCGCTATCGCGGTCGGCCAGATCACGACTTTCAACGATGGACGCTGGGGTGCCCACGAATACTCGAGGTGGCCACAGAGCTTTCATCGCTACTTCATCCATCTACCGTGCATACCCCGGCAGGGAAGCGTTTATGACCCCGGCCTCCCCATTCTGTGGTACGACTGGAGGGACGCCGACTGGATTGAGGAGCGCTGCGGGCACACTCGTCTTGGACGACTTCGCGACGACCTTCTCGCGGAGCTGCGCCATAGTGTCAAGTGCATCATCGCGTCCTCTGAGCAATGTCAACATGGGCCCCCCGACGCTCAACAGAAGCACAAGTTCCTTACTCTGGGCGTACGACTGTGCCTCGACCGCCTCGCCGTCCTTCCCTCCGAACGCGGAGTCATCATCTCTCTCACGGCTCACGTCCAGAGGCTTTTACTGGAGCTGGTGGGCCTCCGCGTTTACCTGCGCGAAGTTCTCCCGCGCATCAAGGAGCAACGCGACTGCAGCACGGACGTCCTCGACGTCCTTGGCGCACACACCAGCAACCCGGAGACCACCCAGTGGTTACATCGTGCAGGAATTCCGGTCTGGTTCCAACGAGACCGATGTGGCGACCTCCCCGTCTGGGAAGTTGTCGACCTCACCCCGCTCCCTCCGTGCTTCTCCTCTACGCCGTCGTACCCGAAGCTGGTGCTCGCGCAGCAAGACCACTCCGGCTTCCTGAACACACCAGGTCGCTGGCTCTCCGCGATGTACTCAAAGGTCCACAGCGACCTTGTCGGCAAACGTCTCCCTCCTCTGGAGTCCACCGATGATGACGACAGCGGCGCGCCTGAGAGCAAAAGAGGCCGCCCGTCGACCTCTTCTCCAGCGGGCGTAGCCACGCGCTCAGGTGCTACGGCACAGAGCCTCGCAGGCATTTTGGCCCCTGTCGCACCTCGACCTCCGAAGAAGCCTTCGCGGTCCAAGGCACCCAAGGAGACCACGGGATCGTTCAACGTCAACCCCTTCCGTGTTTTCTACCCGTCGACGACCGTGATCCACGACGAAGGGTGGACCGACGCGCTCCGCCAGCAGGGAACGTTGCCTCAAGCGAGCAAGAGCGCGGCGTATTTCTTCCCGCCCCCATGGATGGTCGATAGGCTCGACGGTTTCCCTCTCTCCGAGGAGAAGCGGTCGCGTCGGATGCTGCAGCTTGTCGCCATCCGTGCCTTCTGCCGAGTGCGCCTCTTCGAACGCACTCGGTTCGGCGGACCCCTGTCCGTGTCAGATTGGCGGGACGCGCTGTGGGGGGAATACTCGAAGGATGCAGACGCAGCGCTGACCGTCGCGGCGACACCTGCAGCACCCAACCGCATGATCGCGACGACCTCAGCTCACGATCCAGTTCCTGCAGTGGGCACGTCGTCCGGGAAGGCTCCGAAACGAAAGCAGCCGGCCAAGATGACACGAGAAGCCAATCGGCTCGCCGCTCAGCAGGCTGTCAAGCAAGCGTTCGCCAGCGCCGATCTCCCTGATTTCAGCCCCACAGCCGCTCATGCATACGGCGAGCGCGTTGTGAACATACACGACGTCGCAGCCGACGAGGACCTCATCCGCAACCTCGTTTGGGAGGCCCACGAGATGAACTGGCGCTGCGAACTGCTCGCCTTGGACACCGTCCTCACGGGCTCGCACAAGTCAGACGACCTGGCTCAGTGGGCTCGGGAGTCGCTCATTTCGGAGGTGTGGGGCGGAGCCGCCTCAGTACATGATATGCATAAAACCCTGTTAGAGTGCCCCGGGTTTATGCATGCAGTATATTATGCATGAACAAATATATGCATATAATCCCTTCATGCATACATTTATTCTGGAGTTAATGCCTGACAGCAAAACAGCACAGCTAGGGAATTGAACCCAGGACCTCACCAAAGCTAAATGTTGTGACCTCATTGACCACTACACCAAACTGCCATGTCTTGCCTCCCACACTCATATATTATATCCACTCTTTTCTACCACACACAATCATAGGTGGCCTACCTCGCTAGTTCAACAGTGCCTCTATGCATACAACCTGTCTATGCATACATCCTGTTTATGCATTAACCTGTTTATGCATAAAACAGGTTTATGCATAAGATTGGTTTATGCATAAGATGTGTTTATGCATACAATGTGCTTATGCATAAAATGGGTTTATGCATACAATGAATTTATGCATATGATGAGTGTTGCGGTCGCACAGGCGAGGTCAAGTGGGTGTGGACGAGGGTAGGTGCATGCACGCAGGAGAGGGGTCAATTAGGCAGGTACAGATGTTGTAGATGGGTAAGGATGGTAGTGTAGAGCTGCGAGTGTCCTCGTTGGCTTGCAGAGCAGGAGAGGAGAAAGAGTGGTGTTGGAGTGTGTCGTCTTGAGTCGCGTGGTCACCGAAAGTAGAGTGGTAGTGACAAGTGTGAAGTGAGAAATAAGAAGTGAGACGAAGCATTGTCGTGAGCAGGCGGCTATCGGCTAAGTTGTTAGGTGGCAGCGAACGGGTGGGCAACGGGCGGACGGGCGGACGGGCAAACGGGCAAACGGGTGGACGGGCAAACGGGCGAACGGGCGAGCAATGAGCGAGAGTCAGGGGGAGGAAACTGGATTCAATGGCCCGCAGGCATGTACATATATAAGAGGACCAGTGGGGCTCCTCGTCACAGAGAATGCGAATAGAAAGCGAGAGAAGCTAGGACTAGACATTCGAGAAAGAGTCCGTGGCCAAAGCCCTGTCCGCGTACCCTCCTTGCCTGTCTCTCCACCAACAGTTCCAGCATTGTTTGATGCGTGTTGAGGGATATCTCGGGCGGAGCCAGAGCGGTGCGGCACGACTATTTACAGAGCACAGGCTGCCCCCATTCAGCCGCGGTCACTCGCACTCGCTCCGGCCCGGCCCTACCATCCTAACAGTGTTCGAATGGGCTCGCTGCGGCTTTGAGATGGCGCATCAGGTACGACAGACGCTACAGTAGATACAAGGCATGTGAGTCTGAGGCTGTACGAGTGAACAGGAGAGGATAGAAAGGTATATGACGTATGGATGTATGGTGACTTGAGTGCGGATTGCCGCGCTTCGTGTGCGAGTTGTATGTGAGATGGTCTGTGAACGGTTAGGACAACGGGGAACCCGACATGTGGGGGGAACAAAAGATCTTGACCCCGAGATCCGGAAGCGCAGAAGGGACCAACTACACCCAGGGCACACACCCCGCCTGCACCCGCAACAGCTCGTCAATATTCGTCAACATGGCGATGGCCGAGGGCATGCCGGGGTCGAGGACATTGAAGGAATAGTCGAGCATGGAGCCAGCGCTGGGCGTTGGGCTTGGGCACATGGCACCAGCGAGGTTTGGGAGCATACAGATGCAGCATGCGCCGAGGGTGATGGGGTTGTCGAGATTGTGAGAACACGTGTTGAGCGCGATGTGGTGGATGTTGATGTCAGGATACGGCAGGTGCACGAGTGGGACAGTTGTGAGGCGAAGCAGGTCGTAGTCGGCATTGCGGCGCCCAGGTGTTGCCCATTGAGGAGTTGCGTGGCGCAAACGTGGCAGAGGCGCAAGGGTAGATTGGTAGTTGGACCTAAAGAAGAACAACTTCAAGGGGGACGCGGGTGTGGACGCACGCATCAGTGGCCCATAGAGCTCGCGCAGGCGGTAGGATCCGCTCAGGAGATGCTTCTCAACGACATATGGTCCAGCCCAGCACAGAGCGGATTTCACCGCAACTTGTGTATCGAGCGACGACTCATGCAGAAGGACCCACTCACCTGGTCAGAAGCCGTTGGCACAGATACGTGTAGCGTGCTTCTCGTTCCATGCGTCAACAGTGGCACGTCGCGTGCAGGTCAGAGTGTCGACAGCATTCCCAATCGCGGACTCATTCCGAGACAGTTGGAGGAGGCGCGTCGCGAGTAGGGTGGTGTGATCAGTAGCTGATGCCCAGTCCAAGACTTCCCAAGCACGGTCAGCAAGGTCCGTCAAAAAGGTGTTCTTGACTCCGCAGGTGACACTGACCCGCCTGTTGACATGCTTGCATTCTGAGCTGCCCCGCATGGCCGCGACACGTCGCCTGTGGTTGGGGTCTATCCGATTGAACCTCTCCGCCCTGCTGCTGAGCCTCGCGCGGATCACTGCGTTCCAGACGAGCCCCCTTGGGAGGCATTCATGCGCTTCTGGACGTCCGGTGTTCCACCGCAAGACCCTACGCTGCTTCGTGCTGTCACTAGGATGGGCGCGCGCTTTGTGGTCTCTAACTCCCACATCTACCACTTACGACCTGACAAGACTGCGGTCCTGGTTCTCACAGACCTGGCTGATCGTATCCGTCGCATCGCCTCTGCCCACAATGACTGTGGTCACCGCGGGGCGCTGCCCGCACTCTGTGCACTTCAAGACCGTTACTACTGGCCGAAGATGTACGACAATGTCATCTGGTTCGTGCGCTCTTGCAAAACCTGCCAATACCGCTCTGTACACAGGCCACACGCTCCCTTGAACACTGTCGCCATCTGTTACGAACACCATGCGTACGCCCACCCTTTTTCTCCTGTCCTCGTCATCTCCGTCACGGACTACGCCTCGTGCCCTCAGGGGCTACTGTACTACCACTCCTGTCTCTGCCTCATGCTGCTGTGCAGCCTCGCCTCGGACATGCACGCACCTCATGGCAGCCTCACTACGACCTACCCCCTTACATGCCGTAGCCATGATGCGTGCTGACTCGTATGGACTCGCTGTATACGCACCGTTACCTCACCCCTTACAGACCGTGGCCTCGAGGCCTTTGTACTTATAAGAGGGACAACGCAGCATAGCGCTCCCCATCTTTCGACCTCCTGTCTAGCTACGTCCCTCTGGCCTAGTGCCAATACATCTCTTGCTTGTCTTCTACCTCGCTCGCTCGCCGGTCCACTTGATAGTGCACCGTGCTCACTCGCGTCGGCATCAAGAGACTTCTCACGGACATAACCACTCGGCATCTAGGCCTCGTTCCTGACGGAACTCGGACTTCGACGTAACACCATCGCTCCGTGCGCCCTTCGCCGTTTCCACATTGACACTATCTTCATGCCAGGTTCTCACCGATACCTCTTCCATGCTGTCAACGCTACGAGCAAATGGGAAGAAGCTGTTGCTTCCAAGACCAACTCCGCAAAAGCATGGGCCCGCTTTCTCTATGAGCACATCATCACGCGATTCGGTAGCGCCATCACAGTCGTCTGTGATGGCGGCGCGGAGTTCAAGGGCGCTACGGCGCTGCTCCTAGACAAGTATAATGTTGTTGTCATCGCCGAACGATCCGGAGGGACCCTCAAGAAGGCGATCTTTCGTGCCTGCGAGCTGTCGTACACTAACACTAAGCACTGGAAATCTTTCCTCCACGCCACCCTTCTCGCCGTTCACACCACCGTCTCCAGCGCTACAGGCTACACCCCCTACTACCTCGTCTACGGGCAAGAGTGCCTCTTCCCATTCGACCTTGCTGACCGTGCTTGGGAAGTCTTGGACTGGGTGTCAGCTACTGATCACACCACCCTACTGCGGCTCCTCAATGGGCAACACCTGGGCGCCGCAATGCCGACTACGACCTGCTTCGCCTCACAACTGTCCCACTCGTGCACCTGCCGTATCCTGACATCAACATCCACCACATCGCGCTCAACACGTGTTCTCACAATCTCGACAACCCCATCACCCTCGGCGCATGCTGCATCTGTATGCTCCCAAACCTCGCTGGTGCCATGTGCCCAAGCCCAACGCCCAGCGCTGGCTCCATGCTCGACTATTCCTTCAATGTCCTCGACCCCGGCATGCCCTCGGCCATCGCCATGTTGACGAATATTGACGAGCTGTTGCGGGTGCAGGCGGGGTGTGTGCCCTGGGTGTAGTTGGTCCCTTCTGCGCTTCCGGATCTCGGGGTCAAGATCTTTTGTTCCCCCCACATGTCGGGTTCCCCGTTGTCCTAACCGTTCACAGACCATCTCACATACAACTCGCACACGAAGCGCGGCAATCCGCACTCAAGTCACCATACATCCATACGTCATATACCTTTCTATCCTCTCCTGTTCACTCGTACAGCCTCAGACTCACATGCCTTGTATCTACTGTAGCGTCTGTCGTACCTGATGCGCCATCTCAAAGCCGCAGCGAGCCCATTCGAACACTGTTAGGATGGTAGGGCCGGGCCGGAGCGAGTGCGAGTGACCGCGGCTGAATGGGGGCAGCCTGTGCTCTGTAAATAGTCGTGCCGCACCGCTCTGGCTCCGCCCGAGATATCCCTCAACACGCATCAAACAATGCTGGAACTGTTGGTGGAGAGACAGGCAAGGAGGGTACGCGGACAGGGCTTTGGCCACGGACTCTTTCTCGAATGTCTAGTCCTAGCTTCTCTCGCTTTCTATTCGCATTCTCTGTGACGAGGAGCCCCACTGGTCCTCTTATATATGTACATGCCTGCGGGCCATTGAATCCAGTTTCCTCCCCCTGACTCTCGCTCATTGCTCGCCCGTTCGCCCGTTTGCCCGTCCACCCGTTTGCCCGTTTGCCCGTCCGCCCGTCCGCCCGTTGCCCACCCGTTCGCTGCCACCTAACAACTTAGCCGATAGCCGCCTGCTCACGACAATGCTTCGTCTCACTTCTTATTTCTCACTTCACACTTGTCACTACCACTCTACTTTCGGTGACCACGCGACTCAAGACGACACACTCCAACACCACTCTTTCTCCTCTCCTGCTCTGCAAGCCAACGAGGACACTCGCAGCTCTACACTACCATCCTTACCCATCTACAACATCTGTACCTGCCTAATTGACCCCTCTCCTGCGTGCATGCACCTACCCTCGTCCACACCCACTTGACCTCGCCTGTGCGACCGCAACACTCATCATATGCATAAATTCATTGTATGCATAAACCCATTTTATGCATAAGCACATTGTATGCATAAACACATCTTATGCATAAACCAATCTTATGCATAAACCTGTTTTATGCATAAACAGGTTAATGCATAAACAGGATGTATGCATAGACAGGTTGTATGCATAGAGGCACTGTTGAACTAGCGAGGTAGGCCACCTATGATTGTGTGTGGTAGAAAAGAGTGGATATAATATATGAGTGTGGGAGGCAAGACATGGCAGTTTGGTGTAGTGGTCAATGAGGTCACAACATTTAGCTTTGGTGAGGTCCTGGGTTCAATTCCCTAGCTGTGCTGTTTTGCTGTCAGGCATTAACTCCAGAATAAATGTATGCATGAAGGGATTATATGCATATATTTGTTCATGCATAATATACTGCATGCATAAACCCGGGGCACTCTAACAGGGTTTTATGCATATCATGTACTGCTATGTATGGTGGGGCGAGGCCTCTTCGGGACTCGGCATCTGTCCCTCTGACGACGTCGATCACTCGTCGTCCTGCTGGATCCGTCCACCGGCCACTGGGTGGGAATGCGGCAGACCTCGTCTTTGCGCGTTGCTCCAGGTGGAGCAGCAATGGCCATCTCGTCCAGGATCACTCTCAGGGGCAGCGGCCGAGGTTGAGGATTGCGACCCGTTTCGTTACGCAGCCATTCAGAGCGCTGCGATCGCGTTTTATGTGGACAGTTTCGTGCGTACCTACCAGCGACTCCCGATCGCTCCTGTTCGCATTTGCTTGCTCGCTAGTATCGATGCCGCTCCTCCGAGATCTGGATAATTTTTGCATGATCTGTAGTTCCGCGTGCTTGTGTTGTGTAGCTTATAATGAGGAATCCGCTCTGTCCTTTTGACTCCGTCCGTGTCCGTCTCGCTCATCCGCCCCTCTCCCCCTTTGGTGCGCACGATTGGTGAGTTGCCGTTCTTTGAACTATAACTCTATTTCAGACGGCGTTTGCAGGTATACACCATGGGGACCACAAAAATGCGCAAAGAAGAGATCGCTCTGGTCACCAGATGGTTGAACAAGCCGGAGATTCAGAATCTCCTGCGTAGTAGTCAGTCAGACCGGCAGAAGATGGCTACTGATATGATTTATACCGAGTACGTCATTCTGCTGAAGAATCCTTTGCCCGGCGAGACTACCGAGGTGTACGAGGCGCGTCGAGCGAAGTCAAGGAATCGCGGTTTGAACTCCGAACACATCCGCGACGAGACCGAGGCAGAAGCGCAAGAGCGCAAACATATGGCGAAAGCGGTACGTGACCTTTTTACTGCAGAGTTCTTGTCCTCATCGTCCTACTCCAGCGTATTGGGGGCCGCGTGAAGGAGTGGTGTAGGCTGAAAATTCGCGGGGTCACCCGCACAGGCCAACGTCTTGATGAAGTCACTCGCCAGCCAAGCAAGACCGCCGCACACGCTACACCTGTGCCAACCGCAGATGCACCTCGCGCGAAGCCCGCGCCGCCCACATCGTCCATGCCGTCCGCAATCGCCCCTCTTGCGCATGTCCCTCGTCGAACTGACGGGTACAGACTGTTCATGCGCAGCGATCATCCGTCTAAACCCGATATGTCCAAAGACCCCTGTCGCTCAACCCGCCTTCGGACCTGGAACCAGAGCGTGAAGGCGGCCTGGGACGCACTTACTCCAGAAGAGCAGGGGACTTTCGCACTCGAGGCAAAGGCTAAGGACGCGATGGCTGACACAACTGAAGCCAAAGAGGCGAAGAGACGTTTGTGAGTACTACGCACCACGTCTATTTCGTCGCTGACCGTTATCAGGGCGACGTTGGACTTGGAGGTCAAGGTCAGGGCAGCCTTGGAGGCGTGGAAGGCCGAGACGGGTTATGTTGGGGCTGTCTTCTTGGGAGGGCTCAACGCGTACGGGGAGATTGCGTACATGTTGTGAGTCCTAACGTTGACACTGGTGCACGATCTGAGCTGCTCCCCCAGGCAAGAGACGGGGCGAGATCCCCGAGGGCGGCAATTTACCGCCGCCATGAAGGAGAGGATGGGCTGGCTCTCGGAATGCCAGTCGATGGAGTTCTTTAGATAGCTGGAAGATATATTTGATCGTACGTGTCCCTCCTTGAGACACAGCGTTTTCACTGACCTTTGGAAGTGAGATCGCGCGAGCTCGCTGAGGAAGACGCCGCGCGCGCGCTCGTCGCGACAGCCTCGGAGGACGCCGCGTGCGACACCGACGCGCGCAAGCCCGACGCGCTTGCTGTGGAGAATAGCGCTCTCACCGCGACTGCCTCGGACGATGCCGCGCGTGGGGACCCGACCTCCGTGGGCAGCGCGACGTTAGCGGAAGCCCCGGACGGCCCAAGTAGTCTCGCGACGCGTCAACGTAAGCCGCCTGCACCCCGCCCAGTGCGCAAGTCTGGCGTGGGGCCAACGCCCGCCGATGAGAAGCAGGCCAGCCCGCCGCCCGAAACTGCAACGCGGTCGTTGGTACCGAAGTTGGGAGTGTAGGTTAGCCCCTCGCAGCTCCGAACATCGACTGATCTTCGCCCAGCATTCACCCGATGGGCAGCAAGACCTCGAAGAACGCGCGAGCTGGGAAGACCGCGCGCGGTGGTAAGGCACAGTCTAATCGTGGAGGCAAGGCGACACGCGGTGCGAAGTCGAGGTACGATTGACCTGTTATGGCCTGCTCCGCCTGTCTGGTTACGAGCTTCGGCGCGCGCCCGCTACGTACGCTTAGCATACGATCGTCCGCCACCATTAGCTTTATATACTGTTCCCGCACCTACTGCGCCGCTACGCGATTGCCTCCTGGCTCCTCCCCGTCGCCTCTCCTGCCCGTCTCCCCGCTACCGCGAGCCTCTCCGAGGTCAAGCGCGTCCTCTAATCCGATCCCGCCTTTCCGCTCGTCTCCGACTCGCCCGACCTCCGCGCTCCCGCGCTCCGCGACCGTAACATGACCAGCTAGCTTTGCCGTGACCAGACGCTTATCCATCTTGTAGTGCGTCTGTTGAGACTCGCGCCGCCGCCGCGGTCGCGATGGATACAGTCGGAACGAGGTCTGACACGGGGAAGCGGTCTAGACACTTTCCATCCCTCAAAGGATCAGGATGGAGTCCGTGAGTCATAATCTCCTCGAACGTAATGACCTCTCTGACGTTTTCTAGGAATACCTACAAGAGAAAACAGAATGAACATCGGGAGCAGTTGCGAGAGGAGGAGCGAGAGGGGAAGCGTCAGCGTACTGGTTAGGGAACAGTCACTGATCGGCGTGAAATGTGTCACTGTATGCATAACAATCGATACCCTCATATCATTAGCTTAGACCATCGGACTGACCCTCGATCCGAAGCCCCTGGGTGATTCGGCGCCCCGGACTGCTGCGACGAAGTCATTTATCGCTCTGCTCACGTTGACGCCTTCGTCACCCCCGTCCTCACTTCACCGCTCAGCATCTGTCCCCTCTGGTGAATTGGGCTCTGGCCCAACGTCCGCGCCCCCGTCCCTGAGCGTGGCTGCAAACGGGCTGGCAGAATTCAGTCTCGCCTTTTGGCCGGATGCGCACCTCGTTGGACCATCCACAGATGCCAAACGCAGTCTGCTCACGCACACCCGTACGTGGTTTCGTATTCTTGCCACAGTTGAAATATTGACCTGGCTCATAGATCCGGGGATGTACCGCACCTTTCTTCTCAAGATGGAGGACCACTTCTTGAGGGCGCTGCGAAGCCTACCCTCTGAGGACGACAGCGACGACGACGACCATGCCTACGCCTCCAACTCCGATGCGTGGAAACTCACAGTATATTACCATTTGCTGGTACGTTGCAACTCCCTTACTACCGTCGAGATATGGAGCCTGACGACGTTGCATAGTCCGACTGCAATCCCGTCAGCCGCACGCAATGGATTCCCTGGACTGAGGACAACATCCTAATTTGGGACCTCGTTGATATCTCATCGTATTGCGACATGTTTTCGTGCAACAGGCTGATGTTCAGGGGACCAGGCGAAGAGTGGAGGCCATGTAATCGCTGGACATCGGTTACAGTCAACCACCACACGTTCAACCATGTCAGAATCACGATGCCGTGGGCCAGTAAACTCCGTGCGACCTCAATCGATGATGCAAGTGCATTCCCCTCTCGCCACGTACTTGTACTCATTGTTGATGCTGCAGGAGGTACTGCCGATGGACGATCATATCGTGGCCAAGGGCGATATCTTCTCCGCTCATGCGGACCACGAAGATGAGGACGACGAGAGATTGGAGGGCGACGGTGGTGCCAGCGATGGCGGGAGCCAGGGCGAGGGCGAGGAGAGCAGGGGGGATAACTGTGAGGAGAACAACAGTCATGACGGTTGGGCCGAGGAGGGCGAAGGCATGGCCTCTGTTCCCGATGTTGGTGACACCCTCTTCACCGCCGACGAGGACAACACCGCCGACCACGTCGACACCAACGAGGGGAACGGCGATGCTCTCTTCGCTGACGAGGACAACGCTAACGATGACATCGTCGTTGACAAGGAGAATGGCGACACCCTCTTTGCCGCTGATGAGGACGACAACGACGAGTGCGACGGCGAAGATGCCTTCGCTCACGACGAGGAGATGGAAGAGGAGGCAGGCATCAATGGGCAGGTGGAGCAAGACAACGAGGTGAGTATTCCCTGCATTTATGCGCGTTTCGGTGCTTGATGCTGGCCCTCTGCAATAATTGATGCGTCCCCACTCCGCTGCTCTCGGTCTTGACATAGTCCCCGTCCCGCGTACACCCACAGCGACGCTTACGCATGGCCTTGAATATGTCATCACACTATACTACCTCCCCTTCGCTGCCGTGTTTGCTTCCTCGTCCCCCGTGGCCTTGTCAACTTCATAACCTGCTAGCCTCCACTTTTTCATTTCCTTCATCATCTGCGTCTATCCTCATCGCCCCATACGCGCGCGTGCGTGCGAGCAGTCGGAAGTGCACGCATGCAAACTATAGTAGTGAATCATCAGGTGCATCTGTTACCATAGCCTATCAGCAGGTGAGGATGCACCTGTTGATCCGGCCAGCCCAGTTGCGCTCCCCACACAGCCGCCGGCCACATGGGCGCGACACTGCCCCGAGACGTCCAGATACTGGCACCTCGGGTCCTGCCACCTGAGCTCACCGTCTCCGACAGTGAGCTCACCTTCCTTTTTGTTTCACACCACACTTTGTATATGATTAGTGATCAAATATATTTATCAGTAAACTACTACACAGGTGGGCTAGCGAGTAATACTACGCCCCGCAACAATGTGGAGGCAGAGGCGGAGGTGGGTGCGGGTGGGTGACACAGGCGGATGGGAGCGACACGGATGGAGGTGGGCAACGCGGGGAGGTGGGCAACACGGGCGCGGAGGCGGTAGGCGGGCGTGGGGGATGTGAGCGTGTGGGACGCGGGCGAGGCGAGCGTGTAGGAGGCGAGCGAAGAGGAGGCGCACGCGGAGTAGGGCGACGCGGCCAGGCGAAGGCGCGCCTGGCGCGCGCGGAGGAGGCAGGCAGGCGGGAGGACGCGGGCCAGGCGCAGGTGGATGGCGATGTGGGCGGAGAACGGCAACGCGGAGGAGGGCGACCTGGTGGCGCAGGCGTGGGGGACCCGTGTGAGGCGCAGGCGGACGGTGAGGTGGGTGGAGAAGGGTAACGCGGCGAGGCGGGCGCGGAGGAAGTGGGCGTGGAGGAGGCGGGCGCGGAAGAAGGCGAGGCGGCGACGAGCGACGCAAAGGGGGAGGGCGAGGACGTGGGCGAGACGAGGGCGGACGAGACGAGGGCGAGGCGGAGGCAGGCGACAAAGAGGAGGCGACGTGGGCTGGAACGACGCGGAGGAGGGGGAGATGAAGGTGGTGGGCAACGCGGCGGCGCAGATGGCCAAGGGGTGGGCGGAGCAGGGTCAGGAGGAAGAGGGCAGCGAGGAGGAGGGCGACGCAAAGGCGGGTGGCGGGGGCGGGCGACGCGGAGGAGGAGAGCGACGGGAGGGTCGGGCGGACGTCCTTAGGCCTGTCATGGCATGGCACGACGGGAGGGGCCATATGGTAAACGCCAAAACAGGGCATTCGCCAGGCTGAAGCCATGTTCCATATCACGGTCACGGCCTTTGTCCGGTGTTGCGCACACCAGACAAAGACCAGGAATCATGGTCACACCATGATCTCAGCCTGGTCTCCCTGCGCAGTGATTATATAATACAGCTCGGAGGGAGGGTGCACTAAATCGGGAGCGAATGAGTACTGCAAAGGGGTGGAATTTCTCACGTGCGGAGTAGGCGTGTGTTGATAAAGCATGCTGGCGAAGACCAGGCTGAGACCACGGTGTGACCATGATTCCTGGTCTTTGTCTGGTGTGTGCCAGAGACCGTGACAGTGACATGGAACATGGCCTCAGCCTGTTGCAGGTCTTACTCCGGTGCTTCCCATCTGGCCTTTCCCGTCGTGTGGGTGGGCGTTGGGAGTGCAGGAGAACGGAGCGGAGAACTCACTAAAACAAAGGGCCGCGGTACATCGCCGCGGCTCCCATATTCCAATCTCCATATTGAGGACGTCTGCATGGACGTCCTTGCGCGGTGTGTTTGTTGTGAGAGTGGCCGGGAAGGTGACTGAAGGGCGGGGTTGAGGTTGAGGTCGAGGTTGAGGTCGGGAGGTCGGTGTCACCTGGTGACACCGGAGTCCAATAGCAGGCGACAGTCGACCATATGGTCGCTATCGTCTACCTGGGCAGAGCGGGGAGGCTGGGGGCGACGAGGGTGGAGGAGGAGGAAGAGGAGGAGGAAGAGGAGGACGGCAAGGACGGCGAAGGGGACGCGTGGCGTGCATCACAGCCACGCGTTGATGCGCGCCATTCGTCCTTGCCGCCCGCCAAGGCGCGTCTACACGGGCGCGCATCACGGATCACCAGGTGCATCTGTAGCTGCCGATAGGCTATGGCAACAGATGCTCCTGACGATTCACTGCTGCTCATGCAAAGTGCACGCATGCAAGGAGGACACGCGCGCATGAGAGGGGGACGCGCAAGAATGCGAGGAGGACGCGTGCGCATGAGAGGGGGACGCGCGAGCATGAGAAGGGGACGCGCGAGGATGCGAGGAGGACGCGCGAGGATGCGAGGAGGACGCGCGAGGATGCAAGGAGGACGCGCGAGGATGCAAGGAGGATGCGAGCGCAGACGAGGAGGATGTGCAACGCAATTGGGGGAGTACGAACGGCGAGTGCCAACTGAAACTCACAATGTAATCACAACGGTAGATGAAGCGATCCTCTTCAGTGAGCCAGTCGATCTTGTGCTCGTCCTCTGTGTCTAGACTGAAGAGACCGCCCGAGAGTGCAGTGACGTTGGATTTGACTCTCCCACGGAAGATTGGGATACGTTGTGCTGGCTGGTGGTCGAAACGCGATCACAATCTGCAAGTTAAACAGGACGAATGAATCAGCACTCACAATCCCTGAGATCTTCCGAGCGTAGCTTGCATCGGTCTTGAGCCTTGTCGCAATGTCTGGGTCCTTGAGGGCTTCTGCGCACTTGACAAGAGTCTGGCGAATGGCAACGTTATACTTCTCGAGGCCATCTGGGAACGCGTTCTTCAACACGAGGTAGTACTCTATCTGAGTGATCGCCGCTTCAGCAACGTGTCTGACGCGTAGCGGCTGCTTCCGGAGGTTGTATCGGCCACTGCTGCTGCGCACAGGCTCGATACTCTCGCCATGGTCAATATCCTACCCAAGCATATGAGTATCTGCCACGGCGGCAATAACCCGGACACATACCTCTTCTGCGGAAGAATATTCTTCGTCTCTGGCCTTCTTATGCGTGTGCCCCTCGTCCGACGTATCATCGTCCGGTGTGTTGATGAATCTTGGTTGCTGCAGATGCGTCAGAACTTTATGATATTCACCGGATGGGGCATCACAAACCTCATCAACTCGGGTCCGTGGACGCTTCATGGCCCCACCGTTCGCATTTTTGGCCTTTGCTGTGGTCGCCGTGGTTGACTGTGAAGCTTTCACGGACGTGGGCTTGCGCGTTGCACCTGAATATCAGCTGCAGTGACATCAGGAAAACCCCAAAATGCTAATTAGGACTAACAGCAGTAAATTAGTCCTAATGGCATGGCTAATCGGACTAACAGATTTGGGCCATCTAGTCGTGACTAATGTGTGATAATTTGGTACAAGCAGTCTTGTGGATCATCTATTCTCAGTAATTCTAGCAGCTCTCTTACTAATTGACATAATCCACTCGTATCTGATCTCGCACGATACTAATTTGAACCTCAAACAGATATATTGCAACTAACGAGGGTAACATTAAAGGTACAAGTAACACCACAGGCCGTGTAGGTGCCACAGCAGACGCAGGCTTCGAGAGAGACAGGGGCAGTGTGGGCGACGGGAGGGAGGCGAGACAATGACGGCACAGAACACCTCGGGTGCTGCGCAGAACACGCGGAGGCACAGGTTGTCGGCCACTGATGCGCAGTGCTAGGGCTGCCAGCCCATGGCGGGTGGATGAGGAGGACACCGAGGGCCTAAACGTCGTCATGAGAATAATCAAAGTCTCGGGCACGAAAGGAACTCACTAACCGTGGTGTCTCGCGCCCGAACTCGTCCGTGTACAGCTCGCGGTTCGCGAGCCCAGGGCAGCGTAGTGGGAATCACAGGTTAGTCGGTCTTGTGCTGGGTTCAACGCGGAGTGGAGGGGTGCTCACCGTAGATGCAGATAACGTAGGGCAACGCGGCGGCGAGACGTGGGCGAACGCGCGCGGGTGACGCGAGCAACGTCAGTGAAGCGGGCGGTGATGTCGGTGAAGCAGGCTACGTGGGTGAGGGGTGCTAGGCAGACACGGGTGACATGGGCAAGGGCGAGACGGGTGAGACGGGTGAGGCGTGGGTGATGTTGACGCGCACGAGACGTGGACGACATGCGGGCTAACACGGGTGACGAGTCGTGGATGAACGCGAGCGCAGTGGGCGGGGGTGGGGTGGGCGGCGCAGTTTGAGACGCGGGCAATGGAGGGGTGACACAGACGTTGACACAGCGGCGGCATGGGAGACACGGGCGAACATGGGCGCGGTGGTGAGGCCTTGGGGTGGCGATGCGGGGGCGGAATGGGGGCCATGAGGAGGCTATGGGTGAGGACCTGAGGGGGAAGTTGCGCTGCGTCAATCGTGGCACAATGAGAGGTAAGGGCGACAACGACAGGGTGCGCTATCCGGATGGGTAGGAAAGGATGCGCAAGAAGAAATGAAGAGCCTACCTTATTGAAGAATACGTGGCACACGCCCTCGCAGAGGACATTCTTGGGCGAGAGAGGGAGGTAGGGAGCCAGTGAGCAATTGTGATGGGGAATGCGTGCTTGTACGCATAGAGTGCGGGAGGTTAGCGTGGCGACATAGGGGAGGGCAGTGGTGCAAATGAGGACGATGAGGAGAGCGCTGGCAGTGGCAACGCGACGCGCGTTGATTCCCACGCGTCCGGAGCTGCCAGCACCTGCCTGAGCACGCTTCGTTCTCTCCTCGTCCTCCCCGTCCTCCCTGTCCCGGCCCCCTTTGTCCGCCCCAGGCCGTACTCTGCGCCCCCCGCCTCAACCTCTCAACCCCACAATGTGTGAGGACATCTGCGGCCACACCCTGTCTCGGTGAGTCCCCCGCTCCACCCTCCTGCGCTTCCTGCCTCGCCCACTGCCTCCCCAGGCCCCACCTGCATCATCGACCACGTCCCCACAACGAGCACGTCCTAACAGACGTGCTTGGGGCGCTCGTTCCACCGACGTGACCGTGGTACGCGGTCGTTGCCACCCGCCGCGACACCGTTCACCGGCGCTTTCCCCGTGAGCAGCCTTCATGCGCGGTCTCCTCGTCTCGAGTGGCGCCGCGGCGGTCACGCGTGTGAAGGCTTCGCGTCTTCAGACAACAGGGTATGGAGGAGGGCACGACCTCAACGCTCAGAGGTAAGCCTTCTCCTTTTCGTCAGCCCTGCGCTCGCTGGCTCACTTGTTCTCGCCTCTCTTGCCCGCCTCGTCAACGTCATCCACATCACTAACCTCACCGGCACCACCCACACCGCCCGGGTCGTTCCCGCATTTGCCACATATCCCATGTCGCCTGTGTCGCCACCTGCCCCGCGTCGCCCCCACGTTATCCTGCCCACCTCTCCCTCATCCGCCTCGCGCCCGCGTCGCCGACCTCGCCCACGTCTTCCACCTTGTGCCGGGGTCTACCACCTCGCCCCTTCCTTGCCGCTATGTCACCCCCCGCGTCACCCACCGGCCCGCTCTTACTCGTCTTCCCCTAGCCCGCGTTTCCCTCCCCCGGACACCGGCAAGGTTATCAATTAGCCTCAAATCTTCCCTCACGCTCTTCTACACCCCGGGCTCAATCTTCCAACGCTCCCTCTGCAACTGGGCCAACCTCCCCCGCCAGGGCATCCTCCGCATCCACAGCGGCCGCGGCTTGCTCTCCCTCGCGCCCTCCGCGCTCCCCTCGGCTGTGCCCCGTAATCTTCCTGCGCTCAGGTGCATAGGAGACCCGGACGAAGATGTGGTATGGAGGATGGCACCACCCTTTGCTCAGCACTCAGAGGTAAGCATTCCCCATCTCGCCTACCCTGCGCTGGCTCGCTCACGCTCATTCTCGCCCACATTGCCCGCCCGTCCACGTCACCCACATCGCTCACCTCACCCGCATCGCCCATATCGCCCCACGTTGCCCGTGTCGCTTTCGTGCGCCTCACTCCTGTCGCCCACGTCTCCCGCGTTCGCCCACATTTCACCTCACGTCGTCCACATCTCGCGCGCCAGCGCGCCTTGCCCCGCCTGTCTCGGCCTTCCCCACCTCACTCGTCTACCCCGCATCGCCCTCAAGTCACCCATGTCCACGTCGCCTGCGTTCATCGCCACGTCGCCTGTTGTCCCCCCGCATCATATCCGTGTCGCCTGCACGTCAACGTCCGCGTCGCCCACGTTTACCCCCCATTGCCTGCATTCGCCCACGTCTCGCTGCGCATCGCCCACATCACCCATGCCCCAACGTCCGCGTCGCTTGTCTCGCCCTCGCCTACCTCACCCGTGTCACCCACCCTGCGCCCGCGTCGCCCGCGTTCGTAATATCTCGCCGCCCCATCATCCACCCCTCCCTTGTCTCCCGCGTCAGCAGCATCTCGCCCCCACATCGCCGTGTTTCCTTCGTTTACCCATGCATCCCCCGCGTATGTCCACGTCTCGTCTGCGTGAACCTAGTATAGCATTTGTACTACTATGCTTCAATATATTTGGTCTGAACTCTCTAATTGTCTGACTAGTTGCGCGATTATGATATCTAATGTCTGCCTAACTGTGTCTAATTGTGATAATCTTCACTAAAGCCCACCTATCTGTGTGTCTAATCCCCCACCCTATGCCCAAATACCTGGAGTAATGCATGGCTAATTGTTGAACTAATCTCTCTAATGGTCGTAATTAGCAGGGGACCGATCTAATTAGCTGCTAACAGATAATCAGGGCTAATGGCTGCTAATCAACTAAATTAGTGCGATTAGTCCTAATTAGCATTTTGGGGTTGTCCTGATGGAGCGCGGGAACGCACACAAGAGTTGGTGCGCACCATAATCAACCGACTTCTGTTGCGACGGACTGGTGTCCTTGTAGGAAGAACGGGACCGCGAGCTGGGATTGGATACCTTTCGTAGAGCATTAACACTGCTTGATAATTCAACAACGGATTGTCTACATATGCTATCCCAACCAGCTCTGTGTGTCAGAACGGCAGCGACACCGTGCGCAATCTGGACCAAGTGCCCATCGGTGCTGGCGCCCGTGTTGGAGCTCGCGCGCCGGTGCTGCACTCTTTCAACCTCCTCCTCCTCCACCACCACCACCACCACCACCTCCACCTCCCCTGGCTTTTATGACTTTGTCGCCATCATTTCCCTTGCAACTCTGACACAAATCTCGTTTACCTACAAGACGCCGTTTGCGAACACCCGGCTGCTGGAAGAACACTTCGCGCGTACAGCTGCTCCAGGTCAGCCGTATCCCCGCCCAAGCCTCCACCATGCACTCGTGCCACCTGCTTCGTCCCACCTTTTCCACCGTGCCCCCGAGGCTCTCAAGTCCGAGCTCACGACGATGACAAGACGCGCCGAGAAAGCAGAACGTCTCCTCACTGCCTTCCAAACCTCTACCCAAACTCCTCCCACATCCCCACCCGCACAAGGCATGCCCCAACCTCAGATCTCAGACCAGCCCACAAAGCCATCATGGTGTACGAGCACCGTGCAGAGTGCGCCGAGCGCGCCCGCGACAAGGCTGACGCCCGCCTTCAGATGATCCGTGAAGCTTGGATCAGCTTGGACTGGGCTCAACATTTTCCTCAGCCACATCGAGGGCGAGAGCGCAAACTTTGCCCGCAACACCTTTGCTGTCGCCGTCGCTGAAGGAGGTGTCTAGGTCCTCCAGGTCAGCCATATCCCCACTCAATCCTCTCCCTCGTTCCACTATGCGCTCGCTTTCGCCTTTGCTGCGGCTCCGTTCTGAGACCATGTTCCCTGCGCCTGCTGCGCTCTTTCAACTCGCTTCTTTCATGCATCCTTCCCGGCGTCCGGCTCCGTCCACCGGACCGACATCCTCCACCTGTGGTTTCCCTGCCTGTTATACAGGGGCCCAGCAACGTGGGCCAGCGGTTGTGCTAAACCTGGCCAGCCTGTCAATGTCATAAGACCTGGGCAGGTCAATAACAGCAGTATAACAGGGGTTCACCTGCACTGTCAATGCTTTGATGTCGTATGACAGCCTACACTGTAGGACTGTTATAAGTTCCGTGAGGGTGTCACAGGTGTTACCAGAAGGTGTAACAAAGGCACCAAATAACAGGGGATCTTGTTGGCTGTTGTATCTCTCATATAACAGTGGATCTTTTTGGCTGTTATACCCTTCGTATAACAGGGAATCTTTTTGACTGTCATATCCCTTGTATAACAGGGAATCTTTTCGACTGTTATAAGCCTCGTATAACAGTGAATCTTGTCGCTGTTATATCTTTCGTATGATGGTGGATCTTGTCAGCTACTGTTACTACACTGATGGCCTGGTCAGCTATTAATAGCCCTGTATAGGCACTGCTGCGGGTGGGCATTCCAGCAGGTATACTGGGCTGGAATTAGGGGTAAATAGATAGGTGTAGGTGACTATAGCTAGATGGATGCATTTAGGCTGGTACAGGTAGCCCGAATAGGGAGCAGTGGCTGGTATTTACTGGCAAATGGCTAGCCCAGGGTGCAGCACAGAGTGGGAAAATCATAAGGCACTAGCTATTCGTCAAAAGGGGCATCAAACAGCTTTCCAACGAATCCAAGAGCATGGTGATTGGAGCATTATTGGCAGAGATATAGATGTACCCTTGTTTTGGCCGATAGGGGCATCTGCTAGAATCAGGGATTGTGGATGGAATCCCCTGGTTCTTGTTGTATACTGTGTGTGTTGCCTCCTAATAAATGGGATTGAAGTCCGATTAGAGAGCCACCCCTTTGTTCCTGATTAGATCGCTGTTTACCCTCCAGCCACAGCACTTTTGATCCCTCGATAGCCACCCTCCATACCCTCCGATAAGCATTCGGTTTTTGGAATCCATTTCTTCTAGCATATGAAAACAGGCTCTAGTTGTTCATCCACCAGTTCTACTCCTCTAGAACAGTGCAATATATCAACCTGGTTCTTGTTGCATTGTTTGACCACTCATTATTGATATATGTTGCTGTTATAAAGATTATTATCAGTCAGTGTTTGGGCCTTATCCATCCTTATCTCTCCTCCACATATTGCCCTCATCAGCATTCAAATATGACTCTGATAAACCCCCAATGTATAGATCTGAAAAGGGCTTCAACACACCTATCCAACGCAGTTACAATCATGAAAATCGGTGAAGAACTGAGGAAGTGACAATGTCTACATCTGAAACAGGGCACATTTTACCCTTCAGCCATATCTCTCACTTTGCACAAACATGAAATGAGGCACACACTCTCATGTAACCAGTGCAATAACATATGGACCATGTTTCAGGATGATATTGGACATGAATTAGCACCTTTGCCACATGTGAGAGCAACTGTACCATCCTTTGCATGGTTGTGGGAGAGGTATGTGCAAAGGTTTTAGACCACACATTGCAGTCCAGTGGCACATCCTAGGCACAGATGTAAGATTTCAGCCAACTCTTGGCCATTTCACATGGTTCTTTTTGCATCTTGCAGCTGTGTTCAAGGCAACTTCAGATTGGCTTCACATGTTACTATTGGATTATTGTGCGTAATAAGATCAGGGGGGGAAGTGGGGGACGGATGGGGGTATTACACCATAAAACATGGTCTGATAAAAAGGCACTCTGCATTTTTGAGGACCTTATGAAAGTGTTTAGTAGGTGCAGCAAACACCATAGTGATATATTGCACTGTTCTAGAGGAGTAGAACTGGTGGATGAACAACTAGAGCCTGTTTTCATATGCTAGAAGAAATGGATTCCAAAAACCGAATGCTTATCGGAGGGTATGGAGGGTGGCTATCGAGGGATCAAAAGTGCTGTGGCTGGAGGGTAAACAGCGATCTAATCAGGAACAAAGGGGTGGCTCTCTAATCGGACTTCAATCCCATTTATTAGGAGGCAACACACACAGTATACAACAAGAACCAGGGGATTCCATCCACAATCCCTGATTCTAGCAGATGCCCCTATCGGCCAAAACAAGGGTACATCTATATCTCTGCCAATAATGCTCCAATCACCATGCTCTTGGATTCGTTGGAAAGCTGTTTGATGCCCCTTTTGACGAATAGCTAGTGCCTTATGATTTTCCCACTCTGTGCTGCACCCTGGGCTAGCCATTTGCCAGTAAATACCAGCCACTGCTCCCTATTCGGGCTACCTGTACCAGCCTAAATGCATCCATCTAGCTATAGTCACCTACACCTATCTATTTACCCCTAATTCCAGCCCAGTATACCTGCTGGAATGCCCACCCGCAGCAGTGCCTATACAGGGCTATTAATAGCTGACCAGGCCATCAGTGTAGTAACAGTAGCTGACAAGATCCACCATCATACGAAAGATATAACAGCGACAAGATTCACTGTTATACGAGGCTTATAACAGTCGAAAAGATTCCCTGTTATACAAGGGATATGACAGTCAAAAAGATTCCCTGTTATACGAAGGGTATAACAGCCAAAAAGATCCACTGTTATATGAGAGATACAACAGCCAACAAGATCCCCTGTTATTTGGTGCCTTTGTTACACCTTCTGGTAACACCTGTGACACCCTCACGGAACTTATAACAGTCCTACAGTGGAGTACACATAAGGACATGCTCGCAGTCGACACTGATGCATACTCACCTCGACCCAGTATTCAAAACCCTCCCAGCTCTCCACCGATTCCTGCCACCACTCCGCGTTGCTGACGTTTCGCAGGTATTCCTTCGTGTCCACCATCCAAGTCGGAACCTCCTTGCGGTTATCGACAATCTCCGCAGCCTCGTCCGCTGACTTGGCAAGCATGACTTGCTCCATAAGAGTGTGGTTTCGGGCGATGGTGTTACGCTGTGTCTGGTCATAGGTGAGTTCCTGCGCTTCGGGAGGTGGAGCAGACGTGTCGGCTGCAGTGTTGCGAGATGAGACAGTGGGAAGGGGAGCATTCAAGGAGGGATCGGTCGTGGTGGAGGAAGTGGAAACCACAGAGGTGCCTGCGCTTGAGGCGATCATGGTCGAGGCAGAGAGTGTAGCGGAGGTGCTGGTTGTGGTCGAGGAAGAGGCTGTGGCCGAGTTCGGCGCTTGTTTGTCTCCCTCATCACCGTCCATGGAGGAGGCGCTTACCCTCGGCTCGCACTCTTCAGCGTCGCCCTTGTACAGAGAAGCAAGCTGCTTTGGCAGCGCTGGGTCTGGAAGACGTGGTGAGTGTCAGAAAATTTGCTAGATACGCATCTCACTTACCGAATGCTTTTGCGATAAAACCATCGAACGAGTCACGGACCAGTGGCCATTGTTCACAAGAGTTGAATCAGGTTTGGCTGGTAAGTGTCTCCCCGTTCATGATCCTGGAAAACAGCATGGGTTCAAGTTGCCGTTATCAAAGCTCACACTGATCACGTACGAGAAGGTTATCAGATCCCCAGACTCTGGGTTTGGTCCACCCAATAGCAATGTGCCTTTCAACCCTGTTTGTTCTTCGAACACCTTCAAAACATCCATTCCCGTGTAGGTGACACTGTCAATTGACCTGGCGATCAAGGCAATGAGTACCTGCAACACACAATTCCTCAAGACATGTACGTACCGTTGCAAAACCTGTACCTCTTGCCGCGCATTCGCGTTACCCTCGCTCATGATGTTATCGAACGTTAGCAGAATCGTCGGGCGCCCCTCGTAGTGATGCTGGCGGTATTCCTCGACTTCTTGCTTCACACTGTCGGATGCCTCTGCAAGCAGGCGGTCGCACTCCTTGTTCTTGAACGCGAACCATCCCATCGGTTTGCCCGCACTGAGAGGGAACACCTCGTTGCGCCCTTTGAGGTAGTCTTGAAAGCCCTTCTTAAGATCATCCCTGATGTCGTCCTTGAACAGGTGCATGAAAGCCTGATGAGGCATGATCTTTTGTGGCTTTCGACACTGGAGATCGAGCACCACACCAGTGTTCTTTCCGGTGTTGCGCTTGCCGCCATCGCCCAGACCGCTGTCGCCCATGCCGCTGGAGTCGCCTGCGCCACCATTGCCCAAGGCCTTCCCCTTCTTGCCGCCGCATTGACTAGTGATCTGTCTTGTCTTGTTGCAGAACCACCAAGAAATTTGCTGTATATGGTATGTAAGTCGCAGCTGTATACAACATTGGCGGAGCACTCACACTACAAAGTGGCGCTCTTCAGTTTACGACCACTTCACCCAGCGGAAGATTGTGACCGCGCCAGTCTGTATAACCCAGTCCTAGTCGCAGCGACGTATCGTGACTGGGTACCGCAGGAGGAGTCAGGGTGAGTACGAGACGAGTGGTGATGAGTATGTATGAGTCAGAGGGTAATGAATATGTATATAACGAGCCTGCATATCTGGCGAGCGGGGGTTATGGATGGAAATTAAATGGGGGCAGTGTACTGGTGTTCGTGATCGTAACATCAGCTCCCTCTCCCAGGAAGGGTCGTCCCGACCTTCTACATGTCGGTCGACGTTGTTGCGTCCACAGAGGGGGCGTGTCTGATACCCACAGCCGTGAGGTCTGAGGCGATCTGAATCGATACCCGATCAACGTACTCCTGGAGAGGGAGGTGGGCACCCTCGTAGTTCTGGAGGATGGTGATGATGGGCTGGTTGAACTTCTCGCGGTAGACATTCCACGGTTGTGTGTTGACGATGCGGTTCTCGACTACTTCGTCACAGAGGGCGTTGATGTGTTGCGCGATGGCTTCGGCGACGAGGAGGTGGAGGTCCCGCCGGATCTTCGCATGTACTTGGGGGAATCCGATCTCCAAGTACTCGTAGAGACGTGCCAGGGTGAACAGTTCCGGCCAGGAGTCCACTCGTGCCCTGAGGTAGTGGTCGACGCCGACGTGGGCCGTAATGACGTACCACCCCGATCCTGCCTGGACCCGCCACCAAGGCGTGCAAGGTGGGGGGTGAACGAGGACGAGCTCGTCGTCGTGGTAGTCAATGATCTCCGCCTCGAGCTTGGCAAAGATGTTGTCAAGGGTATCGTGGTGGCGCGGGCACGGGGACTCGTCAGGTCCGGTGAGGGTGAGGCGCGAGGAGCTTGCGAGGGTTCCAGGGGGAAGTCCACATCGGACTCCAGGTTCCGCGTCCGCGGTCTGCACTCGGACCCAGTTGCAGTGAACCATCAGGAGGGATTGGGCTGCGAGGAGGTCGGTAGTGGGGACCGGGGGTTCGTTCTCCTTGTCCGAGTTGTCGTTTTGAGTGTAAGGAGGGGGCTGCGGGGTGGAGGTGTCTTGGGCACGCGTTACAGCGGCAGGGAGGTCGAGTACTGGTATAAGGGGCGGCAGGTCGTCCGTGGTGCCTGTGTTCGCCAGAGTGAGAGCGTTCCAGGCGGCCTGGTTGCGTTCTCTTTCTTCTGGAGCGGGCTCGCTGGGGGATCCCCATTCTACGATGTCGGAGGGGATATTTCCCCAGGGGGGAAGGTGCTGCTGGCTAGTGGGGAGTAGGTCGTCCAGGGCGGCTGCAACCTCAATACTGGTGAGTTGGTCGAGGGCGACGTCGGCAGCTCGTACGAGTAGGGCCCGAAGGGTCAGCGAGGCGTCCTTGGCGACGGCCTTCTAGCTGGCAGGGGCTCCGGCGCGTTGCACGAAGTTGTCGACCTTCTTCCAAATGTCGAACACCTCGGTCACGATGCGGTATTCGTTGATGAGGGGCTCGGTGTGGGGATGTGTTGGGTTTGGTAGCGGACGTGGCCGTGGAGTTCGGAGTGTGCAACGGTCCATCCGATGCGGTCTCTGAGGGTCCCGCGACTCTCGTTAGTGACGCGGGAGCGGGCCGCGAATGCCAATTGGAGGAGAGGGAGGGGTGGATGGGTGTAGATGGATGGTGGATGACCTCAATGTAGTGGTGCAGAGGCGTCGCCGGCACTAGGCGCAAAGCAGACGCAAGCTAGAGTCACACGAGGGATGTCTAGCCCACAAAGACCAAGTTAACATAGCTCTACATACATACAGGCAATCGAGATACTCACCTAGCCCACAAAGTGCAAGTGCTAAGAGAGTCCGCGATACGGGCGCTTAAGCGCGGGAACAACCTTCCAATATAGTAGCAGGCAGAGAAAAGGCAAAGAAAAGACGAAAAATAATACATAGGGCGAGTCCAGAGTCCGTTCCATGACAACCAGGGCGCTTGGCGAGGCGCTCATAGTGGTGGGTGTGGTGCGCACCCGCGCAGTAACCGCACGCCGGAGGCGCGCGGCACTGGAGCGCTGCACAGTGCGTGCCCGAACTGCTGGCAGTTCGAGCACTGGATGGGGCGGTCGGGGACGCGCGCGAGGACGCACGCGCGTGGGCCAATGTCGAAGGAGAGCCGCGACCCGTTGAGGGCGCGCAGCGTCTTGAAGTCCTTGTCGTTGATGACGTCGAGGAAGAGGGTGGCGGTGGTGGAGTCCGTGGCGTGAGGGCCCCATCAGACAGAGGTGGTGGTATCGGGGAGGAGCGCGCGGCCGTCGGTCCATGCGGTGCTGCCGGAGCGGGTGATGGTGTCCTGGAGGACGCTGAGGGGGGAGAGCTCGATGAGGGAACCATCGTCGGCGAACGCGGTCCGCTTGACATGGTGGAAGAGGACGGAGGCCCGGTTGACGTACCTCGAGGCGCGCATGGGCACCCTGAGGAGTCCGCCGAGCGCAGTCTGGAGGGCTGCGGCCTGGGCGTCCCAGTCCGCAGGCGTGTCACGGGGGGCGGCCGCGGGGACGACCGTCCACCGCGTGCGCGCGGCGTTGGAGTTGAGCCGGTCAATGTTGAAATTGACCACCTTGCGGAGTGCCTCGAGGCACTTGGCGTCGCTCACCTCCAGGGGGTGTCGGGAGGGGTTGGGGCGGGCGGCGTGGAGGTACACCAACTGGGCGGACCCGGTCGGGCGGCAGTGGTGGAGCGCAGCCAGGGTGGCTTGGAGCGCCGTCGGTGCGGCCTTGGCCGGGGCGACGGGAGTAGAGGCGGGGGGGGGGGGGGGGGGCAGGGGCCGTGGGAGTGGCGGCTGCCGCAGGGCGCCCGACGAAGCCCTTGCGGGCCGCGCCGGTTACCCCCTTCCCCTTCCCCTTAGCGCCGGTGCATGCAACCGTCACCCAGGTGGGCTCGGGAACGCTAGCCAGGGCCGCGGGGCCGGGGGCAGGTTGGGTCGGAGCCCCGAAGGGCCTGGCTGGAAGGGCCGCGACACCGGTGGGTGCAGCAGGCGTGAGAGCGGGGGGCACAGGGCCAGCCACGGGGGCAGCCTCGAGGACGGGGGCAGGCGAGGGGGAGGCTGGAGGCGCCGCCTGGAGGGGAGGGGCGGGGAGGGGTGCAGTCGGGGGGAGCTCGACGAGGACGACGTCCATGGCGTCCGCCGCAGCCGGCGGGGAAGGGGAGGCGGCCGCGTGGGCTGCCTTGTCGCGGAAGTGGGCCGCGATGTTGGCGTAATCCATGGCCAGCACGCACTGCGTGGTGTGCTGGATCCAGAACTGTGAGAGGGCATCGCCGGACTGGCCAGGCGCCCTGTTGAAGAGGTTGGAGGCCTCTGCGAAGTTGGTGTCGTTGAGGGGGCCGAGCTTGAGCGCGATCCCGAAGATGTGGAGAAGGAGCTCCCGCGCCGTGGGGGTGGCAGGAGCTGCGGGGGCAGGGGGGGCAGGGGCAGGAGCAGGGGCGGGGGCCGGGGTGTGGCTCTTGCCACGGCGTGTTACGTTCAAGACTTATTCTGGATGGAATACAGCCTAGGCGCCCTGTGGTTACGGTGGCGATGCTCTGGCGCTTGCGTGCTATCGAGCGAGTGCGAGCGACAAGAGGATGAGATTGCGCGTAGCTGAGGTAGACGTAGTGTACAAAGGAGATTCAAGTCTGGGGAGGGAGCGCTCTGGGGTGTTGTCCTTATATACAGGGGCGAGAGTGGGGAATCATATTATCTACGAGTCATCGCCAGTCCGCATGACACAGTCCTAGTCGCAGCGACGTATAGTGACTAGTTACCACAGGAGGAGTCAGGACGAGTACGCGATGAGTAGCTATGAGTATGTATGAGTTAGAGGGTATAGCATGTGTATTTAATGGGTCGGCATATCGGGGGAGCGGGGGTTATGGATGGAAATTAAATGGGGACGGTGTACTAGTGTCCGTGATCGTAACACGGCGGGGGCGTGCGGTGAACGTGAGGTCGTCCTCACTGTCCGTCCAGGCGTCATCGGGGTTGCCGCTGGCGATGATGGAGGCGGAGGCCGCGAGCATCAGAAAAACCCTCACTTGCAAATGAGTGATAACACCACTAATCTTAGAGCTAATACTAGTCTAACGGTGTAACAGTGAACTAATACACATATTTTGCACTAATGGAGTTGGGGAAGTGCTTGTTTGCACTAATGGAATTGGAGAAGTGCTCGTTTGCACTAATAGAATTGGGGGAGTGCTCATTTACACTAAAGTAGAACTTGTGAAAAACCAATATCACCAATTTGCACGCATTCACATCAGTAGATGTAATGCAAACTAATCACTGACTACTTAAACACCTTCGAGCAATCTCAAAGCAAAGATATATTACTTTTAGTCTAAGTATCAATGTACTACAACAAGTCGGTGTGCGCGAAAGGTGATGGGCGCCACGACGCGCCACCCTAGTGCTTAAGGTGCCATGCAGAGCCTAGCGGCTTTGTCACACGGGGTCGCAAGCGACCGCGGCGCTGTTGTTCTTCTACATTCGTTCCGTGGAGGCGTAGGCGTCCGTCGAGGAACTCGGTGTCGGCATCGGCATAAGCGTCGACCACCATCCGCGTCCGCATTCTCCGCATTGGCATCTATCGTGTTTGCCACGGACGACTTTGAGCTGCGAGAGGAGCCGTGGGCCGTGTTCTTCGCCGTGGCTGTGGGGTTGAGGCTTGGGGAATGACTCGCAGACCGGCTGGGCGAGCTCTTTGCAGTGGTGACAGCAGTCGTAATCGTCGTCCTGCGAGAGCGTGGCGATGCGCTGTTCTTGTGGTCGTAGTCAGGCCTGTCGCGATCTTGCCGGGAGTAGACGCCGCTCGAGGAGAGCCTATTTAAGACGAGTGCGAAGGGTGGGTGGGGAGGGTGTTGTTACAATGAACAGCGCGGTCCGAGCCAGAGAGAAAGCTGTGCCTGTCGGTGTACGAGCCTGGGGGCCGCTTGCAGGGCGCCCAGGGCGAGGATCGCCGCAGGCAGGTTGTGGAGGTGGCGTTCAGACTCATCGAGTCCGACGTCCTGCGACGGTCAACGTGATTCATTTTCTTGCGGCATCTATCGGATGCGTCAGGAGGAGGACGTGAGGACAATGCAACGGAGTTACGTACCAATCGTAGATACACCGGCCCTGGTCGTTCGTCGCAGGGTTGAAGCTGATGGTCACTAGCCGGACCCAAGATGATGCTCCCGTTCAAACCTGCGGGACAATCAGATCAGCACGGCGTAAAGTGGCCATATTGTAGAGGACTTACCCATTGTCATGATAGGCTTCTCGACGCTCAGGCCTGTTTGCGGGGGCCTTCTGCATCTGACCTGATAGCGACTGCTGGCTGCCTGCATGACCTTCCCCAGGTAACTGGAATGCACGCGGATGAACCCGTGCCCGCGTCCGTGGAAATCGGTGCGGCTGGGCGACGAGGAGCGCCCGCGCCTGCGCCCTGTAGCTGCTGCGGGGGCATCCCGTCTGACGTTGTGGCGTCGATGAGCATGTCATCGAGGCTCATGGAGCTCTCGCGCGACCCACTGCATGAGGATGGAGCGAGGGCGTCGAGGCTGAGGGTGACCCGTGTGAGAGTAGCGGGGATCACCATGCGGGCGGGTGGGGTAAGAGTAGTGGGGGTGGAGGCCGGGTGGAGGAGGCGTGTGGCAAACGGAGAGCTGGGGGGCGGTCGGTCGAGTGTCTGTTAGGGTAGGTGAGCTGGAGGGCTGCACGCATATAGCCGTGCGAGGAGATGAAATCACGGCCATACGTGAGTGGCGATTCACAGACACCTACAGAAAGGAAATGACCGTGGGCGGGGCCTCGGTCGTCCCGTCGACCACCTCGTCCGTGTCCGCATCAGCGTCCACGCCCTCGCCCTCCGCATCGGTGTCCATCGTGTCGGACGCGGACGACTTCGAGCCGCGCGACGAGCCGCGACCTGTGTTCGTCGTCGCGGCTGCGGGTTTCAGGCACGGGGAGCGGCTCGCAGACCGGCTGGACGAGCTCCGCGCGTGGCCGTTCATCAACCCGTTCGGCTTGTGGGCAGAGGATGGGTGGGGGCGGCAGTCGTAGTCGTCCTGCAGGAGCGTGGCGATGCCGGGTGGGGTAGGGACGCGGTGAGACGAGTGGTGGTACAACGATGCGCCGTTCTCGCGGTTGTAGTCTTGGTCGCGATCTTGCCAGGAGTAGACGGTGCTCAAGGAGAGCCCGTTCAGGCTGGGGGCGCACGACGAGTGAGAAGGGTGGATGGGGAGGATGCACCTGTGGTTTCCCTGCCTGTTATACAGGGGCCCAGCAACGTGGGCCAGCGGTTGTGCTAAACCTGGCCAGCCTGTCAATGTCATAAGACCTGGGCAGGTCAATAACAGCAGTATAACAGGGGTTCACCTGCACTGTCAATGCTTTGATGTCGTATGACAGCCCCAGCCCTCCAAGAAGTACCTTCCGGCCAAGGGTCACCCCGAAGAGGCGAGGTCTTGGATTAACTGTGGTCGACACTATATCAAGCCCTCTAAGATCGTCAACATACCCCTTTTCGTCACTGCGTTAAAACAGTGGTGGACTCGAGTTCGACCCGACTGTCGTCATCAGGCTGATTGGCCTTTGCTTCGCGACGTCCCCCTCGATACGTCGTGGCAGTGCCTCGAGCTAGATGATCCCAACGGCATATTCATGGTCATTATGTGCCTGTCGTGGTGGCTGGTGCAGGACGGAGACAACGACACGCTCCGAAGCGTGGCCGAAGATGTCTTATGGACTTTGACCCGGCTTGCCCCTGCATCGACAACACCCTTGACGACACGTATGTCCACTCCGGCTCCCACCATATGTGTAGCAACTGAGCCCCATACAGCGACATCTGCGTCAGTGGCATCCACGACTATGGCAGCCCCATCGACAACACCCCTGGGCACGATATCCACGACAACATTCACCGTCCTGGAAGCATCTGCACACACTCAGTCTGACATCACGCCACGAACTTTGCTGTCCACAACCGGATCCTCAGAGCCACCAGCACCAAGCAATCCATCCATACCGACGGCTGCGGAAACATCCAGGGAGGGCATGGGCGTAGATGGTATGTCCATCATCGCCGTCCCAACACTCGACACGGGCTCCCCACCGGTTTTCAAGCGCAAGATAGGCGCTGCCATGCCGGAGAACAAGATATCGAGTCCTTCAAAGAAGCGTAAAGTGTCCGCTTGAGGGGATAGTCACAGTAGATAATTATGCGGCCAGTATGTACATACACGCTTATGAATATTCGTACAAGCACCTCATCGATGAAGCCATCATGCACTGGCGATGAGGAGGAGTGTAAGCGCTAGGACTGGGGGACTGACGGCGGGTGATGTATTTAAATCCCGGAACTTCCACTGCACACAGGCGCATTCTGCGTGCATTCCTGAGTGTGCTGCAAGTCTCATGAGAAACGCACACATCAAGCCGCGCTCACGCTCACGGTCCCGTGCCAGCCGCGGCCGCATGTGCGCACGAGCACGAGCCCAAGCTCACACGCAGTGAGAACAGTGTACATCTATTAACGCCACACAAATATGGGCACCAAGGGCCACGCGTGGGCGCACGCAGGTGCCACGCGAAGGTCGCGCGAGTTGCCCACGGTGGTGCGCGCCGGCCGCGCCCACGCGTGTAACAGTCCTACGCGCGCACCGCGGTACCGCTCCTGCACGTTTTCTTGTGTAGAAGAAGTCTTGTACACCAGATAATACGCGCTCTAGATGCCACGCGAGCTACGGGGGGTGGCGTGCGTGGGCTCCCCACACGGTCACAACGCGCGCGCGCTCCAACGGGCCGGCTCCGTGTTCCCATACAAAGTAACAAGGTTTTAACAAGCCTGGGGGCGTGTTGTAACATTCTGCAGGGGTTTGGGCAATGTTACAACCTGGCCAGCATTGTAAAGGTTACAAGCTGACCGTGTTTTGTACAACCTCTTTCCCACGAACCTGGGGAATATTGTTAACAAAGTGGTAACCACAGGTGCTTTTTCATCAGAAACGGGGCTTATTACAACCCTGGGGACACTTTTTCATTAGAATATCAACTTATTACAACCCTGGGGGCCTTCTGTCATTAGGAACGGGGCTTACCACAACCCTGGGGAGGTGCTGTTATTAGAATATTGACGGGGCTTATTACAAGCCTGGGGACCTTCTGTTATTAGAAATGAGGCTTATTACAACACCTGGCCAGGCTATATTACAATGAAAACGTGGTGGGGGTTAACAAAACGAGTTTTGCAGGGTCCTGGGCTATTGTATTACAATCGGGGTAACCACAGGTGAAGCTGGTGCGTGTGCGGGTAAAGCACAATTTGACGCGCGTAGCAAGGACATCGTGGTCTTTGTCAGCGTGGACGCGAAAGACGGGCCAGTGCAGCCCATGATTAAGTGCAGCGTTGACGAGGGGTGGTGGGCGCTTGATGGGCACAACGATCGCACGAAGGATGCAAAAGAGAAGAAGCAAACTGGGAGACCATGTGGAGCAAGGGACAGGTGGGCGAGCGTAGCGCGTGGTGCATGTTCACATGCGCACTCATGCATCATCCTAGATTGCCCCCCATTGTTTGTGCTGCACCATGTAGAGTGCACAGTGCGTTCAAAGCCTCTTGGTCGTGCATGGTTCAGGGCCATGGATGTACGCCGCTGTCTGCAGTTTAGGTCGCATCCAGTATATCTTGTTTCACCTGTGTATAGTACTCAATAATATATCTCATTCTCGCCCTCAAAGCTCACCATGTGCCGGTGTCAATGCCGGTCATCTGAATTGTATGAGATTTGTCTCAGATATCTGCTCACCTCTTACTTCTCTGAAACGTCTCCTGCAAGATAAGCGAGAGATCAGACAGTTTCAGAGATCTGGGAATGTACCAATGAAGGTTGTTCCCACGCTTAATGTTGTGATCAGCGCGTGGGCAGAGCACGCGCCCATTGAGAGTGGGTCAGCATGTCCTCAGGATGGGTGATTGGGCTGGGCCGGGAAAGGGCAGCCATGGACTTTGATGACCAGCTATGGACTAATGAGCGCTCGCGTGGCCTGGGAATGCGGGCGACCGATCACTCCCGTTTGGAGGGCTCCCGCTTCCAGATATACTGGTGGGGGCTCATCCGGCTTCCTCACGCAACTTGCCACTACCCGTGCGTGTGAGGAAGCTGACATAAGCGTCTGCCAGACACTCTACCGCGACTAGCCGCTATATCTTTAACACTTAAGCGCCCATATCACGGACTCACATAGCACTTGCACTTCGTGTCCTAGCCCTCATCTCGATCTCTTGATCTTTGTGGGCTAGGTGATATCTTGATCACCTGTGGTCACCACAGATGTAATACAATCCCCCAGGTACCTGGGAAGTCCATTATGCTGAGGCCCACCACGTTTTCATTGTAGAAAACCCTGGTGAAGCAATAACAATAACAGGCCTGCAAAGGCCTGTAATACTATGCATGTGTCATGTTGTTATTACAGCTGCATCCCCTGGCTGTCAAAAGTGAAATATCTAATCACAGCACTTCTTCTATGCTGTTATAACCAACACATCTAATGACAGGACACCCTCTGGGCTGTTAAAAGCGAAATCTCTAATGACAGAACACCCTCTGGGTTGTTATAGGCATATATCTAATGACAGCACACACCCTAGGCTGTCAAAAGCGAAATCTCTAATGACAGAGCCTCCCCTGGACTGTTAAAAACAGAATTCTTAATGACAGAACCTCTGCTGCACTGTTAAAAGTGAAATTCTTAATGACAGAGCCTCCCCTGGGCTGTTAAAAATGCAATTCTTAATGACAAAAACTCCTCTAGGCTGTTAAAAGTGATGTGGAGTTATTACAAAGCCCTTTCGGGCTGTTGAAAGTGATGTTTGTGTAATGACAGAACCTCCCTTAGGCTGTAATAACTGATGCCAGGGACCCACTGGGACCTACCTAGCTATAAATAGCCAGGTGCAGGTAGTGCTACAGGTGGGCATTCTGGTTGGTATAATGGGCTGGAATTGGGGTAAATAGGTAGCTGCAGGTGACTATAGCTGGAATGGTGCGTTTGGGCTGGTCTGGGCAGCTGGAATGGGGGGCAATAGCTGGTATTTACCCGTAAATGGCCAGCCTGGGGTGCAGCACAGGGCTGGAATATCATCAGGCACTAGGTATCAATCAAAAGGGGCATCAAACAGCTTTCTAGAGAACCCAAGAGCATGCTGATCGGAGCAGTATTGGTGGAGATATGGATGTACCCCTGCTTTGGCCGATGGGGGCATTGGCTAGAATTGGGAATTGTGGATGGAATCCCCTGGTTCTTGTTTTATAACGTGTGGATAGCCATCCAATGAGTGGGATTGAAGTCCGATCGGAGAACCACCATCTGGTTCTGGATTAGATTGCTGTTTACCCTTCAGCCACAGCACTTTTGATCCCCCAATAGCCACCCCCCATATCCTCCGATAAGCGTTCGGTTTTTTGCAGCCTTCTCTTCTACCCTATTAGAAATGGATCTAGGTATCATTTTGATGTGATCCACTATATATAGCTCCCTGCGCAGCTGTGTGCATTTCCACCCCCTAGTTGCACCCCTCCATGCCCACTCCAGATATTCATCTGATTCCTGTTGCATGGTCAGAGCATCTATTCCGTCTTTGTGATCTTGCAACTAAATGTCTTATCAGTGCTTTCTTTACTCTTATCAATCCTTATCTCTCTGGCACATATTACCCTGATTTACACACAAATCATCATCCGATAATGGTTTACTAGACAGATCTGATAAAGGCATAAGAGTACCTATCCAACACAGCAAGAATTATTGAAATCGGTGAAGAACTGAGGAAGTAATGGTGTCTGCAGCTGAGACAGGGCCCATTTTACTCCACAACCAGACCTCTTACTTTGCACAAACACGCAATTGCGCACACACACTCATTCAACCAGTGCAATAACACATGGAACATGTTTCAGTATGATCTAAGACATAAGTGAGGTCCTTTGCCACATGTGGGGGTAAGCGGTCCATCCCTTGCATGCCTGCATAGGTGTTATGTGAAGAGGTTTTAGCCCACACATTGCAGCCCAGTGGTACATTCTGCGCTCCAATGCAACATCTTCACCAGTTCTGCACCGTTTGACATGGTTGTTTTTGCATCTTAAAGCTGTGTTCAAGGCGAGTTCAGATCGAATTCACAAGGTAATATCGGAGCATTGTGTGTAATTGGATCAGGGGAACAAATGGGGGGGCAGATTGGGGTATTATACTATCAAACAGACTCTGATAAGGATTTACAGCACACATTTCAGGACTCTTTCACAGTGCACATAAGACACAACAGGAATCAAATGAATATCTGGAGTGGGCATGGAGGGGTGCAACTAGGGGGTGGAAATGGCACAGGGAGCCACATATAGCGGTTCACATCAAAATGTTACCTAGATCCATTTCTAATAGGGTAGAAGAGAAGGCTGCAAAAAATCAAACACTTATCGGAGGATATGGGGGCTGACTGTTGGGGGATCAAAAGTGCTGTGGCTGAAGGGTAAACAGCAATCTAATCCAGAACCAGATGGTGGTTCTCCGATCGGACTTCAATCCCACTCATTGGATGGCTATCCACACGTTATAAAACAAGAACCAGGGGATTCCATCCACAATTCCCAATTCTAGCCAATGCCCCCATCGGCCAAAGCAGGGGTACATCCATATCTCCACCAATACTGCTCCGATCAGCATGCTCTTGGGTTCTCTAGAAAGCTGTTTGATGCCCCTTTTGATTGATACCTAGTGCCTGATGATATTCCAGCCCTGTGCTGCACCCCAGGCTGGCCATTTACGGGTAAATACCAGCTATTGCCCCCCATTCCAGCTGCCCAGACCAGCCCAAACGCACCATTCCAGCTATAGTCACCTGCAGCTACCTATTTACCCCAATTCCAGCCCATTATACCAACCAGAATGCCCACCTGTAGCACTACCTGCACCTGGCTATTTATAGCTAGGTAGGTCCCAGTGGGTCCCTGGCATCAGTTATTACAGCCTAAGGGAGGTTCTGTCATTACACAAACATCACTTTCAACAGCCCGAAAGGGCTTTGTAATAACTCCACATCACTTTTAACAGCCTAGAGGAGTTTTTGTCATTAAGAATTGCATTTTTAACAGCCCAGGGGAGGCTCTGTCATTAAGAATTTCACTTTTAACAGTGCAGCAGAGGTTCTGTCATTAAGAATTCTGTTTTTAACAGTCCAGGGGAGGCTCTGTCATTAGAGATTTCGCTTTTGACAGCCTAGGGTGTGTGCTGTCATTAGATATATGCCTATAACAACCCAGAGGGTGTTCTGTCATTAGAGATTTCGCTTTTAACAGCCCAGAGGGTGTCCTGTCATTAGATGTGTTGGTTATAACAGCATAGAAGAAGTGCTGTGATTAGATATTTCACTTTTGACAGCCAGGGGATGCAGCTGTAATAACAACATGACACATGCATAGTATTACAGGCCTTTGCAGGCCTGTTATTGTTATTGCTTCACCAGGGTTTTCTACAATGAAAACGTGGTGGGCCTCAGCATAATGGACTTCCCAGGTACCTGGGGGATTGTATTACATCTGTGGTGACCACAGGTGTCTTGATTGCCTGTATGTATGTAGAGCTATGTTAACTTGGTTTTTGTGGGCTAGTGTAACGGGTACGCACTGGTGGGATCCCGGTGTGCCCTCGATCTAGCCGTGCGAGCATTGGACTCACGCGGACCGCGTTATCTCAGGAGATAACGCCCACGTGACCCGCGGACAGGATTTCCGTGGGCCCCGGTCATCTCGGACATTACCCGCGCCAGCGGGATTCCGGTGTGGTGGTTAGTGTGCATCAGTGATGGCATTGCCGTATTCAGATGTTGAGGCGCTCAGCGAGCGCAAGGACACTCTATATACGCATTCTAGTCTCTGATGTACACTACCTACCTCCACCCTCACCCATAGCTGTACTCACCCCCCAATATAGGGATTTGACGAGTCTGGCACTGGCGTGAGGGACCCACACCGACCTTTTTCATCTTTTTTGACTTGCTTTACCGTCTCTATGCTCTAAGGCGACACTCAGCTACTGGAGATCACCTACAAAACCTTCTCAACAAATTTTTTTCACCTCCCCACTAGACCCCATTGATGTCCTACCTCCCCTATCGCCCTCCACACACCCGCGGTGACGGCCAACCGACTGCGATGCTCTATGATGAGGACTACACCACAGTGCCCCCGGTTCCTGCCAACCCTACCACAACCCCGCCCCCGCTGTCTCGTGGTCCCTCGCCATTGGAACACATCGCCCCACAACTGGTGATTACAGGTATGATTCCCCAGTTTGTAAATACCACACACATACCCCGTACACACACGCAGCGAGTAGTGGCCCATACTGGGACATGTGCTCACTTGCGCCCTCACGTGCACAAACCGACCCCGGAGCACTGGGGTCTACAAATATATTTGAACGTACACTGTCAACGTACGAGACCCACCTGCGTGTGCAGCTCACAATCCGAGAACACGAATTAAGGAGTAATGAGCATGAGCTCAATAAACTCTGTTCTCAGCTCACTGAGTTCACACAGGAACTTGATCACACGGCTAATAGAACCAATTGTGTGATAAACGAGAATGGCCGTGTAATGACTGACGTCGATGTCACAGTGGGGAACACCCAACGATTACTAGGAGACACAATTGTCCCCGCACCAGGAGAACAACCCGTGCACATATCCTGACTGGACCGGGGCGCACTACTCTCTTTGGTACGTCTGATGCCTCCACCCCAATTGTCGGACGGAGCAAGCATCTGTAACATTCTGTCCCCCACCTCGCGCCAACTAAGGCTGTTTGGAGGTCCAGCTTACTTCGCGGGTAGAGTCGCGATGATCCAGACCCGTGAGCCGCGGATCGTGAGCCATGCGGCTCCAGCTCGGTCCAGCTCCGGCTCGATGCAGCTCCGGTTCAGAGGGGGACCAAAAACGGTTGAACTGTGGCTCCACCCACGGATCCTCCAATCTAATTCACGCACTATAGACACAGGAGCATGTATATATACACTTGTTCACTACTTTAAGCACTTGTGTTACCAAGTGTCATCATCGGACTCGTCATCCGAGTCCAATGGGGTCCGCAGTAGCAGCAGGGACCCATCTGAATCCTCACTAGCGTCGCTCGAGGCCCTTATCACTTCAACCCACTTGCTCCCTACCTCAACCAAACGCTCAGAAGGTATGCCAACAATCTCTGTAAGTGTGTTGCGCTCGCACACGCGGGACACCGCCTCCATCGCATCGTTAAAACGAGTCCGGACTACGGCCGGGCGAGTAGGTGTGTCCGCAGGAGCATGGGTGCTGGTGGACTCTGTCGATGCAATGGTGGAGGACGCAGAGGTGATGCCGAATGTGGGCACGCCGGTAGATGCCACCGCATCGGCGGGCGCGGACGCGATGGTGGTGGACGCAGCTGCGACAGCGGATGTGGCCATGGCCGCGCGCGTGGGTGCCTGGGTGGATGCGCACGTGGGCGCCTGGGTGGACACGACGGCGGCGGACATGTCTGTGATGGCAAACACGGGCGTAAGGACTGTGGCGGAGGAGAGGCCAGGCTCCGCAGAGACAGGCGGCTCAGGTGCAGGTGGATGGGTGGATGCGGGCACAAGAATGGGCACGGATGTGGGCGTAATAGTGGGCACGATGGTGGGCGCGATAGCGAACACGGGCACAATGACAGTGGCGGAGGAGAAGCCAGTCTCGGCGGCGCCAGAGAACGAGGGAGAGGGCACATGCGTGGACGCATGCGTGAGGAGGGATGTGGACGTGAGGACGGGGCTGTCTGATGAACTCTGAGTAAGGCAAGGAACCGACTGTAAGCACACGAAGAGGAGCGATCCTCAGTCAGTGATAGAACGACTGATATTGAGGGCATAAGTAGTACCTGTAAGCACACGAAGAGGAGCGACTACAGATACAGTAAGCATATGTGTAAAGGAGCACATAGAGTGTAGGTACTTACTCAGTCAGTGATAGAACGACTGAAGAGCAGTGCAAGCCAGAGTCCTCCCTATATACTGTCCAGGAGTAGCATACGTAAGCAGTGATGGGAAGACATATATGGTGCAGAGGTCAGACCGGACAGAAGGTGGTTACAGGGCTGTGCGGGCTGTGCGCTCAAGACAAAGAAAGTCCATAAGTGGAACAAGGGAACAAAGAGAGAAGCGTAGAAGAACAAAATAGAAGAGATAAGGAACTACAAGGCAGTGAAGTGACATATGGAACTATGGGAAGTATCTCACAGAGTCCATGTGGATGCGTAAACTGTCCTAATGTACGTATTTTCGATATCCAATGTTCAACACTGTCTTCCAAGGCCACAAGTACAGCGCGTGCGGATGCTAGTAGATCCGGGTCGGGATATATAACCTGTTCCTAGTCAGTTTCCCAATATACTAACATAGGTCTAACAATACTTACCTCAGGTATGATATCAAGCATGAAAACACTCATCGCCATCAACTCGGTGTCCACAGAGTTGTGAGAGTCGAGGGCTTCGACGAAGAGAGATAGAGTGTCGACAAATAGGTGAAAGTCGACGTTCTCGACTGCTGGGGTGTTCTTGGCAAAGGTGCTGTATGCGAGAACGAGCTGCAGTAAGGCTGCATGCGGATCGATCCACGGAAGACCCGGAGTCTTATCCGCGGATCAAGGCCATTTTCGGGCCTTGATCTGGATCCGCATGGGTCAGAGCCTCCAGAAGAGCCGGAGTCGCAGGACCCGGACCCGCACTTTGCGGATCGAGCCATGGATTGAGCTGCGAGCTGCCGCGAGTCACAAAAAACGCGGATAGGATGGATACGCAGCTCAAAAATGAGCCATGTATGGAGCTGGTAGCCTTGTCGATCCGCACACAAGTCTGATCCGCAGTCAATATATTACACAAAGATAAGTACAGAGTGGGATACATGGACAGCGGGATGCGAGTACATGAGAGGATGCACACGGTGCGGCCCGAGGACGTGGAGGGTGCATCGCGCGAGGACGCGGATGACGTGGGCAGCGCAGAGGCGAGCCGCGAGTGACGGTGGCGAGTCGCGACACAGGTTGCGCACGCTGACGACGTGGGCGATGTAGACGCAGGTGAGCGCGAGCCTCGATCTCGATGTCGGCACGTGACACAATGCACGGGCGACATGAGGGGAAGGCCGTGCAGGCGACACAGGCAAGGGCGCGGCGGGCGAGGCGCGGTGGGTGACGCAGGCGCGACGTCAGACGTGGTAGTAAGCCGGGGGTGGTGAGGGCGAGGTGGCGAAGTGGATGAGGGCACCATGGGAGATGCAGGGGGGACGCAGGGGACGCAGGGGACAAGGATGAGGTGGGCGATGCGGGGGCGAGACGTGGGCAACGCGGACGAGATTGGTGAGGTGGGCGACACCGGGCAGACTGGGGACAGGGCTTCAGGTCCAGGCGAGGTGGGTAATGCGGCGAGGGCGACGCGGACGGGGCGGGGGCAAGGCGAGGGCTTGACGGTGATCTGGGCCCGACACGGGGGATAGGAGGATGACGACGTGGGGGCGGGCCGCGCAGACGAGGGTGACGCAGTGGGCAGGGACGCGGCGGAGGTGGGGGAGGGCAACACGGGCAGAGGAGGGCGAGGTGGGGGAGGCGCAGGACGAAGCACGGTAGTCATGGTGGGCGCGAGGTGAGGGAGATGCGGGAGAGAGGTGGGGGAGGGCAGGACAGGCGAGCGCGGACGACGCGGACGACAGGGTGAACGTGGGTGATGCGGCCGAGGTGACGCGGGCGAGGTGGTGGGTAACACGGGCGCAGGCGAGATGAAGAGGGCGATGGCGAGGGTCGTCTGGGGAGCGGGCCGGCAGGGGTTGCAAGCGCAGGGGAGGGGGACGGCCCTGGACACGACACGGGGGGCAGAGGGGGCAGGGGAGAGTACTCACCGCGGGAGATTGGGGTCGCGGGGGCTCACCGCAACCCCACAGAATGGCCGCGCCCGCGAGCACGATGACGCCGCATGGACGGGAGAGAGGGCGACGCGGGGCACGTGGGGGACGTGGGCAATGCGGGCGAGGGCGAGGGCGACGCGGGAGGTGCGGGAGACGTGTGGCGCTGAGGCCGACACGGAGGTGGTAGTGGGCGACGTGAGCCGGATCCGAGGGGTGAGGACGAGGGCAGGGACGCGGTGGAGGGTGCTGAGGGTAGCGCGGACGGAGGGCGACGCGAGGCGGAGGTAGAGGGCGAGGGCGAGGGGTAAAGCCGGGGGATGGCAAGGCAGCGAGGCGGAGAGTGTGAGGTGGACGAGTGCGATGAGAACAAGGGAAACGGGGACTAGCGTGAGCGCGAGCGCGAGACAGGCAAGGACGCGCGGGGAGCAGAGGGGGTGGGACTCACCGGAGAAGATCGGGGCCACAGGAGCTCACCGCGACCCCATCGCTCAACTCATGGGCTTAAGAATGGCCGCGCGCGCTCACGCGATGACGCAGTGCGGAGGGAGGGTGGAAGGTAAGCGGAGGAGGAGTGAGGAGGAGGAGGGACAATGGCGAGCGAGTGACGCGCGAGACGCCGCGTTCGATTCCGAACACTGCCCGATCGGGACGGATTCCCGCATGCAGACGCCAGATGCCGGCGCCAAAAGCGCTCGAAGTGCGACAGGTCATGTTCCGTCTATAACTCAGTCATTTCTTGACAGAATCACACAGACATTGTATCGTTAGAGAGCTGCTTCAAAAGGCTTGTAGATTACCTACAATTTGTAGTATGTCACACGAGACTCTGCGGATAATCCGTGGATCGAGCCGCAGAGCTGCCATATTTTGGCCCTCTTGATCTGGAGCCGCTGGGAGCCAGAGCCGGAAAGAGCCGGAGCCGCCCGGCTCATGATCCCTGGCTCACGGCTCCGGATAATCACAGCTCTACCCGCAAAGTGAGCCGGACCCTCATGCAGCCTTAAGCTGCAGTAGCAGGCCGTTCTGGTCATCCTGCAGGCCACAGCGTTGGAGCTTGGATCCGTGCATAATGGAGACCCACGCACCTGTACCTCACGTTTTGATAGATCAGTGATCCTGGATAATCCCACCCCCCTACCATAGATAGTATCGCTGTAATGTCCATACGCCCGCCACTACTAGATACGCTACGAATATTGCGGCCAATTCCCTTGCAAGGAAACAGCCCGCTTCCCCCATATACACAGGTCCCCTCCCCTCTCTACAAGTCCCCGCCCGGCAAGCCCTGAGCTAGGCCGAGCCCGCGTCTGTCTGCTCCCATCATCACGTGTGTCCCCCGCTGCCCTGACATCTCCGAGCGCCGCGCTCCCGCCGGCGCCTTCCCCGCCTGTGCCTGTGCTCGCTGTGCCCGACAGTGAGCTCGCTGTCCCTGCGCCCTGCCTCCCCCTCCCCTCCGTTTCCCTCCGTTCTTTTTGTAATCCACTTGTATTCAAAATGCGCACCTAATGACACACAATAAAATAGCTACACTTGCCTGGGTGCGCCTGCACTGAGCCCATATACCCCCCAAAATGCGTTGCCCTTTGCGTAACCTGCCATTCTAGACCCATCTGGTATATCTCAACCACTTCTTCACTGTTCTTCAAGATTCTTTCTGCATCCTTTAGCTGTAAGAATCCTTGTTCTATTCCGCTTTTCAGAACACTAATCGGAGCACATGCTATCTCGCTATACTCTATGTCATAGAATAATGACATACCAAATCCTGTATTCAATCCTTGACCGATAAGCACCAAACCGACGATCTGAGCTCTCCACATACATATAAACGTAATGCAACAAGATGAAAAGTGATCAGACGTCTGCACAAAAACATATGAAGGCCACATTTTCAAGCCAACTCCCTCTTCTGAGCATATATCATATCTTCACCACAACATCGTCTATTCACTTTATTCTTCTTGCAATACACTCTGAGTGACCTCTAGGTACGATTCTGGGTGTACATAAGACGATAGATGTATATGCCAGATCACTGTGGAGCATGTCATTCTGAAATAACATATGACATCATACCTGCACCCCTCTAGCTATCCACCTGGAGTTTTATACTAGAGCAGCCCTCATCTATAACTATCTGATGCAGAGCTTGGCCAGCCAAGTGAATGGGTCTAGAATGGCAGGTTACGCAAAGGGCAACGCATTTTGGGGGGTATATGGGCTCAGTGCAGGCGCACCCAGGCAAGTGTAGCTATTTTATTGTGTGTCATTAGGTGCGCATTTTGAATACAAGTGGATTACAAAAAGAACGGAGGGAAACGGAGGGGAGGGGGAGGCAGGGCGCAGGGACAGCGAGCTCACTGTCGGGCACAGCGAGCACAGGCACAGGCGGGGAAGGCGCCGGCGGGAGCGCGGCGCTCGGAGATGTCAGGGCAGCGGGGGACACACGTGATGATGGGAGCAGACAGACGCGGGCTCGGCCTAGCTCAGGGCTTGCCGGGCGGGGACTTGTAGAGAGGGGAGGGGACCTGTGTATATGGGGGAAGCGGGCTGTTTCCTTGCAAGGGAATTGGCCGCAATATTCGTAGCGTATCTAGTAGTGGCGGGCGTATGGACATTACAGCGATACTATCTATGGTAGGGGGGTGGGATTATCCAGGATCACTGATCTATCAAAACGTGAGGTACAGGTGGACCCACGCTTCAGCGCGAGTGTGGTCGACTGCATTCAGGGCGGCTTGAGTGTATGGCAGCAGGAGCTGTATGGCTGGGTTTTAGAGTGGCCGACACGTTCAAAATGAAAAGATTTACTCACAACCACTGTGTCAGTGACGCCGTTGACCAGAACAGTGAGCCATTCATGGTTTAACGCCCGTGTCGACGGCGGGCCAACGTCAGAGTCACGGCGTGTCTCCGTCAACAGATAGATCGCGGGGCTTGTGCTGTCAATGATCGACATGTCGCTTGCAGGGTCGGAAGTAGTTGAGATGGGGGCAGAGAGGTTGGAAAGAGGTCCAAGGATCAACGTGAGGTACATACCGGTTTTTGCCCGCGCGATGAGCCCCTGTACCAGTGCTACCAATGTCCGACGCACTTGGGTGAGGTCACCATCACCAACATGAGGCGCCGTCAGCCCACGTCAGGTGTTTGATGGTGTTGCGCTAAGGGAGAGAGCATGAGGATGCGGGTTTGTGTCGAAAATGGGTGAAGGGTACCTAGGCGCTGGCACCGATAACGATCTACGTGCGTGTTGATGCGTTGAGTTGCAGCTAGCCTGAATAAGGTGAGCTATACGCACCCCAGTTTCTGACGGATCTCACCTTGTTTAAACATCTTGGGCAGGCAAGGCTCAGTTCAGCGGGAGGGTTGGTCTGAGGAGCAGGGCAGTGACGCGGGAGCGGGCCGCGAACGCCAATCGGAGGAGAGGGAGGGGTGGATGGGTGTAGATGGAGGTTGGATGACCTCGATGTAGTGGTGCAGAGGCGTTGCCGGCACTAGGCGCAAAGCAGACGCAAACTAGAGTCACACGAGGGATGTCTAGCCCACAAAGACCAAGTTAACATAGCTCTACATACATACAGGCAATCGAGATACTCACCTAGCCCACAAAGACCAAGAGGTCGAGATGAGGGCTAGGACACGAAGTGCAAGTGCTAAGAGAGTCCGCGATACGGGCGCTTAAGCGCGGGAACAACCTTCCAATATAGTAGCAGGCAGAGAAAAGGCAAAGAAAAGACGAAAAATAATACGTAGGGCGAGTCCAGAGTCCGTTCCACGACATTACCCCCCTCCTAAAACCCATCCGTCCCGGATGGACATGATCCTCCCCTCCTGCCAGTCTTCCTTCTCCGTTTCTGCGTGCTCAGGGTGCTCAACCCTCCTCCACGGCAGCGCGGCGAATAGAGTCGCAGATATCTTGCGAGGCGCGTTGGGATTGCGCTCGTAGAACTCTGCGACCTTCTCTGGGGCATTGGCGACATTCGCCGCTGGTTCCCACGAGTCGTCCCCCTCTCCGTATCCCTTCCACCGCACCTGGAACTGAAGCCGGCGGTTGAAGAACCGACTATCCAGAATCCTCTCCACCTCGTACTCCTCCTCTCCGTCCACTTCCACTGGCTCTGGTGGTGGTGCTCGTCGCCCGTTCACCTCGTTCCCTCCATACTTGGACAGCCGATCCACATGTACGACCGGGTGGATCTTGAGCGTGGGTGGGAGTTCGAGACGATAGGCTAGGTCACCCACGCGTTCGACCACCTTGTAGGGTCCCAGCTGCCGGACACCAAGCTTGCGCGTTGCCTGGTGCACACTGATGTCTTTTGAGCTAAGCCAGACCTTGTCTCCGACTTCGAATGCCTTCCGATCACGAGGGTGTTCCTCTGCGAAGTGAACCTTCATCTTCGCCTTGCCTGCGCGCAGCACTGATTCAATGTCCTTCTGTGCTTGGCGCATGCCCTCTAGACGATTCTCGAGATGAGGGAAGCGAGTCTCTGTTCCCACTGGTACCGTGAAGTCTGGCTTGTACCCGTACATGACCTCGAAGGGCGTGTGGTTGTGCGCAGAGTGGATTCGGCTGTTCAGCGCGAACTCGGCAGTTGGCAGATAGCGTACCCAGTCGTCTTGCCGTTTGCGTACGAACAGGCGCAAGTGCTGCTCTACTTCCTGGTTCGTTCGCTCGGTCTGTCCGTTAGACTGAGGGTGGTACGCGGTGGTGAGTGCATGTTCAATGCCGAGCTTGCCGTAGAGTTCGTGCATTACGCGGGCGGCGAACTGGGGACCACGGTCCGACACGATCTTCCGAGGGACACCATGTAGGCGGAAGATCTCGCGGTAGTGCAGGTCGGCAATGCCAGCAGCGTCGACACTGTCGCGTGTGGGGAGGACGTGACACTGTTTGCTGTAGTGGTCGACGTACACCGCGATGGCGTTGAACCCTTCGCACTCTGGGAGCCCAGTGACCAGGTCTACTCCCACCACCTTCCAGGGGGCCTCAGGGACGTCGTGCGGATGCAGGGTGGAGCGTGGATGTGGAGCTGGCTTGTAGCGCTGACAGCGCTCGCAGCCTGCGACGTACTTGGCCACGAAGAGCGCCATCCCAGGCCACCAGTAGTGCCGGCTGACGAGCTCAAGGGTGCTGCTGCGTCCAGGGTGTCCAGCTGTGACCGAGTCGTGGCATCGCCGAAGAACCTCTTGTCTGAGCTCTGGGTCAGCTGGCACGTATAGGCGACCTTCGTGATACACCAGGCCCCCGTGCTCTTCCCACTCGGCTACTCCACTTGCCATCCTGCGAGGCGGCGCTGCAAGCCCGCTTCTAACCTCCACTTCGCGCTTGGTGCACTCACGGATGCGTTGCTCAAGCAGATCGGTGTCGCTGCAGATGGTTGCAGCTAGCTGAGCGAACCGTTCTGGCTTGAGTACGACCTGCTCCTGGTTGTCCTCCGCGTCCGTGACCTGATGAGTGGGGAGACGCGAGAGAGGATCTGCCTGCGTGTTCGTCTTCCCAGGCTTGTGGGTGAGGACGAAGTCGAAGCGTGCCAACCAGATTGACCATCGCGCTTGCCGCTGTGAGAGATGCTGAGCAGTACGCCAGTACTCGAGGTTCCGATGATCCGTGATGATCTCAAAGGGATCTGGAAGGCCCTCAAGGTAGTGGCGCCAGTCCTCCAATGCTCGGATGATCCCCAAGAGCTCTCGGTCGTAGATCTCGTAGTTGCGCTCTGCATCCGACATGGACTCTGAGCGGAACGCGATCGGGTGCCATAGGCCGTCGGGGAGCTTCTGGAGCAGAACACCACCCGTTGCGAATCCAGAAGCGTCTACCTCGAGTCTGGTGGGTCGATCTGGTGCCCATGTAGCGAGAACCGGTTCACTGATGAAGGCGTCCTTGAGCGCGCGGAATGCCTGACGCTGCGCGAACTCCCATGTCCACGCGACGTCCTTCTTCGTCAAGTCGTTCAAGGGACGAGCCAGCCTAGCAAAGTCCTTGATGAAGCGACGATAGAAGTTGGCAAATCCAAGGAAACCGCGCAGATCTCGCAGGTTACGAGGATCTGGCCAGTCGCGCACGGCTTTGACCTTCACCGGGTCCATGCTGACCGAGCCCTGACGGATCACCAGCCCCAGGTACTCCACCTCCTCCCGCTCAAACTCGCACTTCTCAGGGCGCAGGTAGAGGTCGTGCTCCTCCAACCGCTGAAGTACTTCGTGAACCAGTCGACGGTGCTCCTCTAGGGTGTCCGTGAAGATGAGGATGTCGTCCAGGTACACCGCTACCTTGCCCTGCGCAATGAGATCCGCGAAGATCGAATTCATCAGCGCTTGGAAGGTGGCTGGCGAATTGGTGAGCCCGAAGAACATAACCTTGGGTTCGAACAACCCTCGGTTAGTGACGAAGGCAGCCTTCCATTCGTCACCCTCCTTGATCCGGACGTTGTGGTACCCCCAGCGCACGTCGAACTTGGTGAAGTACTTCGCTTCCCGCAGCCGGTTCACGATGTCTGAGGCGAGAGGAAGCGGATAGCGGTTCTTGACGGTGACATCGTTCAGCTTCCGGTAGTCCTGTACTAACCGGAGCTTCCCGTCCTTCTTCTTGACAAAGAAGACTGGAGACGCCATGGGGGACTTAGAAGGTGTGATGTATCCCTTGCGCATGTTGTCCTCCAGGAACCGATCAAGCTCCTCCTGCTCGTTCAGAGGCATGGGGAAAACCTTGGAGCGGATCGACTCAGGCGCATCAGGCTTGAGGTCGATCGCGTGGTCGTAAGGTTTCGACTCAGGGAGACGCTCTGATTCAACCTCGGAGAACACCTTAGCGTGGCGTCGATACTCCTCCGGGACCATCTCCTCGAACGTCTTCTGAGGTTTCCCCTTGTTGGCAGCCTCTGCCAGCTGCGTCGAATAGGTGTAGCCTGCCGCACACCACACCTCCTCCCTCGCATCCTCCAACACTCCTGCCTTCTGCCACTTCCGTCGCTGTGCCCGGTTCGCGTTGATACGCTCGAACGCAGGCCGTTCCTCCTCCTCCTCGTCCGTCTCAATCCGCATCTCTCCCTTCTCCCAGTCTATCTCCGGATTCACCGTACGTAACCAAGGCAAGCCAAGAATCATGTCCTCTGGTCCCAGATCTGTAACTAAGAAATCGAGACGCTCGCTATATGTACCCATACCTAACGTAAGCCTTGTGAAATGCGTAATACTGCCTGCTTTGTTCTTTGTACCGTCGATATTGTGCACTGTGATCTCCTTGAACAACGGGTGCACCGAAATACCATGCCTATCTATGAACCTTTTACTAACAAAAAGCGAAGTCGCGCCAGAGTCAATCATTGCTGCGGTCTTAACACTCTTATCGTTTCCTTTTACTATCACGCTAGTGCGAAAGTGCGAACCAGATCGATTTGCTTCAGGTATCGTACAGCTATCTACGGTATCGTACGCGCTAGGTACAGGTTCAGGGAACGAAGAAGAAGAGACCTTTGGTGGGGGCGCCGCTGCCGCAGCTCTTAAGCGGGCCCGTTCGGAAAAGACTTCTGGAGCAGTTCGAGCTCGCCACGGAGGATCTTCTGCTGCTCCGTCATCTGCTGCATCTGCTCGAGGATCGCGTTGATCCCCTGCACATTGGAGTTCGCCGTTGAGGTCGACGCGACCGGGCTGTCCTCGGTGGTAGCTGCAACCCGCTGCTGACCACCCAAGCGTGGCCTGCCCAGTGCCTTGCTCTGGCAAACGCTCTCGCAATGGCCACGGCCTCCGCACCAGCGACAAGTCTCATTCGAGTGGTTGCCGTCCTTCTTCTGGTGGTCGGTCGCACCACAGCCCCAGCACCTGCCGTTCATTGACCGCCTGAACTCGCTCAGCTTGGCAGCATCAATGTCCATCGCGTCGGGATCGCGGGAGGTGCGCATGGTCGAGGGAGTTGCCACGGATGCGAACTGCCCGGTGGCGGTACGAGGGACGGTCGGGGTCGCAACAGACTTGCCCTGTTCGCGCGCACGCTCAGCCTTGCGTGTGCGAATGCGCATGTCGAGGTCCGTAGCGACCTGAACGAGGTCGGGGAGCGCAGAAGTGTTGCGAGCAGTATGCACAAGCTCGCCCTTGATCTCTGAGGAGAGGTGCTCGTAGAACCGGTCGCGGAGGTCGGTCTGGCTATAGCCGGTCCTGTCTGCGAGCTCGTTGAACCGCGCGTAGTACTCGACAACAGCGAGGCTACGCTGGTGCAGGGCCTGCAGGGCTGCCTTCGCGTCGACTGCCTCGTCGGCCGTCTCGAATCGCGTTTTGAACGCCGCTCTGAAGGTCGTCCAGTCGTTGTTGAACACCGCCAGCCCGTTACCAATCCTTTCCAGGTAGGGGGTGGCCCAGATCGCAGCACCGCCGGCGAGGAGAGTGAGAGCCGACTTGATCCACTTTGCGTTGTCGCGATTGAAGCCGCCAGTGGTGTTGACAGCACCTGTGGTCACCACAGATGTAATACAATCCCCCAGGTACCTGGGCAGTCCATTGTGCTGAGGCCCACCATGTTTTCATTGTAGAAAACCCTGGTGAAGCAATAACAATAAAAGGCCTGCAAAGGCCTGTAATACTATGTATGTGTCATGTTGTTATTACAGCTGCATCCCCTGGCTGTCAAAAGTGAAATATCTAATCACAGCACTTCCTCTATGCTGTTATAACCAACACATCTAATGACAGGACACCCTCTGGGCTGTTAAAAGCGAAATCTCTAATGACAGAACACCCTCTGGGTTGTTATAGGCATATATCTAATGACAGCACACACCCTGGGCTGTCAAAAGCGAAATATCGAATGACAGAGCCTCCCCTGGACTGTTAAAAACAGAATTCTTAATGACAGAACCTCTGCTGCACTGTTAAAAGTGAAAATTTTAATGACAGAGCCTCCCCTGGGCTGTTAAAAATGCAATTCTTAATGACAAAAACTCCTCTAGGCTGTTAAAAGTGATGTGGAGTTATTACAAAGACCTTTTGGGCTGTTAAAGGTGATGTTTGTAATGGCAGAACCTCCTCTAGGCTGTAATAACTGATGCCAGGGACCCACTAGGACCTACCTGGCTATAAATAGCCAGGTGCAGGTAGTGCTACGGGTGGGCATTCTGGTTGGTATAATGGGCTGGAATTGGGGTAAATAGGTAGCTGCAGGTGACTATAGCTGGAATGGTGCATTTGGGTTGGTCTGGGCAGCTGGAATGGGGGGCAATAGCTGGTATTTACCTGTAAATGGCCAGCCTGGGGTGCAGCACAGGGCTGGAATATCATCAGGCACTAGGTATCAATCAAAAGGGGCATCAAACAGCTTTCTAGAGAACCCAAGAGCATGCTGATCAGGGCAGTATTGGTGGAGATATAGATGTACCCCTGTTTTGGCCGACGGGGGCATTGGCTAGAATTGGGAATTGTGGATGGAATCCCCTGGTTCTTGTTTTATAACGTGTGAATAGCCATCCAATGAGTGGGATTGAAGTCCGATCGGAGAACCACCATCTGGTTCTGGATTAGATTGCTGTTTACCCTTCAGCCACAGCACTTTTGATCCCCCAACAGTCAGCCCCCATATCCTCCGATAAGTGTTTGATTTTTTGCAGCCTTCTCTTCTACCCTATTAGAAATGGATCTAGGTAACATTTTGATGTGAACCGCTATATGTGGCTCCCTGTGCCATTTCCACCCCCTAGTTGCACCCCTCCATGCCCACTCCAGATATTCATTTGATTCCTGTTGTGTCTTATGTGCACTGTGAAAGAGTCCTGAAATGTGTGCTGTAAATCCTTATCAGAGTCTGTTTGATAGTATAATACCCCAATCTGCCCCCCCATTTGTTCCCCTGATCCAATTACACACAATGCTCCGATATTACCTTGTGAATTCGATCTGAACTCACCTTGAACACAGCTTGAATATGCAAAAATAACCATGTCCATCGGACCAGAATTGATGAAGATGTCACATTGGAGCCCAGAATGCACCACTGGGCTGCAATGTGTGGGCTAAAACCTCTTCACATAACACCTATACAGATATGCAAGGAATGCACCACTTACCCCCACGTGTCACCTGTACCTCACATCAATCAGACTGGCTTAGCCCACGGCACCAGGGGGGAGGGGGGGGTGGTCTGGGTCAAGTAGACCTGAAACTGTGCTCCCCCGCACGTTTGAATAATTCGTCCAATAAACCCAAGCTGTTTCCCAACAGGGAAGTGCTCGAACGCCCTCCCTCCCAAGTCCCCCCAGCCCATCACGTGTCCCCATCCTCCAGTCCGTGTTATCATTGGTTTTTTGCAGTCTCTTACATTGACATATGAAGACACACTCTGGGTGTCATTTAGACGTGAAACACTCTGACCATGTCCCTGCGCATCTGTGCACGTTCAACACCAATGTAAGAGACTGCAAAAAACCAAATGCTTATCGGAGGATGTGGTGCAGAGATATTAAGCCATCAAAAGTGCTGTGGCTGAAGCGTAATCAGTGATCTAATCCAGATTGTGTGCATTGTTTTGCGATCGGATTTCAATCCCATCTATTTGATAGAGAACCACGCACTATGCAAAAAGAACGGAGGAGATCCATCCACAATTCCCAATTCTAGTGGATGTGCCCATCAGCAAAAACGGGGGTACACCTGTATCTCCACCAATACTGCTCCAAATGGCGTACTTTTGGATGCGTTTGAAAGCTACATGATGCCTCTTTTGATCCATATATGGTGCCTAGCCAGTTTCCTATCTCACCCAGCTGTGCAACCCCTACCATTTACATGCAGAAACCAGCTATTGCACCCTATTCCAGCTGCAGGAACCTGCTGCTATCCACTGCTATTGATAGCTATCTTATAGGTAGCTTCTATTCACCCAATTGAGGGCTGCAGGGCAGAGTAGTGTACCTGTATACCAGGTATTAATAGCTGGCCAGACCAGCCACGATATGAGGCTATTAATAGCTGGACAGTACCTGATGTGGGTTATTACAGCCCTGGGAAGGTTCTGTGATTAGAAATGAGGCCTATTACAAGCCTGGGAGGCTGCTGTCATTAGGATATTGACTTATTACAGGCATGGGAACTCTTTTCATTAAGATATGGCCTTATTACAAGCCTGGGAAACACTTTTTCATTAAGATATTAACTTATTACAACTCTGGGAGGCCCCTGTTATTAGAATGTAGACTTATTACAGCTCTGAGGATGCTCTTTTATTAGAATTGTGACTTATTACAGCTCTGGGAACACTTTTCATTATGATATTGACTTATTACAAGGCTGGGAACACTCTTTCATTAGACTTAGGGCCTATTACAATGCCCTGGTGAGTATATAGTACAATGACAACGTGGTGGGGATTAGCAAAACAAGTTTTGCAGGTTCCTGGGGTATTGTATTACATTTGGGGTAACCACAGGTGGACAAGACAGGGGTGAGAGCAGGTGGGCGACATGGCAACGTGGGCAGTTCGAGCAGAGGGGTCAGTGCACATTGTGCTCCCTGCAGTTGGGCTTGGTATGCGGCATTGGAGAAGATGGGGCGAGGACGGGAGTTGTGGAGGGCATCGAGGGCAACGTCAAGGGGATGATGAGGACGCTGCTGGCAGTGCCAAGCGTGGGAGTGCACACGACAAGGCATCGCCTGTTAGCGCGTCTGTGCTGGCACTCTCCTCTCAGTCCTCTCAGTCCTCTCAGTCCTCCCCGTCTTTTTGTCCTGGTGCAACATCTTCAAGGAGCACTCGAACACGCCCCTCACCTGCCATGGCGAGCTGTCTTGGTGAGTCCCTCGTTCTACCCTCTTGCGGTCCCCCATTTTGCCTACCACCTTGCCAGGCCCTGGCCGCACCACAAACCTTGTCCCCACCACAAGCACATCCCAATGAAGCTCGTTCCACTAGTGCGGCTGTGCTCTGCGGCCGTTGTCGCCGTCTCATATATCGCCCACTTGCCCACTACAAACTCGGGCTTCTGCGTTGTTGATGCACCCACCTGTAATCCCAGCCAGGCAATGGCACGACTCGGTGTGAGGATTGCCCCGCGGGGCAGTTCTCATTGGAGGGTGCGTCTGCCTGCTGATCTTGGTACGTTTTTTTTTGATGGACCGTGCTCTGTGTGTGTGTGCTCACAGCTGCTCCAGCTTTTACTCCGACCACGTAAGCACAGGCAGCTGCTCGCAGTGCTTGACACCTGGCGCGTACTCCGTCGTTGGCACGACCTCCTCGTCGGTGTGCTCCTTCTACTCCGACAGGCCAGCTCTATTGTCCCTAGCTCCTGGCCCACTTGCTGTGCGTCCCTTCGCTTGTCCACCCCGACACCCAGTGCCTGGTTTGGCAGCATCTGGAAGCTCGCCAACGGCTGCACGATGGGCTTCCTGTCGCCCTCCCTTTGCACTGGCGTGAGGACCTCAGGGCCCACACGCGGTATCACCAGCACGAAGCCACCGTGGTCGCCGAGCGTGGCATATGCGAGCCGCTGTGTGTTCTCCATCCCGATTGCGTCGTACGCGAAGAACACTGGTGCGCTCGATGCGGCGGCAAAAACCGTGGTGAGGAGCTCGGGAATGGGGAGTGCGTGGTCGATGACGTGTGTCGAGGGACTGGAGGAACGTGGCATGCGACGCTTGCCTGTGTTGTTCTTACCTCGCCCACCTTGTCTGCCTCGCTCACGTTGATGAACTCTGAGTAAGGCAGGGACCGACTGTAAGCACACGAAGAGGAGCGATTCTCAGTCAGTGATAGAACAACTGAAGAGCAGTGCGAGCCAGAGTCCTCCCTATATACTGTCCAGGAGTAGCATACGTAAGCAGTGATGGGAAGACATAAATGGCGCAGAGGTCAGACTGGACAGAAGATGGATACGAGGCTGTACGGGCTGTGCGCTCAAGACAAAAGAGAGTCCAAAAGCAAGGGAGCTTAATTATTTTGTTACCAGGGACGTCTATTCACAATTACTAGTAGTAACGACTGGTAGTCGGTGTAGTATGTTCTATGACACATACCAGGTGCATTCAGAATGTTTTAGGCGATATTCGCAGTAGTAATTAGCAGTAAAGACATGGTAGTAATGACACCCTTTCACTTATTATAATGTGGTGCGTCATGCACAAGGTCTGTATCTGCGGGAAGGCGCCGCGATCGCGCGCGCGAACTCAAGGCAACGCGCGTTCGGATGAGGAACATCACGGCCAGGTGATGAGCACGTTACAAGTACTCGCGAGGCCGCGCGAACGGAATGGGGGAACACGCGCGGTGCCGGTCAAGTGATGAGCGCATATGAAGAACGCGCGAGGCCACGCGGGCAGGGAACAGGGAAACGTGCCCCGCACATTCGGACTTACGACATCGCGATCTAGTGGCGAGCGTACGAAGGTGCGAGGCCGTGCTGTCGAGGTTTTCAGCACCGAGGAGCTGGAATGTTGTGATCGTGCACAAGCGACACACATTGTGTGCGATGTCCCACCGGAGAAGAGTATACGAGCATGACATAAGATGGTACTGATACAGGCTAGAAGTTGAGATCAAGTGCGTCCAAGACCTCCTTGTAAGCGTCAACATCGTCGACATATTCTGCAAGGGCATCCCTAAGAGACTAGAAGCATAGATGAGTCAGAGAATGGACAAGGGTATGCAAACACTTACAACGTCATGGTACTTCTCATCCATGGATACCCCCGGCTTCAGCGAATTGGTGTGACGCTTGTGGAACCGGTCACTGCCATGACTGTAGACAGCACTCTGCTGCATAGCGTACGCACGCTTGCCTCGCGACAAGTTGCTCTCCTTCGTCGTCGCTTGCCAAGCTCTGGAATAGAAGTCATGGCCAGCTCTGCCGTTACGGAAGTCCGTGAACACATAGTTTGCATGGGCGTCCGCTTGATACTTGCGCTGCAGGCGAGTATGGAACATCGTCGACTGTGCTGTAGTAAATGTTAAACTGCAACAATCATTACTTGAGAATTGACTCGCCATTGTCGCGCCACTGAGGCTCAGTATCCTCGGCAGGGGGTGGCTCTGTGGACTTGCTTTGCCTCGATGGCTGCTGCCGCTTGTCCTTCTTGGGCGTCAGGATGCGCCAAACCCAAGAAGAGTACCGCCGGGTGTCGCCTGGTTGACGTGAGGTCAGGTCAGAGAGGACTAGATCTGTCTTCAAGTTGATCGCGCGTAGACGACCTTCTGGCGAGTCTTGGTCCGGTTTGTGGTCGAGAATCTTGCGCAGTGCCGATACACGTTGGAAGTTGTCATTGTAGCGTTCGGCCAGACGATAAGCGTAGTGACCGCTCCTCTGGAGTTCGGTCTGGAAACGCGTACCTGCTTTCTGCCCTTGCTTCCCCGCGGTCTTCTTCTCGCGCAAGAAAGACGCGCGATACTCGACAGCGCTTCGTACGTGGGCGAGATCATCAAAACAATCTGCAGTGTGCATGGCCAGCTCACCGCGGGCGAACACCTCAATCTCGAGGATCTTGGTCTCTTCCTTCGTGTAGTCTGAGGGTAGGCCGACAATCTCTTGGTCGTCGATGTCGTTACAAGCTCTCTCGTCGTCATCGTCGCGGACGTTTCGAGAGAACTCGCGTCGACCTTGCACCGCCGGGTCATCATCGGCAGCAGCGAGTGGCATATACCGCTGTTTCTCCTTGAGCCACTGGTGAAGGTCCCGGATGTATCCGCGACGGGCGGTGGCGAAGGGGACCGTAGCCTCGTCTGATTGACCGAAGCCCTTGTTGCCAAGCTTCTTGCGCTGCTGGAGCTTAAAACTAGGAGACCAATCAGAAACGAGACAATTGGTAGGAGCAGGTAACTCGCAGCGCTCGTTGCACATCGATACCATTGCGAACGAAGAGGGCGGCACGCTTCTTGAGGTCCATGTCGGCGGTGGCGGAGTGCTTCGCGTTTTCGTGGGATTTCACGAGGTCGTCGAACGCCTTCTCGCGATTAGGAACTGTGATTTGGCCGTCAGTGTGGGCCAGTACAGAAGCGCAACAGGACTTACGATGAGTAGTGTCGAGCACGAACGGGCTTTTTTTGGACGCCTCTTCTCGTTCCCTGAAGTTGATCGGTGTGGGTGCTGAAGGTTGAATGCCCTGCGCAATCCAACAAAGAACCTTGGTCGGGCCAGCACCAGCGATCATCGACGCCAACTCGTCTGTGGACTCTTCCTGGTCAACGTAAGTCTTCTCGGCCTGCCTGGCTAAGAAGTCAGCTGGGAAAATACAATCAGCTTGGGCGTGCACTGCCGGTATAAAGAGAATGCTCACGCTGTTTCTGCCGCTGACAGAGGTTCCAGAAGTTGAAGGTCATGTTCAGTTTGTCGTGCCGATTCCCAGCTGTCATCTCGCTTGTTGCGGGCCCGGCGAAGTTCATCTTGATCCAGGGCCTCTCAACTTGCTCGCCATGCTGGAATCCGAAGCCGTAGGCGAGCGCGAGCAAATAGACCGTCTTGCACATGTCACGGTGGCCGTGTGCGTGAAAGGCGGGCAAGCAGCAGTACATCTTCTCGATGATGTGGACGACGGCTGGGAAGTTCTTCTCCATACGCTTCAAGAGGTTGCGAATGTAGATGCACATGATGTCGTAGGTCATGCCGACCTCGATCAGCTCACAGGCATATTGTAGTAGGTGCTTGGCTACAAGTAGATCGATGAAGGCGTACCTACAACACTATAAGCCATTGACAGCACAGCGAACGCAGAAACGACTTACCGTTCTCCCGAGATGAGGTCGATCACACCTTGATAAAAGAAGAACGTATGGCGACATGTTATGGCGGCGACGCCGCTGATATCGACTGTTCGGAACTTGCCCAAACGCTGCGCGCGTGCGACCTTGAAGCTGCTGCAGGTATGGGTCTTGGTGAGAGTCAGTGGCATTGTCTCATGGATGAAAGTACAACTTACTACGCGGTCGTCATCGTTCTTGAAGCTCTCTTCGACCATCTCCTTCATATCGGACAACTTGATCATGAAACCTTGCCCCTCGCTAAGGGCCCTGTCGTGCTTGTCATCGTTCTTGGTCCTCTTTGGCATCCCATGGCAGGCGTCAACCCCGAGGTTATGGCGGTAAATATATCTTAGAGTGAAGGGTGAGTGCAGGATATCATGCGAGAAACCGTAGGACGCACGGGGCGCGCTTCTCCTGAGCCCAGTCAGGGGGAAGGTTGACGCCGGGAAGTGGGCAAGTGAGGCATGCGACAGTGAGATCGCTGTCGCACCGGTTTGGGATATTGACGCTGTGATAGTGACCAGCACGCTTCTTCATCGTCAAGTGCTCGAACATGCGATGCACACGACGGAAGGCGTCGTAAGGGTCCTATCAAGCTCATAAGAATATGAGAGGACAAGGTAGAGCGGGCTCACATACCGAAACCTCGTCAGGGAACGCGCTGTTAGTGAGGCGCTGCAAAACGTCAATGAAGTCGTAGACGTTGACGTTGCTAACGTTCCAAAGGTGATCGTACAGTGTGAGCAGTGGAGTTGTGAACGCAGTTTGAGGCTGCTCAAGAGTGGCGGGCCAGATTCGCTCTTGGATAAGTTGACAGGGGACGGAAGCGGCATGGGGACAGTGGCAGAATGTGACGAGGCAGTGATGGATGCCGTTCGTGTGGGCAATGGCGATTTTTGATGGGGCCAACCAATTCCCTCGGGAGGGGCATGCCTGACCACCATGACCCAGACGAATGATGAAGTTGATACTCCTGAGATCGTGCCTCTTCCAGAAATCGTCACCATCCTTGCGGGCCTCCACCCAATGGAACCAATGATGACGATGCGCGGCGAGGTGGCACTGCATGCAATGCGGACTACTGTCCCAGCACTCCGTGCAGCGTAACCACGCGTCCTGATCGAGGCACTGAGAGCACTTGCCGAGAGGCTCGCGCGAGTCCTCCCAGGAGAACATCGCCTCGATGACCTCCGTTTCATGCGGGAGCCACTCGCTGTAGTGGTCCATCATCGTTCTCTGCAGCGAAATGAGCGGAGAACGTGGGATAACATGCTCCGTACGTACCGTCTTAGTTTTCCGCCGTTCTTCCTTCTTAGAACCGGCGGACTCTTGGTCACCAGTGGATGGTGCATCTTCCCAGCTGTTCTGGCCATTATTGGGCTCTTGGGGAACGTCGTACCCAATCGGAAGGGCATCTGCGAGCTCGGGTAGTGTGGGGCTTTCAAGAGGGTCTAACTGGGCACGTTTGGAGGGCGACTCCTGCCGTAAATTCGCCGCCTCAAGTGTACTGGCGTGATAATGCACCTGCTGTTCAGTGACGACGGGTTTGCCGTGATGGTCACGGCCGTGCACAGTGGAGGTTCCAGCCCGTAACTGAGGGAGGGCCGTCCGTGTCGGCTTCTTTCTCTTATTCTGGCGGAGGCCCATGGCGTAGAGGGAAGGCAACGGAGAGGAAAAGACGCATTGAGAGTAGTCCGTTCAAGAGATATACTTACAAGAGTAGGTAGGCTCGATTGTGGTCAGGAATGTGTGGCGGATGTGTGGTCCGAGAGGGGTGGCGCCCGAGAAAGCATTATGCGTATAGTTGCGAGTATGGTACAAGAGATGCGATGCGACATGCAATTGGTATCGTAAAAGAGCACTATTCATTCAGGAAACGCGTGAGGGACGAGGGGAGCGCGGCTGGAGTAATTGAAGAAAGTGGTACAATAGAAGCGAGCCACAGCCCGCTCCATCTCCTCGACGGTCCGTGCGTTAACAGCGATCAAGGGGTCTGCCACAATGTGCAAAGGACACTGTGGCCACCTCATGACGACGCGGCGGAGGGCTTCGACGCACCGGACGCGCGAGCTTGGGATGCGATGGGAGAGGCCTACGCCGAAGACCGGAAACTGGTGAAGGCGGTAGAGGTCGCGATAATGGAACACACCCGCGAGAACTTGCTCGCGGATAAAATCCGCATCAGGAATCCCGTGCATGGGCACCAAGAGTCGGTCAAGGGCAAGGAGTTCGTGACGGAAGCCAAGCTCGAACACCTCCCAGAGAATCTGTGGTCCAGTGGTCCCGTCGACTGCGGTGATGGGATGGCGGAACCACTCAATCGAGCCGGAGGCTCCCTCTTGAAAATCCTCCATCAGGAACGCGTGACAGAAGACATCCTTGACCTTTTCCAAACGCTTGGTGCGACGATTGACCACAGTAGTGGCCGCTGCGTTTGTGTCGCCGTTCAGGAAGTCTCGCCACCACTGCGGCCCCACGCGCGTCGCAGGAGAGTCCGGGAGAGCAAGGAGGTACAGCCATGGGTCGCGGACCCCAAGCCAGTTCATGAGGTAGCGCGCGACACGTTCTTCTGTAGTGGGCCCGACGAGCAGTGAAGGCTCCGGCACCCAGTAGCCCCAAAGGTCCTCCGAAGGCTTGCTGGGTTGAGAGCGATCGACAGATTGCATTGCCAAGTCCCACGCTGGGAGCGTACTCGGCATCCATGCGTGATTCTTGTCGACGAACTTGTCTCGCCCACGCAGGTGACTAGGATGCACTGCAAACGTATGAGCCAGACATATCGTGATGAACCAAGTAATGCGAACCTTTCTTCGCCTGGGAGGCCCCACGGGTGCTTGACGAGGGGAGCGAGCGGACTGGACCGCTTGCTGATGGCTCCGAGGACGGTCGCGCGCGATAATCGAATCGCGTCAAAAGAGGGGCCTGAGATACATCGACATACATGTGCTTGACGGAGCATACGGCTCGGAGATGACGCGCACCCGAGAGTCCAGAGAAGATGGGGACCCCATCCGATGCAAAGGGCAAGAGTGCGAGCTTCGACGGCTGGCGAAGAGGGGTTGCGATCCGTCTGACGTCGTCAATATTTTCGCCAACGCAGGGTCTGACGAACCAGACAGGAATACCGGCGCACGCGAGGGTCTGAACATCCCCAGGATCAGTGCAGAATGCGCCCATGTAGCCGGGTTGGACCATTGAAGTTGTGGTCGTGGATGCCGTAAGACGCGAATAGTCGATCCACGCGCGACATGCCAGCCAGAGGCGTTGGGTCTCCCGAAGTTGGAAGAGGGAGTCACGGAATGTTGCTGGGCAAAAGCGGAGACGATCGCGAGCTTGAGCCATCGCAGTGGACATATGCGCGAGTCGAGGAACCGGGCATCCAAGGGTGTCGATATGCTCTCGAACTTGCTCTTGCATCTCGTCGACAAGAGAACAGAACTGTCGGAAGGCGGGGGAAACGAGGAGACCAAGCGACTTGAAAACACAGCCCTCCACTGGTCGGAACGCCGTGTTTACGACTGGTGTCCACCAGACCGGAGCGTACCGATGATCGCTGGGGTAGGGGAGTCGCACTACAGACAGAAACGCGAACTCAGGGGCGAAGCCTTGAGGCCACTGAAAAGGATCGTGCTCTCCATATCGACAGTCGGCTCGCAGGGAGACTTTGACGAGACCGACGAATGGTTCGGGAATCCAGGACATGTTCGGCGTCGTTACAATGTAGTTGCCATCCAAGGTGAACGCCGCCGCGCGGGCCCTTTTGATGTCGAGATCTTCATCCAAAGTGTTAGCAAGTAATGAGAGACAGTCAATATAGACATACCAGCGAAAATGTCAGGGTCAGACTTCGAGCGGTGGGTCATGGCGCGATATCCCGCAGAGATGCGCACGTATGAAACCTAAAAAAACAAAGGAAACTGACAGAGCTGCGCGGATTTGCGGCGCGAGAGAGAGAGTCCGGCGGGAGGTAGCTGCGGGAGGTGGAAAGGTCTGACCAATAGGAAAGACCTGGCGAACACCGCGGAAGGACGCAAAGTCGTTCCGCAGACTCGTTGGGAATAGATGGGAAAGGAAATCAAACGGCGGCAGCGTGGGGACGAAGGTGTAGCAGTAGCAGGCCAATGATGGTGGAAGAAGGACGTAGAGGTCGTGGAAGAGGTCGAGCAAGGGACTCCGAGCGAGGACCCACAGTGCACACGGTACACCGTCGCAGGATCGCTCAGCGCTCAGCGCTCAGGCCTCAAGCGCACGCGGGTCGGCTATGATGCCGACTCGTCTTCCTTCCATCCACCATCTCCCTCTCTCCTCGCATTCTCCCCGCCTCGCCCACAATTCTTTTGAGGTATGTACCCTGATCGGCTATTCATCATATCATTGTACTCATGGTCTTACGTGAGAGGAGCTGTAAGACGGAAGAAGGAAAGGTCTTCGGTACGTCTCTATCTCGACTTCTGCATTCCCATTGCCCCCCGCGAGTCCAAGTTCCTCGCTCCCCCCTTCCTGCAAGTCCAAGCTCCTCAATCTTCCTCTCGCGAGTCCAAATGCCTTGCTCTTCCGCGAGTCCAAAATCCTCGCCCGCTCCCCGTTGTGTACTCCCATCGCCGTCCTATTGGACAAGGGCGAGGCTCGCTCGACTTTGTGTCCGCGGGCTCGTCTCAGGTGTATCCCTCTATGGACACTCCCCGTTCTTCCTCTCTTCAAATGATGCTCGTGCGACCGTCTTGCCCTTACTTGGTTCAAACCGGACGGCCGGGACGGGACGATTTACGGTCGCTTGGACCTGAACCAAGCGTCGCTGGGCCACTCGTCCAGAATCTGCCGCACCCAATTTCGCTTTGTCGTGTTCTCAGTCGCGCGGTGTGGTCTCATGTGCATATAAAGTGTGCGTGCCGTCATTTCTTTGCTCGCCTCATCTGCTCTAACCGTGCTCGTCTCCCGTCTCCCTACTCATCTGTCGATGCCCGTCACTCCGACCCGCGACAATCCAGTCCGCCACAAAGTCTTGGAGTACCTCGACGAGCATATTCCGGGCCAGTCCAATCTTGGTGCCCCATGCCGCTCTGGTGGTCGTCGTCACTTCGTGCAGCCGTCCTGGGGCAACAAAAATGCTTCCATGGTCGCGAAGGTCTTCGATATCGTGAGTACAGCCCTTTCTTCTTTCATTTTCCAAGCTCACGAGCCGGTTGCAGTGCACTCTATCCGAGAAATGTACTCCCAACTCGCTCAGCCGATCTCAACTCTCCGACGCTGTCCGCCTTCAGTGTCTGCGCGACGTTCTCGCCATGGCCACTGACTGCCCAGCTTCCTGGCGGGGGGCTCTCCTGAGAGAGATAGTCCTCCTCGCTCGCCGCACCGAGCAGCACGTCGAAGAGCAACAACCTCTTGCGCCGGCGAGAAATGCCACCGATAATCGCTCTACGCGCTTAGGAAGGCGTCCACTGCCTCGCGCATGGGTGTTGGTGAAGTTGTTTTTGAAGGTACGTATGTCGTACTTAAGATCGCGTCGATGCCATACTAACTGTCTGCCAGAATTTGATCCCGCCAATGTCTCTATTGGAGGAAGGCAAACGCGACGGCGAACACGTCACGTTGCGCTGGTTGGATCTACGCGGTGTTCAAAAAGCCATCTCAGATGCCATCGCGGATGGTCTGCTCACCAGTAACACCGGTTTTGAGTATTACGACCGCCATACCGGAGAGTGGAAGCCCAAACCGGCCGGCCGGATCTTCCTTAGGCCTAACGAGGGGTTGCTTGTCAGACATCGTGATGTACACCAGCCCTACGAATTCCGACTGCAATTGGCGACCATCTCCCCATCTCCTTCGCCCTCCCTTCCTCCAACTCCATCGTCGCGCGCTGGTCCCAGCACTAAACGCTCTCTGGACGATCTCCTGCACCAACGCCACTCTCCTCCGCGTAAGCGACGCACACTCCTCCGGCCTTATCCCTCGTCCCCCACGCCTGTGCGCTCACGTGATAAGGGCAAGGGACAAATGGCCATCACAACCCCTATGCTAGACGAGCACTCCGACGCAGACGATGCAACCACTCAGGTGAACTCCGATGAAGACCTACTCAGCGATGTGCCCAACACCCAGGACGGAGAGCCAGCTCCGTCCAGCAGCGTACCTTCCACCCCTGCTCGTTCTAGTGCATCCGTTACCCCGTCGCGAGCGCGCGATTCTGTCGTGCTTGTGACCCACGCTGCTCCGCCCGCCAGGACCTCCACACGCCCGACCAGTGCCCAGGTCCCCGGCCCAGTCGCTCCCGTGTGCGCCCCCCTTCCCCGGAGTCGCACGAATATTCCTCCTGTGCGTCCGAACGTTGCCGCCACTCGCACCCAGGTCTCCTTCGCGCCCACGACTGGTGGCCAGACCAGCTCCGTGACAACCCCAGCTTCCTTCAGCGCCCCGGCCACCCAAGCCACTGCGCCGGCCACTGATGCTAGGGCGAGGGATGCTGGAGCGCGTTCTCGTTCCCCAAGTCCGGCGGAGTCCGACGACTCTGAGCGCACTCTCGTGAACGGGTCTGCACACCCAGTGGGGATTCCCGGCTCGTCCTTTCTGAATCCCATCATCATTGATGACGGCCCGGGCGAACACGCAGAGCATCCCTTCCAGCTCTTCAGTCAGACAGGCTCAGAAGACGACCCTATTGTCCTGTAGTTATCGCTTCTCCTCTGTAATGTATCTACGTCTCGTGAAAATACCAATAATTGTTCTCCACTGAAAAACCCTTCGACCACTCCATCCGCACGCCACCTCGGCGCCTCGCGTTTTTTGCGCTCTGGCCACAACCATAAACAATAGTGGTCAGTGCATGCTGCGGTACGTGACCACCCTCCAATTGTTCGTTCTCTTGTTTATTCTGGCTCCACAGTGCTTCCCACACGTGCTCGAAACTTCTCTCGCGACGCGACGTATCGCATAGTGTCTCCAGACCTCTTCCTCGTGTCTTTCTCGTGCTCACATCCCTTACTACCTCCTAATCGCTCTCGTCTCCCCTCGCCCACCGTCATGCCCGACAACCCATCACGCTCTCCATCCCCCACCCGCACGGAGTCAAGCGCACACGAGACGGACTCGTACAAGCCCTCGCGCAACCCATCCCCTGCTCGGGACCCCGAGGTCGGCCAAGGTGACAACCCAAGCGCTCTGCCACCCGCCGGCAAGCCCAAGAAGGGTCGCAAGAACAACAAGAAAGCCAAGGCCCCGACGACTCAAGACACCATCGAATCGTCCGACGATGACGAACCAAAGCCTAAGAAAGCGAAGAAGCGCAGGGGCAAGGGGCGTGCAGGCCCTATCCCCATGCTGGTCGAGCCGACGGCGGAGGAGAAGAACCACGGAGATCGTATGGACTGGGATGGTCATTACGCCACTCACCGCCATTACTACGCCACCCGGTACGAAGACTGGAGGAAACAATCTCGCAAGGAGAAGAGCAAGTTCATCATCGACCGCGCAAACGAGGCCATGCAGCAGTGGGGTCTAGAACCGGACTCGAAGGCAACATCAAACTGGTTTATTGAGGTGAGTGCATGGTGCATAACGCGGTCGACGCATCCTGACCCCCGTACAGAAATCCCACCACTGGTTCAACAACGTCCAGAAGCACAGAGACTGGCAAGACTGGATCCAGAAGATCATCGGCAACGAGCACCGTCCGCAGATTCGCAGTGTCGCCGCTCGACCACACGAACCGACGCCTCTAGTCAAGCGGATGGTTCAACGAGCATCCGCTGCCTTCGTTCTGTGGGCCCGAGACCCGAAGAACAAGACGAGGGTCCCCGAGTACGACGGCCCTAACCCCGGGAAGCGTGCGTCACTCAGGTCGCAGGCGTTCGAGAAGGAACCCACCGAGGTGCAGGACTACTACAAAAAGCTCGCTCATGAGGAGTCTCATCGCGCGGATCCGAAGGTAGTCTTCGAGTAAGTCTCATACCTTACATTTGACGACAGTGTGCTGACCCGCGAGCAGGAACCAAGAGACCACGGGCTCCCTGCTCGAACAGAGCTTTGATCAGCTTGCTGGGTTCCATATTGCAGGCACCGGGCAATCGTCCTTCTCCACGATCTGGATCACACGCAAGTCTAACAATGAGTTGCATTTCGAGTAGTAAGTGCCCATCTCTCAAGCGAGCTTTACTTTGCTTACTCGTTGGCAGCCTGTCTGGCGGCGTCAAGACGGAAGAAGACTTTTGGGCGTTCGAGGGAGGGCCGACCGCTGCAGAGAGAGACCGCATTCACAGGTTTGCGGAATCCCATATTCGTGAGTGCATCTCCTCCTCCCGACCAAATCGCGTGACTAACTGTACCTCAGCGCCGAACCCCGACTTTCCCGCTGACGATGAAAAGAACGAGTTGCCTGCATGGGACCCGAGAACGACTACCCAAATGCTGGCTCTCAAGAACGTCCACGACTACTTGCAGGCCGCGTATCGTACGTCTTCTCTCGAAAGTCGTGAGCTCTCGTTCATACACCCGCAGGTATGGCACATCCTCAAGACCCCGCGGTCGCGCTGAGCGTTGCCGATATTGGTCAGAAGCACACCATCGCGGATGCCTGGCAGGACGCCGGCATTGAGGGCCTTGAGACGATGCCCTTGCCCGAGTTCATCGCTCTATACCAGCGGCTCTACGACGCCCAAGGCACCTCCGACGCCTTCCGTTTCCTCCCAAGCGACCTTGCTCCACCCCAGCCTCCCCCCGCCGGTGTCTACGATACGCAAACGATCTACCGATCGCCGGCAAAGCGCACCGAAAAACACGCCCGCGTGTGGGATCTAGGCTCTCCCCCCTTACCGCCACTCGACCTAACTCCTGACCTCCACGCTCCCGCTTCTAGCGTTGCTACACCACCAGCCCGTGAGAACACATTCACAGAGCTCGAGTCGCTCGAACATGAAGTCGACCAGCGCGATCGGGCGGACGAACAACACGCCGAGGACGAGCGCGCTCAGCGCGAGACCGAACAACGCGAACGCGTCGAGCGCACCCGTCTCCAAGCCGAAGAGCACATCCGCATCGAGCGCGAGGCTGAAGTGCGCGCCCGCGTCGAGGCTGAAGAGCACGCCCGCATCGAGGCCGAAGAGCGCGCCCGCGTCGAGCGCGAGCAAGATATCCAGAGGCAAGAGCGCGAAGTACAAGAACAAATCACTCGAGAGTCTCGAGCTCGCATCCAGCACCTGGTCCAAGAACGCACCGCCAAAAACTCTTCACTCCTCACTCAGGAGCAGGCAGAGCAGCAAGAAGGCTCGCGTGGCCACGAGAACGCCCGCGAACACGAGACGGGGCATCCTGAGCAGCTCGAGAGGCGAACAACGAGGGCCCAGGCAGCTGCTAAGACTGCTACGGCCGAGCCGAGGCGCAGCACTCGTGGTGCCCAGCCCCCATGTTCCTCTCCTACAAGCGTCAGCAACACCTACTCGCTCAGGCGCAAAGCCGACGCGGTTGAGGGCAACGATAGCGCGTCGGTGAATGGAGGGGCGAAGCGACAGAAGACAGCACAATCGAGCAAACCGTAAGTCATTTCGTCTGAGAACGCGCGACAGACATGCTGACGCATTTACAGCGCCCCTAGGCCGAGGGCGAAGGCGGCGACGTCCGGCTCCCGACCGGCGACGAGGAGCAGCGCTCGCTAGTCTGCGCACCGCGGAATATAGGTCGCCACGACCAGTATCTTGAGCTTGTAGTATTTCCTTACCACGAACGCAGTGAACGGCCTACTATGTGCGCCATTTGTACTAGTAACTCTATGATAATCCCACTGGTTTGCAAGCGACGATATTGAGTAGGAGTAGTTCGGTAGTAGGCCGTAGTAAGTCCTCGTATTGCCTGGCATGCGCTAAATGAGACACACACGACGCAGTTAGTGCTACCAATTGATTTACTACCGGTTACTACTGGTAATAGTGAACTGACGCGCGCCTGGTTACACAAAGATATAACTCTATCGCCAAAAGTAGAATAAGGGAACAAAGAGAGAAGCATAGAAGAACGGAATGGAAGAGAGAAGGGAATACAAGGCAGTGAATAGACATGTGGAACTATGGGTACTATCTCACAATGTCCATGTGTACGTAGAACTGTCTGTATGTACCTATGTTCGATATCCAATGTTCAACACACGTCACCCAAGTCCCCGACGTCATTCGTCTATCTTGCCCGCCTCACCCACTTTGCCCACGCCCTCGTCCTCTTCGCTCATGCACCTCACGCACGTCCACGTCCTGTCAGCTGCCCAGTCACCCACGTTGTTCCCATGTTGGCCACATGTCTACCTTGCATATGTCATTCACGCGTCACCCACGTTGTTCCCATCCTGCCCCCCTCGCCCGCCTCATCTACCTTCCCCGTGCGCGCACCGACCTCTGTAAATAGCTGGTTGTCTTGTACAATACTTTGTGTAGTCTAGTTGTCATTGCCAATAAATTTTTTTCTTGTTACCTCTCTATCTGTGTGACTGTCCTTGATATTGGTCCGCTAATCTGAACTATTTCTGAGCTGCTCTACTATGTCTAGATGTATGAACTAATGCTTGCCTACACCTATGACTATCTCTGTCTATTTGACTAGATTAGTTTTTGGGACTTCTAAATAGACCTAATCAACTATTCCTGACTATTGGTCTAATTAGTGCTCAATAGTCCTAATTAGGAGTTGGGGGTTTCCCTAATGGAGGATTGATAATAGTGAAAAAAGCACTGATAAGACTCTTTAATTGCAAGATCACAAAGACTGAATAGATGCTCTGACCATGCAAACAGGAATCCAATGAATATCTGGAGCGGGCATGGAGGGGTGCAACTAGGGGGTGTGTTGTGGAATGGACTCTGGATGTGCCCTATGTATCATTTTTTTCCTTTTCCTTGCCCTTTCTCTGCCTTTTACTATATTGGAAGGTTGTTCCTGCACTTAAGCGCCTGTATCGTGGACTCACTTAGCACTTGCACTTCATGTCCTAGCCCTCATCTTGACATCTGTATGGATGGATGAACTGCCCTGAATGTTATCTCCCCACCTCGTTTACAACAGCCCACGAGCATGACAATGGTAAGATCAAGCACATCATACTCGACTTCGTCAAGTGAGCATCTCAGTATCACACCCCAATGTCTTATTAACCTATCTGGAAGGCTTACTACCAAGTCATACGCTGTAAAGTATCTCCCAGAGAAGCTCGCCGAGCACCTCAACAACTTCGGCATCCTCGAAAAGGTTTGTTTCTCTACACCATACGTCTGTGTGCCCTCAAAGAAGACTGAACCTCTCCAACGCAGGTTCACAGGTCATCGCAGTGACCTGTGACACAATGCGGAGGTCAACGCCGCTCTCATGCGCGAACTCTGTGAGAAGTATTCCAACCTCCGCATTGGGAATGGGCTCGTTCGGTGCTTTGGTCATGTGCTCAAACCTGGTGAGCGAGGTGCGTACCTCTGCTGGGTGAAAATGTTCTAAGGCTGTTCGTGGCTCTACCTGCGGATGATCCAGATCCGTACCCACGGATCATGCGTGTTCTGACACCCTGATCTGGAACTGCACATGATCCGTGCATGTATGATCCGGATCCGCAAGAGCCGGACCCGCGGATGACAGATACATCCGCGGGTTGATCCGTGAAGGACAGATTTGCACGGATATCTGCCAGATCGGCGGATATTCACATGTGATCTATCTGTGGGTAGAGCTGCAAGGGACGGGTATGCAGAGATATCCGTTAGATTGGCGGATATCTCTCAGGTCAGAAGCACGGTGAAAGACGCAGTGACAGGCGCACCCTGCTGGTGGCTGCACACGCACATTGATGTATGGTATACTTATTACTACTTCGCTGTGCGGCGCCGCAGGCGCAGGCGCACTGGCGCAGCGTGCTCATGTAGTTTTTCAGAGGGTAGAGCGCATGTGGTATACGTGCACACAGGAGCTCTGCGTGAAGGAACTATGAAGGATATCAACTAGTATACATACAACAGTGAACTACGACGGTCATTCGACAACCAAAGCCTCGCGAGCCTCTCGTGCTCCCTTCTTGTCCTTGATGAAGTTGATAACCTCCTTCTCCTCGACAAGGCCTGGTACCTTCGCCCACGACCCAAGGACAACATTCGCCTGGACGGATTGGTTACCAAGAGAGTGACACAGTCGCGACACTGTCAGATGACCTCACGAAAACGCGTGCTCAGCGTCTGTCGAGGTACCTAAGGTCGGTATTGAAACATCAGCATAGGATAGTACTGGGGCAGTGCAATGCACACACCGGGAGCACTAAGATAATCTAGTGCCATGCAGGCGAGCGCACGGTCTTGAGCCGAGTCGGTGTGCAGCAACGCATTCCAGTACTCAAGTGAATCATTGACACTGGGCTTGACCGGCGCATCGAGGTACTCTTGGAGTGCGTCAATGCTCGTCTCAGGCTCGCGCGTGGACCCAAGGTTGGCGAACATCTGTGAATGATACACGCGTCAGTTCAGATAGCACATAGGAGGCAGAAGTGGACTGTGAGGACAATGCATACCTGATCAATGAGCGCGTTGGTCTGGGCAGTAAGGCTGAGAGCGCCAGGCTCTGGAGACTCATCACGCGATGGCACGGCTGCCGCAGGGGCTTCGGTAGGCTTGTAGTAAGTCGTCCAGGCGTGCATAACGAGACGTTGAGCCTCGACGATACACGAATCGATCCAGCCTGCCTGCCGGAAATAGGTGAGCTTGTGACGCGGATGGAGAACTATGTGCGAAATCGGATATGTTAGTCAGTGCCATGGTCAGGGCTGAGATCACCGACTGGGGATACATACTCATAGCAATCCAATACAATGGAGTATCATCCGTCTTGCTGTAGTACTTGTTCAGGATCTCGTGGGCAAGAACCACTCCACACTTCACAGCGGGATGGCACACCTGCGTCAGGGCCCAGTTCAAAAGATGGCCGGTTAGTACATCGATCACCGGTACAACATCGTGGAGCACAGGGTGGGTGCTCCTGGAGGCGCGCTCCGTGGCCTTAACAAACGGCTACATTAACTGTGAGTAAGAGCGGAGGACAGACAATGAATGAACTCACCGCGAGGAGGGTGTACAGCTCGCCAAGAATCTTCCATTCGGGGTCGGTGATGATGTATTTACGCAAGCGCAGTGTCTTCCTACAGTTGAACTCCCATTTGCCACAGAGCAGGTTGATCACAGGCCGCATGTTGAGGGCACGCTTCAAGACTGCGGTGATCGAGCCCCAGCGTGTCTTGACCAAGCGAATGAGAATGTGCGCGTGTAGCTTCTTGTCGCGTGCGAGCTTCTCAAGGGCTGCACGCACCTGAGGGTGGTGCCAGACCTTCACAGAGAGCTGCATGATCCACCAAGCAACAGGTGAGTAACCTGTAACATTTGCATGCAAAGACATACCTTGTGAAGAGCCGATCGAGCGAGCTGCGCATGTTGGCGGGACTTCTTTGCGCTTTTCTCCTCGAGAGTGTCTTTTGTGTCCTTGGGAAGACGACGCTTCATGAAAGGCTTGAGCACAGCCTGACGGGACAGAGAGTTAGCAATGGAGGTCAGGGTGTTGTTCTTGAAAGAGTTTCATCATCTTGATGTTGACCTCCGCATTGTCGCAGGCGACGGCGATGACCTTCTTGAGGATAGCAAACCGAAGAAGACATTTCTCCAGCTTCTTGAGCAAGTAGACGGCCGTGTGCGATTCCGTGAGCCTGCAACGGGATGTCAATACGAGCAGAAATAAAGAAAGTGTAAACAATGTACTTCACAAAGTCCAGGATGATGTGCGCGATCTGGCCGGACTCGTGCCAGTGCACGGTGATCCCTAGGTAAGAGATCACATTAGGGGATGTCCAGCCATCAAAGCAGATGTGGATTGATCCTTCAAGAGCCTGTGCGTGAACGATTGTGAGAGAGAGGTCAACGTCGGATATGAAGCACAGCAATACGGACGTACCTTAAGACGTTCAATGACCCGATGCTCGACCTCAACGTGAATATCGCGGATATCGAGCGATACGGTCTGGCGGGATGGTAACGTCACCTGACTGTTGCACATCTTGATTATCTCGTTCAGCTCCGGATCCTCAAAGATAAGGAAAGGCTGGTTGCGACGAGATGACCACATTGCACACAAGAATCGCATGCGTGCGGGCGTATACGTTGAACCAGAGGCGAAGTTCTTGATGGACTTCGACTCGGCCATATCTGATGGTGTACACTCATCGACGTGGCGCTTGAGGTTGCCAGTGCTGTTCTCATGTGGTGGTCGGTGCACGTGAGTGGAGGAGTGACTATTGAACCAAATATCGGTGAGCCGGGACCCATAAGTCAATACTGTGCTTACACCGAAAGTAATACATACAGTTTGCACTTGAAGCGATACGTCTTGCGTCCAGGGTTCCGCTTATCGTCGACGATCTCGGGGGGCAGCTTGAAGTGAGCGTAGACCGTGCCAGGCTTCTCAGTGCCCCAGCTCTTCATCACATCCTCTGAGCAACAATGTTAGCGCATGCACGGCGCATACAGATGACAAGGTTGAAGAACACTGACCGAGAATATCCTCGTGCGTCCAGCCCATGTATGTCTTGTCAAATTGAACGCGGACCTCCTTCGCAGTCATGCCACACTTCTTGATGCCGCCTCCGCCCTTCCTGCCAGTTTTTGACACCTTCGGTTTGGTTGGAGGAGGAGACCCATCTGAGTCGTCTAAGCTTGACCCAGAGTCAATCAAAATGGCGCGCTGTTTCGCGGTGTTGGCATGCGGCTCGGGCGAGCGGCTGCAAATGCGCACACGTTTAGCTATACACACCGTTGGGGCTAGCCAGGGAATATATTGACATACCTGACTGACTTCCCCTTGTGGCGCTTAGCACGGGGGGGGGGGGGACGCGCGACGGTGACATTGTCTTCGGATGTTCGGGGGCTGGGTCCCCACTGCGAGACTCTGTTTCACGTCGACGCTTCGGTGCGGGGGCACTAGAGCTGGGGGTGGGAGAGCGTTGTTGAGTGGATGACATGGTTTGGGAGGAGGCAAGACGTGTGAGTACGCACCTGCTCGCTACTATATCCACACTGTCAACCTCATCGGTGTGCCCAGGGCAAACACACCGCCACCATGGTGTGTGCGATGGCCATCCCAGTCGGGATTCCCATCTATGCAAGAACAGGTCAGTAAATGACGATGTCTCACTGGGTTGAGACATATTGCAAGCACACCACTTACCAGAGTAAGCATGGCCTCCGTAACCGGTCCACCATCCGAGACCACACAATCACACCGGTTGAGGGAAACTCAGTGGCGTGATGGCGGGCGCCTGCGTGCCCATCGCCAGCGCACGAGGAGGGCCATGCGCATTGCAAGCACTTAATCTGATGACTGTAAGAAGAGTACTGACGTACCCTGCATATAGCAACATATAAAGATATAGAACAACGACTCCTGGAATGGCAGAGGTGAGTACGCATGGCGGGGGGGGGGGGGAGAAGGAGAGGGACGGGAGAGACATCAGCAAAAAAGCAAAATCATGCAATACATTGGAAAGGCTTCAAATGACCCACGGAAATTCGAAGCCCTTCGAATTTATCGTAGATCTATGCAAGTCATTCCAACAAAGCCCGGGAGGTCAACGAAACGGGAGTGTCATTAGTATGTCATTCTCATGAACATACACAGAGAAATAGGTGGGAGCGATGTGAGCAGGGGCCGGATAGTTCGAAGTATGTGTGCCCTGGGTTGAAACTCGCGAGCGCGGCAACCACGTGATCAGGCGGCTATGGCAAACTTTGCAAGTCCGACTGGGCTCCTCGCCTCTTCTTCTCTTCCTCCCTCCTCCATTGTCTTACCGCCCTCGCCATTTCTCTCCCTCTGAGACTACAACCTTTGATGCCCTGCTATTTCCGCACTTGTCTACACCCGGACAGCAAGTGCGATGCAGGTCTGAGGCGGCAAGTACGTTCACAGCCTCCCCCTGATGGTGTACACTTCTCACCCTCCACATCCCAGATGATAACATCCCCACTTCCAGTATATCGAATATTCGTCACCTTCTCACCGCTTTCTGCACGCATATATCCACCTGCACACTGCGCAACGTTCCGCTATCAGCGAGATCAGGTGCGTGTGGCCCCAGTGCGAGCCTGGGTCTCCGACGCTTGATATCGAGGACAAGGGGAAAGATCGGGGAAGCTTTAGACGGGATTATAGGCCATGATACGGTGAGAATCTGGTCCGCATCTGTGTATGTGTTTCCTCATGGAATCCTGCTGATAATTCCCCGCATATACCTCGTGTTTGCTCACCTCTCCTGTGTGGTGAGCAATTCGTCGACCGTCTAGAGCTCGCGTTCAAGAAAACTGGCCCTCCCTCGGTTTGAAGGTGGCCCATTCAAATATCGGCCTGGCGGACAACCTGTTTGGTGAGTTCCCACTCCGTCCTTGCAATTGGATTCTCCCAAGACCCCACAGATCCTCACAGACATCCCTGCTGCTGCGTGCGCCCACCACGTCGTGTTTACGTTCACGGACCGGTGCGCTCCTCTCTCCTCTTTCACCCGTGTGCTCATCATTGAGACGGTTACCTCGCGCCTTGCCGATGCGCCCGCGCGTGGCGCGCCGCCTCGCGTCCCCCGCGCTTGTGCGGGATCCCCGCCGTCGTCCGGCTCGAGCACGTCGCGTGGACGGTCCGATGGATGTCCTGCAACAAGTGTGCGAGAGAGGCACTCTTCACGGACTTCCCCAGGCATGGATGTGTCGGGAGCGTCACGCTCTTCATGCAACTGGGTGGCACCTCCGCGGCTCGAGCAAGCTCGTCTCACCGTTCCTACGCGTGTGCACGAGGGACGTGAACAGCAAATTGAAGGTCTTCATTGTCGTCGTGTGCGTGCAGGTATGTGCCACCGCCGCGGTAGGCGGCGTGGGCGTTGATGCTTACGGGGACGGGTGAGTGCGCCGACTGTGCGGTGCCATCGAACTTATGCACGGTGCCACGCAGCTGCCTCCCTTCCTGCACATTCTCAGGCCGACTCCCGTGTGTAGCATGCCGCACAGCGAGGTCTTGATCGCCAGGATCACAGATCTCCGCAGAGCGGCCCTGTGTGATTATCCTACGCTCCATGTATACATGTCTCTATGTAAAAGTTACTTTGACCAATACAAAGTTTCTTCTTGGGACCTGTTGTATTTGATGTGTGAACGAAGGTCAGACGGCCGACGCCGGACGGTGCCAGGAAACCTCGGAGCACTGGACATTGGAATGGCTTCCAATGACTCCGAAGACATTGCAATGACTTGCAACCCTCCAACACAGCTATCTATTGAAAGTACAAAGATTTTGTAACATTCCAGACATTTTATTCACTTCCAAGCCATTCCAATTAAAACACTTTTTTGCTGATGGAGAGAGAGAGAGAGAGAGAGAGAGGCTGCCATAGTGCTGCCCCGCATCACGGACGAGCTCGCGTGATGTCGGACAATGCAGCCAGCGCACAGGGCGTGCTCCCAGGCCAATAGACCCCACAATGGGGCAAGCGCGGGCGATGGAGCGAGTGTGGGCAATGGAGCAAGCGCAGGCGATGGAAGCTGGGCAAAGCCTCCAAGGTGCTGATAGCGTCACATGGCCCTGTGGATGACACGCGTCGCGCATGCCCCTGCGCTTGGCCGTGTTCTCTGTCGTCCTCCCCTGCTGCCCAGCATGTACTTAGAGCAGCAGGGGAGGGTGATAATCAGCGCGATCTGTGCATGATCTGCACCGATCGTGCACGATCGGCAGTGATCATGCAGTGGGACTCTTTGAGTAGTGAATATAGCCCTTAGCTGTCATGGAACGGACTCTGGATGTGCCCTATGTATTATTTTTCGCCTTTTCCTCACCTTTTCTCTGCCTGTTACTATATTGGAAGGTTGTTCCCGCACTTAAGCGCCTGTATCGTGGACTCACATAGCACTTGCACTTCGTGTCCTAGCCCTCATCTCGACCTCTTAGGTCTTTGTGGGCTAGGTGAGTATCTCGATTGCCTGTATGTATGTAAAGCTATGTTAACTTGGCCTTTGTGGGCTAGACATCCCTCGTGTGACTCTAGCTTGCGTCTGCTTTGCGCCTAGTGCCGGCGACGCCTCTGCACCACTACATTGAGGTCATCCACCATCCATCTACACCCATCCACCCCTCCCTCTCCTCCGATTGGCGTTCGCGGCCCGCTCCCGAGTCATAGATGTCTTTAAAACCTCTACAAAATATTAGGTCAGGTTAGGGTTAGTGTTTATATGCCATCCACTCACATACAACAAAAGGAACTACGGATAATACTTATGAGGCTTAGGTTAGTACAAGAATTACTGAGATGCTAGGTTAGGTTAGGCTACTTGGTAGGTTTTTCCTAACATGTAACTTAAACTGATGTTTTGCATGAGAAGTGCAGAGCATCTAGTCACCATTACTCTTGAGCAGCTTATCACTGAGCCACCAAATTTTCACTCACTACTGTCCCTGTTTGAGTTGGTATCTGAGCACAACAAGTGGTAAATGAGATGGTGTAGACATAAATAATTCAACAATAAGAATGTTATGGCTTATGTGGCTGTCTATGCCAATACTACTCTCTGACCTGACCACCTGCCCTCTCATAGAATCAGACCTGAGTTGGCCACATCCCATCTGCTTTCAATGAATTGAAAATAAAAACAAGCATAACAAGTAGTGGAACATCAGGAAAACCAAATTACACATAATTAGCACTAATGAGATATAAATTAGACCATTAGTTGGTTAGCAGTAATTGGAGTACCCCCTAGGCTAATTTGGAGCTAATTAGTACTAATGTATCTAATAAACTACTAATGAGCACAAACAGAGGTCTAATAAAACACTAGTTAGAGGTTATGAGATCCAAATACTCACACTTGCATCACACAATCACACCAAGTAGTACATTCAAGACTGAAGATGATATCGATAAGATAGCTATCTAATACATGTGTGTGGCAACAGAAGGCAGTAGTGCAAACCTGGGACGAAGAGGCACGAGAGATGCACAAGAACCCACACCGAGATAGGCGACAAACACTGGCAACATGTCAATGTGGGGGCAAGATGTGGGTAGCATAGAAACGGTAACAGACATGTGTGACACAGTCAAAGTGGGCGAGATGGGTGCCTAAAGCAAGGTGGGCAACGTGGGTGGGACGGGCAAAACAGAATCACGCCTCGCGCGCCCATCGCCGACCGCGCCTCACATACTCATCACCGACCGCGCTTCGCGCGTTCTTGCAACTCGCTCACCTCTTCGTCTTCGTGCACCGTCATAAGGCGTCTAGCCTTACACAGAGCGCGAGACAGGTGAATACAGGCAAGATGAACAAGGCAGGTGATACGGAAAAGACAAAGGAAGTGGGTGAGATTAACAAGACGGGCGAGATAGGCGAGCGGAGATGTGGGCGACACAGACACAGGTAATGCAAGCAAGAGTGGGCGACATGGACGCCGACAATGTGTGCAGTGCGGGCGCGCGAGGTAGACAACACAGACAGGGGCAACACGAGCGGGCGAGATAGGTCGCACGGCGACGTGGGGGATGATGAACTCTGAGTAAGGCAAGGACCGACTGTAAGCACACGAAGAGGAGCGATCCTCAGTCAGTGATAGAACAACTCTATTGAGGGCATAAGTAGTACCTGTAAGCACACGAAGAGGAGCGACTACAGATACAGTAAGCATATGTATAAAGGAGTGCATAGAGTGGGGTACTTACTCCTCAGTCAGTGATAGAACAACTGAAGAGCAGTGCGAGCCAGAGTCCTCTCTATATACTGTCCAGGAGTAGCATACGTAAGCAGTGATGGGAAGGCATAAATGGCGCAGAGGTCAGACTGGACAGAAGATGGATACGAGGCTGTACGGGCTGTGCGCTCAAGACAAAAGAGAGTCCAAAAGTAGAATAAGGGAACAAAGAGAGAAGCGTAGAAGAACGGAATGGAAGAGATAAGGGAATACAAGGCAGTGAAGTGACATATGGAACTATGGGAACTATCTCACAATGTCCATGTGTACGTAGAACTGTCTGTATGTACCTATGTTCGATATCCAATGTTCAACAGGGGCAAGATGGGGCAAGACGTCGAGGCATGGGTGAGACATGGGTGACGTGGATGAGGTAGGATGGCAGGTAAGAGACAGGCAAGACAGGGGCGAGGAGAGCAAGACGGGTGAGGAGCAAGAGGTGGGCGAGATGGGTGGGCAACGCGGCTGAGATGGGCGAGACGGATGCGTGCAAGACGGGAGAGGTGGGCAAGATGAACGAGGTGGCAGTTGACGCGGGAGCAGGCCGCGAATGACAATCGGAGGAGAGGGAGGGGTGGATGGGTGTAGATGGAGGTTGGATGACCTCGATGTGGTGGTGCAGAGGCGTCGCCGGCACTAGGCGCAAAGCAAACGAAAACTAGAGTCACGCGAGGGATGTCTAGCCCACAAAGACCAAGTTAACATAGCTCTACATACATACAGGCAATCGAGATACTCACCTAGGACACAAAGTGCAAGTGCTAAGAGAGTCCGCGATACGGGCGCTTAAGCGCGGGAACAACCTTCCAATATAGTAAAAGGCAGGGAAAAGACGAGGAAAAGGCGAAAAATAATACATAGGGCGAGTTCAGAGTCCGTTCCACAACATTACCCCCCTCCTAAAACCCATCCGTCCCGGATGGACATGATCCTCCCCTCCTGCCAGTCTTCCTTCTCCGTTTCTGCATGCTCAGGATGCTCAACCCTCCTCCCACGGCAGAGCGGCGAATAGAGTCGCAGATATCTTGCGAGGCGCGTTGGGATTGCGCTCGTAGAACTCTGCGACCTTCTCTGGGGCATTGGCGACAAAGCCGGCGGTTGAAGAACCGACTGTCCAGAATTCTCTCCACCTCGTACTCCTCCTCTCCGTCCACTTCCACTGGCTCTGGTGGTGGTGCTCGTCGCCCGTTCACCTCGTTCCCTCCATACTTGGACAGCCGATCCACATGTACGACCGGGTGGATCTTGAGCGTGGGTGGGAGTTCGAGACGATAGGCTAGGTCACCCACACGTTCGACCACCTTGTAGGGTCCCAGCTGCCGGACACCGTTCCTCTGCAAAGTGAACCTTCATCTTCGCCTTGCCTGCGCGCAGCACTGATTCGATGTCCTTCTGTGCTTGGCGCATGCCCTCTAGGCGATCCTCGAGACGAGGGAAGCGAGTCTCTGTTCCCACTGGTACCGTGAAGTCCGGCTTGTACCCGTACATGACCTCGAAGGGTGTGTGGTTGTGTGCAGAGTGGATTCGGCTGTTCAGCGCGAACTCGGCCGTTGGCAGATAGTGTCGTGGAACGGACTCTGGATGTGTTGGAGCACAACCCGCGCCCCACACGCGGCGTGTCACTGGACGTTGGCCGTCTGCGCTGTGCGCGCGCGCGCGCGGCGCACTGATCCTGCATCGCGCGGTGCGCGCGATGCGTGCTCATCCTTGTCTTGATGCCACCCGGACTTTCGTTTTTCCATGGTCTATCCTACGATACCATTCCGCTTCCGCTTGCCTCGCGTTCTCTCGTTCCTGCTTACATACACGCGTGCCGGTCCGTAGCCATCAGTCCTGTCTGTCACTTATACCGTCCCGCCCGTGCAGCACCGCCCTCAGTCTTGCACTCTGCACGAGCGCACCGTACTGAGGTCTACTGCGTATCACTACAGCTGCTACTGCTCACAGGTTATGAGCCCTGCGTGAAGGCCTTACCTAGCAAGACTCAACTTACACGCTACCCTGCCATCTCGCTTCCCATCCTCCCGCACTCGCATCTATCATGTCATCTGGCTCTCTCTCCGACTTCATCAATGGGTTCGATAAGCTCGACGCCAAGGGCTCAAACTAGCTGGCATTCCAACAGCAGTTCACTATCGCGGTGCAACAGAAGGAGGCGTGGACTCATTACAACGGTATGAAGCCCTACCCCACTCCCGCGGACGTCGATGCCCCCACCGCTGCCGAGCTCTCCGCTTTGAACGACTGGCAGAAGAAGGAGACGTTAGCCCTCTACCTTCTGACGCTGAAGCTCGCGCCAAGCACATACAACCGTTTCAAGCGCAAGGGCACCGTCGCGGAGATCTGGGCCGCCCTCGTAGCCTAGTTCTCGAAGAAGACCCTTCTCCAGCGGTCAAATCTTCGCCGCGACTTCCTGAACATGCGTGCAACTGCGGGCGCGAACATGCATGATGAGTTCGACCGTCTCCGGAACGCCTACGAAGACCTTCTCACCTACGACGTCGAGATCGCGGACACTGAGTACGCTTCTGTCATCATCAACTTTGTCCCCTCCGAACTCT